CAAAGCTGGATCTAATGAGACCTTCTCAATACTCGGAGAGGACAGGAAGAGCCGATATAGATCTCAGCACATTGTCATTCACCACAGGTCTCAACTCCCCACCTCCACCCGGGAGGACAGCCAGGCGTTCCGGTCCATCGCTTCCAACAGAAGACTCAGTCAAAAGTTCCAGTGGGCCCCGTGCGCAGACTATTCGTGATAGGCTTGGGCTGTCACGGTCGCGTCGCTCTCTGGACCAAGGCGATAACCGACCTTCGTCAGCCTACTCTCGGCGGGATAGTCCAACCAGGCCTCGTGCTCGTTCCCGGTCTCCTGATTTATCTCTCGTGGCAAAGCGGTCCAACGCCACGGTCGTTGTGGAGAACTCCAGGGTCGATGCTCGAGCTGCCAGTCCTGCAGATTCTCGCCCAGGACCACCAAGTTCGGGTGATCACTCCACGGAATCGCAGCTTGCCCAATTGCCCAGACGCACTCCAGCACCCAATTCACGAGTTCCTAATTCTACAGATCCTCGCCTTAGAGCACCAAATTCAGATGATCTCTCTATGGAATCTCAGCTTACCCAAATGCCCAGACGCATTCCAGGACCCAATGCCTGCAAAATTTCGAATGGGTTGTGGTTCAACCCTAAAGAGGCTCTAATGACGATGTCCTTTGGACCAGATAAGAAGTTCATTGGATCCACAAGGGTCTGTGGCATGCCAGCAGAGTCTCGAGATCTGACCCGGAATAAGCCCCCTGGAGATCGGGAACTTCAGGTTTACTTTGAACATTTGTGCACGACTAGTGAATTCGCTCAGTTGCATCAACCCACGCCATCTGAACAATTTAAACCCACGGTGAGTCTTCAGTGTACTGTACTGTATCAGGAGTTATATCGCTGACTGACTAATTGAAAATCAGGTCGTTAGGAGTACTGGATGGATTGAGGGCTTCAATGGGACCAACAGCCAACTGCTCCAAATGGCAGAACATCTGCGCGAAAATGAACTTGTGGCTATCTACTATCCGCAGCATGGGGGCAGATTTACCTATGTTGCCTCATCTCGCTACTCCCAAAATCCCCAATGGTCCAGTTGGATTAGAAAGGGTCACATTTCTGATGCACCAAGTGGAGTCCCCATCCTTCTCACCGCATGCGAAAACCTTTTGCCGATAGTCGCTCTAGGCCCTCGACGATGTCGCGATCTGCTTTTACCCGTACGTGCGGGTGGGCAAGATCAATCTACATCGATCAGCCCAAAAGGTGACTTGGATGTTTCGGTTAGAGGCACAGACGACCTGGCCACAGCCCTAGCGAATGCCCTGCGTGAACATATCACGAAGGCGAGACTCAATCCAGATGATCTTGCCATAATTGATGAAAACGGGAAGATATCGAGGGCAGGGAAATTTTATCTTCACTTTCCTCTGGATAATCAGGAGGCCATACTCGACTTGGAATACATAAAGGCGGTATACGTAGAACAGGGAGTCATTATTTTCACAAACCAAACACCAAATCATTGGGCCTCATTTGTGAATGACCCCAATCAAGGGGTGGCTATTGTATGTTTTTCGACACCAGAATATTGAAGGGAGCTGGAACGGCTAACTATCATTACAGTTCCACGAGTCGTTCCTTGAATACGAATCGTTGCAGCCACCTATCGCCCTTGTGAACAAGAAAACCTTCAGTTTCTGGATCGTTCGCGTCTCTCGCCCACTGGAAATGATTGCCCCGGGATTCCCTGACCCGGAATCCACTGTATCCGGCAGTTATGCCCAACGGATCTTTCCCCAAGGTACTGGCATGATTCTTCTCACCGAAGATGTGATGAGCAACCTCCTCGAGGTTGCTATCACTCTTCGCTGGATTTACCGGCGCCATAGAGGCAAGCCCAGATACTGGAAGCTTGTTTTCTTCCCTGGAATTCTTGAATGGATAAAGAGAAGGCTCAATGATGAGGTTTACTCAGAAGACCATGATATGTATGTTTAATCCCCCGTTGGCGCTCTTTCGAATCACGTTCTAACCAAAGACACCCCAAAACAGCTTGCTGCTTATCCACAGTTTGATCGTGAAAAACAACCTAGTCTCTGACACTCAAGTGTTCAACGCATCTAGTCTGGAATTTTTCAGCTGCCTTGAAAATGAAACAAGCACAGTACTCGCACTTCCACCCCTTCATTATGGAAGCCTCACAGAGAACGACTTGGCAATCAAAGACAAGTCAGAGCATGATGCGGGTCACCTCATCGAGATACTGGCAGGCGTGGCCAAGCTCACCATGGCCCGATTTCGGAATTTCAGCGCCATCACATCCGAACGTTACAAGATATCAGCGTCAAAAAAACGATGGGATGAATGGGGTCACATAACTATCAACTATGGGTTTAAAAATTCTACGAAAGATTCAAGGTTGACCGAGCAGCTATCCTGGCTGAGATCAACGCTTCACACAGGTCTTCAAATCCTACCCCCCGACCAACGACCCAATCCGCTGGGGACTTCCCACAATCCCCTCACGCACTTAAGGACGCCTCTCGCAGAGCGCATTAACACCCTCAGTCTTCTGAGAAGACCAAGGCCACCGCTAGCGCAAAGGCCCAGCTCTTTGCACCAAAGAGCTAATTTCGTTAAGTTCTCATTCAATTGTCCAACGACCTCTGTTTCTTATGTGGTTAATATTTTCTTGTTGTTCATTATACCCTGTCTGAGTTTTATGCTACGATGATAACTTATCCTTATGGTCATTTAGCGAATAATATTCTACTTCATGACACATTTGATACACGTAAAACTTACATTCTTGATTGAAGTATACTCACTTGGCAATTTTATTTCGAAAATGTGGCGCATCTAATGCTGAAAGTAACCATTTATGGGGAACCTGAACCACTAGGTGGTGCCAATGCGAGACAATGCCCTGTTTAAGATGATAGTCCCCGCCAGCTCTAGTTAGCTATATCCAACTCTAGGCAAGAGACTAGGCTTGCCAAGGGCAATCCTAGAACCCTGCTAGTGCAACTCCTACTGCTAAGACTGGTTGTCGACGTCTTTGAGGAGCTTTAGACAAGCGATTGATTTATTTTAGACCTTTATCGAGATTTTATTTACAGTATGTAGTAACTTGTTTCTGAACGTAAGTATACTTAACATGCTCCCCTATCTTCACCTTTTGAAAGCAGATCGCAATGTTGTTGATATGCCGAACAAGACGAACAAGAAATTAACAACTCTGTTAAACCTTTAAACAATAGATGTCTAAGTTCATTGTTTAATCCTAACTAGGTTGATTGAGAATAAATCACAAATGGCGCTTAATGAATATCCCGCTAAGCCCGGCGATGTCTCATATGTCTCCTGGTCTTCTTCATACTCCCACTGCTCATCATCTTCAAACTCTCAACATAATCACTCGTGCCATGCGTGAGATCCCTATCCCGCGCATTCTCAGCACCACAAACGGACCCATCACTCGCACCACCCAGCGGCCCATCCACAGCGAAATACTCCCGCTTAGAAGGCGACAGTAACATATTCTCCGCAGCCTCAGGCAACCACCCATTGATGAAATCACCATGCGAGCAATAAGAAGTCCCACAAGCAAGTGCTAAAGGAGGAGGCCCAGACCAGCCATCAGGAAGCAAACTGCGCAAATCATATCGGATAGAGAAGCGCAGCTGAGGCATACGCGACATACCAGCTGGACACCAATTTTCCCCGTATCCACTATTTACCTGTGGGTTTCCTGAGTATGCAGATTCCAGGGTATCCGGGTTGACGCAGTCATGGAAGAGGAGGAGTGTCTGCAGGTGGGTTGAGCATGTTTTCGTCGGGAAGGCAGCGTCATCCTTGTCCTCGTCTGTATCGTCGCCTTCGCAGAACCAGCTGATTCCGGCGCTTTTCTCGACGTGCTCTTGGGATGTTGCCGATGCATTGCCTGCTACGTCTTTATAGTCTTGGGGGATGGCTATTTCGGCTGATTCTAGCCCCTCGTAGTATGCGCTGAAGCGCATTGGTGTGATTGGGATGTGGGTGTTGTCTTCATCTTGTACAAGGTATAATGTTGGAACCCCTGATATTGTACTAAGTCAGCCAGCTGTTTGTGTATGATGCTTTGAGGGATTCATGGACTTACAGTATGCTGAAAAGTCATTCGGATTCACAGTTGTTGAGCAGCCTTTCTGGAGCTCGGATGACTTGGTGGTGTTGACTGTGATTGCATCTGATCCAAAGATGCTGTGCATATGACTGTTGTATTGCCCGGGCAATACAATTGGATCGATGTTCTTGAACATCAAAAGCTCTGAAACGGTGACTGTATAGGCGTTGGACATGCCTGCCGCCAGGGCAGATAATAGAATAGATCTGTGCATCGATGTAGAAACGACGGACAAAAGGAAAACAAAAGAAAGGAAAGAAATGGAAAGATATGCAAAACGAGATGAAGAAAGAGATGAGAGATAGCTATGGCTAGCTACTACGTATTTATATGTTATATCGAGGGAATGCGGGCCTGACAGCTTCTCATCAGTTAGTTAGAATCTTTGTAGCATGTTTGAACTGCGGATCCACAATCCAAAACTGTCGAGGATTGACCAGGGCCGTTGTTTCACGAACGATCAGGGGCCATGACCGGTTCCGTCAAATAGATCGAATGTTTCATGTAGACCATATCTTCCTCTTGGCATAACTAGATACGTGCATCAGCACGTGATGTATGTAGACAGGTCGAGGTGATACCGTCTGTCAACTAGTTTAACCCTTACGTTTCGCCCCCCTTCCCCCTGAAATAGGCTAGTGGTCAAACACTACGTTTTCTATATTAGGATTGACCGTACAGTGAGGGCGAAAGCTGGTGACAGGGAATAGACTACATGGAGATAACTATATGGGGGTAAACTCGCGGTAGTTCAATAACATTCCAATCAGATGTCTAGAGTAAATCGATACATGAAGTTCATAAGTACAGGTCATGAAAGTCTATAATGTCCAAAGCCGAACCTGGCCCAAATCATAATCTTGCAGCAGTGAACCGAGCGCCATCATCACCATGCGAATTTTGAGTAGAAGTCGGAGTACGGGCCTGAAGGGGGCTGTCGGGGCCAAAATTGTTTAATTAACAACACAAACAAGAACGAAAGACCTGAATAGGGATTTTACCGCTCAATGAAGTTAGGAATATCCTCAACCTTCATGGTTCCTTCCAAGATACCTGCATATTGTTAGCTTAGATCTGAGTATCAAGGGTGGAGGGCACTTACGGTAAACAGCAGTGAACAGAGGGAACTGGTCCTCCATGCCTTGGTTCTTGAGGAAGCTGTTGACCTCGTAAGCAGTCAGGGTACCCTGCAGCTTCTGGCCATTGAGCTCGGTCTTCTCAATCTCCTCGATGGGAAGGTTGCGTTCAACGCTGTGCATGGCACACCGGAAGTTACGGCCACCGCTGCAGCTAGTGATCAAATCAGCCACACCGGCACTTTCGTCGGTGAAGGTGCGCTGGTCAATGGTGGCGCTGAAGAACTGGTCACCGAACTTAACCATCTCCATCAGACCAACACGCATGACAGCAGCCTTGGCGTTGTCACCCCAGCCCATGCCGACAACCCAGCCAGCGGCCAGAGCAACAACGTTCTTGAGAGCGCCACTGATAGACACACCAGCGACATCGTTGACCACACGGACGTGGAAGTATGGGCGGTGGAAGACAGCCTTGAGGACGGCATGGTCGATAGGTGGGTAGGCTGATGGCAGGGCCTGCAGCTTGGTATCTGAGATCTTTCCGGAGACATCCTTGTGCTGGAACTCCACAAGGTTGGTCTGGGAGGAGGAAGGCGAACGCTGGGGAGTAGGCGCCTTGGAGTCCATGTGTGGGGGGTCGTAGGCAACGCTGGTCTCGGACCACTTCTCCCTGGCAACCTCATTGGCAATGTTGGCACCAGAAAGAGCACCACAGTAGATGCCAAGGGTCTTGCCAATGGTCTCGGAGAAGAGGTTGATACCAGATTCGTTGACGTCGACACCCTTGATACAAGAGATACCACGGGCGTAAGGCAGGATCTTACCCCTGATCTGCTCGCAGGTCTTGATGATGAACTGATGGGGCAGGTTGAAAACGAGAATGGTGCCGTCTTTAACCGCATCCTCCAGAGACGGGTTGGCGTGCAAGTTGACTGGCAACTGAACTCCTGCAAGGTATTTGACATTTTCATGGGTACGGTTAATCACCTCGGTCAGCTTTTGAGGACCGGCGTATGAGGGATCATAGTTCTTCGAGTCCTTGGGGACCTCAACAGTCTCCTCGTACACCCACATCTCCACCGTCTCTTCGAAGAGATCCGGGTTGCTGGCAGCATTTTCGGCGACAATCTTCGCAATGGCGGTACCCCTGCACGAGGACTAGTGTTAGTCCGGACTGCATCCCAGAGAAGAGTTTTTGATCCTTACCAGTTGCCGGAGCCCACCACGGCGAGCTTGTGCTTGCGCTGGAATGGACCGATAGAACCCATGTTGTGTGTAGAGATAACAAATGATCGACGGGTCAGAGGGCCGGGAATAGTGGACTTAAAAGGTAGAGGAGCCGGGGGCAGACGGGGTGGAATGAATCGGGGAGTTTGGGACCGGGTGGCTAGCGGCGACCTCGGTATAACAATGGTACAGAAGTGAGGAAAGGAAATCCGACGTAGGTTGGGACTGGAACGAATCTCCATACAAGTCACCCAATGAGTCCAACCTTTCCCGGTTCGATAAGGCAAACTGATGTCAGAGGAAGTGCGTCGAAAAGTATGTGGATCGTCACCCGGAAAGTAATAAATCACTCAGCAGGATAACGTCACAGACACGTTCTTCTCCTTGTGGTTTTGCACTAGAGATGAGGTTGAGCCAAACAGCGTTGAGTTCCTGAAAAAAACGGTGGGGAGGGTGGAGCGGGCGGTGAACAGATTTGGAGAGACACGGGCAGTTCGCTTTTCCCGTTTTTCGTCTGGGTAGATCTCACATGGCAAATGGTAAGCTGCATTGATTCGTCTGTTCCACTTCCCGGTTAATTATCGTCCACAGGCTCCTATCCGCAAATCCAAAATGGCGAAGACTGCTAAGCCCGCGAAGCCTTCGGGGAGAGTCTCATCTGCGTTCGGTGAAGATTTCCGGACCACCAAGCGGGACAAGCGGCAGATCAAACACGCCGCCCTCGTGTCGAAGATCGAGAAGGATTCCCAAAAGACCCCAAAGCGTCGACGCGCACACAAGAAATTGGTCGCCAATCTCGAATCTCTGGCCGATGCCCTGCCCGAAGCAGAGGAAGCCAATGATGCCGCCAGTCAAGCCAATATCATCAAGCAGAAGACCCTGCGACACAAGCCGGGGGCCATGAAGCGCCGAGAGAACATGGAGAAAACAGAGCGGGAGCGTTTCAACAAGAACATGGCAGACATGTCAACCATCTCGTCAACTCCAGCTGCCCAAACTGAGTCGAATCCCACGGCCGGTCGGTGGTCTGCCCTCCGAAGCTTCATTTCGCAGACGATGGAGCAGCAGCCCGTTTTCCAGGCGAAGAAATGAACCGGACACGTCCGACATTAAATAACAGACCTGGCTCACTGAGCATCAGAGTGATTGCCGTTCGTCATCGAATCCTGTCTACCGAGACCGGCACTGGGTTGCGTCAAATGCACCGGCAATGCTGTCGAGCAAAAAACCAAAATCCGAATGCCTCGCATTCCTATGGGGTTACGGCCAACACGACACAATGCACCTTCGGGCGTGAGTACCGAATGTCGAAACGGATTGGCCCCCAAGAGTTTGCGACTTAAGCCGTTTTATACTGCTGAACCCCGCTCCAAATTGCCTGACACAAGCTTGGAAGCCTTAGGGCTGACGGACGCCACCAAATTCATCTCGACAACTGTGCATAATTAAATACCCCTCATTGAATAAAAGCATGCATCGATGTATTTCTACTTTGCAATCTGGTCAATCGCAGATACTGCAGCTATTTACCTGCCTAGACAACATGTACAAAAGGGGTCATAGTCCATCCACATTCCCCACCTTTAGACAATCTACATAATGAACCCGAGGCGCTCGGAAATGGGCGAAGAAAGGTGAAAAAAGAGAGCCCCAGAAGGGCGAAAACAACGCCTGAAACGGCATAGTTACTCGCTTTGAGGCTTTGTAGAGACTGTCCAATACTTCATGGCACTGTATATACAGTTATGACCCCTGTTGTATATATACTCGGTAACTAAATCGTTGACTTAGTTGCTCAAACACAACCCCGCATCATCCCAGTCTTCACTACCTACTCCTTTCCGAGCAATGAAAAGCCCCTTCGGATCCCATTTCTGCTTGAGGGTATACAAACGAGGATAGTTGTCTCCCCAAAACGACCTCTGGAAACCAGGCTCATAAGGATGCGCCTCGTTGAGATAAGCACCCATCTGGTCCTCGCCCTCGACCGAACGAATGAGAGGAATTTCAACCTCTGTGGCATTCTTAATAATGGCATGCTGCTGTGCAAGTGTTGTGGTGGCATTCCAGCTTCTTGAATACAGCAGGTGAACAACGGCCTTCCTCCAAGCCGGGTTAACAGCACTGTCAATCTTGTTGCCATTGGCTGCGACTGCACCCCCTGCAACCACATGACCGATGAATGTTTCTCCGGGATCAAATCTGAGACTACTCCACGTCTTGGACAGTCGACTCGGTCCGTCTTCGGATAGGAAGAGGTCCCTGGAATACAGACGGGATACCAGCGTTGTCATTCCACCTGTGGTGTCGGCATTACCTTCCAAGAGCATTGTTTGAATCGTTGAGTTCATGGTGGGTAAACCGAAGGCCCCATACTGGACAGTCACACCAGGCATTGATTGCAGGCTTTTCACCAATGGGGCATACAGTCTGTCAATTGCGCTTGTGTCGGTGTGTTCAGGGAACATAAGCAACGATATGACGCTGGAAACGCTGATCGTCGCATTGAGAGGCATGTCAGGGATTCCGAAATAGTACCCAGAACCACCGGCGTTGTTGAGGCCTGGAAGTGCTGCGTGCCACTCGGTGAGGGCGTTCCAGAATTGAGGGTCCCCTGCGGATGTTGTGATGTTGACATTGGCGACTATGACTGGGACTTCTGGAAACGTCCGAACAGTAACATTAACCACAACTCCAAATGTTCCTCCGCCGCCACCTCGCAGGGCCCAGAACAGGTCACTATTCTGATATGCGTTTGCTGTGACGAGATTTCCCTAAACTAGTGGTCAGCTACTTGTCCATCTTGGTGCTATGGAGTTTGAGGGTTTGACTCACATCAGCCGTTACAACTTCGAACTCAAGGACATTGTCAGATGCCAGTCCCTTCCAGGCACCAAAAGGTGAATGACCTCCACCTTGAATATACCCCCCAGCCGCACCAACGGTGTGTGAAGCACCCGCAATGACAGTCACATTATGCTCTGCCACTGCTTTGTAAAGTTCGGCAAGGTTGACGCCCGCCGACAGAGTGACTGCTTTGCCTTCACCCTTGCCCTTCGGCGCACCAATCGGCATAAAGTTGCCAACAAACTTGATATCCTTCATACCATTGGTCAAAATCTGCAATGACCCTGGGGCTGTTGAACGACCTAGGAAGTCATGACCAGAATTCTTAATGGCAAGTCGAAGGTTATGTGTACTCGCAAACTGCACGGCCTTCTGAACATGCGAAGCCGTCTGTACCTTCGCAGAGTACAACGAAATACGACCCTGACCGCAGGTTGTATTCTGGGCTGACTTTATATAGCAGGTTTGGTGTCGCTCTGGCCAAGCCTCCCAATTCTCCCACTGTCCAGCACCGGGCTGAGCAGCTCGCCAGGTGGAGTCAGACCAGTTGTTCATGACATCCTTACATGCTGTTTGATCAAACTCTGCCGCATGGCAAACCGACGCGACGGGCCTTACAGCAATAAGGTTTCCTTGTATCGTGTCGTTCAAGCTAGACCATTTCTGCTTAGATGGCCAGCAGCGTTCATGTGGTCGGCAGCGGCAATGACTTGTGCCAGGTGCAGCGCTGGCAATGCTAGCAAAGAGGTATAATATAAACAGTTTAAGCATAATCAAATGAAGTATTGACAATGTCTTGAAGGCTATAACTGAAGCCCTTTGCCTGGATTCCCCCTGAAATTATATACTTCGCATCCGGGGCGGTGTTCAGTCGATCCCCAAGTGCCCGATACGAGACTTGCCGTATTCGGAAGTAATTCTCACGACCAGAGTGAATACGGGTCTTATATACATAAAGTGCGCCAAGTTGAGCATGGCTGAGCATGGCTGAGCAAGGTAAGATTCAGTTCGTATTTGGTGCTAAATTGATTCATGACATCATTGTCTCGATTCTAACGCGGCGGTTTGCAACCAGATTGCAGGTTGGAGATCTGAGTCTCTAATACGGTCTCCGGTCAGCCTTCGATCGGCAGAGAGAGGCGAGAGAACCAGAGATTCTATGTTGACACGGTCATACGGTCAAAAAGTGAGTTGATCCGAAATGCTCAGGTTCACCGGCCCGATGACTCATCAGATAAGATCACCTGCGGGGAAAGCAATCTAATCATCTCTCTTGCTTCCTTTGTTATTCTCCCCTGTTGTCCATAAATCACATTCACCGGCGCCCAGCAATGCTGTGGAGGCCTCTACAGCGTCGGCTTCCAGCCATGATACACCTCGAGGTTGTCCGATGTCGGCGCCTTCCTCCTTCGTACATCAGGTCAACACGCCAGTTGTCCAGCTCAACCACGTTCCCAACCCGTTCACAATTTAACCGGTCAGATTTTACGAGCCAGCCTTTCACTGGCAGCTATGAGCCCGGGCTTCCAACAACCGGGCCGCTCGGATCAACACCGGCATTTGGAACCCCGCGTATTACCCCGAAAGTGCTGAAGCAGTATCTGGATCAATACGTGGTGGGCCAAGATCGCGCAAAGAAGGTGCTCAGTGTCGCGGTATACAACCACTACCAGCGCGTTCAAGAGCTCTTGCGTCGCGAAGAAGAGGCAGCCGAAGCACACGCGAAGCGTCAACGGAGGGAAGCACTTGAGAGTCATCCCTTAGAAGGTAAGCACCCATCCGAGCATGAGATGGTCTCAATTGCTTATACATATTTCGGTCACAGATGATTTCCCGGTTTCGCAGAGGACTGTGGGGATACCTCAGACCCCAAAGCCGCATCGCAGCACCCCCTGGATCTCCCAGAACTCACTGACACATCGCCTTTACAGCTGGAGAAGTCTAATATCTTGCTATTGGGACCGTCTGGTGTCGGAAAGACGCTTATGGCGAAGACACTCGCCCGGGTGCTCTCTGTTCCTTTCAGCATCTCCGACTGCACCGTGTTTACCCAGGCCGGCTACATCGGAGAGGATGCTGAGCAGTGTATTCACCGACTTTTGGCAGCGGCAGACTACAATGTGGAACAGGCGGAGCGTGGTATCATTGTCCTTGATGAGGTGGATAAGATCGCCGCAGCTAAAGTCAGTCATGGCAAGGATGTTGGTGGCGAAGGTGTCCAGCAGGCCCTCCTCAAGATCATCGAGGGTACAACTGTACAGGTTCAAGCCAAGCCCGAGAAGAACCCGCGCGCAACTAGCCCTCCTAATAGCTACCCCTCTAACAGCCCATTGGGGAATTCGCCGTTCCAACATAACAGTCCAGGCAACCCAGCTGCGAAGGGTGAAGTCTACAATGTTCGAACGGACAATATTCTGTTCGTCTTCTCTGGCGCCTTCGTCGGACTTCACAAAACGATTATGGACCGGATATCCCGCGGATCCATAGGCTTCGGTCAACCCGTACGGGCACCCTCGAGCACAGCGGATCGATCAGGCTCACCAAATTCCTCTCCTAACGAGCCCCTCCAAATCCTTCCCGGATCCGAAGAAGAAGCGCTGTACAAAAAGCATCTCCCGTTCTTTAGTTCTGCAATGCCAGCCGGTTCTGGCGCCGAGCCCACCTACTTCAATCCCCTTGACCTCCTAACACCCGCAGATCTGCAAAGCTACGGATTTATCCCAGAACTGATTGGGCGCATTCCAGTCACCGCCGCTCTCTCCACCCTATCTCAACCCTTACTTCTACGCATTCTCACCGAACCCCGCAACTCCCTTCTAGCCCAATACACGACTTTATTTTCCCTTTCGGGCGTCGAATTGCGCTTCACTACCCCCGCACTGCATAAACTCGCCGCCAATGCCTTTACAATGGGCACTGGTGCACGAGCACTCCGCACTGAAATGGAAACAATTCTCAGTGATGCTATGTTCGAAGCCCCCGGCTCGAGCGTGAAGTTCGTTCTCGTGACCGAGGCCGTGGCTGAGCGCAAAGAAAAGCCCATTTATCTTGCTCGGGGACAAGGTGGCCGGTTCCATGCAATGATTTCTGCCGAGGAAAGCAAGTGGGAAGAGAAGATTGGCCGTGAGAAAAAAGATCAGGATATGAAGGCCAAAGCACAGGATAATGCCGGAAACAGCTCTTCTCATCCGTCGAGCTTCCAGGAGTACCGGGACCAGGCCAATGGTTAAATTCAAGTGGTCGTGCTGTCTCATTTCTGGTTCCGGTGATCATACCTCGGTTGATTTTGTTATTTTCATATCCCATTTGCATCGGCAGCGATTAGTGTCGTTGGTAGCCGAAATGCGACATGAAAGCGTTGAATATTCTTGTGATCTTTTTGCTCGAGTCTAATTCTCTTGCGCGTCACTGCTGGAAAAAATAACTCATGCACGATATTTCCATGCACACTTGGACACTTGGGCCCGAAGTGTACTCCTGGTGTTCGAAACAAGCAACAATGCAACTAAATTCAAATGCCGGAATCTAAAATAACGCGTTATAGGCAAGTTGCTTCGCCTAAAAGTGTTACCTTATTCCTAGTCAAATGTGGACCACAATCACTTAGTGAAGACAAAGCAAGAGGCAGGAGAATCGTGAATCTGTTTGCTAGAGTTCCCGTCTTAGCAGCCCTAGCCTCTTAGAGCTTCCAGCGCTATATATTCCGCTCTCCCTCGGCAGCGGAACAGAGTTTTCTTGTCTCTCTCAGTCTTCTTCGCCTGTCGGAAGTCACACGTCAGTATGCCTGGGATCAGGCTAATCTATGTGTAGATTTGCTTGGGCTAAAACCTGCTTGTACAATAGTTGGTCGGCGAACTCTCACGAAAACTTCATTGGGATCCGGAAATTTAGATAGGTCCATTTAAAAAAGACCCCCATTACTTCTGAATGAACCCCCCTCTGCACCTGCCTAACCCTAATTTGACCTGGGGCCGTAATTGTATTTCACTGAGCATTATGAGCATTATTAGGTCTTTTTATAATCCCCTTTGAATACTCGTTGAAATACTCGTTTAAATCCGCAGGCAAATGATGTGCAAATACACTTGGAATCATCATGGATATATTATTCAAATAATACCGTTACGCTGCCGTACTTGCCGAGCAGCATAGTGAAAGAGTGCTAATCACTCGCAGCTACTCTCGTACTTCAGGCCAACTCCAGATCATCCAACCGCACTTAACCCCATTTCAATTTGTTACGTAGTAGCCTTTAAAATCCTCAACCCTAGGGGAAACGAATAACAATCTTGTGCTCCAGATGATCACTGTAGCGCCGGTAGTATTCCGGAGCCTGCTCAATATCAATGATAGAGCTAACCACAAAGCTCGGGGAAGCTCGATCATTTGCAACAAGATCAACAAGCGAGTGCGCATGTTCTAGCGGCAAGACGATTCCACTGCCAACAGTGACAGCTTTACTCCAAAGCTCGAAGATAGAAATGGGGACTTCGGCAGGGACAGTAGCGGCGTTGGCGGCACCACGGGTGTTATTTTGACCACCAGTGTAAACTCCTGCGATGGAAATGCCTCCTTGTTGTGCAACAACAGAAAGAAGGTTGCGGGGTACCAATCCATCAGCGCGTTGACCGGTGGCATTGACGGACTCAAATCCGACACAGTCCAAAGCTCTTGTGACGCCATTTGGCTCCTGGGCTAGGATTTGCTGCACGGGGTCGGAGAAGTTGAACTGAATGGGAACTGCTCCAATGGCCTCTGCCAACGCGAGACGATCTGGTACCTGGTCCACTGAGTAGACGCGTGAAGCACCACGGAGCAGAGCGGAGTATGCAGCCAGGAGTCCCACAGGTCCGGCTCCGAAGACCGCCACAGTATCCCCTGGCTCAAAGCCGCTGTATGTTAATGCTTGCCATCCAGTGGTGAATACGTCGGAAATCATCAGGTAGTCCAGTTCCTTGGTCGCGTTGCCAGTTTGGTTGTTGAAGGGAATCGGGATGAGAGACATGTCGGCGAAGGGAACACGAGCATACTCGGCTAGATGAACAATGTCAGCGTCTATTAGGAAACTCAGGTATTATTGTAGGGGATATAGCGGAATAGTATGGAACATACCTTGCAGTCCACCGTAGTTAGGCGAGCCAGAGCCAAACGAGATTGGATGTTCTTGGCCGTAGTGACCCGAGTGCGCGTTGTCAGGGATGATAACGTACTCGCCTACTTCAAGGGAGGAGACCGCACTGCCGACTTCTTCGACATAGCCAACAGCCTCGTGTCCGAGATTCCATGGAACATTGGCAGCACCAGTGTAGCCGTGATAGAAGTGGAGATCGGAGCCACAGATGGCTGAGGTGGTGATTCGGATAATTGCATCTGTTTGGTTTATTATACTGGGGACAGGTACATCAATGACAGACACATTGTTGGTTTGCCCAAACCAGGCTACTGCCCGCATGGTGGCAGCGAGGGTTGTGTTGAGCGACATTTATAGATGAGAATGCAAGGTCTGGGAGGGTTGGTTGTCTGGATTAGAGTTGGAATGGATGAGCCCCGAGTTGTAGATGAGGCCCTCTTATATCTTGTTTTATTCTACTCCCTATAACGGATTCCTATAACTGGTTGCGATATGATCTGCATCTTCAAGCGTTGATATATTAATGCTTACAATCAGTTCAGTTTTCGGCCGAGGCTCCACTTCACTTCAGCTTCTCCCATGCAAGGAACACCCAGACAGCACTAGATGATGATGCTATCAGCGGGAGCAATGGAGACTATTGGCCCCACTGTGCATAATCCGGAGTCCGGCCATAATAATCATACTACGCATACATGTATGTTTGAGGTGTCAGCTTAATCCCGTTAACTCCAGTGGGAATTCCACTGATTACGGTGATTCGCAATAAAACGGCGATCATTCTTGGCAATGATGACGCTCTCAAGAACGGACTAGTCTGGACGTTTGTATTTAATGCTTTGAGCTTGGCATCGGAGGGATATTTCGGACCCACACTTGGCACATAATCCATAGATTCTTGATTGAAGGTTGGTTTATGCAGACAGAAAAACTGACATTCTATTTAGTAAAGAAAAACATCAATGCCAGTACAGAAGCTCCTTTCCACGAATGACCTCACATCCCTGGTTCTTAAGCCTAGTCGTAGATCCTTGGCATTGTGATGGTTTGGAGCTCTCACCAAGGCCATTTTAGCTGCTGAAAGGAAACAGCTTCATGTCAAGGTTCACGTCGGCCGGTTTCAAGTTGCCTAAGAATGTTTCGGAAGATCCGTCACCGTAGATGCGAGCCGTATCGATATCGAGATGGCTGAAGCTTTTAAATAGATCGACCATCTCCTTGGCTTCTTTCACGGTGTGGACATGAGTTCGGCCGGCCATCACCTAGTCAACCCGTTCAGTCAATGCATCTCTTGATTCTGAGAATGTAGTTTGCTGGTTACTTGGCTCACTGGTATTCATAGATCCGTAAACAAGCTTCATCTTGGAAATCCGGCGGAATATGCCAAGATGGACAAGGTTGAGTATCCTTGTCTGGGAGAAATAACTTCCAATACTCCAGTGCTGTAGGCTGAAGTCCTCACATAATTGAACCCGATGCCCAAATAGAGTCTCGACATTTAGTGCGAGAGGGTCCATGGGTGGGGCTTGATTACGCGCTAGCAGTGGGTCCAAATCCCAAGGCTAGCGGAGATACCCGTGCACAGCGACTAGTATCTGGGTGGAGCGGGATGGCAAACAACCCTCTATCAGCAAGTTTAACCCCTTACTTTTGCAACGCCCCACTGAAATAGCTGAGTGCTAAGCACTGTATCTACTGTATTGGCCGTACCGTACAGCGAGAACCCGAGATTCGATCCCGAACGTCGGAGCTGGTGGGGTTCCTTTTGTTTTTTTTTTTTTTTTTACAAAAAGGAAAAAGATTCGTTATTGGTTGTCGTGGCAGGCAATCATAAGCATACCGGTCCATTTGGTATATCTTCTTGCGAATGCTGTATTATTAGATTTTGGGGAAAGCCGGTCTCCTATAATGAAGCTTCAATCACAAGTACTACGTAGGATTCACTGGTTAGAAGAGCATGAGATGGATATGCAAGGATGTGACTGTTGATAAAGTAGGCCTGCATAATGAAGGAACTTAAGAGGGATAAATGCATTTTATCTGGGTAATCCTGGAGATTGCTAGAGACTAAAGCTCGCAGTTCCCTCCAGCTGAGAATATGTATGATATTCCTCGAGTCTTACGCCGAATCGACAGCGGTGCTCAAAGCGATTTCTCGCATCTGTTCCAGTTCTCCCTTCATGTTGTCAATCTTGTCCAACATGCGTGGGAAACAGTCAGTGCCGAGCGGCAAACGAAGCAGCTTTTCCTTGCCCTGTCCCATTCCTTGCAGCTGGATCACGTCCAAGACCCGCTGGACCGCCTTTGTGGGGTCACCAGGTTGCTTGCCGGCAAAGCCATCGAAGAATCCCATAGCAGCACCGAGGGGTGTTCCCTCATAGTCCTTAGTCATTCCAGCGGCTGGAAGCTTGTGGGATCCGATGAAGTTAGTGCGGAAGGCACCGGGCTCAACAAGCAACACTCGAATATTGAAAGGATTGAGTTCAGCGAACAGTGATTCCGAAAGAGCTAGTTCCAGTTTTGTCAGTGTGCGGTTCTTGAAATTTGGATTGGGAAACTCATTCAACAGAGGCGAGCTGCCACATACCTTCAACGGCGAACTTGGACATAGAATAGGCAGCAGAAGCTGGACCGGCAGCAAAGCCAGCAATACTGCTGAAATTGACAATGGTACCACTGCGCTGTGCTCTCATGAAGGGGAGAGCGGCTTTGATCACTCTCACAGTACCGTACACATTGGTCTGAAACTGGGTATCAAGTTCCTCCTCACTTATCTTTGTGTTAGCCTGTATCTCCTCAATACCCGCTTGACCACATTTTACACGTACCTGATATCTTCAATGCTCCCTAGAAGACCATAACCAGCGTTATTGATGATAACATCAATTTTGCCACCGTTCTCCAGGATGGCTTGTCCGACTTGCTCTTTCGTTTGCTTGCTTGTCACATCCAATTGAAGCCACTTTCCACCCAGCGATTCAATCTGTGGATAACCCTGGGCAGCCTTCATAGGATTACGGGCTGTAGCAAGAACACGATGGCCTGCTTTGAGGGCATTCTCTGCCATGAGCGCTCCGAAGCCGGAGGATGCTCCGGTGATCAGCCAAAGTTGAGATGCCATCGTACGCCGAAATGTGATGAGAGACTTGGGTTTGAATTCGTGATCAGACCTGAGGCATGTCGAGGACTTTTATAGTGAAGACTAGCCTAATGGTGAATCCGTGATGCCGATGTCAAAGCCAGGGATTATAATTGGTAGTTAAGGTCAACCGACAGCAAGTGGAGAATTGGATATATCGACCCACATGTGGCGCCTAATCGGCACCACTCAGAGCTGTCCAGGGTGTGTCGAGCATTGCCCGAGTCGGTCAGCCCATGGGAGTTGCTTGCTGGAGATAAGCAACTATTTCCGATGTGTCTGTAGATAATTTCAGGCGATCTTGTAAGCGAGGAGTTAGTCGTGTTCTTCGGCTTTGCAGCGTAGCCCTTCTCGCGACCGTTCAAGAGAGTCTTAATTTGCCTCCGAGCGTACCTGGAGTTCTGTAGGGGGTTCAGACGTCACATCAAAGGAAACCTTCCAGGCCAGGCGCTTCTCCCCCTGACCCGGCGCCAAAAGTTGGTGGACCAGATGATCTCCGGACAACCCTTCACCAGCCAACCCCATCTGCGAAGAAACATCTCGGTGATCTCCCAATTCATTGGATCCCAGGGATCGCCCCAGACGATCATACAGTTGTCCTCGTCCGGCATGGTCCAGAAGCCCATCAGGTCTCGACAAAATTGAGAATCGTCCATAAGATCTTCATGTCGAATTAGATTATCCCGAAGGCGGGCAAAGGGAAAGAAGTCCAGCCATGGATGATGTGGCTGCTTCTGTTGTAATGCCGTAGGTTGCAAACTTGCCGGGATATCCACCCCATCCTGGTACGCCGGATGAGGCCCGTGAACGCTAAAGCGTGAGAGAGAGTCATCGGTCATCCATTCTCGAGTGTATCCAAGCGCTGTAATATTCCGCACAAAGGCACGAAATACATTCAACTTGACTAGCGTCAAGCGGTGATCGGCCCGAGGATCTCCACAGTAGCTCCGATATGCTGCCGATTCGAAGACCGCCAAGTGATGATAGAGATCGGGGTGGGACAGACAACATTGCTTGGATATTTCTCCATGTTCTACACGTGGTTCCTGGGAGATCCTGATCAATTCATTGAAATTCAGCGTAGGAGATCGTGTCGATCCAACGAAGTCTTTCTCGGCCGTAAGTTGGGCTTGCTGCCAGCCCTCTCTGCGCCAATTGTTCGGCATCTCTTTTCATCCGTTGTCGATGCCCTGTGTATTATCGGATAAGAAAAACAAAGTCGGTCTCTGGTACAAAGTGACTGGGGCCACTTACTCCAAGCCTGTGCATTACGTCGGTTCTGCTGCCTGCGTCGCTCTGCTTTGGCGTCCTGGTCGCGGCTCGAGGAAATGTCACCATTTACATTGTTATCAGGGAGAACTTCGGTAATGGCTTCCATCATGGGTCACTTCGGCGTGGAATGACTGAAAGTTGAAACATGGCTGGGATTGAGAGATTCTAGATACGCAGGAGCGAAGATGGGCTTGGCGCTCCGCTCCGGCCTTACCGCGCTCTCAAGTTGGGCAGTGCTCCCGCCTCAAACCGCCTAGCCATTTTGGCGACCTGATTCCTTCACCCCTTCTTTGTTATGAAATTAGTTATGACCTACTCAGAAACCAGACTATGTGAAGAATCCTAGCTCATTTCTGCTCGCAAACCATGAAAGTTCAAGTGGAAATATCCTCTCATTAAGCGCTAGTAAGCTCGCTGACCTTCTTAAAGTGGATAAAGTTTTGTTCTCTACCTAGTAACTAAAAGATTAATGGATATCATAAACTAGCCATTCCTAGATACGTTGATTTAGACTTCAACAGGCGAACCATGTCCCGATCTCGAGATCAAACCCTAAATAACCTTGGTTCCAATCTACCAGAAGTACTGCGGCAAGTCAAGTAACGTTATAGCAAAATGAACATAAAGACAAGGTAATGTCATAACGCGCTATGTGAGATAATCCCCTTTCTTCTCCGTCTATAATTGTAAAATGAAATGCTACACTGTACGCAAAATTGCTAGTGGCTGGTAGAGAATAGATCCTGTGGTGGTTACGCACTTCCTTCATGTGTCTCAGCAAATATTCAGACCCATATGTCATCTTCGTAGAAGGTAGAAAATTGCTAGTTCCGTAAACGTAACGTTGATTGCTATCTTGGATATGGGGTGTTGCTAGTATAGCAGATATTGTAAGTCGGATGGGATGCTCATCTCTTCTCTCTCTCCAGATTACCGGGGTCTTTTAAGCCCTCAATTGGGAATTTTGCGTAAGGTAACATTATAGAGAGAGCCCTCAAACGAGATATTCGGCCTTGCGTCTGCTCAAAAACTGACCATGCTGGAACAGTCTGTAAAGCGGGTTGGAAAGACAAAGATGGTTGTGAGCAGAAACTACTGAGTGTTTTCAATTCCCGCACAATCTCCAACAACTACATCGTAGGATCGGAAAGAGCTGAAGCTGTTGACTGCAAGCTATGCTTCGCATCTTGCGCGGTTTGCGAGGTTATGCTATAATTGGCGGACTTATACACATTCCACTACATTACAAATCTACCAAGCTTGAGCGACTAGTATAAACTGTATCCTTGAGGTCTACCTAACAGGCTACAAAAGAAATTATGAAGTATATAGAAGGGAGAGTCTTTCCGCGAGATTCGACTCTGGGGATGTGCAGTAAGTAATCAACTTGTTACGTAGTGGGCTTTGTGGCGCAATCGATTGCATTACTAGGTTCACAAATATGCTAGTCACTAGCATATGGGTCCAAGTGGCAGAGAGCTTATAGATGTATAGAGCTAAAAAATATTCGCCAAGACAAGCAAATGCATGATGTCATTCCCTGCAGGTCTGGGCTTTCTCCAGGAACACGGGATGAGGGGAACGCTCGGCTCCCTCTCTGCCCTGCTTTTTCTTCTTTTCTTTTTCTCTCATTTTTCTCTTCGCTTTTCTAGTGAAAGTAAGGTGAATCGCTTGAGATTCTCCTCTACTCTCACCAACCGCTGGGTGATACCCAGATTCATCGAATCATTGCCGATCAGCTGCAATGAGCTCCTCACGTCAGGTCTACCTGCTTCCGCTGAAGGATGATGGATCTCCCGATGTGCCTGGTGGGTATATCTACCTGCCCCCTCCACCAGAGGGTGGGTATGTTCTCCGTTTCATCATTGAAGGCACAAGCTCGATCTGTCGACAGGGCAGTCTCTGGGTGAACATTCCCGAGGAGGGCAAGTCATTCGAACGCTATTCGTTCCGGGAGTTTGGGTAAATTTCTCTTATCTTGTTTGCCTTCTGTGAGATTCGAGGTCGCAATTACTAAACGGGAGTAGATTGCAACCCAATTTCAATGAGAACATCCAGATCGATATCCCTGTGGCCATTGCTGGAGCTTTCGCTTTCTACACAACATTCACCCCGCTGCCGGAGTTTTCTGTTGAGGATGTGCCTTCTCCGAAGCCGACTCAGACGCCCATTCATTACATTGATGTGTCCCCGAAACTCACCGTTCAAGGAAAAGACTTGCCGCTTAACGCATTGTCTATCTTCTCGGTGATCTCAAAGTTCATGGGTCAATATCCTACAGACTGGGACAGACATCTTCGTGGCATTGGTCAACGGAACTACAACATGGTTCATTTCACCCCCCTCATGCAGCGTGGATCGTCGAACTCCCCGTACAGCATTTTTGATCAATTGGCTTTTGACAGCACTTTCTTCCCCAATGGCGAGGATGATGTCGCTTCATTGGTGGCGAAGATGGAGGAGGAGTACGGCCTCCTCACTCTGACTGATGTGGTCTGGAACCACACAGCTAATAACAGCAAGTGGCTGGAGGAGCATCCAGAGTCTGGATACAGCGTGGAGACTGCACCGTGGCTGGAAGCAGCCCTCGAGTTGGACACTGCGCTGTTGAAATTCGGATACGACCTCGAGGAACTTGGTCTTCCGACGGAATTCAAAACTGTAGATGATTTGGTTACAGTCATGAACGCTGCGCGGAAGCAAGTCATTGATGGTATTCGCTTATGGGAATTTTATGTCCTCGACGTAAAGACTGATACCAAGAGTATTCTGGACGAATGGAAGCGCACGAAGGTTGACCGTGCACTCATTAAACGCCATGATATGCAGCAGTTCAAGGGCTGGTCACTCAAGCAGCAAGCCAACGTTACGCGGGAATGCGGTATTCCTAATTCCAAGCAAGTTCTTGGACGCTTTGGTCGTGCGGTTGATCCCACATTCGGCGCTGTCGCCTTGACGGTTCTTTTCGGCGATTACGATGAAGCAAGCACCAACTTCGCGGAGGTGGAAGACACCTTGTCCAAGCTCCTCAATGAAGCCAACATGCCACTCTACAAGGAGTATGATGCAGACGTCGCTGAGATCATGGATCAACTTTTCAACCGTATTAAGTATCTCAGAATCGAGGACCATGGTCCCAAGATGGGCCCCGTTACCAAGGAGAACCCTCTGATCGAGACCTACTTCACCCGCCTTCCTGTCAATGAAGTCACGAAAAAGCACAATTCAAAATCCCTTGCCTTGGTCAACAACGGGTGGATTTGGAATGCCGACGCGATGCGAGACAATGCCGGTCCTGATTCCAGGGCATATCTGCGCCGCGAGGTGATTGTATGGGGCGACTGCGTGAAGCTCCGATATGGATCCTCCCCTGAAGACAGTCCTTTCCTTTGGGATTTCATGACCCGGTACACCCGCCTTATGGCCAAGTACTTCTCTGGCTTCCGGATTGACAACTGTCATTCGACCCCACTCGCAGTCGCAGAATACCTGCTTGATGAAGCACGGAAAGTCCGGCCTGATCTTACCGTATTTGCAGAGCTCTTCACTGGCTCAGAAGATGCTGACTACGTCTTTGTCAAGCGACTGGGCATCAATGCTTTGATTCGGGAAGCTATGCAAGCTTGGAGCACCGAGGAGCTGAGTCGTCTCGTCCATCGTCATGGTGGCCGTCCAATCGGCAGCTTTGAGGTTGATCTCCCTTCGGCTGGCAGTAGCCACGCAATTGCTTCCGCCAAGTCTGGCAAGTCTGATGAAAACATCACCCATATCCGGCCGTGCCCCGTTCCGGCCCTGTTCATGGACTGTACTCACGACAATGAAGTACCTGCCCAAAAGCGCGATGCTAGAGACACTCTTCCAAATGCCGCATTAGTCGCAATGTGCGCGTCCGCAACTGGAAGTGTGATGGGTTACGACGAGGTGTACCCCAAACTTGTTGATCTTGTTCACGAAACTAGACAATACGCATCGCAGTTCTCGGACTCGGAGACCCTGTCAACCGGGTCTGGAGAAGGCGGAATTGGTGGAGTAAAGAAGCTCCTGAACGAACTCCACACTATGATGGGAGTTGAAGGCTATGATGAGACCCACATTCACCATGACGGTGAATACATTACGGTGCACAGAGTTCACCCCAAGACCAGGAAGGGTATCTTCTTGATCGCGCATACTGCCTTCCCTGGCAATGAGAGTGGCGCAATTTTGCCCCCAACTCATATCGCTGGCACAACCGCCAAGTTCATTGGATCCTGGCAACTTGAGGTTGATGCTGGAGATGAAGTAAAAGCAAAGGTCCTGGCCGACGACAAGTACTTGGCAGGCCTTCCCAGCCGTACACGCGATATTGAAAGCACTCAAATTGAGCAAAACGACAAGGACGTTACTATCTCTGTTCTCAATACCCTTGTTCCCGGTTCTATTGCTCTATTTGAGACCTGGATTCCTGGTGCTGATCATGCAGATGGATTTGAGAACAATCTCGCCAATGGTGCAGATGAAGCTTTCTCCGAACTCAGCTTGGTTGATTTGAATTTCGCACTGTACCGCTGCGACGCCGAAGAGAGAGACTCCAGCGATGGTCAAGACGGCGTGTATAGCATCCCTAACCATGGAGCTCTCGTCTATGCCGGACTTCAAGGTTGGTGGAGTGTTCTCGAAAACATAATCAAATACAACCAGCTCGGTCACTCTCTATGTGATCATTTGCGACAAGGCCAGTGGGCTTCAGACTATATCGTTGGGCGCTTGGAGCAGGCAGCTTCCAAAGAAGGATATAATGCCCTTCAAAAGCCCGCTGCATGGCTGCGCAAAAAGTTCGATGCTGTTCGCGACCTGCCACACTTCCTCTTCCCAAGGTACTTTGCAATCATCGTGCAAGTTGCTTACAATGCTGCTTGGAAGCGTGGTATTCACCTGCTCGGTGATAATGTGCGCCATGGTCAGGAATTCATTCACCAATTGGCTATGGTCAGTGTCCAGCAAACTGGCTACGTAAAGTCTGCGTCGCTGTGGCCCACCAAGCAGGTTCCTAGTCTTGCCGCTGGCTTGCCTCATTTTGCCGTTGACTGGGCGAGATGCTGGGGTCGCGACATCTTTATCTCTATCCGTGGTCTTTTCCTTGTCACAGGTCGTTTCGACGATGCTAAGCAGCACATCATCGCTTTCGCTAGTGTGCTCAAGCATGGAATGATTCCCAACCTGCTGAGCAGTGGCAAATTACCGCGATACAACTCTCGTGACTCGGTCTGGTTCTTCTTGCAGTCTATCCAGGACTTTACTGAAATGGCACCTAACGGAATGGACATTCTGCAAGAGAAGGTCCCGAGGCGATTCTTGCCTTATGATGACACATGGTTCCCATTCGATGACCCTCGGGCGTACTCTCAGTCTCCAACTCTTATCGAGGTCATTCAGGAAGTCTTCCAAAGACACGCCCATGGCATGTCATTCAGGGAGTACAACGCTGGTCCGGACCTTGATGCTCAAATGAAGCCTGAGGGTTTCCAGATTGATGTCAAGGTTGACTGGGATACTGGTATCATTTTTGGTGGCAGCCAAGATAATTGCGGTACCTGGCAAGACAAGATGGGAGAAAGCCCCAAGGCTGGGAACAAGGGTGTCCCTGGCACACCCCGTGATGGCGCTGCTATTGAGATCACTGGTCTCGCCTATAGCGCCCTGGCGTGGGTGGCGCGTCTCCATGAATCCAAGGTCTATCCCCACAAAGGCGTGGAAATTTTCGATGGCAAGAAGATCACCTTTGCCGAATGGGCCCGCAAGATCAAGGATAACTTTGAGCGATGCTACTTCATTCCCGTCGACCCTAGTGAGGACAGCCAATACGACGTCGACCCCAAAATCATCAACCGCCGTGGAATTTACAAGGATCTTTACAAGTCCGGCAAACCCTACGAAGACTACCAGTTGCGTGCCAACTTCCCCATTGCGATGTCGGTTGCACCGGAGCTTTTCACTCCTGCCAAGGCTCTTGTTGCTCTGTCCATTGCCGACTCCGCCATTGTGGGTCCTGTGGGCATGGCCACTTTGGACCCATCCGATCTTAACTATCGTCCGTACTATATTAATTCCGATGATTCGGCGGACTTCGCGACTGCAAAAGGTCGCAATTACCATCAAGGGCCAGAGTGGGTCTGGCAACGTGGTTATTACCTGCGTGCCTTGCTGCATTTTGATCTCCTCCGCCGAAAGACACCCGAGGAACGGACTGAATGCTTCCAACAAGTCACTCGACGTCTTGATGGTTGCAAAAAGGCTATGCGGGAGAGTCCTTGGAGGGGATTGACGGAGTTGACTAACAAGGGTGGAGAGCATTGTGATGACTCGGTAAGTTGCTCGTTTTTTTTTGATCTGATATATATCCCACTCTTGATTTGATACTAACGCGCCCTTTTTTTGCATTATAGTCGCCTACTCAATCTTGGTCTGCTGGATGTCTGCTTGACGTCTATTATGATGCATCCAAACATTCGTAGGTTCTGTTTATATCATTTTAGTACACGACTATGGCAATTCCTTTTTTTTTGTTTCTGGGGGCACCTTGCATGCGAGATACACATAATATATCGAACCATTTGTTCAGTATTAGCAGGTTTGACCGGTTGCACAGCGTGCGATTTCTTTATTTTTCCTACATAGAGCTACAGAGAAATCCTTTGATTCCCTCAACATAAAGTGCGATATGTTGTAGTTCATGCAAATTCGACAGGCGCCCGGCACATAGGTGATGACTCATCCACATGCAGGGGTGTCGTCATTGACGGTTTACGAAAAGCAGAAAAACAAAGGGGCCAACTTACCGATCCCAATCTCCTCGAACTCGGCAAACAAATCGCATCGAATTACAACCAGCCATCGAGACGGTCCCGATATTGGACCTCCGATCTTCCTGACGTCAGTCGATTGCACCCAACCCTCTCCGATCAACGGAATTCTTGCCGCATGCCCTTGATCAACCACTAGCTCCGACAGCCCCTCGCTCGTCAATTTCACCACGGAGATTCGGTGTGTAAAGCCTCTTTGAGCCCAAAGCCATGTCTTTAACGGCATCAACGGCTACCGCTGTGCTAACCGCGCTCGCCGACAAGCCCGATGGCGGAGGCGAGAGGCGGTGGGAAGATCAACTGAAGGAGCAGCGCGATCTGTACACGCAGTTCGTGATTAGCTCTGCGCTTGGCCTAGGTGCCTTCTTGACATTCTGTGTAAGTGTTTAGCTGTTTGTGGACATCGGCTCTCTGGTTCCTCGCTGACGGGATGCATGTTTATAGATCTTACGGCCAAAATGGACCGAGCTGTACGCTGCCCGACGACGACAACGGAACGCCGCTTCGCGCTTACCTGAGCTTCCGAATACCCTTTTCGGTTGGATCCCTGTTCTCCATGGAATCACAGAGGAAGAAGTCCTGCAGTCCGCAGGCCTGGATGCCTATGTGGTATGTTTTCGTTGAAGATTCCGGGTGGTTGACAGTTGCTAACGCCTGTTTCTGGATAGTTCTTATCATTCTTCAAGTTTGCTATTCGGTTCCTTCTAGCCGTCTTTATCTTCGCTGTCGCAATTATTCTTCCGCTACACTACAAATACACTGGCCAATATGGTGTTCCGGGATGGGACAACCTTCCTGACAACAGTACGGCCAATGGGATTGATGGTCTCGGAAAGGACAAGCCAGTCACCGACCCTGGATACCTATGGATCTATGTCTTGTTTGCCTACGTCTTCAGCGGCTTGGCTTTCTATATGCTTCTCCAGGAGACAAACCAAATCATTCGCACGCGGCAAACCTATCTCGGTAATCAGACCAGCACCACTGATCGCACGATTCGCTTGTCCGGAGTTCCGCAAGACCTAGGAACCGAGGAAAAGATAAAAGAATTCATCGAAGGCTTGCGTGTTGGCAAAGTTGAAAGTATCACGATCTGCCGAAAGTGGCGCGAACTGGACGAACTGATGGACGAGCGACTGAAGGTTATTCGAGAACTCGAGCGGGCATGGACGAAGCATCTTGGTTACAAGCGGCCCAAAAGCGATGGGAATACTTTGCCTTTGACCAACCAGCACGTGCAGGACGATGACAACGAACGGTCTCAGTTATTATCAGAGTCCGAACGGGGTGTTTCTAGTTATTCCAACGAGAGACCCAAAATTCGCATCTGGTATGGCCCATTTAAGCTTCGCTTCCGGATGATCGACGCAATCGACTACTACGAGGAGAAGCTGCGCAAGATAGATGAATATATCCAAAACGCCCGCGAGAAAGAATACCCTGCTACTGAGATTGCATTTGTGACTATGGAGTCTATTGCTGCATCTCAAATGCTCGTACAAGCGATCCTTGATCCGCACCCAATGCAAATGTTCGCTCGACTTGCTCCGGCGCCGGCGGATGTTATCTGGAAGAATACATACTTATCTCGGTCCCGACGAATGATTCAGTCATGGTCCATTACCGTCGTCATTGGATTCTTGACCGTCTTCTGGTCCGTTCTTTTGGTTCCTATCGCATCATTGCTGGAGCTGGAAACCCTTCATAAGATTGTTCCCCAGCTTGCAGAGTTCCTCCAAGAGCACACAATTCTGAAGTCTCTGGTTCAGACTGGTTTGCCGACTCTCGCATTCTCGTTGTTGACAGTTGCGGTTCCTTATGTCTACGAGTGTGAGTTTTATATCGGGATACGCTCCTTTTGTGTTCAAATGGCTAATGATACTCGCAGGGCTTTCGAACAACCAAGGAATGGTGTCACGCGGTGATGTTGAATTATCGATCATCTCCAAGAACTTCTTCTTCTCATTCTTCAACCTTTTCCTGCTTTTCACAGTGTTCGGAACGGCTAGTGGTTTCTACGGTTTCTGGGAAAACCTCCGGGATGCGTTCAAAGATTCCACGACAATTGCATTTGCCCTCGCAAAATCTCTCGAAGGTCTTGCGCCATTTTACATTAACCTCTTGATCCTTCAAGGCCTGGGTCTTTTCCCCTTTAGGCTCCTCGAGTTTGGAAGTGTCGCACTATACCCGCTCCAGTTCCTATCGGCCCGCACACCACGAGAGTACGCGGAGCTAAACACACCTCCCAAGTTCAGTTACGGATTTTCCATCCCGCAAACGATCTTGATTTTGGTCATCTGCGTGGTGTACAGTGTCTTCCCGAGCTCATGGCTGATCTGCCTGTTTGGCTTGATCTACTTCACGGTTGGCAAGTTCATTTACAAATACCAACTTTTGTACGCCATGGACCATCAGCAGCATTCCACCGGCCGCGCATGGCCCATGATTTGCAACCGCGTATTTGTCGGCCTGGTAGTCCACCAGCTCGCCATGATTGGCGTTTTAGCCCTGCGCCGAGCCATCACTCGCTCGTTGCTCCTCGTGCCACTTCTAGGCTTCACCGTTTGGTTCACATACTGGTTCGGACGGACATACGAGCCTCTAATGAAGTTCATTGCCCTCAAGAGCATTAACCGAGACCAACCGGGTGGTGGCGATATCTCTCCCTCCCCTTCATCATCCTTCTCACCGCCGTCGGGCTTGGACCGTGACAGTCTCCCGATTCGTATTGGCGGACATGACCTCGAGCTGCGGCTGAAGAAGTACGTCAACCCGAGTCTTATTTTGCCCCTGCATGCTGCCTGGCTTCCTCACCGCATCTCTCCAGGCAATGGTGCGTCGGCTTTCGAGGCTCATCAGACGCCCAATGTCTGATCTGGAACGTCACGCTTCTATTGAAGCATTGTTCTATATCGAACTTTCCCTAGAGACATTCTTTCTTTGCATAATTTTCAGACCCCATCACGATATACGACCCTGACACCTTGTTCGCATCTCACTCATCTCTTCTGATATATTTTCATGGTTATGATATCCCCGTGTGGCATCTTTGTTCTGTTTTGTTGCGTTAACCTCCCCCTCTTGTTATTCCCCTCTCGCGCAGTATTGAGTTTTATTTGAATCTACATATCTTTCGTTTTGACTCATACTGTACATGACAAATTTAACAGGAGTCTGTATGATATTGGTGATCTGTACTTGCATCACGGTCTACAATGTGATATGTCGAGCCATCTGCCTGCTAGACATCTAGACATACTGTACCTACATACGTAAAAGTAAAAGTAAAAATGATTTTCCCAGAGGCATCTCTTGTCCGAGATATGTCGGTTACAAGTGTCGGCTCGTCTAGTTTTACTCTTTGCTTCCACATTCTTGGTTTCAAAGTAAGTTCATGGCAAACGTGGCAGTGTCTGAGCTCGGGGTCAACCCGTCAGTCTAACCAAAGTGGAAGGTGAAGGATAAGACATTTGCCCCCTGAACTTGAGAATTTTGCGTAGACGTGTACGCCTAACCATGTCCAGGTCAAACAGAATATTCTGGTGGCTGACACCAATGTAGCCTCAGGCAACATATAAGCCAGGGATATCCAAGGTTGCGATCTATTGAAACCAACCAACCCTGAAAAGTGACACACCGTCTCTCCCACGCCCTTTTTCGCATTCGAATGATACCACAAGTCAATTCCAACCCCCAGCGCGGACATACCTCTCACACAGACGGCAGCCCCGGCTTCTGGAATCCCTCAGGGGTCCACATGGCAGCATTCCAGGGCAGCGGGGGATGGCACAGTTGTCTCTGATGCGGTGAGGAGCTGAAACCCGCCAAAGACAACCACAAAACAAAATAATCCTTGAAAAACGAGGAATGTCGGAAGCGCGGGCGCCCAACTAAATAGTCATCTTCAATATCGACTCTCATCACACGGTCAGAGACATTATGCATGTAAGCGGTGAGGGTCGAATGCCAAGGCGTTCATGTGCTGCATCCGGGCATCTGGCATTCCTCGCTTGTTTTCTTCTTTCTTCTTTCTCTTCTGCTGAGATCCTCTGGAATGTTAGAGTTGCATACGATCGTGACAGCGAGAGTCTATACTACTGTTTCGCTGTCTCGCCCCCACTGATGCATAAAGTTAAGCTTGGTGTCTCAACCATGGGTCTGAAAGGCCTAATCCAGAGCCTCCGTTGCCCGCTGCCCGTTGCCTCCATTCCCACAGTGGAATGGACATATGTTCATGCAGTCTTACTTTCCTAGATAGGTTTGCAAGTGATCTGTTCGCTTGACGGGGCTCCACTCTTCGGATTTCCGCGTGGTGCGCTGCCGTATAGCCTTGAATAGAATAAGAAGTAAGTAGTAATATATTTATATGTTATGTATCCTTGTTAAGTATCGACGTCAGAACCGTTCAAATTAATTTTAATGGCAAAACTCTGCGTTTAATTAGAGTCGACCCTTGCCTCGCCCTCGAATCAGTCCCATTTTAACTATATGCCTACCCGCTTTCAGACAATACAACCTTGCACTTACATACTTGTTCGAACCCCACGATACTTCCTCTTAAAAGTTCGAGGGCTTTTCTTTATAAGTGGTAAATCGGAACATTATCTACGAAGGCAACTTGAGGCTCAGTGGTGCAGATCGGTTAGCTTACTAATGGTCTAGATTGATTGCATCGCTATATACACTGTCCAACTGTATATTCATTTGTTCGGTGATTTAACCAGCAAAGTGGTTGTATGTGCGTTGAGAGGGCTTCGAAAAATTGAATTGCTATCGCCTTAGATTCACCGATATATCAACTGCTTCCTCTCCAAGACATGGTCTAATCGGAGAAAAGAAGGCGGGAAAAGGCGATATCAACATGCCCTCTTTGAGGTCGAGTCATGGCTATGCCGGTCATATGCTACAACATGATTCCATTGCACACAAGAAGCGGAACTCAAGAATATTAATACACCCAACCCTCAATGAGAGGGAAACTGGACGCATGTCACCAACAAACGACCAACCTGTGCCTAAGTCCAGTCGAAAGACCAAGCCGACAAAATCAGCTGCCAACAGCGCACCGCCTGAGATTTTGCTGGACATCTTCCTCATGCTGGCACCCCGGGACTTCGACAATGCCCGACGGACATGCTCGCAATGGATGCGAGTCAGTCTCAACGACAAGCTACTCGAAACCATGCTAAGAAGGGCAGGGTGGTGGAATGCATGGTTACAAGACCGTCAAAAGAAGCTTATCTCCCCTCGCTCAGATGAGAGCGAAGCCTGGAGAATGAGCCGCCGCTTTGCCACAGAGTGTCTCCTCTCTGGACGAAGATTCAACGTCGAGAAGCCTGGCTTCCTGTCAACCGCCACGGTTGACTTTTCAGGTCTTTCAGACAATGCACCACGCAAGACTCGAGGGAGTCGGCTTCAGCCGGTGCTCAAGGAGAGCAAGGGTCTTTCGACGTTTAGTGTTAGCAGTTGCAGCAATTATCTGCTTGTCACCAACGGCTGCATGATCTATGTCTATCATCTTTTGGGTCGGAAATGTCAGTCAGCATCTCCAACTGATATGTCTGATGCTGCCTTGGCTCCCATTTCACGCATTTCATGTCCATTCGAGGTTTTATCGGCTACCATCGACACCAGCACGCCTCGCTTCACTGTTGCCGCTCTGCTGAGCAATCGAGTTGGTATGATCTGTGACTTGGATATGGCCTTCTCCGAAGAACCGAACACGAAGACTCATGCCAACAGCATTTCAGCTGTACAGGATGCACACCAGTATCCAATATCACAGCTCCTACGAATGCCAACAGCAGACTCAACATCTCGTCACTTCTTCTACAACGTCTGCACACCCGACGCCCCTCCACGAACAATAGCATTATGTCCCGGCCGACATCTCGTCGGCTTCGGCTGCGCAGCTGGCGTAGAAATCCACAGCGTGAACGAACCAAGGAGAAACGAACAAAGAAAACACTTCCCAATGCCCCAACCCTCCGAAATCCTCCACTTCCTCCCAAGCTCCCCAGAATCACCCAACGAACTCCGCCTGATCTCCTCCCTCACCGGACCAGGTTCTCACGAATGCAAATGTCCTCCATCACCAACACCCTCCCTCCAATCCCCAACCCTCTCCCCAAACCCCCAAGCAAAGAACCAATTCCACTTCCTAGCCGACGTCCAATCCTTTAGCCGCCGCAGAATCCCCCACACTCCATCCAGAAGCTTCGTCCGCGCAACCCACTGCCACCATTACCGCGCAGTGCCCATAAACGACGGCTTCCACATAATGTTCATAGAGCCCCGAACAAGCCTTCTCTGCATCGGTTCTTCAACCCCAATCGGCGGCCCAACAAGCCTCACACGCGCCTTCATCTGCATACCCCCATTCGCAAATCCAACTCCAGCAAAAGACCCACCAATCCCAACGACCTTCACCGCAGGCTCAGATCTAAGCTGGGGTCTGCGCGTTGTAGCCGCATATGGGAACCGTATCGTGCTCTATTCCATCCCGCTGGATGTATACAACGTCATCCACAAAGAACGCGAGCGCCAAGGAGATGGTGTTATGGGGGACAGTGACCTGGCCCGGGATTGGTATATTGATGCAGACCGATCCCCGAAACGGCGGGATGGTCTTGCTCAGAATCAGAGTGAGGATTGGGAGTGTTTGCTAAGCGTTTCTTATCAACCTACTGCTACGATGTGGCCGTTTAAGATTTATGGAAAGGAGATTGGGACTGTTGATGGGCTTGTTGAGCTTTCTTTGCAGTCTTCTGAGGGGGGTGTGAGGGTTTGGGCTTTTGGGGGGGATGGGCGGGCGACGGTTTTTGATATTGATACGTTTACATCTGGGGGTTTCGGGCCTGGTTCCGTTCCTGTTTCTGCTTTGAAGATTGGGGCTGATGGGGGTGTTCAGAGTTCTAAGAAGGTTCCGAGAGTTGGACTGGGGCCTTCACGGAAGAGAAAGGCTGAGGTTTTGGGGGATGGGTTCGCTGGTCGGTATGGTGCTGGTCGTCATTCGTCGGTTGTTGATGGGTTGGGCTTGATTAAGCCTTGTGCTGCTGGTGTACATGGTGTGCAGCAGGACCCATCTGTTCGTCGTACTTCTTTTGCGGCTTGTATATTGGATTTCAAGATTCCTGAGTTAGGGATCTAGGTGGACTTTTCTGTTTTGATATCCTATATTGTTATGTTTTGATATTTGGGAGATGCTTTTATATTTCATTGCTGCATATATACCACATTAGTACAGAACATGGATATGTCTTTTACGCATTTTCTTCTTGTTTCTTTTAGGATCTCCTTCTTATAGACGGGGAGTCGATAAAATCATATTCACTCAATCGACTCTCCCATTGAATCATCCGAGTATTGCCTTCAGATCCTTTTGAGAGAATAGTCTTCAGAGCACTATGATCCGAGTGGATCAAAACTGGATGTTTACTTCCCATCACCATCCAGCGAGCTTCCGCTAGACACTTGACCACTGCCAGACATTCTCTTTCAGGGTTTGTATATCTAGGCTCTTGGTCTGACAATCGATTCACAGGTTGAGTTGATCGGCCCCAGGAAATCCATATCAATCATGTTCAGAGGTTCAAATTCTCGAATCCGACGCGTTGGCCCGTTTGGATTGCGAGGAAATCTCTGACAGGTGTCGCATGATTCAGCCCACGTCTTCACATCGGTCGCTCGTCTAGGCCAGTACACTTGTCCAAGCATCCGGTTCAGGTTTATATTTGATAGTGGCTACTACAGCAGTACTGAAAACTAGATCTATAGAAATCGCTGGGTAATTTCCGATTGAGTGGAGTTCTTAAGGTTGCCGTTCTCTATCCCCTTGTTTACCTCTAGAAACTCGCTTCCTCTTGGCCTTTTTCCTCTTCGCTATACCTTACTTTTACCTCACCTCACTCTTAATCTTATCCTGCTCCTCCTCCTCCTCCTCCTCCTCCTCTTCTTCTTCTTCCTTCATCCTCTACGTCTTCATCGTCCTCTTGGTCCTGCTCTTTTTATCCTACTCTTTTTATCCTACTCTTTTTATCCTACTCTTTTTATCCTACTCTATCACCTTGTCTTCAGACAACAGACCTGGTGCTTGACATTATGTTCCGAGTAAGGCAACATTAACCCCATTCTAAATGGCCTAAATCAAGCCGACCTACTAATATATCTACAAGCTCAAGCCAATAAGACCTCCGCCATTGGCACTGTTTCTTTTCACCGAAGTCCCAGCTTTGCGACCACGGCCCCAATGGCTCGAGTTCTCTGTCCTGAGATAGATTCCCTAACCTGGCTTCTAATATAGGTCTATCTATTGATTCCCCTTTTTCCGAAAGGGAATCACAAGTTGAGCTTGATTGGAGAGCTTATCGAACTGTCATTAAAGCCCTCGGCGGTCGAGACGCCTTCATCCATATGATGCTTTGTCACTCTATATCTTCTGGTTGGTTGCTTGTGTCCGGTGTGCTCTCCTATAACCAAACATCTAGTTCTTCAAACAAATATCACTCCTCTTACAAGTCATGATACAAACAAATAAACATGGAGAATTTAGAAATAAAGTGCAGGAGAAGAGAACGAAAACTTTTGATCCATTATCACACGCTAATAAAAGGCGCTTTTTAAAATCCGAGAACTCATCCGCGTCCAAATTTAGTGCGTCTTCGCGCGACGAGCACGAACACCTTGAGCCAAAACCTCCAACACGGACTCGGTATCCTCCCAGTTAATGCAAGCATCCGTGATACTGACACCATATTTGAGACCGGCCTTGCCCTCTGCGGGGACCTTCTGGTTGCCTATGAAAGGTTAGAACGGACAATTCGCCACGATATTGGAACAGTACTCACCCTCGTTAATGTTACTCTCAATCATGACACCCATAATAGCATCCTCGCCAGCGGCAAGCTGCTCAGCAAGGATAGCAGCAACCTTAGGTTGGTTCTTGTGGTTCTTCTCGGAGTTACCGTGGCTGCAGTCGACCATGAGACGGGGACGCATGCCCTTGGCATTAAGCTTGGCCTTGGCATCGGCAATGCTAGCAGCATCGTAGTTAGGGCCCTTCTTGCCTCCGCGCAGGATGACGAAGCAGTCGGGGTTACCGACAGTGCCGACGATGGAGACGACACCGGGCTTGGTGACGGACAAGAAGTGGTGAGGGTGCTTGACAGAGCCAATGGCATCAACCGCAACATCAAGCGAGCCATCGGTACCGTTCTTGAATCCAACGGGGAAGGACAGACCAGACGACAGCTCACGGTGGACCTGGGATTCGGTGGTACGGGCACCGACCGCACCGACGGACAGACAATCGGCCAGGAACTGGGGAGAGATTGTGTCGAGCATTTCGCTGGCAATGGGCATGCCCTTGTTGGTCAGGTCGACGAAGAGCTGGCGCGATATCCGGAGACCCTTGTTGATCTTGAAGCTGTTGTCGATGTCGGGGTCGTTGATCAGGCCCTTCCAGCCGACTGTTGTGCGGGGCTTCTCAAGGTACGAGCGCATCACGATCAGCAGGTCGTCCGCGTACTTTTCCTTCATCTTCATCAGGCGATCGCAGTACTCGAGCGCCATTTCTGGGTCGTGGATTGAGCAGGGTCCGATTACGACCATTAGTCGCTGGCGCTCGGTGTCTGTACCGTGCACGACGGCTACGGCCTCATCACGGCCCTTCAGGACGGTTTCCCGCGACTTGTCGGTCAATGCGATCTCATGTTGGAGGAGGTTGGGCGGGGTGAGCGGGTTGTAGCCACGGACTTTACGAGTAGATCAGAATTGTTTATTGGGGATTGGGGAGTTCAATTGTTCAGGCTTACTTCGAGAGTCTTCCAAGTGGCTGTGGTTACCCACATTAGGGTTGTCAATGAAGAACTGTGTTGGCGACGTCAGAGGGGGAAAGGGCGATCAATGAGGGGTTGACTCACCGACATGGCGGGAAGGAGAACAACTACGACAGGGAATCAATTGAAGCAATTGAAGAAACTGGGGGAGCAGCTGAAGAGAAGAATGGAATTGAGACTAAAATATGAATGAGTCAAAGCGATGAAGTATACCGAACCGATGTCGGTCCACGTGATTATCGGTGACCGGTGTTGCACTTCCAATCACGGCGGGCCCATTGATAAAAGTGGACTGATGTGGATGTGGGCTGTAAATATGATGTGCCTAACGATGCAACTCGTATCCTTGTGACTGGATAGCCCTGCAGTCCGATCTCAAATACCTTCCCCAGCATCCTCATGGTTTCCGTTGCACTCGACGGTCGAGCTCTTGCAATCCGCGCACCATGTCTTCGCAAATAATAGCATGCTGACCCTTGACATATTGCATTTGCTGATGGTACATCTGCATGCGCACTTCTTGGGCCTTGAACAGGTCATCGAGAATCTGACTGCATCCCTTGCGGTATATCTCCAGGACTTGAGTGATAGTGGCCTTTTCTGCAGCGAGCTGGGTTGAGAGGTGCTACGTGTATGGCCCAGTTAGCAATCCAATAGACATTTATTGTAGTCCAGCTTACCGAGTTCGTTTCGTGCAGCAAGTCGTGCGCATTCTTCTGTGCCACCCCTAGGGCGGTTATCCATTCCATCGGATCACGCGCTGTTGTGGATGGCTGTGGTTCTATATCTGGCCGAGGCAATTCCGGAGCATTGTGAGCCCATAGTCTGTCAATTGGGCCACATTTCTCTGATGCAGTAGCTTTCGCCTTCTTATCGTTAATCGTTCTCGGGGAAGAAGTCAATGCTCGATCGGTGTCCACAGCGTCGGCAGTACCTTCCTGGGGGAGCGATGGCGGATGACTGACTGACATAGGCCGTGGATCGAGTCTCGTCTGTTTCAGTCTCTCGGTTTCAATTCCGTATTCCAAGAACATGTCCCTCTGATACTTGGTCCACACGAGACTCTCGTATGTATCCTCGGTAGCCAGATCGCAGGAGCTGCGGCTGTATTGACTTTGACTAGTGTCAGGCACCCTGATCTCTTCTTTGTGGTCGGGGCCGTCTTCCAATTCAAGTTGAGGCACATCTGCATTCTTGGTCTGCCTGGGCATGAGTCGGGGGCTACCGTTGCTGTCAACAATGCTGGTCTTTGGTACTGATTTCGGGGGCTTTGGAGACGAATCAAGCTCCATTAGGGCTACATTGGTTAATAGAGGCTTCTGAGACTCGGGGGTATGGGTATATTCATGTCCTTGAGCGCTCGCTGTTGTGATCTCTTGGATTTCCGCGGTAATTTTGGCGTTTGAGGCCTCCGATGACGTGTCTTCTTGGCTCAGGAAGGGCTTAGTGACTTGAGAAGAAGTGTTTGGCAGAAATCTGTTCGGCTGCAGCGCTGCAAATCCGGGCAGATGCTCCATTTCCATGTGGTAGTCGAGGATTGAGGGTTGATCGCCCACCAAGCCTCTGCCAACTTCGAATTCAGAGGAATCACCATGTGTACTGGACAGAGATTCCCAAATTTGGGTCAAGCCTGTCTGTTGCGCGTTTTCTATCTTGGATTCATGTGACTGGACAATGGACAGCTCGCTGAAGGGATCAAGATTGGCTTGGTATTTGCGCTTTTCAACGGGCTTTGTGTCATCTTGAACGCGATCAACCTCCAGCATCCTCATCGGCTCCTCTGCCAGTGAATACGCCGGTGATTGGTCGTCAAGGGGTTCTTCGGTCTGTACTGGCTTGATTGGGACAATGGGAGGGCGAACAGTAAGTAAATTATTCTCTGTGGTTGACCGAGCTTGTGAAGAAACTATTGTTCCATGAAGTGCAAGCATCAGTTTACTGCCGACAGACTTTGCTCTGCCATGCCGCTCCGAATTATCCTTGTAATGAGGAGCCTTGGCCGTGCATGTTTGTCTCTTGGGCTGTGCCCTTGCCTGAAGAATGGTGACTTTTGAAGCACTTGGCCGGGACGATCCCAGAATGTCGCCATCTGAACTCGATGCAATGGTTGGTCGCTTACCAACAGCTTTTCCCCTGTTTGCCTGTTTTTGGGATTGTGCCCTATGCTCCCTAATACTGACTTTCGAGGTAGTTGCGCGAAATGGTCCTCGGCTTTCATCAATAGAATCAGCGGGTGTCCCGGATGATACTGATGTCCCGCTGGATATCTCAATGACAATGGGCTGTTTGCCTTTATTCACATTCGCGATGGGGCCATCTTTCTTGGGTAGCTTTCGATGGGAAGCCTCGGAAATTTCCGCGATGTTCTTTGTGACGGAGCCTCTGGTTTCACCATTTGATATACCCAATCCGACAGATGCCTTGTTGTCTAGAGCTGCAGACACAATGCCGGCGTTGAGAGTAATCAATGGCAATTGGGGTCCCTTGTCGCTGTTGTTCTTAGCAGTGACGCTCTTCCTGGTGTTAGCTTTCCTGCGTTTGGCCGAGGTAGCTGGCTCTTTCGATTGCATCTCTCGCTTGGCCATGGCAGAAGCAGCGGCTTCTTCATTGCCTTTGGTCTCATTTGGTGTAGGGCGCAAGTCCTCCTCCCAATCGACCTCCAGATCAGTCGACTTGGGCTGCCTTGGCTTGGTGAGTTTCAATCGAGGAACCACTGATCCTGGTTGGGGTAAAGGAGCTTTCGGCTTCTGGCGCCCTGAGGTTCTGCGGTTGTATACTGTAGTGGCTGGGCTTCTGGTAGTTATTGGGTCTTTTTGGCGCGAGTCTATGAAGCCAGAACCCACTGAAACAGGGTTCTTGATGGCGTTCATCGTAGATCGACAAATGATGATGATGATGGGATGGCAGCACAGGATGAGTTACACTAGAGAAGCTCAACTCTGGCACCATCACATGATGCTTTTTTCAACATTCGATATGAATAACTGCAGTTCAATTATGTTGCTCGGTTTGTTCTTCAAGATAATTTAGTTCTTAATCAGCCAAGACAAATGTGGAAGATAGCGTGCTCTCGCACAAGCCACTTGGAGCTTCCCCAGATTTGGAGCCAGGAATATGTATCATCTCCACTGCATCTCTTTAACATCCAACATTCATCTTCTCCCAAATCCTGCAATCCAAAACATCAATTCATCGGAAGACATAAGCTCCGAAATCCGTCCAATTTCTCCGTCCTCCGCGATTAATAATCGCCACAATCAGTACTTATGGATCGCGGAGATGAACGAACGCGGATGAAAACGAAGGACGAAATCGAGATTTATAAGCCATGCAGGTTTCCTCGCTAATCCCTGACTAACCTACTGGGATCAAAATACAGCCCAGTCACAGGCCCAATATTGCGATATATCCCATCAAAATGATACGCAACCAACTCCCACCCCAAGCAGACGAAGCAGTGCGCACCTCACGCTGCCGATTTAGCGCAATCGCACCCCTAACCCGCCTACGAGCCCTTCTTCCAGGCGCCATCTCCGGACCCACGGATCCAAATTACAAGTCCAATACCTCCCCCATCCCCAGTATACCCATTGAGCGCCGCCGAGCATCTAGCATCGCTGCCTCCCTCGACCAAGATGAAGGACTCGCAGAGAAGATCACCGAGCACGGCGTCGGCGTGCCAGATACAATCGCCAAGGAAGAAACAGTCCTCTACCTAGCCTACGGCTCAAATCTAGCATCCAAGACCTTCCGCGGTGTCCGCGGTATCAACCCTCTCTCGCAGATGGGTGTCTTCGTCCCAGAACTGCGACTCACGTTCGATCTACCGGGTGTACCATATGCAGAACCCTGTTTCGCAGGTACACAATACCGTGACCCATCTACCCCTCCAACCCACGATTTCGATTTCCCATTGGAGGATGACGAGACGGACGTTTCGGATAGTGAATACTTATCCGAGAAAGCCGCGCTGATGAGTCGTACACTGGAAGTCGAGGTTCATGGCGCGGGATATCATAAGCGGCGGTGGTACAAGCCCCTCGTTGGAGTTGTGTATGAGGTCACATTGGCGGATTATGCGAAGATCATTGCTACCGAGGGAGGTGGGCGTGGATACCGCGACGGCGTTATCGACTGTTACCCTTTCCCGGAGGACTATGATCCCTCAGACCCAGTCCCCTATCAGCCGAGTACAACCCCGTTCAAGGCGCGCACACTTCTCTCGCCTGCTGCTGATGATGCGCGCTTGAAAATGCAGTCATTGAAGAGCCGGGACTCGTCGCTTCTATCTCATGGTCCGAAGTTGTCGTGGTGGTATACGGTGTGTCTGCATTCCCGGCCTGATCCTGATTATGCGCAGCCATCCGCTCGGTATCTTGGGTTGATTAAGACCGGGGCGGAGGAACATGATCTGCCTGAAACGTACCGGGAGTATCTTGCTCAGATTCGGACGTATCGGATTACGACTACGCGGCAGAAGATTGGGAAGGGGATCTTCCTTGCGCTGTGGTTGCCGTGGGTTCTTTTGGCTTTGACTTTGTCGAAGATCTTTGCGGGTTCTGATGGTCGGAGTCCGCAATGGCTTGTTGCTCTGTCTAATGTTCTCTTTTCGGGAATGTGGAAGAGCTATGATCGTTTCTTTGCTAGAGTCTTTGGGGATGGTGAACGGACTCTGGATGATATCCCTGCTTGGTGAAGTCAATTGGGATTTTAGGTAGGTCCAATTGGAGTGTGCCGAGGTAGATACTCGCATATAAAGCTCTTGTAGATCAATTTGAAAGAATCACTATACAAGACTGGTCCAATTGCAAAGCGGAACTTACTGTACTATATCAAAATGATAGCACGAATCTAGGATCTTCACAATCATTCATCCATCATAATCACAAAGGAAATTAAATTCAGATGACTCCTCGAAGCACACAGTTTTCGAAAGGAAATGAAAAAAAGAATATATCTAGGATACAGATACAGGTGTTCGGGGAGCGTTCTAACAAAACAGACAGCAACCAATAGATAGACACAAATATGAAGAAAACGAAAGGCCTCTCCGAGACTTCCGTACCAAAGGGATTGTGGTATGGTAATTCCCCAAATCATACAAGGCCTCGTCAACCTCTCACGTTTTCCCACTCAAAAAGGGTCCGACATTTAGCGGCGGGGGCCGATGGGAGGGCTGTACACGATCTTTCTGGTCTTGAGAGGGGCCCACTTGTAGCGCTTGACCCAGACGCTGATGGCGAACAGACCAGTCAGGAGGGCGACGGCCTTGACACCCATCTTCTTGCGGTCGTCCATCTCGGGCTCGGCGGCCCAGTTGAGGAACTCGACAACGTCCTTGGCCATCTGGGAGGTGGTGGCGGGGGTGCCATCCTCGTACTCGACGACACCGTCGAAGAGGACACGGGCCATAGCAATACCTATTGAACACTGAGTCAGAAACGCCAAACAGCACGAGCGCATTGATTCGTCACATACCGGTACCGGGGAAGTAGGGGTTGAAGTTCATGCCCTCGGCGACGGAGGCACCAGCGGGAGCCTCATCGGGGTAACCAGTGAGCAAGCTGAAGATGTAGTTGCAGCCACCGTGACGGCCCTTGGTGATCAAGCTAAGGTCGGGAGGAAGAGCACCACCGTTGGCGGCACGGGCGGCCTCCTCGTTGGGGTAGGGGGCGGGGATGTAGTCAGACAGCTTTCCGGGGCGCTTTTCGATCTCGCCCTGGTCGTTGGGCTCGGTGTCGTACTCGTTGTCTTCGGCCATGGCCTTCATCTCGTCGACGGTGTGCATGGTACCGACCATAGAGCGCCAGGGGACACGGGTGAGGGAGTGGCAGGAGGCGCAAACTTCACGGTAGACCTGGAAACCACGGCGGAGACTTTGGTCGTGTTAGTAGGGTGTGCGATGAGAGCAAAAAATGTAACATAAGAATGAGGTCACTCACGCGGCGTGATCGAAAGTCTTGTTGAAGCGCTCATGCACCCAAGGGTACTGAGTGGCGTGGAGACTAGAAAGAGACAATCGTTAGCTTCAACTGTTGTTGCCGGCCTGATCGCACAATTCTCGGCTCGGTGCGGCGGAACAAATACGGCGATCCTCTTGATGAATGAAATCACTCACCCCTCCTCAGCGGGTGTCGAGGCGAAGGCCTCCTGGCCATAGAGATGGAAGTACCATGCGGCGGAACCGGCAGCCGCGGCAGTTGCGAGGGAAGCAGTGAGTGTGAGGGAGAAGGGGGAGGCGGCCTCGCCGGCGGCGGTGGAAGCGGCACGCTGTCGAATATTAGCAACGGAAGGCATCGAAGGGCCAATTTAACGTCGAAGAAGCGATTGTCCTCTTCCAGGAAGGCCAATGGGTTGGTGAGGTCGTACCGTGGTCTTCCCGAGGGACTGGCGTGCGGTGGTCCGGTTGGACACGCGCAGAATCGAACGTCCCAGCATGACGAAGTTTAACCCTCCAAGCAATTGAGAATGGATGGGAATAGGTGCTGTATCGCCAAAGCGAGAGAGGGGTGGGTGGGGAGGGGGAGGGGGATGAACAGGAGAGAGGTGCTCTTTGGAGGTTGAGGTCGAAGTCGAAGAAACTTGAACTTGATGATTACCCGGTCACTCTGATTGGTCCACGCGGGCGCTAGAAAACCGACTCTCGGAACATCGAAATTGACACTTTCATACTTCCAATGAATTGTATATAAAGTTGTCTATTTAGATTATATTCTAGCTGATTGGATTCTCTGTTATATGGCCGTGTTGATTCTTGTGTCAATTTGTGCTTCGGGTGCTACCGGGATGCTATACAAGCTAAACCCGCAACTTTTATACAGAAACATGACATGCTAGAGGCTCTGCAATGTGTTTTCTGTCTAGTTATACTATACTTCTAGCTGATATATCCACGGGTTCTGTGTTCCTTCGAACTTTAGCGATATCCCGGAATGTTCCTGAAGCGCACGCAATACTATTCTACAATTGCAATTGCACTATGTTCTTTTTCAATAATTTAGAAGCTTTGGTATAGTATTTCTTTTTCTGTGTCACACAATAGGCTAGCTGTACAAAAGAATGGGTACTTGGCCACACTATAATTTAGTCTAAGTTGGTGTAAATATATATATCTTGAGACTAACACAGCCATGACCTTTTTTGTTTTTTTTTTTAGTACCAAAGCCCTACTGCCACAATTAAGTATATCATGATTGAGGTTCTTTTGGCATTTAGTCAACCGGGCTAAATAACTTATTCGGATCCAGCAGATGCACTCACTCATTCAGCCATCCCATGGAGAGGCGGTGTATGTTCTGCCCAGAGGCGGCGTTGGACCCTGACTGCGGAGACCATGCAGCTCTGGAATGTTTCTGATTGCAGAAGATCCGAGTTATTAGACACAGATATGTCTACTTGAAGCCTAAACATCTGCTCCAACGGCTTTGTGTTTATTTACTGAGACCGATTGTCTCAAAACAACCCCGCGGGATAGCTGGCCCGAAGCCTTGGCCCCAACTTCTGGGCCACCCCAAGAGCACACTCTTTTCCCAATGAAGAGACCAAGAACACAAGATGCCAGGTGGAAAGAAAGGACCAACCGCGGCAGGTCCGCCACGCAGAGATGTGCTGGCCTCGCTACGCATGGCCTCAATGGAAGACATCTCCCGAGCTGCGCTTCCGGCAGGCACGTGAGATGAGGACATGGCATTGGCGATACAAATGCTGACGACAGAACAAACAGAAATCGTGTCTTCTATTCTTGACCACGTCGGTCCCGTCGATTTGATACGCGCAGCGCGGTCCTGCAAGCTTATGCACGAGATGGCCTATGATGACACCCGCTGGGTACACAAACTGAAACGAATCGGATGCTGGGACGAAGTCGACGCCAGAAAACATGCCGAGCATGTCTTTGGAACAGTCGCTAACAAGCAGGTCGTCGAGCAGCAAGAAGAGGGTGGTGGCAACGGAACGATACCTGCGATTATCATTGAAGACGATGCCAGCAATATGAACAGCCTGTCTGATGGATTTGATAAGATTGAGTTGGTAAATACGACGTCGCAGACTGACATGTTGGAAGGCCTGATGGATGATCCTACCCTGACAGTGCTGAAGCAGGCCAGGTCAATCCGGGGTGAGGCTCGTCAGGAATACGGCAAGATTCATGCTGCATTGTCGCCTTTCTACGAAGACATTGCACGGCGTGGGCCGTCGTCTGACAACCTGGTTTTCACCAAATATAAAGATCCCCAGGCCCAAGCGCAGATTCTCGCGCAATTACTGGCATTTTCTAAATGCGATATGACAGAAGGATGGGATGAAAGGCTGGAAAATCTGCAGGGTACAATGTCCATGTTTGAGACTGCCGCCTTGAATGAGTTCCGCCAAGGATATGAAACAGACGACATTGATGGGAACATGCGAAAATATGCCCACATCTTGTGGACACTCAATGGAGGACAATCTGCCGTGGACCTCTTCATCCATCATAATCACCTGATGACCCGAAAGTCCGAGTTTGGAAGCGTCTCTGACTGCATTGATGGATTGTCTGGTCAGATAAAAATGGAGCACACGCAGGCTTTCTTCACACGCCTCAGTGTTGCTTTCAACGAGCAGATATCCATAATGAACCGCGTCTTCCCCCCATCGTTGGATGTGACATCAACTTTCATGGAAAAGGTCGGGCAAGATGTGCTTTTTCCTTTCCTCACAGCCATCTTCGACGAGTTGCACCGTGTCAGTATCGAGTCATATCTGACTGCGATATCAATGACATTCGTTCAGTGCATGAATCTCTCTGAAGCTTTGCTTCCTACAAGAAGCTCCGAAACCAAGTTCGATGAATATCTTGATAATGTCGTGATCAAGATTTATGAGCCGCATATTGATCTGTATCTGGCAGAAGAGCTGGATTATTTCAAGAAAAACTGCGAGGCCACAGTCTCTGAATGGGACCGGCAGCTCTCTGAACAAGCGGCATCAACCGAGTCCTTTTTGATGTCGAACATCAACCGTCAGGCCGATAAACGAGATTTCCTCACTTCTTTCAAGAAAGTGATCATGATGCCTGTCAATATCCTGCCTAGTTTCTCGAGCGCAAAAACAAACGAAGAGCCGAAACCCGACACAGAGAACAGTGACAGCCCTGTGGCGCCGAAGAGTCCAAGTCGATTCTCGACAATATCATCACCCGCCCCGGTGGTTGTTGAAGAAGTCCCTACCACAGAACTGGCAGCCAAGGCGGCTATCATGAAGTCAAAAATGGAGGGTATCCGCTCATTGTTCAGCATTGAAATTGCTCTTGGCCTAGTCCATTCGGCCAAATCAAGCCTAGAAAGAGCCGCTCAATTTGTACGGCTTGGCGGCGAGTTTGGAGTGGCAGCTAAGCGACAGTGCCAGGCAATCTTTGTGAATTTGCTCCGCATCTTGGGACACCGACACGTCATCGTCGGCTTCGACAAAGCAGTCAGCCATCTCTCCAACTACCGACCCCGCGAACAAGGGGAACGAGACCAATCCGGAGTCGAGCCTCTCGTGACATTCTTGGAGCTGGTCAACGTCGGTGACCTCATCTTGCAGATGATGGATGTATTCTACGAGCAGGAGTTGATCGGTACCAGACTTACCGATCGAAACGACTTCCTAGATCCAGCCGTAAAAGAGAAGAAGAAGTTCGAACAGATGCTCGACGAACGGGTCGCGGCTGGCCTGAACAAGGGTATTGACGTCCTCATGGAAGAAGTGGACTACATCTTGGCAACAAGGCAACTAGCCACCGATTTCAATCCCGGTGTTTCCGCCGACCCACACCGACAGACCATGGACGTCGGCATCAGTGAAGTCGCTGCGGCAGTAGTAGACGTAGTATCATCGCATACGCAGATGCTCGTGGGAAGCACCGACAAGAGCACACTAGACGTGTTTAACCAAGAAGTCGGACTCCGCCTCTTTACAGCTCTCTGTAAACACCTCAAGCGACAGCGCATCAGTGTAGAGGGCTCACTGAAGCTGATCAGGTATGTGCCCCTTCTCTCTTTTACGTCAATAATCAAGCTGACCGGGTTTAGCGACATGAACCATTACTTCAAGTATATCCAGACCCTGAAAAACAACGAGCTCCTGCTCTATTTCACGGCGTTCCGTGAACTTGTACAGATTTACCTGGTTGATCCAGGTCACGCCAAAGAACTGGCCACTCTCATCGCTGATGCTGAGCGGTTCCATGGAATCTGGCGCGTGGAGGAGGTTTATGAATTCGCGGAGCGCCGGGCCGATTGGTATCAGGTCAAGAGGGATGTGGAACGAGCCATGTATGGCATTGGGTGCAATGTGATGTAGATGGATTCATACGATACCCAGGGGATTGCATAGCGTATTCGTGCATGTTGGCGTAGCTTACATAATTATATTTACTTCGAATGCGTTGCTTCAAGTTTACAGTTATATATTTGAACAATATAACAAGGTAGACAATCAAGTAATTAAATATTCAACAAAAGAGTCAAATAAGTCAAGTTGGCTGTTTTTGGACAATCTGCAGCCCTAAGTAACATCTGACGTCAACCACGGCGGCTGCTGGAACGTCGCGCTGCACCTGAAACGACATCCAGACTTTCCGATCCAGTCACTCGGTCAGGTTGTATCAGACAAGCATAAATAGAAATGTCTTCAGAAGCCACTCCAGATTTATTTCCCGACCGTAGATCGCAGTTGCAGGTACGCAGTCCGAACCTCCGAGATGATGTACCTGACGATATCTAGATATCCACGGTTCTGACTTGTCGTCATTGAAGTCTCAATAGAACCCCAGCAATTGAACGACACCCTGACAATAAGAAAGGCAATTATTGTTTCCCATTCACGGCGCTTCGTCGCAGCTTAAGACGCCAACCCCAGACTCAGATCCAGATCACAGATCTACAGTATTCCTTCTATCCCATCTATCCAAAAGCATGGGATAGCAATCCTCAACTTCAAATATAATACCTCAAAGTCCCAGGGGCAAGACAAATACCCTCACCACTGCAATGTCACAACCGAAGCTTTTCACTCCAACCCGATGGCTGTCCATCCTCCCACTACTCACTCTCCTCTCAATACCAATCACAAAATCCCAAGAAACAGTCTGGGTAACAGTTCTAGCAACAGAAACAACACACGCCACACCAACAGCACCAACAGCAGCCTCCTACACCTCCCTCAGCGAGTTCAAGGATACAGTGCTGGAAATGACGAATGAATACCGCGCCACGCACGATGCAAACCCACTCTCGTGGAATGATACTCTAGCTGAGTACTCGAAGAAATGGGCGGATGCTTGTATATGGAAGCATTCGGTGCGTTGTCCTATCCCTACCCCCAGAGTACATCCCATGTGAATGAGTACCATGCTAATTTATATCGCAGCATAGTCCCTATGGCGAGAATCTAGCCTACGGCTATGCAAATGCCTCCGCAGCTGTCATCGCCTGGGGCGACGAAGGAGCCATGTATAACTTCGGTAAACCAACCGGGTTCACAGAGGAAACGGGGCATTTCACACAGCTTGTTTGGAAGGCGACCACGCAGGTAGGGTGTGCAGCTGTGAACTGTGGGTATACGCACGACAAGCGGGATGTTGATGTCAATGTCGATTTCGGCGATGGAAATGGAAATGAGACTGGAGAGTCGGATGAGGACGGCCTTGTTAAGATGAGGGTTGCACCTCGTGGAGAAGGAAAAGGACATGCGCGCGCTCAGGGGTGGTATGTTGTTTGCGAGTATACGCCCGCTGGCAATGTAGTTGGGGCGCATGATTCTTATTTTAAGAAGAATGTTTTGCCTCAGGTGAGGGATAGGACTTCATCTACTTCTACTTCTACCTCGTCGTCTTCGACGACGACTAGCGCGGCTGAGACGTCTCCGTCGGAGAATGCGGCTACTTCTACTACTGTTGGGAGTCAGAATCAATCGACTGGTGGAGGGATCAGGTATGGACTTGACTCGAAGCTGGGGATGATGCTTGTTGCCTTGGGGACTCTGGGGATTGGGATGGGGCTTTATACATGAAAACGTATGTTGAAGGAAATACAATGAACTTTGCTAAGAACTGGTTTCGTAGCCATCTCTCATGCTTATCCACATTGCACATTTCATCGGGAGGCGCACCGCTCGATCTATTGAATTTTGGAATGTCCCGATCCTCACTGGGCTTGCCCAGGGAACCTAAAAGAAACACAAGGGGACAGAAGGCTGGGTTCAGGCACAGCGAAACGCCAGCAGCGAAACAGGGGAAAAAGAGGAACAAAAGGAAACACATTATTTGCGAGAATGGAAAAGACGGATTCATTAACCAATGACCTCCTCGGTCTCTTCGATAATCTCTTCCACCATCTCCTCGACCACGGTCTCGCCCTGGTCCTCGACAACCGGGGGAGCGTCGCGGGCGGCCTTGGGTGAGTCGGCATCCTCGGGGGAATCCAAAGGCCTCCTTCTCCTCGGCCATGAGCTCCTTCTCGCGACGGAGCCAGGCGACCCACTCGTTGAGCACGCGCTTGCGGGTCTCGACAACGGCGGTGTTGGCGATGTCGACGGCGTACTTGTCCTCCTCGTCGAACTCCTTTGAGTACTCGCGGAGGTTCTTGCGCACTTGCTTCTGCTCCTCCTTGCTGAGGAGAGTGGCGGGGCGCGGGCGCCAGCTGAACTGCTTGAACTTCTCGGTGGGGTTCTCTGAGAGCGTGGTGCCAGAGAAGGTGTGCATGTTCCAGCCGTTCTCCATCTATTACGTAGTTAGTATGATAGTTTAGATAACGTGAGCAGATAGATCTTACCGAGTGAGTCCAGACACTAGCGCTGGAGACGACGTAACGACCAGTGGAGTCCCAGTCAATGTCGGTAACACCGTAGTGTTCGACGGTCTTCATGAGCTGAAGGTTGGCGGCGAGGTCCTTCTCGGCCTCGACCTTCTCACCCTCGAAGTCCATATCCCAGAAGTCAAGATCGAAGTTGGTCTGGGAGTGGACGGTGGCAACGATAACGAAACGGCCCTTGGGTGACCAGTAGATACCGTTGCTGGTCTTCTTCTCGATAGTCCGCACCAGCTTGAAGTTACCACCGGGGTGGCCCTTCTTCTCGGGGGCGAAGAATGAGACAGAAGTCTTGGGGAGGACGGCAGCACCAGCTGCTGCCTCGCCGTTTGTGATGACAACGAATCGGGATCCATTGGGCTCCCAGGCGAAGTTAATAACGGTGTCCTTCAGACTGTCAACAACCTCCACGGGCACACCCTTCTCGCGAACACGGAAAATCTCCAAGTTAGTAGCCATGGACTTCTTTGACTTGGAGTGACGGTCGACCTTGACACAGACGTAGGCACCCTGGGATTGCCAGTGAAGCTTGACGTCGGAAACATTGAACAGGTTACGGGTACGGACAACCTCTTTGGAGGGAACGCTCATCATACCAACACGAGCGGGATTGCTGCCGATCTCAGGAGTCCAGAAGCACATCAATTGTTCGTACTGCTTGATACCCTCGCGGCTGACGGTGGCAGGGGACCACTCAAAGTCCATAACACCCTCGATCTTCACAGATGTGCGGCCGAGGAGGTTCATGTTGGGGAGTTCGTAGATGGAGATGGACTGGCCCTGGAGCATACGAGCAACGTACTTCTCGTCGGCGGACCACTTGAACGCGGGCCACTGGACCTTCTTCTTGGGGGCAACATCACCCTCAACGGCGGCAGGGGCGGCCAAGTCGTGCGAGACAAACGAACGGAGAGGCTTGCCAGTTTCGATATCCCAGACAATGATGTTCTTTCCATCCTCCTCGTAGGTCAGTAGAGGATGGCCTTCCTCGACTTGAATGGGGCGTGCGGACCACGTCGTCAAGTAGCCCTCAAGTGGCGAGAACTCGATCAACTGAACGTAAGGGTGAGGGAACTGCTTTTGCTTGGAGAAGGAGGCGCCGCCCCAAAGTTGGACTCCCTGGGGGTGGACGGAGGCAAGGAAGGTTCCCTTGGGGGACCATTGGACGAAAAGTTGGGTCCAGTTAAGGCGATCGACGACGTTCTCTGGTGGGTTGGACTTGTTGTTCCAGAACACACCAACCTTGTCATTGCGATACAGGGCGAATTGATCACGGGCGTTGGGATCTCCCATCCACGAGCGCAGGTGCTCCTTCTCCTTAAAAGGCTCCATAACGGGGGCCTGGTACTCCTCATCGATGCGACCTTCACGACCATAGCGCTCAATATCCATCAACTTGTTCACGGCTAGAGTGTGCTTCTTATCGAGGGGAACGCCGTGGAGTTGCTTGACGGCAGCCACTGCCTGCTCGGGGGTCTCGTATTCGACAAAGGCGAACCTATTTCCTCCAGAGGTTAACCAAATGCCTTCCTAATCGCAGATATTATCCAATACGCACCCTTCGGTCATCTTCTTGTCGTTGACGGGCATGAACACGGCATCTTCGGAGGTGTTGCCGACGGAGTTGAGTTTTCTCAAAAGGAACTTGACGAGTTTCTGTCGGCTGTCCTCGGGGACTACTGGGAGGCCGTCGATGACAATAAATGTGTCCAGACCCTCCTCGACCTTCACTTCATATTGCGCCTTGAGATCTAGACGACGCGTTAGAGAGGGGCACACAAACACAAAGAAATCTTGCACTCACCGGAGAAATCAATCTCCTCCTCCTCTTCCTCGTGGAGGTCCTGCTCGGACAGTGTATCGAAACTGGGCGCCATGCTGGGTGTACCGGAGGCGTCTATAGTCCAGGAAAAGATCGGTGGAATCCGTCCTGATGGATTTTCGGGCAGCACAAATCTGGCGGGCGGCCAATTCTTTGTGCGAGCCGGGCTCCATGACTGAGTCAGCCCTGAGTCAGCACATGCTTAGTCACTTCCCCAGGATCACCTGGGCATCATGATAGTGCTCTACTTGAAGCTGTTTGCGCTCCTCTAATATTGCTCTCTCTTTGTTTGACCATATCTTCGTGCACTGCCTCTATAAGATATCTTTCCCTGCTGTCTATTTTGGCTTTCATTTGTGTTGGTATGATTCAATGCCCCGCTGGTCCTAAGCGCCAGTGCGACTTGAGTATAGCCCACCTGACAGCTCCGATCGGCGACAGCTCTCCCTTGACCACCATATTGTCCTACGCATTTAGTGAAGCTCCCAATTGCACGCCGTGGCTCTCACAGCTTACATTTCTACCTGTCATATTATCTTCGTGATCCAGTACAAGATGCCGTGTAAGTTAACGGCCTCGGCGTTGCCCCGGTGCCAACTACCGATTCTTCGAAGGACCTCCGAACTGACCCGTCAATATGCGCAATAGTATCGTCCGAAATGCGCGACAAATATACCGAAATTATCGACACGATCTTGGCCGAGAGTGATCTCAACACCATCTCTGAGAAGCGGATTCGCAAAGGTCTCCAGGAAGCCGTTGGCTATGATCTCACTCCGCAGAAGGTCAGTCAATCACCGTGATATGTTACGCCAAGGTGTCTTTGTGCTGTTGGCGATTTGTGGTAAAGCAGTGTTACTAAAATCTGCAAAGACGGAGATCAAGCAGCTCATCATGGAGCGGTTCGACCGATTCGCCGAGCAGAATGGTGTCGGGTCGCCCGAGGAAACCACTACAAGCAATGGCCAGCGCGATGGCGATTCAACTTCTGCTGCAGTGCCATCCCCGCCTCCTTCGTCGTCCCCGGTGAAGCGCCAAGCTTCCAGCGACGTCACTTCCGAGCCCGCCAGCGCATCGCCGCCAGCTAAGAAACACAAGTCCGATGATGTTGATGCGGATGCGATGTTCGCAGCAAGACTCCAAGCTGAGGAGAACTCGCGCGCGCGACCAACTCGGGGAGGAAACTCACGACGGGCGGCTGCTCCTAAGAAGAAGACCAAGAAGGCAAAGACATCAACCAGGGTCAGGGCAGAGGATGATTCAGATATTGGCTCAGGCTCAGAGACCAAGGAGAAGAAGGAGGTAAACCGGAATACTGGATTCCATGTATGTATCGGCCTCATCTATCTAGCGCTGCCCGGCAGTACTGACACTCCCATAGAAACCCTTGAACCTTTCGGAACCTCTCTGCGCTTCTGGGAGAAATCACAGTGTGTTCAGCCGATCTTTCCGTTATGCTTTCCTTGCTAATATAAACTCAGCTTTCGCGGCCGCAAACCGTCAAAAAGGTCTGGCAGTACATTCGTGAGAACGAGCTCCAAGATCCCAGTGACCGTCGCCAAATTCGATGCGATGATGCCATGCGTGCTGTCTTCAAACAGGACCGAGTCCATATGTTTACCATGACCAAAATTTTGAACCAGAATCTGTACAATCCCGACGAATAGTCACTTGTGAGAGATGACTTTGATCATGGAAGGACAGGCTCTAACCCAAGTCCTGTCTCATAACGATTCTCCTTGGTTTATCATTCTTTTTGCAATGCATGTGGATGCTGGCGCGGATATTTTTATTAGCAGTATTTTAGCAATTTTCTGTCGCCATTTATGTTATTTGACTTGATCGTGCCCTCCAGCGGGTGTTGGTGTAGCATTTCCCAGATGAATTTATAGTCTCAAAGGTCCTCGCCCTCGGTCATTGATCCTTAACCCCGTGGATTTGCATCCTTAAGATGTATATTATATTAACCCCCGATTGGGTATGAAGTGAACCTCTATAAATTTGGGAGTTGCGAAACCAGCAAGCAAAAGGGTGTTGTTGGCCAGTACAGTATATGCCTGGGCAAGCGTGACACTGGTATGAGCATCGCCATGTTTACCTATATTGATTTTTACTGTTTCCACTTAGTCGGAGCCATGCGACTCAGGTTATATTGGCCAGCAGCAGTGAGCGTAGGATGCCTCATCCAATGCGGTATGCGGGATCAGTCAGCGACATCACTTTTTTCCACTCTTACCCCCACCACGATTCACAACGTCGAGCTCTCCAGCTACAGCGCAATTGACGCCAATCCGCAGCTTCAGTCGTGACTTTTACCCCGGTCTCCGTCTCCGCAATGGCCGACAACCAGCCCGCTCCCTCTGAGTCGTCCAGCCATGGCCGCGGCGGTCGTCGCCGTGGCCGCGGAGGGGCAGCTTCCTCCGGCCGAGACTCACAACGGAATGGCGATGGCACAGGGAGAACCTCCAAGCCTCGCACTCGTGGCAGTGGTCGTGGCGCCGCTGAAAGTGGACGTGACCGACAAAATCACAACGCCGACCAGGCAAATAATCATGACACGCAATCCACATCAAAAGCCCCGATAAAGGCAAAGAAACCGGTCGTCGCAGCCACCGATGATGCAGACGATGGAGAAATTTGCTTTATTTGCGCCTCTCCCGTCGAACATACCTCCGTCTCGCCTTGCAACCATCGAACCTGTCACATCTGTGCGCTTCGACTGCGGGCACTTTACAAGAACAAGGCTTGCGCTCATTGTCGGGTATGGTCACTCCAAAAGCAAGCTTCCTGGGCGAATATGCAGCGAGCTCTTGAGCCTGCTGTTCATGTACTGATTCATATAACAGACCGAATCAAATTTCGTGGTCTTTACAGATGATCCGGCACGGAGATTCGAGGAGTTCCAGAAGAAGGACTTTGCCCGGACAGACGAAAACCTAGGTATTCAATATGAGAACGACGAGATCTTTGAAGATACCGTGCTCTTGTTGCGGTATAACTGCCCCGACGAGGACTGCGATGTGGCTTGTCTGGGCTGGCCAGACCTTCACCGTCACGTAAAGAACAAGCATGGCAAGGCGATGTGGTACGTTAACCTCGCAAGACGATCCAATCTCGAATCAGCAGCTAATAATATGGAACAGTGACCTTTGTACCCGGAACAAGAAGGTGTTTACCCATGAGCATGAATTGTTCACGCCGGCCGAGTTGCGTAAGCACGAGAAGTCCGGCGACGACAAGCCAGGTGCAATAGACCAGAGTGGCTTCAAGGGACACCCCGAGTGTGGTTTCTGTCGTCAGCGATTCTACGGCGACGACGAGCTTTACACTCATTGTCGTGACAAGCACGAACGTTGCCATATTTGTGACCGACGCTCTTCCCACCGCCAACAACAATACTACGTCGACTACAACGCACTTGAGCATCATTTCCAAAAGGATCATTTCATCTGCTTGGATCAAGAGTGCCTGGAAAAGAAGTTTGTTGTATTCGAGTCTCAGATGGACCTGAAGGGTCACCAACTCGAGGCACATCCAAATGGACTTTCCAAGGACATTCGACGAGACGCCAGAATGGTTGATTTGGCTGAGTTTGACAACATGCGTACTCCTTACCAGCAGGGGCGTCAACGCCGTGGTGCTGGCCGAGGCCGTGACCCCAATGCTGAGCCATTGCCTGCTTCCAGCGCTCAGCCAATGACCCGGGCTGAAATTGCATACCAACGCCAAATGGCCATCCAAAGCTCACAATCCGTTTCAACCCGAAACTTTGGTGGTCAGCTCACCCGGGAGGATACTCAGCCTGTGCGCGCACCTGAGCGATCCGCTGCTGCGACTCCCGTGCAGGCTCCTCCTGCCTCACGCTCTACTCCTCTCCCTACTGCCCAATTTGAAAGCCTCAACATCGCTGCCACCCCAGCGCCGGCCGGGTCACTAGATGAAACGCGCCGCCTGCGCCACGGGGCCGTGATTGAGCGTGCTTCCAACCTACTCCGCAACGATGCTACCAAGATGGGCGAGTTCCGTCAAAGAGTCTCAAACTACCGTTCTTCTTCCATTTCAGCAACGGAGCTTATCGATGCGTTCTTTTCATTGTTTGACACATCCAGCACAGAGCTTGGCAAACTCATCAAGGAACTAGCCGATATTTACGAGGATGAGTCCAAGCGCTCCGGGCTCCTTCAAGCCTGGAACGACTGGCGCGCCATCAACGAAGACTATCCGGCTCTTCCAGGTCCTGGCGGTCTTCTCCCTGGCATGTCACCGGCCACCGTCAACACTGGCGGCAAGCGAGTCCTGCGCCTGAAGTCATCCACCGCCCAATCCTCCCGCTCCGCCGTGGGCCGCAGCGGTGCCCTTCCAACCGCTCCCTCCAACCCCTTCCCCCTCTTTCCGCCGCGGCTGGGTCCTCTTCTCGCCGCTCCCAGGCATCTTCAGCTACCCCTTGGGCTGCAGCCGCACCTGCGCCTTCATTCTCACGTCCTGCCATGCCGAGTCCGACCAGTCGCTCGTCCTCCACAGCACCCTCTTCCAGCCGTGCTCCTGTTTCTGCTCCTGCTCCTCGTGGTGATGCCTTCCCATCTCTCCCACCTGCAGCGAAGCCAAACGTCCTCATGGCCGGCAAGACCCGTGGCACAGTCCGCTGGAACGACAATCGCGGTCCCGCCCCGAACGCATGGGGCTCGGGCAACAGCTCTGGCACTGCCTCTCCCGCTGAGCCTAACCTTGATCAGGGAGTCAAGTGCCGGCGGCAAGAAGGGCAAGAAGAACAAGGGAAAGCAGACCTTGTTCCACTTTGGTTAAGTCGCATCCATTTCTTTCGAAGAGACATCTTACTTTGCTCTGTTATGTCTCGATGATGATGGTATCATGAGAGCGCAAGTTGTAAAAGCGTACATATCTCATGTCAAAAGATTTGTTGGGGGTTTTTCCTTGTTGTACCTAGCGACTGCAGATACAATTTTGTATAGAAATAATTTTTTTTCTTTATGTGTTTAAGTATTATACTTGTGGCAAAGGAGCAGGCTTTCATACTCTTTGAAGTTCTTTGGTTTAGACGTTTTCATATTCATCCACCACACAAAGATGTACGCCTCCTTAGTCTTGATCGTATATCTATACGTTGCAATTGATTCAAAAAGAGGTACGTATTTGATAAGCTCATTGATGTTTACTCTATGGTATATGAGAATCAAAGCACACTTCCATAAACCATTTCCATCTTCATCGGTCATTATAAAGTACAAGAGTAAGATCTACAAAATGGGAATGCATAGGGGGTTGATCAACTCACCATAGACATTAATTGAAGTGCGTTGAAACAAGCACGACACTATCACTGTCATTGTCAGTGACAGGATCAGACTCGGAACAAATCTCAGACCCAGAGTCGATAACGATGGGTTCAGTGGCATGAGTATCCTCCGTTTCATCGCGATCTTCACTGAAGCCTGACACCTGGGCTTCACGGGTATGAGCCGAAACATAGGAAACATGTCCAGCACGAGCATCAGCATCAGTCACACTTTCGTTGTCAGGGTGCATCCCCATCTCTTGGTTAATAGCAGACATGTGCATGACAAAATCATCTTGAAGTTTGATCAGCACAGAGCGAAGAGCGCCGTCGTCCATAGTACCATCACGAGCAAGAAACAGTTGTTCCCACAGTGAAAGAAGCAATTTCCGTTTCTGGGCAATGGCCACAGCACGCGATGAACTATTTCGGCGCAGAGCGAGCAGATCTACCGCCTCTGAGACGGACTGTGCTTTCTCCAGAACAGCAGGTGGGAGGTCAGTGAGCTTAGCTAGGACGAGACCGTATCGACGATCTGGGAAGGGCCTTCGGCGATACGATACTGCATAGTCATTTTGGTGGCACCAGGGGCAATGTCCGCTGCTAGATGGAGATTTATGACGCCGCTGCGGTCGGCGAGGATCTGTGCCAGATCGTGGAAGTGGGTGGCGAACCAGACTAGAGCATTGCTTGAGATGAGGGCTTCAGATAGGGCGACTGCGATGGCGAGTCCGTCTGTCGTGCTGGTTCCTCTGCCTAGTTCGTCGATTATTACCATGCTTCGTGGCTGGATGTTTCGCAGGATAAATGCCATTTCACGCATCTCTGCTGCGAATGTGGAGACATTTGCGTCTAGATCGTCTGAAGCTGCGACGCGGGCGAAGAGTTGGTGGGAGATTGGGAATGAGGCATATTGCGCGGGTACGAAGCAACCAATCTGGGCCATGATTGTCGTTAGAGCTAGGAAACGGATGTAAGTGGATTTGCCGCCCATGTTGCAGCCTGTGACGATCTGAAAACGGGTTTGTGGGGTTGCATATGCGTCGTTCGGTATGAACTTGCTTGGATGAATCTGTTCTCGGATTGGGTGACGTCCTGCTTTGATGGCGAGTGTCTCTGTTAACTCTGGTCTGATGTATTCGTGGCTGGTTGCTAGTTGGGCAAATGATGCTAGCATGTCTAGCATTGCTATTGCTTCGCTGACTCGGAAGAGTCCGGATACTTGGTCGCAAACGTCGCAAAGGAGATCCTGAATGGTGCGATCGCTCATGTTGATCACTTCACTGTGGGCATCAGTGATCTTCTGGTTGAGTTTGACCAAGTCCAGTGTCTGGCACTCAATGCGATTTCGCTTGCGATAGACGTTGATGAAGACATGGGGTAGGGGACCAGGCTCTGTCGCAGGGATGCAGATGTAGTATTGACGGGCTGTGTCATACTTCAAATCGAGAACAATGTCACAATTATCTGCGTTTTGTTAGGACGGTCCATGAACTGACACATCTTGAAGTTACCTGACAAGTTCTTGATGAGCTCGGTGGCATCTGCATTTGCCTCCTTGTAGGTCTGTCTGGCTACATCGAGGAGACTATTGACACCGGCCTAGAGAATGTCAGCTGCGTGGAGCCATTCCAAATTCACAAGAGGTTTGACCTTGACACAGTAAATGCGCTGGTTTCTTAGATCAAGTGGCTTCGTTTGGTAAGTGACATGATCATTCAATGTCGTTTCCATGAGCTCTTCAATCGCACGATGTCCCTCAGGGGCACACAACTAAAAGACATTAGCGTGAGCTCAACACCATCAGAAATATTGTAATACTTCGCGTATGGTAAGCAACAAATCGCTCTGTGCTGTTGCAAGCGCTCGAAAGATGTTCTTGATTGCTGAAACATAAGTTTTGAGCATGATAACATAGTTGACAGACTGTTCGACGTATTGGATTGTCCGCTTGGTGGGAACCAGGATTATCTTGATTCTGTCAACCTCTATCCCCAATATGGAGTCCGGAACCTACCGCAGTCAAAACTTTGTCTGCATCGATGAAACCCTTAAGAGCCTGTCTCACAGAGACAAACATATCTTCTTTGGTTGACAAATCTTCCACGGCATTGTACCTGGCTGTCAGTTTGACTCGTTCAGTTGAAGGTTGTAAAATGCTAGCTCGGAGCAGCCTTGCCCCCATAGGTGTTAGTGTCTCATTCAACAGCCCATACAAGCTTTCTCGCGATTTCGCATTCTGCAGGTTCTGGATGAGCTCGAGGGACACGATAGTCGCCAAGTCAATCGTCATCGACCCTTGGGATGGTTCGAATCGGATGCGTAGTGAATGCAATGTGAAAGACCGCTGGAGTTCAATCTCGACATACTTAAGAACCTAGGTTCCACTTTAGTAGCTCCCTCAGATAGCATGGGAGCAGTCCTACTGCGGCAAAGCAGCACGCTGCAAAATAGTTCCCACCCAGGGTCACCTTGAGCGAATTGACATCTTCTGGAAAGGCCAATCGGTCCACATACTCATGGCCCGTCTTCTCAGACCAGCATCGGCGGTCTAGGAAAGTGAAGATTGGGTCGGGTAAGTTTTCTTGGATGATATATCGAAGCTTGGATTCTTTGGCAGTGTTCATGAAAAGGATTTCGCTGGGTTCGAAAACACCGATCTTGATAATTGTATTGACGTAGGTTTGACTATCACATATCTGACAGAGAACTGCTTCAGCTGTCGCAAGATTGACAAATGCGAGACCAACAGTCGATGAGACGCCCCGCGATTCACTGACGGCGCAGATGAGATCCTGGGAAGCAACGCTGGTGGTTGTGGTAGTTGGCCTCCCTACCCTTGGACGTATGCTACCAGCTCTGGAAGTTGGAGCAAAAGAATCCAGCGACAGCCGTGAGTCCGAATAGACCGACATGGTGAAACTGGAGTAGTTGTAGTGGAGAAGTGATACGCGATAAGATAAAAGATATTTTCCCTCAAAATTTCTCTCTTCAGCAAAACCCAAACGACAAAATGGCCACTCTCTATCCTCCCCCAGCAAGCGCCAAAAGGTTGCTCAGGCTGAGAAGGCTCGTGAGCAGCAAGAGATTCAGGGTATTCCGTCCGACTTGGGCAGTGTTCGTGTGCAATTCTACGACCAAGCAACCGGAAATGCTACCGGGCCTGCGGTGTCCGTCCCAGTCGCCGATGCGAACGTGAAGAACCTCGAGACTCTGTTGAACACATTACAAGGAAATGTAAGAAATGAAAATGGCATTCCGGTCGCAATTGTTTTGTTTCTGACAGCATTTCTAGGACGACGAAGGCCGAGTACCATATCGGTTCACCCACCAGTCCGAAAAAGAAGGCGAGACAATTGACATTCTCTCCGACGTCTACCACTCACTCCTCCAGCCCGGAATTAAGACAACCGAAGATACTATCTCCCTATACTTCACACCCCAAGCCGTCTTCCGTGTCAGAGCGGTCTCACGATGTGCGGCCTCCATCGCGGGGCACGGCGAAGCCATCTTAGCCACATCCTTCTCTCCTGTCTCATCCTCCACCATGGTTTCCGGTAGCGGAGATTCAACTGCCCGTATTTGGGACTGCGATATGGGAGTCCCGCTACATACCCTTAAGGGCCACACCAGCTGGGTGCTGGCCGTCGCATATTCGCCGAACGGCGCGATGATCGCGACCGGTAGCATGGACAACACCGTTCGTTTCTGGGACGCGAAGAAGGGTCAGGCGCTCGGTGGGCCGCTCAAGGGCCATGCGAAATGGATCACCAATTTGGCGTGGGAGCCGTACCACGTGCAAGAGTCTGGGCGACCGCGTCTGGCGTCTGCGTCTAAGGACTCGACTGTGCGGGTGTGGGATGTCGTCTCAAGAGTCATTGATCATGTGCTTACTGGCCACAAGTCGTCTGTTACTTGCGTGAAGTGGGGTGGTACTGGCAAGATCTACACTGCGTCCCACGATAAGACTATCAAGATCTGGAACCCCAAGGATGGAACCCTTCTCCAGACTCTGTCCGCGCATGCTCACCGTGTCAACCACCTTGCGCTGTCTACTGATTTTGCTCTCCGCACTGCGTACCATGACCACACTGGCAAGGTTCCTGCGACCGAGGCTGAGAAGGTCGCGGCTGCACGGAAGAGATTCGAGGAGGCGGCAACAGTGAACAACAAAATTGTCGAGCGCCTGGTGTCGGCCAGTGATGACTTCACCATGTATCTGTGGGAGCCATCTTCTTCTAACAAGCCCGTCGCTCGCATGCTGGGTCACCAGAAGGAGGTAAACCACGTTACCTTCTCCCCAGACATGGCCTATATTGCCTCGGCTGGATTCGACAACCACGTCAAGCTATGGAATGGTCGTGATGGAAAGTGAGTGTCTCCGATCTAGGATGTATTTGATATATGGCTAACCAATATAGGTTCATCAACACCTTCCGCGGCCACGTGGGAGCCGTCTACCAGTGCTGTTTCTCAGCAGACTCGCGTATGCTGGTTTCGTCGTCCAAGGATACCACTCTTAAGATCTGGAACGTACGTACCGGCAAGCTGTCGATGGATCTGCCTGGTCACAAGGATGAGGTCTTTGCTGTTGACTGGAGTCCGGATGGACAGAAGATCGGTAGTGGAGGTAAAGACAAGGCGATCAAGATCTGGAGAAACTAGACTTAGTCGCTTGGCATCAACCTCCCTAACCGCTTTCCACGATTCTTCCAGCTTGGATGGAAAGTTTCTGTCCTGCTCGAGTTATACCGAGGCCACCAACGCGCAGATGCCAACGGTCAAACATACCTCGAGTCAGGGGAGCACTCCGGACCAGAAAGGCGATGCTTTCCGTGAAGTTTGCTTCACATCCCCCGAAGCCCCCATGGCTTCTTCGGTTCGGCGACGCATACTTGCCTAAATCCAAGACATCTGTGACCCATGGGCAGATCAGACCATTGTAGTCTGACAGGCTTGCTTTTGGCTTGATCTAGATCCTGCGAGGCGGATAAGTATAGAAGTTAGATGATGCTTAAACTATACTTTGTGTTTAATGAACCCTGTCCTACCACTGCCTGGGGCAGAGGGTATAAATGATATGCTATATGTATTCAGGTGCTTAACGAATATGTTTGATCCATGGACTGCTCTACGTAGAAGTACATGCAAGTTGGAATGGTTCGACTACCGTGATTGAGCCAAGTCAACTGAATAAGTTACCTCGGCCATCAACATGTTCAAATTAAGTTCATGGGACAAGTGTTACCCTTCGTCCCTGCAGCCACCGACGCCATTGGACTTGAACCTAATTCCGAATGTCACCGAACATATCACCTTCTACACCGCAAGTATAGAGTAAACAATGACATCAAAATGACAGGTTCTCATTCCAAACAAGTTACATACAAGCAACAAGCAAAACAGTCAAAGCTCAAAGCAAAAGGTATCCGCCTCAAGACACAAACAATCCATATATCAGGATCTAGATATACTGCCACGCAGGAACATCCCCTCATAAGTAATCGCCATAGCCGAAAATCCAAGACACTCATTAACATCCCCCTTAGGGACAGTAGCATTAGCCAAAGCCCCAAAAACCTGCCAACGGTTATCCTCAGTAGGACAAGCCATAAATCCACTAGCCCCCAACCCCGGTAAAGGTAATGCGACCAAGGCTCGCCCGCCTCATACACAAACGGCCCGTACGAAGACCCAGCGGGGATATTGGCAGAATGAGCCTGAGTGAAGCTCAACGCGCCGTTCGGGTCGATGTACACCTGCTGTCCGCCGGGTACTTCTGTGTCCATTGATGTGCCGCCTGGCGCGAAGACGGTTTGGTTGCCGGCTGGGCAGTCCTTTACTTGGCTTGGGCAGTAGCTGGCTGTGGTGCCGCCGAGCCAGAACTTTTGGCCTGCCGCGTTTAGTTGTAGGTAGTGGATTGGGCTTGCGGAGCGGGCGGCCATTACTGTGAATGGGGGGTTGGCGGGGGTGCCGGGGCTGCTGCAGCGAGCAGGGGGAGCGCGAGGGCTGTGAGGGTGAATTTCATTTTGATAGTTTGGTTGGTGGTGGTTGAGTGTTGAGTTGAGAAGTAGAGAGGTTGATAGATGGAGTGTGTTGTAGATGAGTGGATTGTGTTGAATTGAACATGAGCAGATGGGCACCACTCTTATATAGCCCTGGATAAACAGAGGCACACATGTAAGTGATCCTCCGAACCTTGGAACACTTCCCTATGGTCGTTCAGGGAGACCCAACTGCCCGTCATAGACTGTCGGCTTTGTCCGCGCGGAGACACCGAGTGGCGACATTCCCATTGGGCCAAATATGTGGACGAACGGGCAAAATTTGAGACATATGTATGGGGTACCTGTATGTATGTCTTCAAGATCTAATATTAACTCGAGTTCTATGCAACGGTGTCGTTCGGACAGGGACTAGTTTCCGCCCTAAGGCTAAATTGTGAGACAGGATGACGGGCTTTGCATGGGATAATAGGCCAACGCCCTGCCAAAGAGATACCCGAGTCTTGCTATGCTCCATGGCTTGCCAAGATGCGGAGGAACTCATTGTAAACGAGGCGGTTCAGGGTGAAGATCGTCATATCCCTGTCTCACTTTTGCCCCGCTAGAGGGTCAACGTGCATTGTTCATACTTCGAGCCAGTTCCTACTTCGCTTTTGTTTCACTCGACGGTTTGAACCGGGCTCGGAAAACCCAAGACTCAAAAATAGAGAAATGGAATCTTGAAGTGCTTGCACTGCTGTATGTTTCTCTCTACTGAATGTTCAACCCCCACGCCCCACTGTGAACAGTGGCGCATATCCATGGAAATGCACTCAACCTCCGATGCCTGACGCACGGATCAAGTCTTGTCCAAGAATAGTCGGCCTCCAGTTTCGCCAAGACCCTCAATATCATGACCATAAGCGGTGCTATACAACATGTCTCTCGCAAAACGCTCACTTTTTACAGCAGCTGACATCACCTCTTCTGGGGCCGGATGCAGCTCCGGATACGAGTAGAATCAATACGGATGTCAACGGCGACACCGTGGGTTGATATCTGAATCAAAATCATCCTACATCAGATTGAATAATCAAGAGACAACAACCTCGGAATACATCGGGACACTAAATTCCAGAAACAGTTATGCAACACTATACAAATGAAGAATCCAGTTCCCTGATCCAATGCACAAACCATGGCCCCTAATCCGTTATCCATACTGTACATTACATTACATGCTCAAGGATAAGACGTCAAATATTCCATATCTCGTGATCGGTGATACAGGCCCTACCAGGACCAAATCACGCAGCCACCAGAATAACCTGACGAATGACCTCACCCGTTTCTCGCCGTCACACTTGCCCAACGCGGACGCTTCACCGTTCTGGTCGCTGTTGCCTCTAAAGAGCATGTGGTTGGGCAACCCGTCGTTTGTATGTAAGGGACTGTGTGACATGTACATGTATGATATCGAGCACATTGAATTGTGGTGCGATGGATGGATGGGTGTTGTGTTTCCTCCTTGTGAACTGATGACATGTGTTTTGATATAACAGCTCCGTGACGAAATGGGTTCACATTGCCCATCCCTCATCTATAAGACCTGAAACAAAAACAAGTTGATTCACGCCTTCGAGCACATGATGTATCAATATCAATGCATCAATGACTTCTGAGACAAATGCAGGAAGACCCACTCGCCAACAGCTAGACATCGGCAAACAAAGAAAAGAATACGCGCGAGAGAGGAGAGAGAGAATGAGAATCCCATATATTAGAAGTAACGACTTTTTTCTAGACCGGGCAAACCACCAACCCGGAAAATAATAACCCAAACGAACCCAAAGAATGACAAACCATTCAATTCGATCCGTCTCGAAAAAGAAGGGAAAAGAAAGAAGAAAAGAATATGTACGCGCGGACCATCAGCCGCCGAGGTATGAATAGACAGGGCCAGAGGCCAAAACAGCAAAGAAGAAATAACAGAAGGGAAGAAAGAGAAAAGAAGAGAAGTGAAAAAAGCAACAGGGAAACAGAAGGGTAAGACATAAAGCCATAGACAAAACACTAACAAGAAAAGAAGACAAGTCAAGACAAAAAACACCAGCACCGGTCCGTGTAGCAATATAGAAACCTGCCTAGGAGAAAGAGGCCCAAACACCGTTACCGTTTAAGCCAACACGCGCCCCCGCCGTTTTTCCCACGTCTTGATTCATTGGCCCAGTAAAGGGAAATAAGAGGAAAGGAAAGAAAGAGAATAAGATATTGGACTGGCACATTGATCCAATGTCAATCCCTCAGGGTGCGAGATATAGACTATGGATCAGGTCCCGCCCTTTTAATAGTCGCCTTCGTCATCGTCGTCTCCATCGCCGCCTCGGCCGCGGGGACCTTTTACTCCGTCCTTGCGGATGGGGATCTTGATTCCCTGTAGCGCGAAGCATTTGCTGAGTTGTGTACTTTCGATGACGCCGGGGAATTTCTTGGCGGAGAAGACTTGGAACGGTTCGGAGAAAACGGAGGCTAGCACTGGTGCGGTTCCGTGGTTGATCACCGGCGCGCCGTTTGTGGATTCCGTCGATGGCGTGCCGACATTGACGAAGCTCATTTTCAGACTGATTCTGTTAGCAATTGCTCTGATCAGAGTTTTTGAGAGGTCCCTTACCGGAAGGTGCCTTCTGTCCGCACACTCAGATCTTGCAGAATGAACCACACTCCGATTTTATTATCCGGATCTGTCAATCGGAAGGCACTGGCGCTGAGACTGCCGATCAGGTTCCGCGTGAACATTCCACCTGGTCCTCCCGACACGGGTTGCGCTGCGGGCGACATCGATGCGGGCATCTGGCCGCCGGCGTAGTATTGTGGGTAGGACACTGGCTGACCGTATTGGTTCTGGTATGCCACCTGCTGACCACTGTAGTAGTTGCCCATCTGAGGGTAGTTGTAGGGGGCCTGATTGTAGGTCGCTGGGTAGGTCGGAGACATGCTCTGTGGTGGGGGAGGGTAAGAAGAGGACATGGCGGTAGAGATGGAGGGAGAGGTAGCGGAGTGCTTGACGAGGTTGACTTCGTTGGTACCGTCGGCATTCCATAGGTCGACGGTGAGGACGTAGAAGGAGGTATCGATTTCACTAGCGGGCAATCAGCAAGCTATCAACCAGGTACGAGCGGAGACACATACTTGATGTCGATTTCTTTGTCCGTGAACTCGTCACGCACGATCAGACGAATGCATGGAGGAGGGGTGATCGGTCGCCGGTCCTAGAACTGTTAGTTAGTGACGCACGGCGAGGAATGCGGAAAAAAACACCCACCTTGTCACCAAAACCACACATGCGAGCTCGGATGGGCTGCTGCACCACTTGTAATGAATAAATCCGACCCTCATGTCTCTGAGAGACGGATCCTAGCTGATCGGACCGTAGCGGGTTAGACGGGTAGGGAGTTCCGGTCGGAGCTGAGATGCGATCCATTGACAGAGGAGGCGGAACGGGATGATGTCTATCCTCGACGGCGTACATGGTACCAGATAGGAAGCAACCGAGAATAACTTCTCTAGAGATCAGATCTTCTTTGTAGCGGGGTGTAGTGACATGCGACCCCGCGGGTTTCAAGACGTCACTGGAGCATCGACTCCGGCAGAAAATATGTCGGTGTCGACGTCGGTGTCGAGGGACGACTCGATGGAGAGATGGAAAAGGCGATCGCGAAGGTGAAAGTGGGAGGCTGGGTTGGGCAGATTGATTCCAAGGGAAGTTTGGAAGCGCGACAGAGAAGGCTCGCGTGAAGACCCTGATGTCTGGGTGAACCGCACGATGACGCTGTCAATAGTGCGGGAGATTCGCTGGAATACCACGGATCGACTCAAGCCCGAAGTTTGTGCAAGTAAAGTACCTCAAAGTAGGGCGCAGGTGGAAGAAGAAAATATGAGTGACGTTGACTATTTAATTCTCGACCGCAAAGATCTGCCGCAGGAACCTAACCAGACGCTCGGGATGTAACTCTCATCCGCAACCGGTCGTCCATTTCCGGCCATTTACCCTTCGGCTGATTCTCGGGGCCGCCATTTATGATGGATTGATGATGATAATGATGAAGTGCTTAATTGCTGAATTAACAGTATCGGGTCACTACAGGAGAGGATATTATTTACAACGATCCTACAACTACGATCTATTCACAGTTTTATGTTTAGATCTGTTCCCTTCATCTCACAACCTAGGATCATCGTCAGGGCCCGAACCACAAGCAGTCGGCCCATGTTTGACCCTACAGTCGAGATAGTTTGGTTCTCGGACTGGGGACCTGACACGAACCGGAGGTGAAAGGGACAACGACAGGGATCAACACAATGAAAGAACGACCACCGTGCGGAGACAAGATCTGATCCAACCTGGCCATCCCAACTCAAGACCGACTCTTCGGAGTGAAATGTGGAGAGCCTCAACGCTGTAGACGGAGTCGTGAGCCAGTGGTACATCCTGTCCTCTTGTAAACCTGCCCAAGCCCCTTGCAGCGTCCCCTGGGCTTCCATGTGCGATGGTAAGTCCCGAAGGTGTGGTAACTGCCGGAGGAATGAACGGGAGTGATGGGGCTAGCGCGTCAAGGTAGCTGATTGGACCATGGTTATCACATTTGAAGAACGGCCTATGCAAGGGTCCATCCACATCGATTCAGGTCAAATGGAATGTCTTCGGTGCCACTCACTGGGGTGTGGGGAGTTCGCTGAACCGGAAAGCCAAGCGGCAGGAGAGGCCACGGTGAAAGCTGTGTCGTTACCTACCTAGTAGGTATGTGACTTCCAACTAAACTCGCGATTGACAAAGACAGGGGGGAATGTTGATAGCCAAGCCTTGCCTGACAGGGTGTAAAGGTGCCAGATGCAAAGAGGCCCATCGACTCGGATGTGGCCAGCCCCTTGGGTGCCTATTTTCATCTGGGCTGACACCTTTCATACCTTGGCAAGCCACCCTATTCCAGACGGCTGCATAATCGCATCGAGAAACACTGCCAGACCGCTAGATGTCAGAACAAAAGCCCCTGGGTTACGCACTGCCCAATGATCAACCGGGACGGCGGATTATTGGAGTCGTTGTTCGGGAGGTGATTGGACTGAAGATACATGCGCTCCCCCGCACAGGGTGATTGGCGCATAGGAGAGGGGGAGAGGTGAGAAAGAAGTAGAAGAGGCAAAGAGGCACAGAGAGAGAGAGAGAGGCGGGGGGTGGTGCGGCGGAGAAGACTAATCTGATCTATCAACCAGACACCGCTGAATACTATGAACCATCTGTCGCAACAAAAGTACGGAGTAATGCACACTAGATAGATGTCCCTTTAAATCACACCAGTGACAATCCATCTACATATTTTATATCCAAAATGTCATATCTTAACACTGCCATTAACTCTTCTTTTGACCGGACATTTTGTTCATATCACGTGACCAGACAGCGAACTACGACGTTGGGCTAACATGGTATTGTTTGCTAGTTGACTTCATTCTTTGACTCTCTCAGATCTGGCTACGTCGTAGCGACAGGAGGTTCCATCAAAACAGACAGAAATGGTCAATCCTCTTGGCCCTCATCCCCGCTTGGCTACTTTGGTCCCGCCCGGGTGGTCGCCCTATACCCGAGAGTCAGCCTCACCATTCAGATCCTGCAGATGGGACGTGGAGATCATCTTGGGGATGGTCCTGTTTCTCCACGATAACGTTGTCACTAATCCCGACTGAGCCAGATTACTGTATTAAAACAGCTCCCGTACCCCCCGTGCTTCGATGGATACCAATGCGCCCGTCTGTATCCTATAAACTGGAACAGCAAGGCTGGAAATTAGGAGACTGTGGCGCTCGCGATTGTCAGGCTCCCTGCACCGGTTCTAGTGGCAGACCCCCGATATGGTGGAGCAGTGCTAACTAAACCCGGTGGGCCTGTGGGTTCGGGTATTGACTTGATACTACAGCATGGGAAACGCCTGTAGAAGACGCGGTTAGTACGACTCCTCCAAGGGGATAACAGGTCTAGACCAGACTCATGGTCATCAAAAAGGCACCATCGTCAGATACATCTCACCACTATGAAACAAGCCTGATACCGTGAATTAATGGTTACTTACCGGCGGGCGATGATGCGGGGAGATGGGGAGAGAGATGACAAGAGAGAAAGGCGAAGAAGAAACACCATGGAAGTAGGAACTCCCATTTTAGATACAAGTCAAGCTGGATTTGCCCTTCATAGCAGAAGACCGTTGCATTCGCGCCTTTTCCATCTGAGTGGATGCGACCCCTTGGGTTCTTCCCCCGATGTACAGAGAAGATCTATAACGCTGGAAGTTGATCCGAAATACATATACACCTATTCGGCTAACAACAATGACGGTTCCGATAGCAAATGATAGTAAGCATTTGAAATCGAAGATATGGTGAAGCCCCGCACTATGCTCTGTGGTAAACACTCAGGTTGTGTGGCGGAGATTCAGGTACTTTGGCATAGACCAAGCAAACATTGGCATATGCGAGAAGCTAAATCGGCGGAATGAGCCGTCAAGACATTAAAGTCTAGGTTGAGCCTTGATTTTATTCGCCATCACAACTTGGGGTTAGCTCCAGGGTGCAACTAGTATGTCCCTATGACACCACACAACATAGAGAAGTATGTCGGCTCTCGCCTGTCGACTATACAAAGTATCCGATTGGAGATCAGATCCTCATCAGCTCACCAGATGACGTGCTTATATATACACCTACGCTTCAATGCAGCCTCCGCATCTTTATAGACGGGAAGTGATACGCATGGCGCTCACGCAAGGCGCACTTGACATGTTGTGATCAGATGCCACGCGAGATGCAGTCTCGGAGGTATTTGAAGCCCTTGATTGCCCGGAAAGAAATGGCAAAGGCGCGCAGCTTATCCCTTTCTTCACGTCGCGATCTTCGATCTCTCGCCTCTATAAACGCGTCGAACTTGCGTGTTTACGCGGTTGTTGACACGAGATGCGCTGGTTCAACCCCCAGTCCGCCCTTGCGGCAGTGTATATTATGATATTGTCGCTGCCAACCAGCGAGGCCATCAAATACTCCCCGATCAAACCTCCATCATACCCGTTGGCTGTGCGGAGCCCCTACCTCTCTGGTGCGTGCTGATCGCTGATCGTCCCCGGAATCTCATTGACCTGATCGGCAGCGTGGATCCCCGGAAATTCGGTCACGTCACTTTCCTCCAGCAGAGCGCAATTTTGGGCTGGTAATGATCTCATCTGGTCTGTCACGGCGCGTGTGGATGGCGTCGCGTATAATTTGTTTGGGGTCAAGCTACCCCTGAGCGGAACCAAGTCCGGCACTGTCACCGAGGCAACTTATACCTCTACTCATTCGACCTTTACAGTGCAAGCGGGATCGCGGACATTCACACTGGATTTCTTTTCTCCGGTTTCGCCTAAGAATTACCTCCGCCAATCCTTGCCCTTCTCGTATTTGACAGTGACTGTCGAGGCAGGCGATTCCAGCTCGGTCCAAATCTATTCTGATCTCGACCACAGCTGGGTTGGTCAAGCCAGCGATGTGAGCTGGAGTTATTCGACGAAGAGCACGACTGGCGTGTTCCAGATCCAAGGCGCGGATGCGTCGACATACTCGGAGAACAGCAATGGCCAAGCGCTGTGGGGAAGCGCCGTCTACGCCACCCGCCCCGCGGCCGGGGGCTCTCTCTCCACTGCCTCCGGGCCGTCAGCCTCGGTGCGTCAAAGCTTTATCTCCAATGGAACTTTGTCTGGCACTCACGCCGAGTGGACTGCCAACGGGGTGGTCGGGTTTGCACACGATCTTGGAACAACCGCCAAGGAAGAGGCCGTGACCTTTGCGGTCGGCCATGTGCGTGAAGAGTCGATCAATTTCCTCGGCGAAGCCCAGACGGGATACTACCGAGCGACCTACGCCGATACTGTGGATGCAGTCTCTTATTTTCTAGACGATTACTCTGATGCGAATGAGGAATCAGTCACATTTGACGAGCTGGTTCAGTCGACAGGAACCTCTAGTTATGGATCGAACTATTCGGACATCCTCGCACTCTCCACCCGCCAAGTCTACGGTGGTATTGAAATCACAATCCCCAACGAATCTCTCGACACCGGTACAACGCGCGCATTTATCAAAGAGATCTCCAGCGATGGCAACATCAATACCGTAGATGTAATCTTCGCCACCTTTCCAATCTTCTACATCCTCAGCCCAGGCTACCTTAAGCTCCTCCTCGACCCTATTCTCCAATACAGCGGGAGCGATGCCTACACAAAAGAGTATGCTGTCCACGAGATCGGCGCCAGCTACCCCAATGCAACAGGCCATCCAGAAGACGGCGAAGAAATGCCCATCGAAGAAAGTGGGAACATAATAATCCTCACCTACGCCTACCAACTGGCGACCGGAAAAACAGACTTGGCAACGACCTATGCCTCCCAACTCTCCCAATACGCCCAATACCTCTACAAAAACGGCCTTTACCCAACCACCCAACTCTCCCTCAACGACGCCCTAGGCGCACTAGCAAACCAAACAAACCTCGCCGTAAAGGCAGCCATCGGCCTCGCAACCTATGGCGCCCTAACAAACCAAGCAAACTACACAACAGCCGGCAAATCCTTCGCAGAGAAAATCTGGTCAGACCACCTCGGCACCGACGCCGCAGGAACCCGCTTCCTAATTCAGTACGGCATCACACCCTGGTTCCTCGTCTACAACCACTACCCAGACCTCCTCTTCGGTCTAGACATCTTCCCCGAAGAAGCGTACAACGCCACAGCGGCCTTCTACCCAACCGTCCGGCAAAAAGCGGGCGTACCGCTTGACGGGGCTATTGGCTGGGGCCAGACGAATTGGCAGTCGTTTGTTGCTGCTACTGTTACTGGGTCGGCGAGGGAGTTATTCATCAAGGATTTGCATGCTTATGTTGCTAATGGGTTGAATTCCGCGCCGTTCTCGGATCGTTATTGGGTGCAGGACAGTGGGCAATATGTTGCTGGGGACTCGTATTCTTTCCGTGCTAGGCCGACGCTTGGGAGTCATTTCGCATTGGCTGCGTTGGGTGGGGCTAATACTTGGGGTTCGTGATATTTTTCTTTTGCTATTCGCATTTGCGTTTGCATTTTGGCTTGGCTTCGGTATTGGAATTGCAGTGCCTGATCTGCAGTGCGTCATAAATCAACTTTGATGACAGCAATGTTCATTACTTCCACTGCTGTGCACCAGTACTAAAAGGTATTGATTGAATAGATCTGAAGTCTCTTTGAGATTTCATCACGAAGAAGAACCAAGACACCCAAGCAAGTACTGTATGGCATTAATATAGAGTTCAAGGGAACAAAAGAAATCTCGATGGATATGCAGCATACAACCCTTACGTGTTTGCTAATCCACCACGTCGAGCCGCCGTGTAGATCTTGAAACTCTGAAATAGTTTCCCTTGTAGCCCAATCTCAGTGCTCTCCGTCTGTTATATATTATACGTCACTTTCCCCGAAACAATGCACTCAAGATAATTTCATTTGGGAATAAGAAAATCAGACGTCATTTAGTAGCATTCTATAAATCATGTGAGCTAAAACTTTTATATTTCCGATCTCCTTTAGTCGACCTTAAAACAGCTTCTCCTTCCTCCATTAATCACCATCCGAATGCCTCCTCGAAATAATCAATCGCATGGAAGCCATGTTTCATGACCTCATAGACCGATGATCGACACTCATCAGCCATCTGAGCAGGGCCGCAAGTAAAGACGCCAATGCTTGACGTGCTAGCCTTGCTTTCTTCCACCTCAGCCATGAGAAGCTCTCGCACGTTGGGGCGACCAGGCATGAAGCGCACGCCGCCACTCCGAGTAGGCGAGCTCACCGGAGTAGCGGTGGCTGCCAAAACAGTCTTATTGGAAGCATCAGTCTCAGCTGAGCTCAAATCCTGAAGGGTTGTAGCAAGGTTGGAGCAATAGATGGTGATTGTAATATCACTGCTCTGCAAAACCTGCAGTAGGTCATCTGTGAACACTTGATTCCACATTTCGCGCTGACGGATGGACCAAACGAGGTGTATTCTTGAAGTCTTGGTTTGACGCCTTTTGACGCGTTCTAGATGGCTTAGAAGGTAGGGCAACGCTGCGGCTATACCGGTACCGCCAACAACCATCAGATTTGTGTCAAAGTGGTGCATTGGTTCAGTATGACCGTAAGGTCCTTCGACGAGGAGGTTCGGGTAAAGTATATCATTGGCCTTGCGACATTGGTCGCGAAGGCGGCGAGTCCCTCCATCATAGGGCCGGATGTAGAAGATAAGCTTGTTCTGATCCATTGCCGGGGAACTGAATTCACTCTTGCCTTCCAAAGCGGGAGCCCATGCACCCAGTGAGAAAGGATGGTTTTCCCAAAACTTGAGCACACCTCCCTGGTACAGAAAGTAATGCTGACCAGGCTTCGGGCGCGGCGTCGTCGACGCTCCGGGAATAACCTCAATCTTGATAAGATCACTCTCTTCGCTATAGGTGACCGTGGAATACGGCTTCGAAAAGAATTGCTTTCCAAAGCGAACGTTCAGATTGCAGTAGAATATGCGGAAAACGCGAGCAAGTCGATCAATGATCCACAGCCCGACAGGCGCCCACAGATACCCAACAAATTCCAGTCCGTCAAAGCTGGTATGCCTGGGCTGGATTAGTGAAGGCCTTCCGTTGAAGTGATTGTCACCACGGAACTTACATGAAAAGGCCGACGATCACAACAACTGCGAAAACCAAATGAATAGCCAAGAAGACTTCATATGAGTGTTGGCGGAACCAGGTCATTGATTGCACAAGCATGAAACACATGAGGATAGTGGCCTGATAGCGCATAAGCTGAGGGTTTAACGACGGAGGGGATTGGGAGCACTTACCACTACACCCATGTACCAATATTCTTCAATCCAAGCAGTCCAGTATCTGCCGTCTATCAGATCTGTTAGCTCTTGTCTCATATCCCGGGGAGAGAGTCTGTTTACCGTATACTGCAAACACCACACTGTAGTTGATGGAATGCACCGCAGCAAGGAGAGTGCAAGCCCATGCGACATGACGATGGAAAGTGATAAAGGACTGATTGGTGAAGTTTGTCGCCCATAGAAAAATGTTGTTTCGGCCACTGAAGAGCCACAGAAAGGGCAGGCAGGCGTAGGAAAGAATACCAGTCCGGTCAGAAGAATACTGCCAGTTTTTTTGCACAAGACTCGGGGTCCTGTTTTATAGTAAATCATTAGATAAACACAAGTAAGGAGAGGGATGGGAAACTGACTCGATGTTACCCGTGAAACTTTCGTATTTCACGAAACTTAAAATAATGGTCACGGCCCAGAATCCAAACACGATCAAAGAGTCAACTCGCTTGGGAATAGCGTGCGAGTACCAGAGTTGCTGATGCCTGGAAGAGAGAGGCACAAAAGTAGCCGGCACTGTGATGTGGGTTCGGAAGCGGTGGTACAGGCTCTCCAAGGGAGATCTTCTTTGCGAACCTCCCTGTAAAACAGTCCAAGCCTTTGAAAACATGCCAAACACCAACACATTGGCCCAGTAGCCCATGATTCCCCATCCAAACATTTTATCCTTCGCGATGGCAAAGTCATGCGTCACCTTGATAGAAATGGTTAGCTCATAGTTCAAAGAAAGACACGCCGGTAAATTTATACGCACGTAGGATTTGTAGGCACGCTAATAATAGGCATGAGTGAGCAGAACGGACGAATTAATAGTACCAGTGGTTGTCGTGCTGTTTTGTTCAGGATCGATCAGAGGAAGCGAGGCGATACAGTCGTCCGTCACATTAGCCTCAATTCCAGTCAAGTCCATGAGCGTCAGACTGTTCGTTTCACATAAAGACTGCCAGTAAGGAATCGCTGCCTTGAGTCCTTCCGCTGAGCACCAGGTCTTGGCGCTAGCATACATAGAAGTAACTTCAATGGTAACGTTGCAAGGCCCAGTGGCTGTGCCGCTTGATCCATGCTGACCACGTCTGCGATATTTAAGCTTCGGCGGGAGCCTCCATGAGAGGTGACAGCAATGGAAGATGAAGTGCCGTTCCCACTCGATGCATTAGACGACGCAGCAGAGGATGATGAATTGCTGCTGGATCCCTGAGAAAGTGTCCCTTCAGAGGAAGATGATGCAGAGGACGATCCTTGAGCAGTCGATCCTGGACTTGTATCACTCGATATTGTCATGCTTCCCTCGAAGGTATACTCGGACAAGGTGGTATAGATTGTATAGAAACAATACTGGTACATCTTATCGGACTTCCGACAAAAGTTTCGGTTAAGTGAGTCTGACAACCGGAAGGGCTCTAATTAAACGCACCTCTAGCGGATCCCTACTGGGTCAACATTCATGGTATTTCCTGGAAGATTAAGTACAGGATGCCGTGTATGTCGCAGATGAAAAGTCAAAGTGAGCCAATCCCTCCTGCCGGCACGCCAATCCAGTTTTAACTCTTGCTTAGTGTGACGGGGCCGAACCCGAATGCCGTCGGTGTGTTCAGCATGGCATTCAGTGCACTGGCTATTCAGATAAATTCAGCTTCCGCAAGTACAGGCCTTCTCGAGAGAATGGCATTGCAGAATCTGCTTCGGCACAACCACCAGCCGTGAGAGGCAGCTCTCTACGTGTTCACAAAACTCGTCGTCCGAGTTGCCCGAGTTCGCCATCGGATGGCTCCCAGTCCTTTCCTTCTGTGCCGGAGCCCTCTCGGGCACTCTCCATATGTGCAGACTGGCAATCCCTATGTAATTTCATGCACCAGGTCGTCTTGAAAGTACATCGGTCCCCCTGTGAAGGTCATCTGGCCTTTTTACCGGTCCTTTTCCAGGAAAGGGGCGATGATCCGTGTTTGAAACATGCACTTCTTAGTGTCTCCTATCTCCTACTTTCCAATAGACCTGGTGCTCGGGAATTTCACATTAAGGCTCGGAACAACTATGGCCTGTCACTGAAGTATCTGAATAACGCTCTCGGCTCTCGTGAAGATGCCGTGAAAGATGAAACTCTTGCTGCATGCCTTTTGCTGAGCATATTTTTTATACGTCGGCTGTGCTTTGTCTTTCATAGTTCTTTACTCATTTCAGCTCGCAGAATTTCGTTCACGAGAGAGGTGGTATTCCGGACCCTCACTTGTCCGGAATCTCTCATTTGCTGCAGCTGCGCGGGGATGAACAATCAAGCAGCAAATATACTCGATCCCTAATTGGCTGGATAATCGTACAAATAGTGAGTATTGTTTGTCCCTCTTCGATTAGCCCACTGACAATTTATTTCGCGTTTGAACAGCAAATTCAAGCCATCGGGACAAACAAGTTCCAATATGTCAGGGTTCCTGCATTTATTGAAGCTATGCCCAACCCTGACTGTGTGCTTCGGGCCGGCATTCTCAACAGCATGATATCTCAATACTGCCAGTCTACCTCGGAAATGTGGGACATTCCCAATCAATCAAGCCCAGACAGCGAATCAAGGCAACAACTGGCCTTGAGGAACCTACTCCAGCGCGCTTCCTGCCTGATACAGGAAATTGAAACCTGGGATGCATGCATTCCACCTCATTGGAAGCAGCAATACCAGTTTCAAAGCACTAATGTCGCTGCACTTTCGTACCCTGATCCCTGGACAACAACCTTCTTAGCAATTACTCACTCCGCTCAAATAGTCTTCTACCTCCACGCCCTTGCATGTTGCAAAGAAGTCCAAAAGCATGATCTGGTATTCAGCATTCCAAAATTCCACGCTGGTTTAGACGTGTTCTGCGAAACTGTCGAAGGTCGAATACATTACGTCCTTAGAATGATTTGCTATGCCGTCTCAGCCACCATTGGATTCCTAGATGGAAATGGGAATTTTCAACCCATGCCAAATGCCAAGTTTGCAAACAGCAATACTTTGCTTTGGCCTATGTGGGCGGTCGTGACTTGTCCGCTCGCATCCAAAAGTCAAATAGCACTGTGCCATCAATCCTTGAATTATGTTGGAAATGCTATGGGTCATAGATTGGCATTTTCCCTATCCAATCAAGATCTTGCGGACAACCTTGTCTCCCAGACTAGGATCTGAAAGCTCAGAGGGGCAATAGTCAATTTCCTCATCTTGAAATATAAATTGAGCTGCATTTGCAGTACATCTGACTCTCAATTTCCTCCAAAAGATCGATCGATCAAGCCGGAGAATGCTGCCGCTTTATATTGTGATACCTGTCCGAGAGAGGGGGGATTATCACTAGGAGTGTTGCCATCGGGATCAATTAAGTTATAGAATCGTACTTGCCTCTTTTAGATTCGGTTAGTTCTCCGATTCAATAACGTGATTGAAGCTGTCTTTCAAGATAGGCAAACTCTGCTTTTAACATGTATAGATAGGTCAATGTAGACTGACAATGGAGACCAGAAAAACAGTACATGCAATTCGCGTCATAAGAATTCACATGACAGTACTACTCGTGTACTTTGTACATTTTATAGATAGGCAGAACCATGCAAGTAAGGGATACCCTCGCTTCCACGCCTCTGTCGAGACTTCAACCATTAATTAACGAGTAATCGCAAAACTGCTCGTACCTATGTTTTATTCAACTTACGATACACATGCATTACCAAGTATTATCTAATTTGTATCAAATGTTCTTACAAGCGTAAATACTAGGGGCCGCCCCATCTAGGCATTGTCGAGCCTTGGCACCCTAACGTTGTGATTGTGTGACCGTTTTTGATTTTCGGTTCTCTTTTCTTTTCGTTCATTTCTCCTCTTTCGGCTTTGAACTAATATCAAACTTTAGGTACAGCCGAAATTTCCTATAAATACTGTGTTGAGCTCTTCCTGTTAACGGATCCAGGAATTGTCGCCCCTCGGTCTCTACATTTCACAAAATCGTTGGAAGCAGAAAGGACTTTGCACATAGAGGCTAGCGGCATTGAGTTATTTCATACCGAGGGAGAGGTTAAATACATTCCAAGCTCCTTATTTGAGTGTTCCTACCACCGGAATTAATTCCTTGTGGCGGGAGGTCTACGATCTGCATCTATGATGAGGGGCCTGATTAGTCCGAAGCGCTAACAGGGTTCCCCGCGGGGTACATAACCGAGAAGAAATCAAAATACTCATGTCGGCGAAGTTCATCCCGAATTCCCTGGTAAAATTTCATATAATAGGTATAGTCAACGAATTTCATGCCAACGTATTCGTATTCGTACTTGTGTACCTAGGTAGATCTGCCCCAGGTGCGGACCACTCTCTCCTCAGGGGCCGTCTGCATGATTCGGGATGTCCAATAACATTGGAAACTATTCATGAGTGAAAGTTTTGTCGGGGTAGACCAGCCCGAAACCTTGTAGTCTCGATCACGCCAGAGCAATTGTGTGGGGTATTCATATGCGGCATATATAACACACGGTGCATTGAATGGATGTATAAAGACCATGGTTAATCATCATGTAGACCATCAATCAAAGCAGCCTTCCCTGTTTGCCTTACCCAATTCAAATTCATTGCTTAGCATCCCCTGTGACAACGCTCGGCTGTAGTGTGTCAACTCGGGATATCCGAGCGATGTGGAAGCCACTAGTCCCCTTTCTAGGGGTGCTGCTGCTGCTCTTACAGCCTGTCATTGCCGATACAAATGATCAGGCAGATGCGCCAGTCAACCGAGGATCATTTGAAAACCCTGCTGCACGTCTCCGTCCTCGGTTCCGTTACTGGCTCCCTGATGCCAGTGTTGATGCCGAAATCGTCAAAGATAATATAAAATCTGCCGGTGCGATTGGTGCCGGGGGAGTGGAATTCCTACCTTTTTATAACTATGGTGGAAGCCTAGGTGGCAAACCTGCTGATGCAGATTGGTCGAAGTATGGATTTGGAACTCCGTCGTACAACAAGCTGTTCTTGGCTGCGCTCAAGGCACACAAGGAGGCTGGGCTTGCGATGGATTTCGCCATGGGACCAAACCAAGGACAGGGTGTTCCAGCTGATCCGGATGATGAAGGTCTGATGTGGGATTTGGTATGACCATATACCAGGCAATCCCTTGAGTATTTGTCGCACTAACATCTCGTAAGCAATCGTCGTCCGTCACCATCCCATCAAGTGGGCATTTTGCTGGAGTCATTCCTGGGTGGGGATCTGGCGAGCTCGTTGCACTCGTATCAGCTGAGGTCCTCGCATCAAAGAACCACAGTCTTGCATCAAGCGGTCCTTCCTTACTTGGAACACCCCAGACATGGTACTTGGAGTTGACACTCAAGAATAACAGCCTGACAGATTGGACCGACAAAGTATCGCCAAGTGGACATATCTCCCTTGATCTTCCTTTGGCACAGTCATCTTACAGGCTCTTCGCTTTCTATCAGCTCCAGACATACAGCAAAAACTTGGAGTACACAAACTCCGAGACCAAAGACATCACTGGAAACGGATCTTTTATTGTTGATCACTACAGTGCTCGTGGGGCCCAGACGATTACCAAATTCTGGGAGACACACCTTCTAGACAGTGAGACGTCAGAACTTTTGAAAGAGGTTGGCAACTACGGTAAGTTTAAAGATTTCAGTACTGCCTCTGAAGCTTTCGCTAAATTCCTGCAGGATGGGAGGATAGTATTGAGATTACATCGAGCATGGCTTGGACTCCCACTCTCCCAACTATTTTCAAATCCAAACATGGGTACGATTTGAAGACTTTCTTACCTCTGTTGATGTACGGCGACAACAACATAAACATCCAAAGCACAAAGCCAGGCTACATCCAATGCCGACTCAATACCCCTGACCAAGGACTTGGATACATCAACGATTTCCGTGGTGCCTTGGTAGAAGGTTACCGAAGTTATTTGAAGGAAATCACCGGCTGGATAAATTCGAAACTCAGTCTTCAAATGTCGGCACAAGTTTCGTACAATCTCCCCATGGACATGGAAGCCAACATTCCATTTGTTAATGCACCGGAATGCGAAAGTCTCCAATTTGGAAACAACGTCGATGGCTACCGACAGTTTGCTGGACCAGCGCACATCTCTGGGAAGCGTGTCATCTCAAATGAGATGGGTGCCATGATGCTTGAGTCATACAATTACCCACACCCAGAGTTGCTCTTCTCCATCAACCGTGCTGTGGTCGGAGGTGTTAACCAAGTCGTTCTACATGGCCAGTCGTATACTGGAAACTATTACGGCACTACGTGGCCCGGCTATACAGCGTTCAGCTATCTTTTCTCAGACTCATACTCTAACAAGCAGCCTTCTTGGGACCATGGATTTGGAGATGTGCTGAACTATATTGCGCGAGTGCAATACCTGCAACAGTCTGGCATCCCCAGAACGGACATTGCTATCTATAACAAGGTTTCTGGCACGAACCCGAATTTCCCAACTCTATATTTCTCGGATGATTTGATCAATTCTGGTGAGTAAAGTTGAACGAAGAACACTAGATCAGGCTAATCCTCTTTCAGGCTATTCGTATTCCTACTTATCCCCAGATAACTTTGCACTCCCGGAGGCGACCATCAAGAATGGGAAACTGGGGCCTAAGGGACCTAAATACAAAGCTCTCGTTATCACGGGAAACAGCAATCTCACCCTTGAAGGGGCACAGTATCTTCGGAAGTACGCCCGGGCTGGATTCCCCGTGATCCTTAGTGGCGGCGACCCTGGTGTCTACGCGACCTATGATAGCAGAGACAAAGCATCTGTCGAGAAGGCTATCATTGTGTTGAAGCAATCAAAGAATGTATACAGTGTGGCTGCTGGCCAGGTTGCCAAGAAACTTCATTCTCTTGGCCTGTCACCACGCGTCAGTGTGAAGACTAACGGGACTTGGTACACAACCTGGAGAGAGGATACAGTGCACGGCATGGATCACGCATTTGTCTTCTGTGACACTAATGCATCAACTGGTAGTGTCAGCATACTCAGCACGAAGACGCCATTCTTACTCGATCCTTGGACGGGAGACAAAAAGCCCCTTCTCAACTACCAGCGCAAAGATGACAGAGTGGTTATTCCCCTCAGCCTCGCTGGCAACCAGACCGTAATTATCGCGTTCCAGGATGAAAGTCGCCCCAAGGTCCATGTCACTCAGACGTCCTCCGCGGTACTTGGCGGCGACTCAACGTCAAACGGCGACATTGTGTTGCACATTTCAGCCAGCACACAGCCCAAGCCTTTGAGTCTTTCGAATGGAAAGCACATCAAGGTTCCAACTGGAGTTGCCAGTGCTACCAAGCTATCAAACTGGACCCTAACAGCAGAGCATTGGGAAGCACCACAAAACATGTCCGACGCATCGATCATTGCCGACAAACACAATACTACCCACCATCTAAGCTCTCTGATCTCTTGGGCACAAATCGAAGGTCTCAAGAATGCATCAGGCCTTGGCTACTACAGCACAACCTTCTCCTGGCCTCCGCCCAAAAGCTCCGGTAAAGCAGACGGTGCTTACCTCGTCCTCCCACCCATCAAACACGCAGCCCGGCTCTATATAAACGGGCTCCAATTGCCGCCGCTTGATCTCGCCGCTCCCCGTGCTGATGTTGCGCCTTATCTCCGCGTTGGCCAGAACCAAGTGACTGTCGTTGCTCCTACGACCATGTGGAATTATATTCGGACTATCTTGGGCGACATTAAGAATTCTGATACTGCGCCTTTGTTGAGTACCATATCGCCTACTCTTCCCCCGCGCAGTGATAATGGGCTTATTGGGGAGGTGAAGTTGGTTCCATATATCAAATTGCGTCTGGAGTCATAGCCTTATTGTATGCTATACTTTGTTCATCTATTCATAATTCTCCGGAATGGGCTTGAATATATATTTCTGTATCCTTGTTTAACTTTGCTTATTTTCCCTATTCTGGTTTGAATTGAGACAAAATTGGATTCTAAAGTACTAACAAGTGTTAGGTTTGTTGTCTTCGTATCTATGTCAATAGAGCGCAGTATCCACAGCACAGGGTATAATGATTGAGGGTCGAATCAGCCCTGCCGTAGATGATAGGATTGCCGAAGATTTATCCTCTCTGTGCCCCATTTCAACCCAACTTGCCGACTAATACTATCAGTTTTTAGGAACCGCGGGATTTACCTAACACAAGTGTGGCATTTCCACTTCATGACAGCGCTATATATTTGTGTATATATTTATCTGTGTGTGTGTGTGTGTGTGTGTGTGTGTGTGTGCATGCATCTTCCTAACCTTCTGTCTCAGACCTTCGCCTATCAAAACATGGAAATTAGCCCGTGAAGTTCAACAGTTCACAGCAAGGAGTTGCCTACCATGAACAGTATTTTTACCAACCTTCAATGCTGCGGCAGTAATCTTTGAGGACGTTCTCAACGATGGTGGCACGCATTGACCACAAATTCGAAATCACCTACCACAATACTTAACTTACCTTGCGAAGCTCACTGATCTTCGCGAGAAGGGTGCGACAGCTGAATATGTTCATCGCATAACTGTCCATATTTACGAGAGTCTGATCCTTACATCGACGAAGGCTCCACCTTACCAGTTGTTGGTTATCGTGTACACGATGAACAAGCTGTGGGATCGCGCCCCTGGGACTGGAATTTACATCCACATCGAGGCGTGGGACCCTCCTGCTTCGAAAAGAAAAATCTCTGCAACAAGTTTTCGCCTCGTGGTCTTTTCTGATTCGTGATGATTTCACTGATTGTTAACTATATTCAGGATACATTGCGCGGACATCTACACCATTTGATGACTATTATCTACACGATGAACAAATGTGGGACTGGGCCCCAGATAGCGGTCTCTACGTGTACAACCCCCAATCCGGTCAGATCGCTGCTGTCGCAATCCAGGATATCTGCGCTGGTTTTGGCACTATGATGACCGCTCATATAAGAAGTCGTCAACCGGGTGACTTTAGGAATCAGGCTCTGGTTATGTATACAGCCGAGCGATTATTCTGTCATATGATACCATGTTTTGTTTTATCATAGTCAACATTAATCCGAGGTCACTATCTGTCTTTCGGATATATAGTATTCCCGAGACTATGCCAGAAACTTCGTATTCCGTGCTCCGTACAGGGGTTCGAACCATCATCGTATCCGTGCACTGATAGTGGAGCCACAGGATCTGTCATATACGCAGGATGCGATATTATACGCGACGGCGTATATGCGGAGAAGTTCGGTCTTCGTATATAATGTATGTAAGTATACGCCATCCGATCGGCCCCCACGAACCACACGTAGTGGCGTCGTGATCAATAAACGCACCGGCATTCCCGAAGGTAGAAAGGATCCAGCGCGCCGAAGCCCTACTTTGACTAAATTCGGTAAATGTAGCGGCAGTAATGGACGCCCCACCGCAACGCGAGCCTTGTCGGTTGGAAATAGCCACGCGATTGATGTGTTTGGGGGACTTGGCGGGGGCCAAGGCTTTTTGTTGCGACTTGTTCTAGAAAATAGACATGGGTTAGGCGATCGATCACAGGTTATATATGCCGCGATTGCACCTGATATTGCCCAAATCAGGATGAGAAGACAGGGGGTGTTTATTGGACGGCAGCTAGGCATTGACAATACTGTCGTATGCCAATCGGGAGCAAGGTTAGGAGGTTAGGGTATGCACAGTCAGAGGGTCATCGGTCAAGAGTTCCGCTATCCCCAATCGGGAAAAAGCAGGTTGGAACCTTTGTGGATCAGCTCCACTGCATTAGGCCGCTTTGGGCTTTAGGCTTCATAACTTTTCGCCCCCAAGGGGGTGTGGGGCCGTGTATAATGTGCAGCTGAACTGGTTTTCGCCATTATGATTATGAATTGGAATGTTCCATTGATCTGCAGGGAAGAGCAATTCCCGAGCTTATCTCCCCTAGGGTAAAGTGGTAAAGTGCCTAGCGTGAGCCTGGTTGTAAGCACGTTCTCGAAACGGATGGGGTCTCGGAGTTGAATACGAGCCATTATAGATAAAGGTCGGTAGCTTATATTGTCTCCAGGACTGAAGAAGGAGAGTGGACCTCGGATTATGTCATGAGCACGAGCCACCCGTGAATGGGCTGCATTTGCCAATTCGGGATACTTGGCTTCTCTCCTAGAGTCTCTCCACTGTTTCGGTGCGTTGCACTTTGAGAGAATTACCGAGTCCAAAGCGATGACCCATCGTCGGTCCACCGCTCTGACTGTTTCTCTTGGGGGATTTCCGCACTCATACTCCTTCGGGTGAGAGCTGGGATCGCCGATCTTTCTGATCAACTTGGCAGAGGTTCAAATTGCCCACTGTCCCCCGCGGAACCTTAAGGGGACGAAAAGACAAACAAGGTCTCGTGCGGGTGTTTACCCCTCTACCATGGAATCGCTCGAACCTGCCGTGACTTGGTCAAATAAGCGACGCCAGGGAAACATGCAAAGTCGCCGACGGATCAAGGTATGACACCTACCTCCATTCCCGCTTAGACCATATTCGGAAGCCATGTGCCCTTGTGTATCGTCCCATTTGGACCACCAGATTTTGCGTGCGTCGGGCTTATCCTACCGGATATATCTAACGGCTTTATAGTACAAGGAAAACCCGGGCTCAACCCCGACTTGTTTACATTGCGCTGGCCGCAATATACTGAGCCAATATCCGCCTCGACCCCGGTTGACCCGGATAGACATCAAGTATCGATCCTTGTCTTCGTCTAGCGCTTCGTCTACCTCAAAATCGATGGCCTCGCCATTATCATCAATGACAGAAACCCGAACTCAGGCAACGTCCGATTCAAAATATGCCCATACACATACCTGCCTACCAGAAAAAATGGAAGAAACCCTCCATCTCCAAGATCTCGAACTGATGATGCACTGGTGCACGACAACCTACAAATCATTGGCGCGAGATGCCCCATCCGAAAGAATATGGCAAACCATCGTCCCAAACCTCTCCCTCCGGTGCCCAGCTCTGCGCCACGGCCTACTAGCCCTATCGGCCCTGCACCTAGCGTCATCAAGCGCAGGACCCTCCCGAAGGTGGCGGTACCTCGACACAGCCCGGTCCCACCGAACACATGCGCTAAACGGACTCCGACAAGACAGCCAAGACCTAACAGACCCAGAATGCAACGCCACCTTCGCACTTTGCTGCATAATGCTCGTCTTCGCGTTCGGTTACTGCATCCTCGAAATCGAAAACGACGAACCAGACGAAGACCAGCCAGGCCCGCTGGATGAGTTCTTCGAGGTCTTCCAGTTAACCCGGTGGCTGCTTAGCATTCAGATGCGCCTTATTGACCGCATCTCTGTTACCGAGCTCAGGCCACTCATTGCACCGGATGATTCGCGCCCGACAATGCCTGATATGTCGCGGTTGGTCGTTCTCTCGCTGCGCAGACAGAATAGTATGGAATCCGAGCGTGATCCAGCGCATCCGAAGGATCTATATGATTCTGCAATTGAGCATCTGAGCAATTCCCTGGAGCAACTGATGAAAGGCGGCGAGCCGAGGGTGTTTGCATTTTGTTGGAGTTTCCGTGTTCCAGAGCCGTTTTTGGACCTCATGACTTCGCACCAGCCTTTTGCGCTTGTCGTTCTGGCTCATTATGCTGTTATCTTGCATCATCTGCGGGATATGTGGTGGATGGGCGATTGGGGGACTAGGATTCTGAGGGAAATTGGGGATCTTCTGGAACCGGAATGGCGTGAGCTTATTAACTGGCCTATTGATGCCACGGGGTGTTTTATTCCGGCATGAGAGTGGTGTGACTATTGCCCGTTCTCCGTATTTTGGCGTGATTGTTTTGACCTTGCACGGTTTGCATTGCATTTCTAATGAGATATGAGAAGCCTGTAATTAGCGTAGACATTTGGATACACATATAGTTTGAAGTTTGAATGGAGAGTATCATTTTCAAATCCAAAGTGTAATAGGGAAAAAGGGAAATCAAGCCTCGACCCAAGTAGACGCCGTTCCCCCGGTCCAAGGGTATAGTGAAGCATCTGATAGGACAAGGGGCAAAGATAAGAAATAAAAAAAAAGCAAACACGCAAAATCTCGACTTTCGCCTGATAAGAGCAAAAGTCCTGAAAATAGTCTCCGCAGTTAAACACCAAGTTAATCCTTTCTCCAGGACCATTCCCTTTAGCATCGCAACCATCAGAGTAAATCCACAAGCAACTATGAACCCCTCAAAGCCCGACCCCGTTTAGCAGAACAAGGACTAGCGCGATATGGCGCTAGACGATAGCTGACTCCGACTCAAACAGGCAAAGGCGACCGAACCCTACCCAAGAAACAAGCTCAAGCAGAAGGCGACTCCTTCCGCAACTCCTGCCTTTCATGCTCAAGCTCCTTGACCCGATCCTTTGACTGAGTGCGCACACGCATAAGCTCAACCTCCTGTTCTTGGATTTTCTTCTCGTGCTCTTCCTCCTCGGGCGTGGGGATGTAGGCATTTGCAACGCCGCCTATTAATCGAACACAGTGTGTTAGCCGGTGTCCATCCCATGTCCGGTCCATACCCATATCTTTTTCCTGGGTATAATTTCATATGTGATATTCTATTATGGGTGGCAGAATCATACCTCGTCCAGTGTGGTGGGGAATCTGCTGTGCGCGCAACGGCGGCGACTCGACGTCTTGGCTTTCGCGCGCAATCTCGGGCCGGTCGGGGTCGTTGTGCACCATGTTTCCTGAGCCGCCGCGTCCGGTTGTGTAGACTTCTTGTTTGATTGTTGGGGTGAAAAGATCTCTTGGGTTTGGTGCGCTTTGTTGGCGGCTTATGTTGCCTGTGGTTTTTTGTTAGGTATGGGCTGGTGAGTGGTGACCGAGGACCCGGCGTTGTGTGTGATGGGATGTGGGTTGGAACTGTGGGCGTGGGCTGGAGAGCATTGCGATGGGCTTACCTGCGCCTCCGCGGCCATAGGAGATTTGTCGGCCTGACATTGTTGAATTTGAGGGTGGTAGATGGTCGACTCGAGGAGTGGCGGAGTGGAAGAGAGAGACAGCTGTGGGGAGAAAATCGCGCCCAGAAATGACGACAGAATTTTTCGCCGGGTGGCTCTCCTTTATCTTTGTCCAATCTTGAGCTCTACATCTTCTTTTCTTCGCTTTCCTGCTTTGGAGATTTGAGGTCATGAATCTGTGCAGGGTTTCTTATCGAATCCGATCATCCCCGCATGCGTTCATGGTTGGAATGAGACTAACTGAATCTAGCGCCAAGCATCTACACTGAAAACCTTCGAAAGGAACTGCTACTATGTTCCGGGCTTATAAGCCCCAATTATTTCCTATTTAATACAAGGTTCATACTCAATCTCAGCGACCCCTAGACGGTATCGTACAGAAGTGGAAGAATAGAAGAAATGAGGCTATTAAATGCTGTAGCGTATAGTAGAGGAGACCAGTATGAGTTATCTACTCGAGAGTGAGTACTTGTTGTATTCTATTATCTCCTACCTACTGACCTTGATTTATAGCCTCGAGAAGTCGCGTCTTGATCTCAAGATCAACTCGGACACACGAAATAGGCGAGAAATCTCGATCTTGGCTGGTTATCTGGGCTGGACATTGTGATCCCGACTGGTTTTTACATGACGGGATGTAATCGGTGTGCTTAATGTGCATGGCGGCATTATATTGTAAAAAGCCTGGTCAGGCATAGTAGGCTATCATTATCTTGATCTTTTGTCTATAATGAACCGATGAAAGAACTTGTACAGTATGCCTACATGAATCCCGGAACGAAGCCATTAAGACCTTGGCCGCTATATTTCTCACCTACCTGATGCGCAGAGGCAATTGTCTGTCCCCGTCAAATCAGCTCTTCACGGAGAACAGCAACAATTTCCTCAGCACCCCTATCACCAGACCGAACAGCACCTTCCATATACCCCTTCCACTCCAATGCAGTTTCTGTGCCAACAAAGTGAACACTCCCAAAAGGTTCACGGATGGCAATCCCATCAATAGACGACAGAAGGCCCGGCGGCGAAGCCGGACAAGGACCACCGTGGAAAAACTCCTGCTTCGTCCACTCAAACTCCAAGACATTGATCGGGTCGGTGATCTGAATCTGCCCAAATTCCAGCTTGACTTTCTTAAATGCCGAGTAAAGCTGGGTCCAGGCCGAGGAGCGTCTCTCCTCTTCGGACAACCGCGACCACTCGATGCCATGGCCGCCAACAATGAAACAGCTAATGGACCACTGATCGTCATCAGGAACACTGGTATCCACCGAAAAGAGGATGGGACCTCGGTCTTGAGATTTCATTTCACCCGAGAGCCCGGCATTTCGCCACCATGGCTCGTTGAAAACAAAGATTATCTTGCTGTAATAGCCCAGCATGTTGTCTTGGGCAAGACACTGCTTGTATGGAGGCAAAGGGGGTGTAAACTGAATCGTCCTGTACAGCGGGGTGGCGACAGAAATAATGACCTTCTTCGCTTCAAGAACTGTGCCGTTGGAAGATCTGACTATGCAGCGACGAGTCCTCGTGCTCTGTTTGATTTCGGTCACCGGAGTTGAAAGATGAAGCGAGCCGGCTTTCAACTCCTTTGCCATATTCATCGAGATACTTTGTGCCCCTGGATGAAAATTAACATGGACCACGGTAGAATGCTTGCTCCTTACCCTCGCGAAGTCTGAGATACTGGCCTCCATTCTTGCCATCCGAGATCATGTTCTCCAACCCTGTGCCGGATTTGCAAGAATGAAAGAAGCTCAGTGCACTGATGTCTTTGCTTTCGATACCAATCAAAGATTGGCTGATCATATTAAAAAGGTCTGCGATTGACTCAGACTGGAATGTCTGAAGGCAGTAGTCGTGGAATGAGAGACTATCCAGCTCCTTTGCAACTCGTCCTGATGCCGGATCATCCAAACTGAAACTGGCATTTAGCTCTTTGCAGGCTTCGAATACATGACCCAATGCACGCTGCTCTTCCTCCTCCAACTGAGAATCACCTAGTTAGGGATCATATGCCAAATAACTAGATAAACGGAGCGGAAAGAACCATACAGACAGTACGCCGTGCGGGCACACGACAACTTCATCCCCATGCAAATGAACATCAAGCCCTGTATCCATCTGTACCACGGTCTGCAGCCCATATCTTTGGACCAATTTGTGCATCTCTGATTGTGAGGTATCGTTGATCCAAGCAGCGCCGAGGTCGTTGACGCCGGGGCCGGCTTTCTTAGATCGGAGCGTGAGCGTCTTCCCGCCTACTCTATCAGTGGCTTCAACCACCGCACAAGAGATCCCGGCTGCTTGGATAGCCAACGCTGCTCGGAGTCCACTCAGGCCCGCGCCGACGACCACAACGTCAACCGCCGTTGGTGAAGCGGAACTGGGGATGATATTGGAGGTAGAAGCCATCTTTTCGAACTGGTAGAATGGTTGTTTGGATAGGATAGGGGTTGTTTGATGACCCAGAGAACGTTGAGCGATTAATACTCATTTTATAGAGTTCCGATGCCGTGTAGTATGTGCCGAATTAGGGTAACCAAGCGTGTGCGTGTCTACCTCCCTCAGTGGATGGGTAATCCGATCGACGATACGGAGCCCGCGGAAGCCATGACCTCATCAAACAAGTCGCTAGACGTAGTAGCTGAAGCCAGCGGAGTATGCAATCGCACGGCCATAGCTCGAAACACGCTAGTCCGTCAAAGGATAGGCGACGTTATCTGCAGGCCCACTCCAGCCATACTTCAACCTCACATTTTCGTGTCCCTCCTTTCTTCCCGTAGAGAGTTGCCTAATATGCAAGGAGTGCTTGACTTCAATACACATGACCGAGGCCTATTCCGACCCTACAAAAGAACAAACGCCAAGAGGACAAAGTCTGGATGCCTAAGCTGTCGCGCACGACACACCAAGTGCGATGAACACAGGCCAACCTGTGGGGGCTGCACACGCAACTATTTGCTTTGCTCCTGGACCAAGGCAAATGGGAGAACTACCCAGGGGTCTGTGTCTAGGCACGAGTGGTCTCCGCGTCAAAAAGTCCCTTCTCCACCGGGTCTCAATGTTCCATCACCGCGCTATGCACTTTCTCATTGGCCTAGACTACGTGGACGATCAGTCGAGCAAAGTCTTCTTCACCATTATATCGAGAGGTCAGCTCAACGGCTGATAGTCAGAACCGGCATCAAAAACCCGTTTCTCACTTATGTTTTACCCTTGGCCCAGCAACATGATGCATTTCTTCATATTGTGTTTGCCATAAGTGCATCTCATCTTTCTTATGATGGTCGACAGTCCCATGTTTCTGCGTTGTCTCATTACGCGGTTGCGCTCAGGGAAGCCAAATATCTCATCACAGAACATGGGAACGACACTCGATTCAATCCTCTCGAACTTATGATACTACTTATTCTTCTGTGCAACTTTGAGGTGAGCTACCCATGCGCCCACGGTATGCTGTATTATGCCTTTTTGCGTTTTACAAAACAGACACGCAGGATATGCTTACTAACGACGGTTTTAGGTTATGGATGGCAATACAGATGGTGCAGTGATGCAGCACCTGCAGCCATGTTCAGCTCTGCTAGCTCAGAGCAATCTACTTGACCGAGTTGATTCAGATTGTGCGTGTTTCATTGCAGAGCAATATATGTTCTTGGGGGTGGTCAATGAATACCTGGGGCTGGGCCCTGTGGCCAACATTGTTCAACCAACGACCACTGTCACTTCTGACTTTGCGCAACTCCCCTATCAATCATATTACCATGGGCGAAGCTCAGGGTGTGGATATGCTTTGTTCGAGATGGTTCCCCGGATTGCCCTATTTGCGACCAAACCAAGCAGGTCTTCTCCTCGGTATCTTGACCCCGAGATCAGGAAAGAATTCGATATGTTAGAGGAAGAAATATTACTCTGGGATATTCCTACATCATTGAATTCCACAACAGGGCCCGATAATGACGAGGTGACAGCAGCGCTCATCCAACAAGTGGCATTGCTTGTGACTCTCCAGTGCGCTTTGAATGGGCCTGGGATGCCCACACCTTCCATCCAGACCAAGATCGAAGCTTGTGTCTGCGAATCAAGAAAGCTCTTGAGGTCTATATCGCCATCAAGTGCGGCGTGGGGAACCCTCCTGTGGCCCGCAATCCATATCGGATCGTGCATTACATCTCCAAAAGAGCAAAATGAACTTGTTTCGGCGATACTGAGCATGGAAAACAAGGCCCGCTGTTGTACCAGTCTAATGGAGTTCCTATCGAGCTTATGGCTGGCCTTGCGTGACGACGGAATGTATTTTGGCCCTTATGGAATTCGGCCACTCATGGACAGAGAGGGGATCAAACTCAGCTTAGGGTGACTACCGAGAATATACTTCAATATGATTTCCCTACTCTGTCAAAGGGGATATATAAATTGGAATCGCCTTGTAAACATTTTAAATGCATTGGGGTAAGATGAGCCCAACCAGCCGAGTTGACTCGGATTCCGCGGGAGCCGATGCTGTTGTGTTGACGTCGGTATGGAAGTGGGTCCGATAACACCGTTTATCCTCTTTAGGCATAGAGGTGTACTAATTGAGATGGTGGAATGCGGATCTTTGGCGATCACCCACGGTAGACTCCCGTGTTTCGTGGTTTCTTCTCATCCCTGATCTCTTCAACACACCTGGGCAATCTTCGATGATATATCCGCAATGAGTGTGAAAAAGCACAATGTCGAACTATCTAGCGATATTGATTTTATCGAGACTCCTGCAGCTAAGCCCTCCGAATTTGAAACTGGAGAGGACTGCGGCATTGCTCTGACCAAGGTGAGTTCTATTTGTTCCATTGCCAGCTTCTCAAAAGCTTGCTAAATTGTCCCTTAGTCACCAGCCATTCACAACGGTCCGTTGCCTGCCGACGGGGCAGGAAATGAGAGCTTCTCCAATCTCACATTGGCTGGCGCCCTCACTGGAGTTCCCGGCCTCCTGACCTTCCTGCTGGGTGGTGGGCTGAAGACCTTTGTTCTCCTTGCCCTCATTTCGACTCTCCCTGTTCTGGTGGCCTTCTGGACCTGGACTTCCACCTGCAGCCCGCGCACCAATGACAAAGTCAAATTACCCGGCCGACCTATCGAGCATTACGTGACTTTCAAGCGCGAAGAGGACCGGTCGAAATGGCATGGGAAAAAGAAAATTCCCATGCAGACCTTCGCAGAAATGTACCTGGACGGCTTGGTGGATTTCAACGGCGACACACTCGATGTGATGGAATACCGGCACGATTGGGCGAACTTCGCATTCACCTGGGAGCTATTCAAGTTCATTGTCTTCACGTTCTTCATCGACGTCATCTTCCACACCAAAGCTCAAGATGACGAGCAGATCCGTCCCAACTACGATCGCGGCAACGACCATTACGCCTGGTTCCTCGGCCCTCGCATGATCTACACTTCGGGGATTATCTCAGACACGGAGAAGGAGGAAACACTGGAGGAAATGCAGGATAACAAGATGGCTGTCGTTTGCGAGAAGATCGGTCTCAAGGAGGGAGAAACAATGCTGGACATTGGCTGCGGCTGGGGAACCCTGGCCAAGTTCGCCAGTCTGAACTATCGCGCCAAAGTGACCGGGCTCACCATCGCGGAGAACCAAACTGCTTGGGGAAACGACGCTCTGCAAAAGGCGGGCATCTCCGATCAACAAAGCCGGATCCTGTGTATGGACTACCGTGATATCCCTCGCCAAAAATATGACAAGATCACACAGCTGGAAATGGGCGAGCATGTCGGCATCCGAAAACTCACTGGATTCTTCCGTCAGTGCTATGACATGCTTAATGATGATGGAGCCATGTATGTTCAACTCTCTGGACTGCGACAGGCATGGCAGTATGAGGATTTCATCTGGGGGTTGTACTTGAACAAATACATTTTCCGTGGCGCGGACGCTTCGACCCCTTTGTGGTATTATGTCAAATGTTTGGAACAAGCAGGATTTGAGGTCAAGGGGTAAGTCGTGATTTGGTGAATCGTTTGAAGTTGGCGAATGCTAATGATGGACAGAATTGATACTGTCGGTGTCCACTATTCCGGTACACTCTGGAGATGGTACCGTAACTGGGTTGGAAATGTCGAATCGATCAAGGCCAAATATGGACCGAGATGGTATAGGGTGAGTCTTTCTTCGTGTCAGATTCTATCTTTATGGTCGAATCTAATGCTCGGTAGATTTGGGAGCTGTTTCTCGCCTGGTCTGTCATCGCTTCTCGCGAAGGCTTCGCCACCTGCTACCAGATGGTGGTCGTCAAAAATCTGAACTCGACGCACCGCATCAATGGACTTTCTAGTCAGTTTGGCCTTGGTGGTGCCCTCGCATCGAGCAGGAAGGCGGGCAAGTCTCGTCTGCCTTAAAGGTGAGTGGTGGTATGGCGGATGGAATACTTATCATTAGATGTGCAGTGACAATATCCAGGCCAAAGCCTGCGACCTTCCTGATGTTGCAGCTTCATCGGGCTGAGCATAAATGACAGGCTTGATGCTCATACACGCTTCTTCGGACTCATTGCCTTCTCAAAATCAAAAATTTTACAGTTCTCGAGGTCACATAGCTCGTGATAGCAGCCATGAAAATACTTCGTTTCATCTTCACCTCATTTGTTCTTTGCAATCTAGTCGCGATGTAACACGTCAGGCGAATCGTGCCTTGAGGAAACGGAGTGTACTGGCAGGGTCACTGAAGGTATTCTGTAGCTTCGTGTGAACTCGCTAGCTCCGCAGCGGGGTCGGCGATCTTTCCCCACGCCAAGTCACAGAAGCCGAGCCGCGGCTGCCCCTTGATACTTGGCACTTGTAACCGAGAGCATATAAAAAGCCCAAACGAAGGAATGTACTAACTCGTTTATTTCTCGTTTATTTCACGCCCATCATGATCTTTGACCCTAGCGCAATCGACCTCCCACCTTCTTACGAGAAGGTTCAAACAACTGGACATGTCGTCGTCTCACATTATCCCCATGGTGCACCGACAGCTACACCGGTAGTCGTTGTCACACTCAACCGGCCTGCCAATCAGAATGCATTCACTGGGCAAATGGTACAAGACTTCGAGAAGCTATTCCCAATGTTCGACGTCGATGAGCGGGTGAAGGTCATTGTTTTGACAGGTGCTGGGAAGACATTCTGTGCTGGAGCCGATCTCGATATTGGCTTCGGCGGTGGTAGAAAGAGAGAGGAGAGATGGGCAGATCATCGTGATGGGTAAGGAGCGATCCATCCTGATGATTGACAGATGAATGTGGCTAACAATCAATGTTCTAGTGGCGGACGAGTGGCGCTCGCTATTCACAGATGTCGCAAGCCTACTATTGCAGCTATGCAAGGCTCAGCCGTGGGAGTCGGCATGACTATGACTCTGCCAGCAATCATTCGGTGAGTAAAAAATTGACCTCTACGGATTTTGCGCACCATCCTTAATATGCACATCATCCAGAATCGCCTACGAGAAGGGAAAATATGGCTTTGTCTTCGCCCGCCGAGGTATCACGATGGAGTCATGCTCTTCATATTTCCTCCCCGGCTGGTGGGCCACTCCAATGCCAGCTATCTAGTCAGCACGGGTGGCGTGTTCCCACCGACATCCAAGCACTTCGGCGATCTATTCAATGAGATTTTACCAGATCCGTCGCAAGTTCTACCTCGTGCTATCGAGCTGGCGACAGAGATTGCGGAGAATGTGAGCCCTAGTGCATCATATCTGAACCGGGCACTTATGTGGCGCGACACTGGGTCTGCAGAGGCTGCTCATATTGTTGAGTCTCATGTTATTTATCATATGTTTGCTGCTCCGTATGTTGTCCCCGTCCTGGAACAAGAACAGTTGATTTGGACTTTGCTAACCTTTTCTACAGGGATCAGAAAGAGGGTGTCACTGCTTTCTTTGAGAAGAGGAAGCCGAATTTCAAGGCCAATCTTGATGATAACCCGCCGCCTAATGTGCCTTGGTGGACTGAGGTTGATACTGGACGGAATCCGAAAGCTAAGGTTTCTAAGCTATAGTTAGATGGAGCCAAAACTTCATTCAAGGCTAGTCTTGTTCCTTTTGAAGGTAGTATCAGATATCATTAATGTACCAGCAACTGAAATTGATTTTTCAGCCATTGTTAAATGCAAAAAAAAAAGGAGATAGCGATTCAAGAGTAACCCGAATTCAACGGCGCTGTTAAGGTCATTCCCAGATATATTGCAATGCTCCAGGTACCAAGACCGCTAATGGTATTGTGACAAAAAAACACCAACCCGAACAAGAAAGAAAGTTGCCAGATTGGCTCGGGTGGACCTTGCAGGGATCCAACTGTATTGACATGAACAAAAGGAGATGCTTCAAATGACAGAAAAGGGAGATTAATCAAACAATGAAGTTGCGGCGCTTGCGGTTGTAAGCCCGTTGGTCCTTCAGCCACTGTCGGTATCCCTGCACACTACCAATCTTCTCGCCGTAGTAATCGGGGACGGGGTTGGCAATCGAGTTGGTCGATGGGTCAACACGGAAGCGACGAATGCGGTCGAAGAACTCTTTCTCTTTCTGGAGATAGAACATAACACATTAGCAAACTCTCCAAAAACCCGTCCCATCCCGTCGCCTTGGGTTCACAATTACTCACTGTCGCAACGGAAGGCTTATATTTCCTGTATACCAATCCCCAGAGACCGTTTCCAACCATCGGCCCAAGCAACCATCCAATAGCACCACACCCAGCAGTCGCCAATCCAAGAACGACGAATGGGTCCAGGCCCATAACCTGCGCGCCAAGGGACTCCAAATCCTGAGCAGACAGAACCTGCACACCGGCCGTGGTGGAGACAGCCGCAGTGGCAATAGACGAAGCAAGAGAATAACGGCGACGGGAAGCGCGGAGCTTGAAGAATGAGTCCCAGTCGAGCTTGACTTCCTCGTTGCCGGTACCGTTACCGGCAGCAGTCGACTGTGCGCGCAGGCCAATGGGGCGGGCGGAGACAGTCTGGGTCTGTAGGCGGGTGTCCAGGGTCACGGGTGCCGCCATGGCTGAGCGAGCTGTTGTCGAGCTGAGGCGTGTGAGCTGCTTGGAGACTGTTCCGGAGGTGCGTTGGTTGAGCGGACGGAGGGCGCCGGCGAGCGAGAGCGCCGCGGGGTTCAGTCGGCTGAATGTTTTTGCTGTGCGGACTGACATGCTGATGGGGGTTGAATTCATTTTGAGGTTTGGTTGTTGGCTTGCAATGAAGATGCTTGTCTTGCTGAAGAGACGTGAGAATTGGTGTGGAGACGGATTATGTCAGCGGAATGGGCTCCGCAGTGACGAGACCGGTTTGTCGCTTACTCTAGAAGATATCATGCAATTCAGCTGAGGATCTGTGTTAGAGCGTATAAAGATAATGGCTTTATTGAGTATAAGTGGCTGAATGGGTATTGTATTCTATGACATTTTTCGTGAAAAGGGTTCGACGGAAATATATATATTATCTGAAAGGGTGATTCGATGCTCAGACGTGCCAGCTAGCAAGTTCCAAACGGAAGATTAACTGGACAAATGCTTCATCATGGAAAGAAACGTCTAAAAAGTAGATTATATCGCTCTAACTTCCCAAAATACGTGTTTAAAATCAGTTAATTCGAAAACCCATCCATGGATAGACGCTGATGATGCAACGAAAATGCTCGATAGGTCATATTTCCAAAGCACCAAGAGGAATTTATACAAAAAGATCACGGAAGACTTAGACCCAGCCCAGTGCGACGCATCTAGTTGGTCTACCGTAAAAACACCCTCTACAGACCTTCCTTACGCTTGATGTCACCGGGGCGGGACTCCGGCTTGATAGGGCTACCAAACCCATTGACGCGTCCGAAGAGCCACTTGAGAGTTATGGTGCTGAAGGCCATCACAACAGCACTAAGAGTGAAAAGAGCAACGCGGCCAGACGGGGGCAGAGCCTCGAAGATGGGGTATGGGTACCTAAACGAGTCAGTAACGTCGGAAGACCCCGGGAATACACATACCATCCATTGTGGAAAAAGCACTGCTCAATCCAGAACCAGTAGCCAAAGGCAATGGTACCCGACAGTCCTAGTGCAGGGAATATGCTGATGGTCCAAGGTGGTGAGAGGAGCAGTAGGTCAATCAACAGCACCACTGAAGGAACTGCGTGAAAGCCGATGTCTAGAGCAGAAGTTAGGGAAATATCAAAGAACGCGAATATAGTTTGCTAGCATACCGGCATGTAGAGGTATCACTACCCACTCGGGAATCACGAGACGTTCATCGATCTATGAAATAGGTTAGACGAGAATGTCAAAATCCGGGGTCAAACTTACCAAGCGAAGGCCCCAGTACAGAACACTAATCAATACCTCCAGTGGGGCACTGCACACCGAGAGGAGATTCTTGACGAGAAACAGTCGCCGAGACAAGGTGACATCCGCCAGTAAGGCAACAGCAAACGTAACGGTCGACAGGGAAAGACCAATCACGGTCAGATATTGGAAATGCCACCCATAGGCCAGGTTACTGGAACGGGTTAGCAGATCGTCTTGTATCAGATTAAATGATGCCGAAAACCTACGCTTGATTGGGATTTTCATGCATGCTTTCCCAGAATGTCAGCGTGACCCTATACGGGTAAATCTCGGAGAGGGACCCATACTATTTGAAAGACCATAGAAAGCTCGAGAGACCGGCCAACTGAAGCACAACCGGGTCAGTCAGTGAACCCCGAAAACACCGGTGAAAGGACCATGGGTGCTGCTTACATGGACCAGGGCAGACAGGCCACGAGAGGGACTGGGCATCCGCTGAAGCGGGTGCCTCTTGATGAGGTAGTTTGCCATTTGGAGGAAGTGTTGTAGGCTATGAGTGAACACTTTCGGTTTAGCCCGCGAGGTCCGAGAAACCCAAGTCACCGAGGCGATCAAAGCGTTAGGGCAAGGAACAGGAACAGGAAGCTATGACGTTTAGGCCACGTGAGTTCGGACTATCTCGGTCGGGAAAAACCGGTATCCCGCGGTATGCCGGTCCGGGGGAGATGATCCGGATGTGTCAGCGGTCTTATCTCCTTCCCCACACTTTCCATATCTCTTGACATCCTGGCATTGGAAATTATTTGTGTGGCTCTCTGCATTCTTTCTTCAATTCCCTCCTTGTCTGTGGTCTTCAGGGTCGTGGACTATTGCTATTAACTGCTGAGTTGCACCTTTGACCAATTGAGCCATTGCCACCGGGGCAGTGGGATCTCGAACACTTTTCTGGCACATCTCCCTCCCACACCTCGATGTGCTTGTATACTAGGTGTGGGTGTCTGGTCGATTATCGCTTTGTCGCAACTTGGGGTCAAAGAGGATCTAAACGGAGAAAGCGCGAGAGTTCAGACGTGCTTCATTCGTGAAGAGTCCCGCCCTATACTGCCGACTTGAAGTGTTCAAGCTGTATGGCGGCTGGAGAGCATATAGTGAATTCCCACTGTGCTTCTCTCAAGATAGATTCTCGACCAGACGCCCTCTGACCTGCGATGCCGCGTCCCCGGAGGCCTGGTGCGCCAGAGCCCAAGCGTCGGAGTCGCAAAGGATGCTGGTGAGTTCTTGAACACATTTTCAAGTCTTCGCAGCACTGACGGATCATTACTAGGCCATGCAAAGCTCGCAAAGTGAAATGGTAATTCTCCTTTTTGCTCACACGCCGTAGATCTGGCTAACATTGCTACTTCCTCTGCAGTGGCGAAGAGAAACCGGCGTGTCTCAACTGTCAGCGACAGGGCGAATCCTGTGATTATAGCGTCCGGCTGAACTGGGGAGGAAGAACGAAACGGGCATCAATCGACTCACCGAATTCTCAATACAGTGGGTATGGCGGCGCCGTATTTGGTATTTCGGACTCGTTCCCAATCAACAGCATGAGCCCGGGGTCAATTTCAACCCCTTCCTCAGTCCCAGCACCCACCAGCAACAATTCTGGAGATGGGTTCATCACTTCTCACCCTGGGGACCTGACTTCCCCGGGCGCCATTTCGCCCAGTACACCGGCGCCAGGCATATTTGACTCCCCAAGACCCGGATCGGGTTCTGAAGGGGTTACATCCCCGAATCAACTCGATGTCCAATTTGCTTCTACATGGGCAGAGCATTCTCCTCCAGTGACGACATCGGTATCCTCGAGGGGTTTGTCACAATATCCATTCGGACAGCAGACTTTTGATGGTCTGTCGTTTCCAGCTTCAGCAGATCATGGATCTGGCTTGAGGTCGCTCTCTGCGTTCGCCTTCCACACGAGCCCAGTCTCGCAGCCAGTTTCATTCTTGCGTCACTCTGTGGATGTGTCTAATCATCAGCCAGAGGCATTCATGTTTCACAATCATGATGAAGGAAAGCTTGTCCAAGGTGGCCAGGAGTCAGTCGATGAACACGATGTAAACCTCACCGGGAGCAAGAAGAGCGGTCCTTCGCGTAGTCCACATGAGACTGGGGGTTTATCTTCCTTGCTGTTTGATTCGCACAAAGCGTCAATTGCAGGAAGCAATGCGACATCGTCCCCGAGACTTGGTGAAACGCCTATGAATATAGGCTCAACACACAATTATCACGATGACTTGAGCCGTGATAACCACACTTCGATAGAAAACACCAATCAAACCGATCAAGCCTCCCGCGATTCGACAATGGCACAGAACAAATGGCAGACATATCTCAACAGCGTGACCGACAACTATGGCTTAGACTCTGGGCGTCCTGATCAAGACTTGATGTTTAATAACGACCACGCAGCCATAGATATCAACTACGCGCTGGATTTGATCAGTTCGCGGTGGCAAGACCAGGAATTTTCCAAAGCATCGCCACCCCAACCGATGGCCGATACACAGACACAGTTCTGTAGTGGTTACTATGCGTCCTCAGTGCCGATCAACATCCCGAGATATTTGTCTCCCCTTCCGTCGTCGCTGTTGGAGAACCCTATCAACTTGATGTACTTTCATCACTTCCTCAACCATACTGCGCGAATGCTGGTCCCACATAGCTGTGATAACAATCCGTTCATATCGGTTCTGCCGTCAAGTAAGTCTTAATTTCTTTTCATTTCATTTGTGGTACTGACCTGTCAGTGGCAATTGGTGATTCCAATCTACTCAACTTACTTCTAGCATATTCCGCCAGTCACCGTGCCCGATACCTAGGACATCCAGAGCCGGCTAACCGAATTGCGCACTGGGTTAGCAAGGTATTCCCGACATTGCGGGTAGCATTGGAATCTTCAAACGAAGACATAACCGACAGTCATTTGGCTGCTGCTATCATGCTGTTATCGCTGAAAATTGTGTCACCAGGAACATTCGAGGTTCCCATCACATGGAAAAGCCACCTCAAGCTTGCCCGCGATTTATTCCTTGCACGAAGCGAGAGAATGGCACAACCAGGAAACAGAATCGGGGCCTTCTTTGCCCGTTGGCTAGGATATCTAGATACTATGGGAGCATTATCTTGTCGCCAAGCCGGTCCCCCGTTGATGATATACAACTCAATCCTTACGGCCTGCTCACCCGATGACCACGATGAGTTCATTGTTGACTGTTTCACGGGTTTCACACCTCGCACAGGAGTGTTCCTCATTCGTCTCGCTCGTCTGGTCCAAGAATGCGATAATCAACGTTTCGATGAGATGGGACACTTCCAGTACGACTGGCATGCATCTGCAGACATGGTGTTAGAAGCACAAGCAGTTCTAGGCGAAATTGATGGGCTAAGTGAGCACGCACATACTAACCCGGATCACCATCAGGGCATTGAATCATCAGACATGATGGCCATTGAAGAAGCATTCCGGTTTGCTGGACTTTTGCATCTCCACCGGCGTGTCCTTGGATCTCCACCAGACTCTTTCCCCGTGAAGGAGGTCTTGCGCAAGCTCATCGATGCCCTGTCACGGATGCGCCCTGGCGCTGCCACTGAGGTCTGTTCCTTGTTCCCATTGTTCACTGCTGGCTGCGAATCCCGAGATGCGCCACAGCGTTCTAAGCTCTTGGATCGATTCTTTGTTCTGGAGAGCTCAGGCATGAAGCAGGTAAGTTTCCATTCTTGGTCGTTTTTGGGTGAACAGCGCTAATTCAATGCCTATAGATCCAAAATGCACGTCAATTGATGCAACACTGTTGGGAGCGAAAATTGCCTTGGATCGCCCTGGCTGGAGGACAATTCTTGGGTTAGCTTAGGTATTCTTGTAGTCACAACGTCGCGCATTCTTATATGTATACTTGTGCTGGTGCGACTACGATTTCGCATCGTTCGCTCAGCGGCTCGTTACATCTATTCTGGATACCTGTCAGTTTCAATGCGCATTTTGGTCATTTTCAAATGGTGTCTTCCTTATGATTATTGCACTCGCGGCCATTCAAGATCTAACAAGTTGGACATGTTGGCTTAGATAGCAGGTCACTTCCACGTTAGGTTAGGGGTTTAGACATTCTCAACAATATGCGTCTTTATATGTATAGTTTCTGTCCAAGCACGGCTTCGGATCATGCTCTCATTTAATCTGCTTATTCCTGCTCGTTTCAAGTCAACCTCCACTCAGACTTCAACCATGCCTATTCAAAACATATACATGTATACGTCACCAAGCATTTAAGTCAGAGAGGACATACCGGGGTGGACTTGCCCTAACGCCATTTCCCCGCGCTTGGATCCCCAGAATATCGGCCATCTGTCCGATATACCCAGAGACCCAATAAAGAGACTTCCCTACCACAGTCAGCATACAGTAACATCCCGCTCGTATTCGTCTTTCCACTCATAAGCCTTTCCCCACGCCGATCCTACCCCAAACATCCCCAACCTCCGCTGATCATTTCCGATGATAGAATCCAAAGTATTGCAACCCCTGCAGCCGGCCAGCAACACAGTCACCATGATTGGCCCCAAGGGGGTGAAATCCATGCATGGCCACTGAATTTATAAGCTGAGCTTGATTCCCCTCTCTTTAGCTTAGCAAGATCATAGTCCCTTCGTTCTGCACCCCGGGGATTTTCTTCCTCTCGTCTAACACAGTGCGCACAGCAAACCGGAATTACTGTCGCTCTTTGGTAGCTTCCCCCTGTTGATCGGCGACATCCTGCATAATGGCGCTTTTGAATGATGAAAAACCAGCTCTGGATACTGCGTCTCACGCCTCAGATCTAGAGAAGGATCCCAACACGAAGGTCGCCGTCGGGTTCGAGGATCCTGATGAAGGGCTGAGCGAGGAGGAAAGGGCAAAGATTGTTTGTGATCCCTGTCTTCGATAGTTTTGTACCCATGCATGCATAGATTGTGTGGCTTATTGCCAGTCTGTTACTGACATGCGCAAACACTATAGGATCGCAAGTTACTTTGGAAGCTCGATCTTCGGTTGGTGCCATGGCTCAGTCTGCTATATCTTGTTTCGTTCCTTGATCGGTACGAAGTCAACCATGAAATATGCTTCGTTGGCTCGAGAGGGCCCCGAACTGACTTGTACAAAGAACGAATATTGGAAATGCGAAAATTGTCGGCCTCCAAAAAGATCTAGGGATGACGAACGCCCAATACAACGCGTCACTCACTATCTTCTTCGTTTCATACTCTGTCTTCGAGCCCTTGACCAATGTGCTCCTCAAGCGACTGAGACCAAGCATTTTCATCCCGGTGATTATGATGGCATGGGTGTGTCGATTACCCCCTACTTTAATACCAAAAGGCCAATCCTAACACCACATAATCAGGGAATCTGCATGACATGCATGGGCGTGGTAAAGAACTACGCCGGCCTCATGGCCGTCCGTTGGTTCCTAGGCCTAACAGAAGCAGGTCTATTCCCCGGCGTAGGCTACTTCCTCTCCTGCTGGTACAAGCGATCCGAATTCGGCGTTCGAATGGCAATCTTCTTCTCGGCCGCCGCACTAGCAGGCTCATTCGGCGGTTTGCTCGCTGCAGCCATCGCCAAGATGGATGGTGTAGGCGGCAAGCCCGGGTGGTCATGGATTTTCATCTTGGAAGGACTGATGACGTTCGTGATTGGCGTTGCGTCGTTCTGGTGTGTCTATGACTTCCCGGACCAGGCGAAGTTTTTGTCGGATGTTGATCGGAAGCGGGTGCTGAGGAGGTTGGCGCTTGATCAGCAGTCTAGTGCTGAGCATGAGGAGTTTAAGATGGATTACTTTTGGGCGAGCGTTAAGGATTGGAAGACTTATACTGGGGCTGTTATCTATATGGGGGCTGATGGGTCGCTTTATGCGTTTTCGCTTTTCGTGCCGACTATTATTAGTGAACTTGTGAGTTTGGTCTTGGGTGGTGTGACAATCGATGTGCTAACTTTGTCTTGCAGGGTAAACATTTGAATCCCAGATACGGGAGCGTTGTGGTTGAATGCTAATTTGTCTCGTGTCTAGGCTATAGTTCGATCCATGCTCAGCTGCTCAGTGTGCCACCGTACGCCGCTGCAGCAGTTTTGACCGTCGTTGTTGGTTTCATTGCAGACCGAACGCGCCAACGTGGTCTCTGCAACATCTGCGTCTCATTCCTCGGCATGATTGGCTTCTCCATGCTCCTCGGCTGCAAATCCGCTGGCGGACGATATGCGGGGACTTTCTTAGGCGCCATGGGCATTTACCCAGCAATTGCGAATACGATTTCGTGGGCTAGTAACAATACCGAAGGTGAGATCGCTCCCTAGAAGCATGGAACAAGCTGGAACTAACACCCAATTCCATTCTAGGTGTATACAAACGAGGTGTTTCCCTCGGCTTCATCATCGGCTGGGGTAATCTGAACGGAATTGTCTCCTCCAACATCTACCGCGACAACGACAAGCCAAAATACTATCCCGGACATGGAGTCGTGCTCGGCTACCTCGTCCTCTTCTTGTTCGGCGGTTCTGTGGTGCAGTATTTCCTACTGCGACGCGAAAATGCCAAGCGCAGACGCGGTGAGCGTGATCAGTCAATTGAAGGCTTGACTCCGAATCAGATCGAGTTGCTGGGTGATAAGCGGCCGGACTTTATATATACCCTTTGAAATGGCAGTATCGCAGTGGAGTTGACGAGATATGAATTGAACGTCGTCATCTATCGCATAACCGTCGCATGGTATAATAGAACAAAAAGTCGTAGCTCAAACCCCCCTCACATACTGATTAACAATATCCTGCCCCTTCTTTGGCCCGCGGACAACATGCCGACTGGCCCAACTAACAACAACCCCAGTCTCGGGCTCAATCCTGAACGCATAAGCAGTGCGATACATATCATTAATACAAAGGTGATTGCCACGCGCATTCAATACAGTCGTCTCATTCCCAGAGCCCGTAGCCAATACCGCCGACGGAACGGGCGGAGCAACAAACTCGCCGGGATCATTCTGCGCGTCGGACTTCACCTCCGCTGAATCCAATAGCCCAGAGTCGGAGTCGAATTCGAAGTCGTGGAATAGGTAGTCCGCTTCTTCGGGGCCTGGCGCAACTTTCACGAACCAGACGCTTACGCGCCCGGTTTCGGGGCTTAGGCGCCAGATGTATTTCTTTGTCCAGCGAAGACCGGGTTGGGATGCGCCTATGCTGATTGTGCTTGGGATTTCGCCTTCTTCGCAATAGAGCCAGTCTTGGTCGGTTGTGGTGGTGTTGGTGGGGGGTTGGGGGTGAAGCTTGCTGTGCCGCGTAGCTCGCCGTTTAGGTCCAGGGGGTTCTCGCTTCGGAGTGTGCGGGTTAGAGTCCAGCGCGTATTGCTGAGAGAGGTTATAAGGGTTGTGAGCAGCTGGCGGGAAGGCAATGGCGGCATTTCTGTGTCGGTGTTGGGTAAGAGTTGGAGATGGGAAGAGTGCGGGGAGGGAAATGTCAAGGCTTAAATGATCCACTCGCGTATCTCGGGCAATTGGAGTCAACTGGCTATCAATATATCGCACTTACCCATACTCAACACTGAGATCTGGCTAATGTTCAATATATACAGAAAGATCACAGGATCGCTTGCCTAGCACACACTTCAGATAAATGTCTAGAAAATGCTTCAAAAGAAGCAGACATATAACCTGGTCGCATTGCTTTGCATGGATGTCTTGTGTTTGATCTGGCGTTTTCTCAGATTAGGGGATTCTCCCAAATTGCCGTCGGTGATTGGCGTTGAGAGAGACATTTGGCGATTCTTGCAGTTCTTGTTAATGCAGCAAGCAGTACGGGAGGGCGCAAGAAGATCTATACCGACTGAGTCACCAGGTCCGCAGCTATTCAAATAACTTCGTCTGGCGCGTCTAGCCAGTCCATGCAGGTATGAATTCTAGTGTTGACCTACTGTTATTAATCCGTCTAGAAATTGGATCATTATTACTGGTACGAGAGAATTGAAAGCTTCAACAGTGCCGTAATGGCCATGAATTGCTACTCTGGGAGCGTCGTCTCGCCGTTGACTTGTACACCAGGGCGTTCTCGCGCATTGCGGAATAGCGATAGAGACTATCGTCAGATACGTGCCTAAAATAATTGCACTCTATATCTTGGGAGATTACCAACTACTCGGCTTCTATAGCAATTGTCTTCCTCTCACAATGACATCCCCTCACCACACTGAAGCGACGGGAACAACAGGGGGAAACGGAGCTCGGCGACAGTTCAATAGCAAAATTGTCTCATTAGGGATACAAGGATAGAAGTGTGGAAAAAGGGACGTGAGATCTTAGCCACTATATTTCGTAGAATGATGAATAAACATGGGAACGAGGACCCATATGGCGAACCCCCGCCAAGGGCTGGCGATTACTCAACTGTCCGGCTGTTTAGCTAACTCCGGTCTTAGAACTACACACTTGTCTAATATCTATATCAAGGCTACTTGAGAAAATCTGTTCATACTTCAGAATAATGGTCTCGCCGGCGGTCAATGTCGGAAAGAAGATTTCTCTTCCGTGTGTATGCTGAAGCGCATTGGGAGTCTCGGGTCTGACATGCAACGGCGTATTACGGCATTGCCAGCTGAGGTTCTTAGGTCCCAAGGGCCCGGGGAAGCTCGGGCTGATGAATAAACTAATTTGATAGGTCTTAATAAGCCTCTTGGGGCCTATTAACTACCTTTATCAACGAACAATAGATCCACTTGTCGCATCAACCAGTCCAGCACAATCCACCAAATTATGGAAGAAAAACACAGTGCAGACAAGGTGCGAAAGAAAGAGCGCCGTCGGAAACCTGACAGCCAACAAGTTCTAGATGTGGGTGACATGTAACGAAAAAATGTATTCGATTACTGATCCCTATTAGAGGCGCCGCGAACAGCTACGCACGGCACAGAAAGCGTATCGCACGCGAAAAGAGAACACCATTACCAGCCTGCAGGATCGTGTCGACGAGCTTGAGGGTGGCATTGAGCAGCTCAGCCAATCCTTTCTCACCTTCAGTAATCTCCTTTTGGAAACTGGTCTGCTTAGGAAACGTTCGCACGTCACCTCAGCCCTCCGCAAAATAACCCGGCAACAACTTTCGCTTGCTGAGACAGGATGTGCGAGTCCTCAGGAACGGAATCTCGTCAACGCTGTTGACGCCACTTCATGCACTGCTTCTGGCGAGGACGAAAGAGGCAGTGGTAATCGCGCAAGGGTGTCGTCAAATGAAAGAGCTCATAGCGGACTCTCATCAGCTCCGGTGGAATGGCCTGAGCTGATGCCCTTATACACACAATCATCCTTTTATCAAGGCCAACCGACACCCCCAATGAGTGTTGCCATGGCTCCGCTCGCTAATGAGTCACCCATTCCGCTATCATCATTATCAAGTCACCCCCCAGCCAATGATCTCGCTAGCTCGATCGAAGAGCAGTGGACTTTTTCACAATATCTAATAAAAATGTGCTGTCAGAATGGGTATCATCTCCTTGTCAACACTCCCAACGACTTCGTGAAGATTCAAGAAGTTTTCGGGCCATCCATGCCTCTCGCTGAGCGCAATAATTTCATTTCTTGTTTCCATGCTGGAATGCATGACAAAACTGGAGGCATCATTGATCTCATGGCCACTGCACTTACCCCGTTGCGTTCCAAGAGAGAATATTATGCATCGGAAGAACTTGCAACCCAGACTGAGGAGTTGGAATCGGCTGTTGCATTTGAGGCCGGCGGATGGCTAGACGCCAGTGGCGTACAGAAATTCCTCAGCGAGAGGGGATTTTGCACCCAGGAAATTGGCCGCCCATTGTCTCGCTCAAGCCTTGTTTCGTCGCTTCACGTTGCGGCCCTTGTTCAGTGTGAGTATCTGGCAAGGCATACATTGGCTTCAAAATACTAATGAATATAGACCTCGCTACTGAATGCATTTGCTTCGGACATGGTCCGGCGTTTCGACGCCAGACTGTTGAGGCTGCATTGTGCCTCGCAGGAAAACCATGAATTTTCTTTGTACCCTCTGCGTGATCTTCAGAAATCGTTCGTTCTTAAGCCGACGGGTTGTATAACACTTTTACAAGTATCCCTCATCGCCGAGTAACTCACGATTAAAGATTGCGGCTGTGAACACTCTTGGCTGCCCGAAATTCTGGGTTTTGCATTTATACTCATCAAGAAGCCAGCCCCTCTTGGGGAAGGCCACAAAGGCCATCACAACCGGCGGGCAGGTTTGACAAGAGGCAAATTCAACGGCGAGAGCATGGTCAACCCCACCCGGTTTGCAACTAACCCAGTGATCAAACTGGAGCGGCTGTATGAGGATGCCATACTGAGTGAACCTTGAGTGCTATAGCACAAATACTAGATGATCCTGAAGGTAAATTGCTTCGTGCATCACCGATCACTCATCTACAACAAGTTAGTTACTGGCACTTGTTGACTTATTCTACATTGTAAATTTTTTATCTTAGATCAAAGCTAAGCTATTGTTAGTCGTGTTATGTACATCAGAATGAGGTGGTAATCAATTTGCCGCTGACGTGTCGATTGGCCGGCGTTGATTACTGAGCATCCTCACAATTGGGTCACTCTCTTCGTAGCCCACGAAGGAAGAACCGAAAGACGAAGGTTGGATAGAGAGGGACTCGGCCTCTAAAAAGGGGGAGAGGATGCTCCCACTGGCAATTATTTGAGATGAATAATCTACGCCCCTTCCGAGGTCCTCCCTCTCCACCTGAAAGAATGGCAGATACAACGTTTCTGTGTAGACCCCCTGATGAAACCAACCTTCTCTAATAATAGAATTGTACGATGCATTGTATTCAGACCCATTAGATATCAACGACTAATAAATAGCTTTGTGTGACAATAGTGTTCAGTTTGCACGAGTCAAGTGGGTGATAAACTAGCCTCAGAGGCTCAAACATGCGAGTATACAGTTGCACCGAAAATTTGAGCAGTGTAGCTTCTCTGGATTGGTTACGTTGATCCCCAAGAGAGATTTCATACAGGAGAGGCTTTTGATAGGGCCAAGGTTCTAATTAGTATCAGCATCATCGGAATCATCGGAGTCATTTAGCATGGTGAGGCTTACACGAGGAGTCCCTAAAATGAGTGATTTAGACTGTTCCTGAACGGACGAATAGCCTGAATGATCCGGGTTGCGTTGTAGTGGGTGGGTGGTGTGAAGGTTCGCATTCTACAAGTTGGATAGATACGGTCGAATATATGCAAACGATTGTAGGCGCTGAGAACACTCTAAAGCTGGCTGGAGGTCTCACAGCCCAGGTGCCTTTACTCAACCCTCAAGTGCCGAAGGGTCGGTTTGCTTGGCAACTCAAGCATCCATCTGAATGACGGACTCTCAGTGAACAGGTTAAGAAGACTACACTTACGTATTACAGAGGCAAATTAAATCGCTCTGCAGTTGCCTCGACGGTGAAAGTCATCCAAGACAGGGTAGACGAAAACGGAGATGGGCCCTGTGAACCTGTGGAGGAGAAAGTTCGTGAACGGTAAAGCATTTCCAACTTGCAGTGGAAAGATGCTAAGGCTTGATACTACGCGAGGGAGAGAGAGCAACACCTGGATGCGGAGAACACTTCAGGCGCGCAATGGGAGTGTTGTCGGCGGCATGCCAGGGTAGGCCCAAGCACATAAATCGCAGCCATTGACGCGCACCGCAAGAGCCCATAATTAGATTATGGTCCAAGAATCTAGACGAAACTTTGCCTTGATTGCACTATTGCATTAGCGTACATTGGGTATACTTGAACAAGAAGCACTATGAAAATCATTAGACAATGATTTAGATGGCGTGCTAGCAAACGAATTATACAGACGCCGAGGCTTCTTGTTGTTGCATCAATGCCGCCGCTCTCTTCAAATCTTCAACCCCCTTCAGCACATTCTTTGGCTGCCCATCATAGTTGACCTTACGCATCCAGTCGCCCAAATTCTTGATTCGGCCAGGATGGATTCTATCCAGAAGAGCCAGATCTCTGCGTTCGGCGCGACCTTCGCCCCAGTACCTCCACCAAGCCGAGAAATTTTCGCGCCACGTCATGGTCGATTCGTCCCTGACGGCGTTTGGTCCGGCCGCAAAATTCGCCGGAGCGTTCGGAAAGGGCTCGACTGAAGGCAGGTACTCATCAAGAGGTAGATACTTGTGCACTCCTTTCTTTCCCGTCACTTCGGTAAAGACAGTTGCTATATCCGCGAAACTGACTTCATCCGTCGTGACTTTCAGATTCATTCCAGCAGACTCCTGAGGGTTGTCGAACAGCCAAAGAGAATAAGGACCAATATCTTCAAGAGCTATCAGAGGTATTTTCCCAGATTCTGTGCCGGAAAAGTTCATTAGTCACTTACTGATCGAGCCAAGTTAACGTATTGGAGAGGTCCTGAGACATACTTGCTGGATTGGCCCAGACAAACGACCCATCAGGTTGCTGAGTGGGGACAAACATGCCATCCCAAAGCATATTCATATAAGGCCCAGTAGTAAGGATCGAGCTTTTCATCCCTTCCTGTCCTTGAGCTAGAATATACTCTGCAACTCTTCCCTTGGCATCGTTGTGCCCCCAGTGGTATTTCTCATCCCAATTAGCATGTTTAAGAGCGAAGTCCGCGCAGGCATAGACGTAATGCTTCACCCCTTGATGTCTTGCTATTTCATAAGCTCGGCAGCCATAGAACAGCTCATTCTTCTCTCCAAGGGTAAAGCCATCGGTATTGACCCATGCCCCGTAAACACCATGAAATGCACGATGCAAATCTTCTTGGTTATCTTGTCTGCCTTCAACCAGTGTCACGTTAGGAAGCCTTGCGATTTCTTGCGCACGAGCAGATTTTGCATCTCGAGTCAGAACTCGGACGGCAAAGTGTTTGCTCGCGGAGAGAGCTATATGCGAAGTCAATAATTGGAGAAGAACAGGGAAGGGAGGTAGAGTTAACGCACATGTAACGACCGGCAGGCCTTGCGCGCCAGTACCGCCGATAACTAGAACTGCTCGCATCTTTTAATAACTTCTGACCCATACTCGTTGCTGGATAGGTCGTCGCAAGAATGTATAATAGCTCGAAAACCTAGGAAGGACTCACTTTATACAGTTGCTTATTCCAAAAAAAAAATATTGTTTTGGCCCGTGGTTACTAACTGATTCACGAAAATGGACCGTGGTAGCGCCGTGTCTACAGCCGCGAAATAAAGTTTTGTCAGCTCGATTACTGCTTGATCCGGCAAACTAATTAGTTCGAAGCGTCATTTCGATATGCGTGTGACGCCAGATGCTAGATGATGTATGCTCCCTTTTTTCTCATCGGAAATTTACCGTCGGATTGATTATTAACTAACCCGCAACTAGCTATCAATTTCCAAACAATGGACCCACTACGGTACCAAGTTCAATCTACTGATTTTATAATCAGGCCGACGATACAGAGTAGTTACAGAGTCAATAGCTATTACGTTGACGCAAAAGACCGAACGACGGACGTGATAGTAATCCTACCCGCATTCGTAACGTAGTTCACCGGTCCCACTAATTCACTATTCACTGGACCAACTGACTCCCATACTGTCTGTTTATATGAGACTTCCGTATCGCACCGGAGAGTACGATCACTGTCATATATTGAACTATTTTACTCTAGCATCCTAACGCGGGTACTACAATACATCTGCTCTTTTATTGTCCGATTCATGATGACAAAGTGGAAGCATCTTCTTCATAATATTCCCGCAGATTTCCCCGAAGGCAAGGCTGTCTTTATGCTTAACCTTCTCCAGTTCTACGACCAAGCACAGTACCCCAAAGGAAGCAAACACTCCTCATGCAGCGGCCAGGAAGCCTGGGTTGTGAGATACGTGACAGAATTCCGAAGGCTCGCAACCGAGGCCGGCGGCTTCGAATTGGCCTACCTTGGCTTACCCGCCTCAAAAATTGTTGGTGAAGACAGTGAAAACTGGGACGCGGTCGTGTTGGTCAAATATCCGAACATTGAGACCTTCCGCAAGACGCTCGGCAGCGACGACTACGCAGCAACCGCGGCCGAACATCGTGACGCCGCGCTACAGGACTGGAAATTGATTGCCTCGACCCAAGTCATCATTCAAGATTAAAGGCGGCTGCGACGAATATTGGGACTCCCAGAGAGAGGGGTGCAAGAAGTGTAGTCATACTCCTCCGTCGATACTTTCATGGCTTGAAAGCTTTCATATTTTCAATTCCGTTTATTATTGTTCCTGTCGAAACGGATTGCTTGGAAGAGCATTGCCAGTTCTAGTGTGCTTCCGGCCTGCTCCAAGTCTGCTCTGGTTCTCCGGAAGCATCTGCCTCGTAGTCTCTATCGACGAGATAAATATAATTTCAAGCTCCAAACCCCGGCGACCACTCTTCCCGTTGTAAGAGACTATGTGGAGAACTTAGCCGTAGAGCTCAGGAAAACATATGTATCTACGGTCACCGTATAGACTCCTTCTAGACATGGGTATTGCACCTGAAGTGGTTGATTAGGGTGGATGCCACTTGATCCAGTTCAGTCTGGAGCGCCTTATGGGGAGTGGAGAGCCATCGAATACACTAATACAGTCTCAGGTGCGAGTGTCTGTACTTGCGTTAAAAGGTCGTACATTTGTTCCCTGGGCCAGACTATGGCCAAGACGTCAACTGCGCCGCGAGAAGAGATAGAGGATTGTTTCCACACAACACGGGTTTCCTCACTCGTCGTCCTCGTTGCCAAGCAGTAAGCCAAATTATAAATTATGAACTGTTGACCTGATTCGTCTCACCTGTCATTCCCTTAAGTCGGTCACGTCAAGGACGACAGTTAAACCCACCGGTCAACGCCACATAGATCAAAGATGGCCTATATGTCGGTGCGTTCGATGCTCACGAAGCGAGACGAGACTGGGTACGATCGACCTTGGCTAGAACAGTCTTGGTCGAAAAAGGTGCGTACCGCTCGCCGGGCGACGGGCTGGTAGTTCAGGGATAGCGAAGCAACTCTTCTTTCTGGGTACTTTCGGACGACTGCATGCTCGCTACACCGGATCAACTGCTTCAGACGTATTCGAACCGCGGGTTGCCATACATAGTTGAGATCATCTACGGTACAAATGACACCTTCTGCTCACGATGATACTGCAGCGCGCGCAAGAATAATACGACCCACAGGGTAGTATCCTCCTATAAAATTCACCATCAGTAGGCTGCGAGCCCAATTGATCCGAACGTATAATTATCTGAAGACCAGACCAACATGCTTCCCTAAATTACGTGTCGGTCTCATTCACCATGCCAGCGCTGGCCAGGTAGTGAGCATAAAATATTATCTCAAAGAATGTTGACCTCATCGCGTGACCGAGGGAGGTCACGGCCATTCACGCCGTGATAGTCGGCTATGCGGTTAGCCTGACCCTACGGTTGATTCAAGTACGCATGGACACGGCCATTAAAGAATTTGGTTTGAACTAGTTCACTGCATAGATCATTATTCATTCCGCCGACGGGAGGAATAGTGATCAATTTTGACGATCTAGCCTTAACAAGGTACGGAATGCACCGGGAAGAATTAGTAGAAATATAGGGGTGGCGAAATCAACTTTTTACCTTGGATTATCACGTCTAGATTCTAATGCGGAGTGTGGTACGCGCCCTTCTCCAACCAAGGAAAGTGGTTAATAATTGGAGTCCTGCTTAAGCATAAGTAGCGGGGTGAACCCTTCCTCCTTAGCCAGGTAGAGAAACATCTAGTTATCGCAACTTTACTTTTCTTGTCGAACAGTCCTATATTTTGACCATGGCTAGCCTTGACACTGACGCTCAATCTTATGAAGGATTTGTGGAGAACGGCGGTGTCCGGATTCATTTTCGCGCAGCTGGTCAAGGCCCTCTACTACTTCTGCTCCACGGCTTTCCCGACAATGGAGAAACGTTTAAGGCGCAGGTGGCGGAATTTTCAAATAAATATACCGTTGTTTGCCCAACCCTACGCGGATTCCCCCTAGCAATGTGCCAGATGACGTGGACGCATACGACTTGTCGAATGTTGTGGGTGATATGATCACCATCCTCGCCCATTTCAAGACTGAAAAGGCCATTATTGGCGGTCATGATATTGGCGGGGCAGCGATTCAGATGCTGGCGCTAATGAGGCCGGAGCTTGTTGCGGGACTGATTCTCATCAACACACCGATTTTGCCAAGGTTTTATGATCTGGTGAATTTTGATGAAGGACAGCAAAAAATGTCCGAATACACAATAAAATTCATACAGTATCAGCCTGGCGATGAAAAGAATGAGGCAGATGTTGTGAAATTCATAAGGGATCCTGCACGACGGCAAGCAGTAGCGGAGTACATGCGCTCTTCTCCAATGCATGGCATGTTCGCCTTATACAAAAAGAACTATCCCGGCCCACCTTATGGTCAGAACGTCGATACATTGTACATGCGTTTTCAGGTCCCGACACTGATAATCTGGGGTACGGAGGATGAATACTTCTCTCCCAAATTCCTTGATCAACTCCTACAGCATTTCCTTGCACCTACCCGACTCGTCACGTTGCCAGCAACAGGGCATTGGCCATTCCAAGAACAAGCTGAGAAGGTCAACATGGAGATCTGGTCTTGGCTTGAAATGTTGAAGCTTGGCTAAAGGATTCCAATATATCTCGGCCGCTGGAATTAGCGACGCTTTGGGAGGTTATTTCCGGTTACACGTTCTCTTTCCTTGGTGACAGGTAAGCCCGGTGGGGGCTTGTATTATGTTGGATGTTCACACATGCAGGTAATTTTGTCTTTTTCATTGAGTAGAAATCTATTTTTAGTGGAGGTTGTCCGGAAAACTACAAAATCAGAGTTTGCAGACCTACTGAAAATTGATAAGCCCCTTTCCAATGTAACAGATGATCTGTATATGCTGGTGAGGAGCTTAGATAAATGCATGGCACGTGCCTTGTTGTCTTTCAAGCTGTGCAGGACATGTATCGTTCAGTAGAAAAGAATAAGCAGCTGTTTGTTCACAAATAAAAGCTGAGCTCTTTAAGATACTGTATTGGATTCCCCAATTTTCATTGACGACTGTAGTAGTTTGGAAATGAAATAACAATCGACGCCGATCTGCGTGGTCCTAGCTACAAGACTCCGTGGGGGGACACGCCACTATTATCAATACGTAATCTACCTAGCCATAAGAGATATGCACGTTAATAGACTTAGAGTAAGAAGCTTGCATGCGCTCCCTATATATCCGTCCGAAAGACATGTTTGTTTTCCACATTTCATATATATATAAATCAGTGATCAAAAGTTAAGGGTGTTTGTGGCTTCTCATTGGTATCGACTAGGCTAGTCTGTATATAAGCATTTTCCGCTAGCCCGTTAAACGGGTTAGCGTTCAGTCTCTTCATACAATACAACCTATTGTACTAACACGCGTAACTAGGCCATCTACCTCGCTTACCCACCTAAACCTAGAGACTGCGTGGTCTCACCAAATGCTAAGAATGGAGGTCCTTTTAATATTGACCTATGTATATATATATCTGTGTGTGTGTTTGTGTGTGTGTCGAGGTATTGTATTAATTGGCTTCAATTTGTTCCTGTCTTGTCCTGACGACTCCAATTATTCCCTAGGCATTCACTCGCCTCCAAATCTTCAATGGCATCGGACCCGGACTCAGATTTGTCGTCTCGCGGATTGGAGGATTCCAGTCAGGATGAGGCAACGCAAACTCAAATCGGTGTACCAAAGAAGCAATGAGGACTGTTTGTTCTAGGTAGCTAATATTCCGGCCAATGCAGCCTCGCGCCCCGGTACTGAAGGGAATAAAGTATGGCTGCAGAGATTTGCCCTCCTCTCCCAACCACCGCTCCGGCTTATAGATATTATGATCCTTGAAAACCGACTCTTGGTGATGCATCACAAAAGACGAAATGCTAACCGATGTATCTCCAGCGACATATTCGTTGAGGATCAAAGTACCTTCCATAGGCGTTCGGCGAGGCAAACCAAATACAATGGGGGGAGCATTCGAAGACTCTCGTCTATGCATGCCCGGAGATATGGCAGGTGTTTGACTTTGCCATATGGTGCAACGACCTCATCTTCTTCCAAAACTTCGTCAAGCTCCTCACGAAGCTTGGCCAGGCATTTGGGATTTCTCAGTAGGAAAAAGAGAACGTTTCGAAGCGCAATAGCTGTGGTATCGTGTCCCGCATTCATCATAATATTAATCTCCGCGACGATCTCCCCCATTCTAGATTGTGAGGTGTTCCGTTTTTGTCTTCCATTAGAACTGTAAAGAAATCGTCTAATTTCTCGCCATTCATATGTCGCTTCAGTCGTGTAGTCGCACGGTTATAAACAATACCGCCCCAGTCCCCATCTAACCGCCACATACGCCGATAGCTTGACGAAATCGCATTGCTAAGTCGGCGGAGAGTCTTGAACCAGTCGTAAGACCAGACCAACTGGTAGGATACTCTCTGTGTAGCAGTATGACATTCCCTGAAGGAGACATTTTTAACTGTGCCATCCTTGCTCTCAGACTTCACTGTGTCGGATCCCTCATTAAGAAAACCGAGATCTTCGCTGAGACCAATATTCGCGATCGCAGCTGCGGTCCACAAGACCGTCCAGTTCCGATAATCAACCGTTAGATCTTCCTCTTTTGGATTCTGATTTGGAGGCAGTGGATCAGTGCACCGCTTATCAAAAGCCTTGATAAGTTTTGCGCTGACGTCCGCCACCTTAAACTCCCACTCTTCAAGATTCTTGACCGCATAGGCGCTTGACAGCACCTTTCTCTTCCGGGCGTGTTCCGTTTTGTTCACGACGTCCGCAAGGTGGCTGTGTGAGCCTCCAGTCTCGGAGTAGAAACGATCCTTGATGCAGCTCGTATTGTGACCGTAGATATCCTTGATGGCGTTGGGATGGGAGTAAGATAGCGAATTCGGACCGACTCGTAAAACGGGATGCTTTTTGTGGGCTTCGAAGAGATTGCGTGAACGGAAGCCTCTGTGGGCTTCGTAAATAAACGGTATATCTGATATGCCGGACAAAAGGTAGAAGTTGGGATATTTCCTGAGACCCTTCGGGTCAAGAAAGTACTTGATAACTGGGATCACTAAGAAGTACCCCAACACGACCAGAGCTAATGCGAGGGCATACATTGTGTTCAAACGGGATAAATTGAAGACACGAGAGTATCCATTCTCAAGAAAGAGTGAGATCCAAGGCCGCTAAAATAGATTTCGAGATGTTAGCAATGGGGGTTTGACATTTCGGAGGTATAGTTCGGCGAGAGTTACATATATTCGGCTAGCCACGTCGATAATAACTATAATAGGAAATGGTCGTCATACTCCCTTACAACCTCGGAAATTAGTTAGCAGGCCTTTCACCGATGTAGATATTTTCCCCGCGGCAGCAAACTTTAGTTACAAAAATATATGGGTCCGATCTTCTGATTCACTTTGTACCTGGAGCTTTGCTGCTAATTTCGTGATGCGCGGTCCAATGGACGCTGAATTGGCCACCGGAACCCAGGGTTTTAAACCCCGCACTCCGGGGGTGGAGATGGCCGGCGACGCCTTACCCTTATTTCTCCTCGCCATGCATCAATTGTTCTTCATTATTCCCATTTTCTACTAGTAGGCACATCTATCTCAATCATGCGGCGGAACAGGGCCGTTCCCTGGTGAGTTACCCACTCTGCAGTCGTGCGCTCATTCGCTAACAGATTAATTGCCAAGTCAGGAATGTCGCTGTGAGTATATCGTATCTACAATTGGTAACTATTGACTGATCATATCATGTCAGACCGACATGCAAAGTGTGAGTACATTCAGAGGTCCTCAGACAACAAGAGACTGACCAAAGTACCCAACTAGGTGACGGGCGAAAGCCGAAATGCCGCCGCTGCGAACGGACTGGATCCACGTGCGTCTGGCAAGCTATCACCTTGGGCTTTCGTCATGGCTCTAGTGCCAATGCCCAATATGAATTCTCGGATGATCAGCCTTGGTTATCTATCGGCCACGGTTCGTGCCTCTCAATTTGCCAGCCGAGACCCGTTGAAGCATGTCACCATTCCTATCTAAACGATGCATCTATCGAGGTATGGCTCTGCTGATTATCATAACTGACTACTATAAGAAGTGAGTTACAAGTATGTGGATGAGACAGCCGACATAGCCCGACATTACTCGGTAAACTTGGGCTGTTGTCCATCACGGCCCTCGGCCTCAGAAAGACGCCAAAGTGAAGTTTCAATTGACCAACAGGCCCTGACGGGGTCATCTATCTTGAGCGATACAATCGGGTCACAAAATTCTGACCCTTTCTTGCCGCCACATCGGCCCGATGGCGCTTTAGCCGGCTACTCCCCATATCAGCTACAGCTATCGCCTCAAAACCCGTCCCCGGTATCTTCAGCCTCGCCTCGTTTCTCCCAGAATAGCTATGCATCTCTCGGACCCGATGATCTCTCCAATATAATTGAGACTAGTTTACCTAATTCAAATGAGCATGAGGCATGTCTCATGCGGTATTTCGTTGTTCATCTCGCTCCTTGGGTACAGTACTCGCATTCCCCTTCTTTCTTTCTTTCTTTCCGAAAAGTGTCACTGACAGCCCACTGTTTATAAAAAGTTTGATATATGCGATAAAGAGAGACACTTTGCCTGCACTGTTCCCTTAAGGGCACAAACATGTCCACCGTTACTTAACGCCATCTATACTGCATCGGCAAGACACTTGAGCCGTGTCAGAAAATACTATGTTGGAAACCAGATTCACTATGAAGGCAGAGTCCTTCCCAACCTAACGCCAGAAACCGCCATTCACTATCATAATGAATGCATTGCCTATTTTGTGTCTTTATCGGACCACTCGCGCGAAGCCCAAGATGAAAATCTTCTAGCCGCAGCTGTGATTCTTCGCTTCTATGAGGAGGTAGATGGTGAGTCAACGCAAATTCCCCGTCTACGACTTCACTCGTTCCGCATTTGTGGCTAATGCTTTCCTTTTTCTGTTCTATATATCAGTTCCTTCCGTTGGCCAGGACACTGAAAGTGCACTCCGTGGCATCCAAATATTCCTCGACGCGCAAGCCGACTCCGCTGTAGCGGACTACGGACTACGACATGCAGCCTATTGGATCGCCCTACGTCAAGAGATAATCACAGCATTCAGCAAACAGCGAACCTTCCGACTCCCACTTGGGCCCTGCGAGCCCTACAGGTCCTTTGAGCCCGCAGATGACTATGTCTGGGCCGACCGGCTTGTCATACACTGCGCTGACGTCCTACAATATTGCTACGGATCCGAAGAACAGCATCTCCCCGGCGACCACCAATTCCACACATCAAGCATAGGAATAATCCACCCTCTCCCCGCCAGCGAAAGACGAATACCCAGGTACGACGAACTGGTCGCATTCGAAACGTTCTGGACCGAGCTAGGCCCGCCAAGTTTCAACCCCATGTATGCACGTGAAGCAGATCGGTCGCGCGGAGAAATCTTTCCCGAGCTGTGGTACCTGAACAACTGCCATATTGCCGGGTTACAATTTCTGGATCTTGCGCGGATCCTGCTTGCTGTTTATAATCCCCGTTTGCCTCGCCTTGGCACTGGGCAACGAACGGCGATGCGCTCGGTAGATAGGAAAGTACGCGCGATCGTATTACGGATATGTGGTATTGCCTTTTCCAACCAGCATAGTCCCCCGGGATTGGTAATAGCCTCTATCGCAATTGGGATGTGCGGTGACCGGTTCACTGATCGACTGGAGCAGGAGGCTTTACTTGAGGTGCTGGTGAAGCTGCAGGATGAACATGCGTATGCCACGTTAAGTACGCGGGAGCAATTGAAGGAAGCGTGGGGGTGGCATGGGTATGAGGGGTCTGAATAAGGAATGAGTAATCATCAAAAAGCTCAATATCACATTCTGTGTATAATAATATGAATCAATCGCATAACTGCAGTTCTAACTAGTATTAATCCCCACATTGAGAGACCTTCATCTGGGTGCATTCTAGTGCGGAGGAGAAACAAACTTCTCTCCACCCTAGGACCGTCAATGCAGCAAATGCGATCTCATCTCCAGGCATATGAGATTTTTTTTCTCAACCCCGCAATTCCGTAGCCATGCTGGTTCAGCCAAAAAGTATACAGGAAGTACGGGGAGGAATGGAGACATATCGCAACACCCGCTAACCATATCAGGCAATTATCGCCCGCGACTTACCATTCCCAGTAATTCTAATAATACTGCACGAATGTCGCCGCTGGTGGGAAGGAATTTGAACTCTATACGCGACGTGTTTTGAAGAGTACCGAGAAGCCCCTTGGTCAATCATCGGCGATGATCTCCACAGGCGGCAATTCTCGGTTTCACCACCGGTTCTTGCAGATACACGAGGTATCGAATTCGGATAGTGTCCATCATGCGGGGAAGTCTGTGGTTACGCCGGCTGATAGTATGGGCCTGCTCTAGAGCAGAGACCAGACGTTAATAAATAACTCGGATCTCAGATGGTGCAAAGTCGCAATCTACCGCTTGACTAGACAATCTCTCATCATTACATTGCCTACACCGCAACGACCATCACCGCGTCGTCGAATACAAGCACTTCATCTCACCACAGACCTTGAGCCATGTCGTACGGGGACCACCGTGTTAAGTTTGCGCTTTTCGGCCTCGGCCGCTTGGGAGTCCTTCGAGCCCGCATCCTCGCCTTCCAGCAGCCTCGGATCGAACTCGTCGCCGTCTGCGATACAAAACCAGGCACTGACAAATGGGCCGCAGAGAATCTGCCCCCGTCTGTCAAGTATTTCTCAGACCCTCAAGAATGCTTGAAGAACAGCGACGCTGAGGCCGTCCTCATCTGCACCGCGACGGCTACTCACGCGCCCTTGATCCTGCAGGCCCTTGAACTAGGCTTGCACGTCATGTGCGAGAAGCCCGTCTCGGTGGACATAGCTACTACCAAGGCAGTGGTCGAGAAGTCTGCTTCTAGGCCTGACCTCAAGTTCCTCGTTCCCTTCACTCGCCGATGTAAGTAAAACTACGCCCCGCGCTTTGCAGACTTCCGAGACTGACTCGCGCCAGATGACAAGTCCTACCGCCAGGCTAAGGCCCTGATCGACAATGGAGACCTGGGTGAAATCCACGCTGTTGAGACGACTGGTATCGACCAAGCAGACCCCAATGGTATGGCCCTAATTGCCCCTAGTTGTTGTCTTTCGCATAGGCTGATAGACTGACCATTCTGATTAGCCTTTTTTGTGTCCTTTTCTGAGCAGTCTGGTGGCATTTTCCTTGATTTTGGCATCCACACTGTCAGTCCTAATATTCTTCTCTCACCCACTGTCCTATCTACTAATACTGCACTAGGTCGACGCCGGACGATACCTGTTGGATGTCAAGTCAGGCATCTCCAACCCTAAGAAGCAAGTCAATCGAGTCATCGCCTTCGGCCAGGTGGCTGTCTACGGGGACTTAGCCAAGTATGGCGACGCCGACAACGCATGGGGCCTGGTGGAATTTGCCAATGGCAAGATTCTCAAAACTTACCTTGGTCGCACGCTCACCAGCGGTTTCGAGGACACGACTCGATTGTGTGGCACCAAGGGACATTCAATCATCAGCGCTAACTCGAATGTTGAGATTCGCGACCATCTCGGTATTCGCACACAGTCTGTGCCTGATGCGTTCACTCTCTTCGATACGACATTCCTGACTGACCTTGCCGAGTTCGCCGATGCGGTGCTCGATAACAAGCCCTTGACTTGTCAACCAGAGGATGCCTTCGAGGCGGGCAAGATCTGCGCTGCTCTGCAGTACTCATTCCGCAAGGGTGTTCCCGTATACTTCGACGACAGTGGTCTACCTATCATGGAGTAATTTATGAAGTAATTGCATATATTACAAGATAGAAAGAAAATAGACATACGATGGGTAGACTTCATCTCAAATTTTATGGTACTTATAGAAGAACTGTACTATGTTTCAAGTTTATAGTATTGCACTTCAGATCAAAAGCGGGCCTTGTAGCTACGGAGTTACGGTATGGACTGTTGACCTCAAAGGACTCTGCGATACATTAGTTTTAACGTAAATGTCGAGAATCAGCGCGTTGTTTCATAATTCAGCGGTATTTCAATAATTCGCCTAAGGCGAATGGAGCCCAACCGTTATATAGCTTGAGGACCATGTCAGTCTTGGTTAATCGCGACAAGAACCAGGAGCGCGGGCTCGACACACCATCTGTAAATTTTGAACTAGAACCAGCAAGGGAAGCATGTTCCCTAAGATTTTCAGTTAACTTTCAGACTCCAAATATTCCTGGTTTTGTGACAGGCATGTAGGAAGCACCAAAATACGAAGCACCCTTTGGTGCTGTTGGGGCGTCACGGTCCGGTGATCCTGACCAGCCCGATCGACCAGTCTTGTGCGCCAATGATGTACCCTACATCTTCAACATCATCGCCTCGCTGCCTGATCCTCTCTTCATGCTCGCGGGGTCGCCTACAGCGCATTGGTAAGTCCGCATTTTGTGAATCCATGAATCGCTCGGCCGAAAGTAACCCAGCCCGAGAATCATTGTTTGAGCCCCACGGCATTGATCAGCCCTCTGCCGGCGCACACAATTTGAGCACGGCACTACAAAGAAAAGACTGAATTAGCTGGAAATATGAATAGCATGACTGTTATTGGGGGAGAAGGGAGCTGCCATGCACCACGTCGGTGGCATTCCATTTTTAGGCGACGACATTCTCTGTGGATGCAATCCGTAATTTAATCGTAATTCGCCTATGTGTACTTAGTCTTCTGTGAGGAGTTGCCATGACAGGTATAGGACGCTATCTGTTGCCACTGCTTTTCGTCGGTCTTAGACAAGGATCGGCTTCGTCCGAGTTCCGGTGTTCGATGCGAATAAGTGTTTCGTCCGAGTCACTCAGAACCTGCGAGACAATATCGGGCGAACGTCGCCGCGAGGGTATATCGCCGGGCATATCCAGAAACAGCAAGTGAAGGATTAAGGAGTGACCTGATGCGGGGTATGGGCTTGTTCAGTCGTGTGATATTACTAAATACGGTTAATGCGGCGTCACTTTCCCGATTCGGAGATATCTGGGTTGATCAACTTCTCATTTTGTGGACGCATAGTAGGTATATAGTAGATATATAGATCATTCAATGGCTTTGACACTGAACAGTGTCTATAAACAGCTCTGAATCATTCGTATTTTCGCGAGATCAGCCTGTGAATATTGCTTAAGAGGCACCTTTTCAGCATCTTTCCCGTCATAATAAGAGAAAATGGCACCTTACATGCAAGAATCCGCTGGCGCCAATCCTGTCTCTAAGGCTAGCCTCCAGTCCGAGAGCGCGGTGCTCAACCACGACCAGGTCCCAAAGCCCGTCGCGGACGACTTTATGTACGACTTCAAGTACAACCACAGTCTCCCCACTACCGACATCTTAGGCATTGAGATCCCCACCGATTGCGATGCTCAGAAGGAGGCCGAGGGCATCGTAGCTCGTCTCTCTGCAACCACATCAGAGGGAGATGCGCAAGATTTCGCTGGGCTGTTCCTCGATTATGGTGAGATCCTTCGCAAACCAGATCCGAAATCTCTATTTTAGCTGACCTCAGATGTACAGGCGTATGGCGTGACAAGCTCTCGTTCTCCTGGGACTTCCGCACATTTAACTTCAGAGAGGCCATCCTAAAAGCCGCTACCGACCTTTTGCCTCAAACCAAGGCTAGAAATTTCAACTTTCTCGAGCCTGCACCTTTTGTGTCTCGCCCTTACCCTGACTTCTCTCAGCTGCAATTTGTTGTATCTTTCGAGACTGAGATTGTCCTTGCTTCGGCCGTTATCAATGCAGTACTCACCCAAGATGGCTGGAGAATTTACACCATGCATTCTGTTGCCGAGAGCCTCAAGCAGTTCCCCGAGCGGGCCGCACCAGATGGACACATGACCGGTATCACTAGCTGGGAGAGTCAGAGATCCGAGGCCATCAACACTGTTGACCCTGAGGTGCTGATCATCGGTGGTGGTCAAAAGTAAGAACCCATGCAAGTGAGCTCCATGATATAGTGCTAACCTATTTCTACTAGTGGTCTCGCTATGGCAGCGCGCTTGAAGGTTCTTGGGATGGAAAACCTGATCATCGAACGCAGCGAGGAAATCGGAGATATCTGGAAGAAGCGTTATGAATATCTTTCACTGCACTTCCCACACTGGCCCGATGCCTTGCCATACTTCAAATACCCTCAGCATTGGCCCACGTATACCCCGGCTCAGAAGCAGGGTCTATACATGAAATGGTATGCCTCCGCTCTGGAGCTCAATGTCTGGACCAAATCGGAGGTTGTCAAGGCGGAACAGGACGCCGAGGGTAAGTGGACCGTTGTAGTCAACAAGGAGGGCAAGGAGACTCGTACGCTGCACCCTAAGCAACTCATCATGGCCACGTCGCTATGTGGCGTCCCTTCCACCCCGGCCGTGCCTGGCATGGCTGACTTCCAGGGCGTGATCCGTCACTCCAGCGACCACAAGAGTGCTCGTGACTTTGTCGGAAAGAAGGTCTGCGTCGTCGGTACCTCGTCCTCGGGCTTTGACACAGCTTACGAGTGCGCCCGCCTGGGAATTGATGTGACCCTCCTCCAGCGGTCACCGACTTACGTCATGTCTTTGACCCATTCTGTTCCACGCATGCTTGGAGGTTACGCGCCCGACAAGAACGGCAACCTCCCCGATACCGAAGTACAGGATCGTCTCATGTTCTCTACGCCAGTTGGCCCCGGAGAAGAAATCGCCAGGCGCACCGCTAAGGTCCTTGAGGATCTCGACAGGCCCCTGCTCGAAGCTCTTAACGCTCGAGGTCTGCGAACATGGCGCGGCCAGCGCGATACTGGCAACTCCACACTAAGTCAGACCCGGAACGGTGGATTCTACTTCGATGCCGGTGCTTGCGAGGAAATCATCAATGGCAATATCAAGGTAGAGCCAGGTTTCATTGAGAAGTTCACCGAAGATAAGGTGATCTTAAACGGCGGCCGTGAGAAGGAGTTTGACCTAGTCGTCTTTGCCACCGGATTTTCGAACACCATCGACTCCATTCGAGCCACTTTAGGTGAGAAGATTGCCAGCCAATGCGGACCTATTTGGGGCATTGATGAGGAAGGCGAGTACAAGACGGCCTACCGGGAGACGGGAGTGCCTAACATGTGGATCATGGTTGGTTTCCTTCCAATGACCCGGTATGCCTCCAAGTTATTGGCTTTGCGACTGAAGGCTCTAAAGGAGGGCATCTCCCCACCTCCTTACAAAGTCTAGTTTCTATAGATGAAATAGATTGTGCCCTAAAATGACCGAGTTTTTGTTCATCCACTTGCTAGATTTTGTACCTAAGAAACAAACATGAAAGTGCAGGTAACACACGCTGAGATGTTTCTGGGGAATTTCGGAGGACCGCATCGCAGTTTCATCAATTGGGTTGAAGAATCTTAGCGACTTGATCTCCTCCCCAAGGAACTGCGACAATTTTAAAGGAACAATGAAGGAAACTTGGCAAAGGTTTCTCACCATTTCAGCATGAGTGATGTATTTAGGTCAAAGCCAGTTTCACATTTCTTTAATTTCACTTCTTCGACCGCTACATGTACTCTGCCATCACCCGCTATGGGAGAGAAACCCGATCGGATTACATTCTATTTCAGGCAAGACAGGTTTTAGCGATCAGCAAATCTTATCATTCACATCTAAATCTCCTTTCCAGTCTATAAAGGGTGACATTTCCATAGAGGATTGTAGGACTCTAGATCCAAATCAGGGGACTTCACTGCTTGTACCAGTCATCAAAACCGAGATCCCATCCAAACAGAGGCGTATTGATACGCTTTGCCTTTCCTTGTGCAGCCAGGCCATCCAGTACATCCATATCTTCGCGCGAGAGAGGGATGACTTGACTGTTGCTCACGATTCGATTTTCTTTAATAGACTTGGGCAGTACAACAACGCCTCTGTTAACGTGGTAGCTGATGAGTACCGTGGCGGGTGAAACATCATTCTTCTTAGCGATCTCCTGGATTGCGGGATCGGACATGAGCGGAGCGCCTGAAAACAACCAAGTTAGCTAGCGTTACCTCAGGGAAACCCCACACAGCATGTCAAGGAGCACTTACCTTCGGAACCAAGTGGTGAATACGCCTCGAGGAGAATGCCATTCTTGTCGCACCACTCCTTCAGTGCGTGCTGAGGAAGGAAAGGGTGTAACTCGACCTGATTGACAGCAGGGACCACGGTCCACTTCTTTTTGAGCTCCTCTAGATAGGGAATCGACCAGTTGGCCACGCCGATCGCTTTCACTTTGCCGGCCTTGTATACCTCCTCCATCTGGGCCCAGGTCTTACTCTGGTCCCAGGATCGGTCGACTGATCGTGTGCCATCCGGATTGACTGGGAGAAGCGCGCTCGACTCGTTCTGTGCGTACAAGTTAGTCATGTATATGTCATGATGAAGGGAAACAGCGGAGTGACTTACAGGAACAAGTCGGACTGGCCAGTGGATGAGCTGATGCTTTTGTTAGCCGAGCTATCAACAGGCGTGCAGCGTCTGCACAAAGGAGAAGAGGGTTAATTTACGTAGAGGTCAAGGTAGTCCGTGCCTAGAGCGTCAAGCGTCTTTTGGAGACCTTCCGCGACATTAGACTGGTGGGTGTTCCACAACTTGCTGGTGATGAAAATGTTTTGGCGAGGGACACCACTATCCTTGATTCCCTGGCCGACTTCATGCTCGTTTCCTAGCTATCCCGTTAGACCCAAAAACTTGTTTTTCCTTGTCACAACCCACCGTATATCCTGTCATTTATTAGCCAAGACTATGCCTACAAAAGAGACATGGGAATCTTACAATGCTGCATCAATGTGACCATATCCGTTCTTGAGGGCGAACGAGACCGCTTGGCGTACCTGACCAGGTTCAGACCTCCAAGTGCCTGGATTTCTTGTCAGCAAAAACCACTAAGGCCAGCAGAAACTAGCTCTTGTATCATACCGAGTCCCACGGCGGGGATCTGGGCGCCGGTATTAAGCTTGAAATGAGTTGAGGGTGCCATATTGATTGTGATAGAAGATGATGGTGGTGGGAGACAAAATGTAGGGACCCGTGGCTTTATGCTACACTTTTGGAGTGAATCACGTAGGACGCGAGAAAGAGTTCATAAATGGGGCCCTTATTATAGTTGAGAGGGTCTCGCCTGGACTGATGTCAACCGAAACATATCGCATAGTCTGGAATAAGTGCCCCTGCGCGAGAGTGGGCGAACTTCAGGTCGGTCCCTTAGGGAAATTTTGCGCGGTTGTGACCCGAGACATGTCGGCCGGCTTGTTCTGAAGATCTACCCGGTCCTCTTCTTACCTGATTGAGTAACAAGTGGGCGAATTACTTGCGGATCTAAACAGTCAGTCCCACCCGTTCGCCGCACAATGCGCCGCCGCAACCTTCCAAATACGGTAATATTGTGCCCGGGATGGAACGTCAAAACACCGGGGAAGGTCCAGTCCCACAACCTTAAGGCAAAGAGTGTAGTCTTTCCTGACCAGAACAGTGGATGCTTCCTTTCAGGTTTGCTGCCAGATCTAGGATCCTAACATAGCCTAACTAAGGGTATGTGCCACAATCGCCCGAGCCTAGGTTGCTCACCTGGCTGCTCACACTGTGCTGCTCACCCTCTCTATAGCGCAGTCACCCTGGTTGAACACGGTGACGTCAATCAAAGGCGGTATCACTAACCAAGATATTGATCAAATGACAGACAAGGAGCGAATCTGGCCTAACTCTTCTTAGTCATAAGAATCCTACCCCATTCGGTTCAACCTCGGTCTCGGATTTGATCAATAATCAAGCTGCACTGTATGTTTAAGCTATTTCTGAGGCATTTTCAAGAAACCAGACTAATCAAGTCCAATCCCACAGAAGTATCCATGTCCACGCGGCATTTGATTTTGCACAGCCTCGGGTCATTGTTCCAGACTATGATCTTAATCTAATTTTTCCCCCTATATCCCTTACAGACATACTTACTTATGCAGAGTGATTTGAATGATAGGATGTAGCTGCGGGGAGAGTGGAGTACAGTTGGAATATTGATCACTCATCACCGGCTGCCACCAAGAATATTTGCTTCTTCCCCTGCGCGCAACGAGACTGCTAAAATCTTATATTGAGAAACGGATTGCACTCAGGACGCCGCCAGACATTGCTTCGTCCAAAAATCAGTACAATAGTCTCTGGTACATACTCTTTTTACGTGGAACCCTTTTTCATCATATCGATTCACCTACACTATGCCGGATTGGAGAATCTACCACCCGTCCGGTACCTTCACTGATCCGGATCAAAGAGAGAAACTCTCACAGGCCATTACCTCGATATATACACGTGTCGGACTCCCCGCATTCTACGTTGTTGTCTTATTCATTGAGATGCCTTCAGCCACTATGTACCGAGCCGGATTTCCATGTGTAAGCTCCCGGGAATTGCAGTGGTGCTCAAATTGCTAATTTCATTTATTGGGCAGTCGACGAAAGGGAAGAAACCCTTTGTAAGGCTTACATTCAGCCATATCGCTAGGCACTTTCCTCCTGGCGAGAGTCCTCAGAGGACTCGCTTTATGAACAACGTCCACGACACATTGAAGCCCTTTATTGCCGACAAAGGTTATGACTGGGAGGTCAATGGCGAGGAGCTCGAACGTGAATTTGTGCACATCAATGGTCTTAGGATTCCTCCTACTGGCTCCGAGGACGAGAAGAGGTGGTCCCGGGACAATGAACCGTCTCCTTGGGGTCCTTATCTCACAGAGTAGCCTGCGTCAGTTGTAGGAAAGAGATGAGAAGGGCGAGGTCCTCCGGTATTGGCCCAGAAAGGGTGCTGGCGCGTTGACATTGTGGTTCAGCCGTAATTTAAGCTCATGAAGTGCAATAATGGTGAAGTCGATTTTCGTCTATTCTGATGCATATACTATTTGAGTTGAGTGGCGTACCTTAGTGGGCATGTCTTTTATTGCTATCTTTATCATAGGAAAATACGAGTGGTGAGATAAAACAACCTATCTTTCTTTTGACCTCTAAGAAAGTGGAAGAGGGAAGTTTCACACATATTTTATATCTCTAATTTTAAACCGAAGGTCGTTAAGTGGCTTTTGGATGTAAGATATTCCTTCTTGAAAGGTGTGGGCGTGGGGTAGGATGTCCATCCTCGAACGTCGACTACGACGAAAACCAAAACAATGGGACACGACAATAAGGCCATGGCTACATGATATATCTGTCAGGCTCTGGCCGGTACATTCAATGTGTTATTTTACGCAGGCCAACCCCGAGCTGGCACCAAGGTTGCCAAGATCTGCTGCCAGATGGTAGATAGGAGCTATTTAAGAATGGAAAAGCTCCAGTACGAGTACTGTACATTGGACTATTTATTTACTAACGGCCAAAGGCTCATTCAATCTCCAGAATTTCACTTCTTATTGGACATGATCGGCGGAAGCTGACAATCTACGCCGGCCTTGTTCATAACTTATCAGCCCCTCTGGATGCTCTCATGAACGATGGTCGCATGTGATATCCCGAATTGCTTTAATATATGATGTGTAAGAGGAATGGGGATCTCAGAGGGCTTAGAAGGTTCTAAGAGGGTACGAGGGTTTGAGTTTAGCAAATCATCGTTATATAACTTAATAGAAGTCTACCTAGTCGAACCTCCCATTTCCATAGTCTACGTCTTCTATATTTAGAAGACAAATCCTATATAGTCTCGGAATGATAAATTTCAGACAAAACCGGCACATATTGTGCAGTCACGTTTTTAGCTATAATTGTGTTGTTGTTGTTTGCCTATTCACAAAATATCCAATCCTGAACTACAGATACCACTTACTATCCATGTTGCGGATATGGGGATATGGATATGTTGACGTTGCCCAGCATAGCCTTGGATCCGGTACAGGACACTTCTGAACTTATCCCTTTGAGCCCGTAGCGTACTTGTCACTGCTGTACCAGATAATAAGCACAGGCACCTGTGGCTCGCGCTCTTATTCCCAAGAGCTAGACTCTGCCTGCTTTGGTCGAGGGGCATCATGTGGCGTCATAGCTACCTAAGCTTTGGGTAAGCAGCGCCTGAGCAACAGCGGGGAGGGCGCTATTTCCGATCTGGCGACGCCACAAACCACGCTGCAACTCCGCATCAAGCCCGCGCTGATGGATGGCGGGGTTTGCAGACTAATAACCGAGCGGATAAATGCATGGTTACATCTCAGTAAGACTTGTCCCGCTAGAAGGCCCGAGACCCGTACGATATCCACGGATATTGGTCCATATATTTGATTATAGCCTATAATATGGCACCAAGAATCGTTCATTCAACGTCCATTGTTCATATTGTTGGCGCGCAAATGAGAGAACCCCGAAAAAGGGTAACCCTCCGATCCCCAGATTCCCCAACGGAGCCTACTCCCTTTCTCCACAAAATACGTCGGAGTTTGCATTTACCCGTAAGGCCAGGTTGTATGCACTTAACTTTTAAAATTTCACCATGTGCCATGATGTTGTTCGAGGATTGTCGAATTTGGTGTCATTATCTGCTAGGATAATCATCTGTCAACATGGCTCGCATCATCTCCAGTCTCGCCATTTTGGCCAGCATGTCAGCCGATCTCATGGAGGTCAGAGCCGATGGAAGTCTCTCACCTCCATCAAAGGAACGCTGGTCCAGCGGGTTCCACCTCGGTGTAGACTATTATCCTTCGCATTGGCAAGAGGAAATGTGGGAAACTGATGTAGCCCGCATGAGAGACACAAACCTCACTTACGTACGTATCAGCGAGTTCGACTGGACTTTACTGGAGCCCGAAGAAGGGAATTACAACTTTACCATTCTTGACCAAACCATCGAACTCCTCGGCCGTCACAACTTAAAGGCTATCATCGGAACGCCGACTGCCGCGCCGCCAAACTGGATTTGTGAGAAATACGACATTTACCCCGTTGACGTCTACAACGATACCCTGCACTTTGGATCCCGGAGACACTATAGCTTCTCCTCTTTTAACTACCGACGGCTCAGTCAAAACATCACGGAAGCGTTGGCTAAACGCTATGGAAACAACTCGATCGTTGCTGGCTGGCAACTGGACAATGAATTTGGAGGCGCTAGAAGCTTCGATCAAAACGCAATGAAGCGTTTTAGGACATGGCTCGAGGCAAAGTACAATACTATCGAGAACCTCAATGAGAGACAAGGTCGAGTCTTCTGGTCTTCTCAGTATACCAGTTTTGAAACAGTCATGCCTCCATTTTTAGAGGTCTACATGAACAACCAGGCTCATAAGCTTGACTGGTATCGATTTAGTTCGGACATGGTTATCGACTTTGCCAAAGAACAAGCGTCAATACTGAGAAAATACGCCCCAAACCAAGCTGTCACGACCAACTTCATGAACATGTTTACTGAGTTCGACCATCACAAGTTTTCTCGCGAGGTAGGGCTTGACTTTGCGACATGGGACAACTACCCGCTTGCCGGACTCACTTCGTTTTCTTGGGTGACCGAGCAGGAGCAAGCCGATTATTTGCGGACTGGGCTCCCGGATCTTCAAGCCATGAACCACGCACTATATCGCGGTATTGCAGGAGCGGCTTACGATAAACCTTCAGGCCCCTTTGGGGTTATGGAATCCCAACCTGGGCTGGTGAACTGGAGTCCGTACCGGGTGTCTCCACTGGACGGCATGGTGAGACTCTGGACGCACGAGGTGTTTGCAGAGTCCGGTGACTTCGTGTCCTATTTCCGATGGCGGCAGGTCCCCTACGCACAGGAGCAGACGCTCTCGGGTTTATTTGTGTCCGACAACTCCCCTGATCGAGGTTACTTGGAGGTTCAAGCCGTTGCGAGCCAAGATCTAGAAAAGCTCCGAGAAGCGGAGGGAACCATAGGGCAAGATCAAGGAGATGTTGCTCTAATCTTTGACTATACTGCCGACTGGGTATGGGAAATCGAACCACACAGTGGCGGGTGGGACAACAAGAAATCCCAGTACGAGGGTGCTGTGATAAACTACAAAGACATTGTCTACAGTTTCTACTTGGCCATCCGCCGCCTCGGGCTCTCGGTTGACATCATTAGTGCCCATCAACCAATCGACGGCTACAAGATGGTAGTCGTTCCAAGTCTCCCAATTATCCCAGACGCCTTCAACTCAGCCCTATCCAACTACTCTGGGCCAGTTGTTTTCGGACCAAATTCCGGGTCCACGTCAGCGGACTTCTCTTACGCCTTAGGCCTGAACCCTTCCAATGGAACGCTACGTGAGCGCCTTCCCATGCGCGTCACCCGAATCGAAACAACACCTAGCTATGCTGGAAGCAGTGTGTCCTATGCCGGCTCGACTTTCAATATCTCGAGCTGGGAAGAGTGGATCAGCTGCGAGCGAGACAACCGGATGAGTAAAGCCACAGTCTCGTATTCTTCGGCGTTTCGCAAAGGCAAACCCGCCGCATGCTCAAAGGATGGAGCTCATTATTTAGCATTCAACCCCCCTCCAGATTTTCTGGTTTCATATCTTGGTGACGTGGCCGCGGACGCAAATATCAAGGCTCTGACGGGGAAGCCGGCGAGTAAGGATGGCGATCTTGGTCCTACGATACGATTGGCGAAACGTGGGAACCTGATCTGGGTATTCAACTACGGTTTGGAGTCGGTAGAGCCGCCTAAGATTGAGGGAGCAAAGCTGTTAATAGGGGATCGGGACGTGATTCATCCAGCTGACCTTGCAGTATATAAGCTCTAACGTCTGTGCCATCTCTTTCTCTCTCGCTATCTTTTATGTTTATTTCTTTGGGCACTATTGGACTTCTTGCAAGTACTCTCATAATTGCGTTTTTGGGTATTTTCGCGTATTCGCCTTTCCCCGTGAAATAAAACTTCATTCTTGATTATTTGAGATTGCCGCGACGAGAACCTGACTTAACCAAACAACACCACACCATCTTATGGCGATAATTATTTGGATACTGGTCTAATTTGGTGTTGAAAATTCTTTCCCCATATTCATTACCAAAATTTTGATTACTTGTAGGGTTCATGTAATATAATGCATTGGAATTGGCCATTTCTGGACGGGATGGGCGAAATAGATTAAATCACCGAGTCCGATTTTCGACCTCAAAACTAAAAACTTTTTGATAATGACAACCACGCTAAGCATGCTTCGGGCAGATGTCTGCTCGATGTGATAGGTTTGAAGATAGAGCTGACAGACTTTCCGTAGCCCCTATTCTGTCTGTCTTCCGATGCAATTCTCTCCGTCATTACTCAGTTAGTAGATTGACCAAGCTCTCTTTAGCTCATTATGGTACAAGCGTCCCCTTATCTTAATGAACCAAAGAGAGGTCAACTCTAACATACGCATCTACTGAAGAAAGAAAACCGTCGAGGATAGCCCAACAGCGGGATAAGCGCCAGTCTGCCTGTGCTGCACAACGCGCCCACCATGTGCGGACAAGTGGAGTTTGCCGTGCCATGTCTGTTCAGTCCCTATTAGAATAGAATCCCTGGAAGACCACATGGGTTTACACGCATTTCTGGCCTGCCATCGACATTGGCAGGGACTAACCTGACGATATTATTCAGCTCGTCGACTGTTTTCATGGCCGAGCCGAGGGTTGATGCCCGCTCAGCAGGCGAAGCTGTGGTATCACAGATACCATCAGGGACAAGGGAACCACTGGAGCAATTAGGTGAAGTTTACACACCGATGCCAGACTTATATTGGCTAAAGACACACTGACAGAAGGAGCAAATTTCGACATTGTTAATTTGTGGCATGGGGATGTAACGAGCGATGAACCTCAACCGGTACCAGTGACACTCACGGTCCTTTGACGCTGGATTCTCTTGCCAGGAATCTCTACAGTCTCCAGCACTACTGTGCCTGCTGCTGCCCATTTGCGAGGGGCTGTTTGTTGAGCAGCAATATGAATGCGCTGGCACCAAATCACAACTTGGGCCGGGGAGGTCACAATGATTGTGCCGCCGGGAGCAATATCAGTACACTGTCAACCCCACATTATTTTCAGCTGGCAGATCAGTACCCTGCAAAGTAGACTTTCTCCTGACGGATGAAAAGCAGCTCAAGTTTCCTTCCCCACTCGACCCGTCCAAGCTCCAAACTGTACGTAACCAAGCGAACTAGTGACGTAGGGCCTGGCTGTGGTCCGGCTCCGTGTTTAGGCTCATCGTACTCTCCGTTTTTTAACCCTTTAGGAAATCCGGGGACTCTCTGGGGGCCATGCGGGGGCGGCGGGAGACGCTATTCTGCATTCTGGGCATAACCACGTCTCCCCGAGGTATGACCGAGAACTCTCCTCCGGTGGCGGGTTAGTCCACACTTCCCAGGCTCGAGACCAATGGTTACTGCTCCGGCGGGGGATACTGTCAAGCATGTTTCTACTTCATGCGCACTCAAAGAACGCAAACGAGCCAGCCATGGAATCGGATACATGCCGCCCAGAATAGTGTAATCCCCGGTGAAGTGCCCAGGGCGAAGGGAAGGGTGAGATCAATACTCAGGCATGTCCTGCTCAAACCTTCCCCCTTCTCTCCATTCTGATGGTTGGACAGCCCATCATATTTATACTCCAGTGTTACCTTGATGCTGAACGAGAAGCTTGGATTCGTTGAAAAGTCCACAGCTAGAATCAATACGCCTGTTGAAGTTAATGAAGATTCCAGGACCAGAGAGGACATGCTCTTAAAGGACAGGCAGTACTTTTCCAAGAAACAAAATGGCCATATCATCCCTTTCTAGCATACTGTAATGAATCGGACGACCCATCCATTCAGAAGTGTGACCCACGTCCCAGCAGCAAAACCCAGGAGCCTTGCTTTCCCCGTCCTTGTGACGCTGAATGTACTGCGCTTCGGTATTGGCAGAGACATGGACGTGCCTCCAAACTTTCCAATGCTAGTTGCCGGCGGCACAGGCAGTTGAATAGCTTCTCCATTCTTTATTTCACCCGCAGCGACACCTTTGTCAAATTGGTCGCCCATTCATAGTTGAGGCGATCACTATTGCAGACGAGGATGGCGTGGCCCTCTCGGACCAGAACCAGATTGTCAAAAGTCTCCGTTACGCCCTGATAGGTGGGTGATCAGCAAAATCCTTAACAGAGCGTGCCAAGAAATTGGGATGTAGGAGGAAGGTGTTTCATCGCTCCCCATCGCTCCAGTGCACGGCTATACGGTAGCTATATGCCTGCCCCTGGCTCTTGGACAGATTAGGCTAGAAGAGGTATTCTAGATCTCTAATAGAGGCTTGCCACGAGTGTATTGCCCGCGCTATTCAAGCACGATTATAAGCCAACGCTCAAGGAGTCCAGGGGTTGCGTCCAACTTCCTTCCCATAAGTGCTCTTAAACCCCGCACCGCAATTGATCATCTTTTTTCTCGCCTCGATATAATGGGTAAATGGAGGGTAAATTCGTCGGCCCGCTAGTTCCGCTCGTCCTGGGTAGCGAAGCATGTCGTCTTAGGCAGTCTGGCTCCTTGTACGCTCCGAATAGTGCGCCTGCAAGGTGGAGCCGTGGATCACAGGACCTTTTCCCATCTCTCCGATGGATAATGTAGAAACAGAAATAGTCCCTTTTGCTCCAAGGAACTGCCCACATGAACTCTGGGCATGGGGTGGGACCTGTGGGAAAAATGATACAAAAGGACCGTAGTGCAGCTCTGAGTGATGCCCATCGCGATCATCTGGTACACCCTAGGATTATAGACCAGAATCCGAGCTCGTTGGCATAATGAGAATCCCTGATTTTGCGTTCCTCGCTGCCCTTGTGGCCAGTACGGCTGCACAAGAGGTCAGAGTCCGTGAGTAACCACCTCGAGCCAACATCTCGCGTTCGCGGCACTAGGTTGACTTGGGGGGATGTGCGTTTTAATAGTGCTGCTCGGTGACTCCATTACTGAGATCACCTGCTGGAGACCCCTGGTGTGGGACCAAATCACATCAGCCGGGTTGGCGGGTAGCGTCGACTTCGTCGGAACCATGAACACCCTCCAAGCTAAGTGCTCGAGGCCGCCAAGCTTTGATCCGAATCATGAGGGCCACTCGGGCTGGCAAGCGTATGATATTGCCAGGAACAACATCGTGGGCTGGGTTCAGAACACCAAGCCCGATATCGTTCAATTCATGCTCGGCACCAACGACGTCAACATCGGCAAGCGAGACGTCGAGAGCATCATCGGCTCTTACACAATCATGCTCGATGCCATGCGTGCCGCGAACCCCAGGGTCAAGGTCATCGTAAGTCGTGCCTCCCTGCTTATCGTATGACTTTTCTTCCTCTTTCTGGTCAAACGCCGACACACATCTTCCTAGGTGGATAAGTTGATCCCCACAAGCTGGAGCGACCCGACTATTGAGGCCCTCAACAACGCCATTCCGGGCTGGGTACAGCAGCGAACAACAGCGGAGTCTCCCGTTGTCATTGCCGACTGTTCGCGTGCTGCCGGCTTCACCAACGCTATGCTGCAGGGCGATGGTGTTCATCCTAACAGCCAGGGTGATCAGTTCCTCGCAGGGCAGATCGGCCCCAAGCTGATACAGCTCATCAAGAACGTCGGAGTTGGCACCAAATAACCGGCCGGCGACAGCAAACTTGAGGACAGTTAATATGCCTTGTAGGCCGTATGCAGCCTTCCTAGCAGATATGGGACAAAATCCTAGCAAGTCCTGAGAGAGGCGAAATTTCAGCGAGTGATTCGGACTGATCGATAAATAGTTTTTTGGTCTTACAATCTATTGGTATATTTTTACCTCACAGGGTACCGACGGGGCATATTCCTTCCAATTTAACGTATTCTCTTATTTTTTTAGTAGTATATCTTACATATACTTTATTAGGGTGTATAGCTAATGTATCATCAACGCGTCATATTAGGATACAGCTAATATTATGATGTATATAGATTTCGTGATAGTAGCTATGGCGTGTATGTTACCATAATAGTCCTAATACCAAGAAGCTTCCTATATTTCCTACTACAAAACGTACTGCAGTCATCCACAACAGAATGTTGTTTCTTCACAAGCAGAGGCTCAACAGTTATAGGTTCGCGAAACTGAAATCCCATAAGTGATGAGTAATATACGAAGGAAGCTGATAAGCCAAGTTTGGATACAAGGTTCCTAGTTTTGTGACTTGATAGCCAACTGAGCTGAGAAAAAATGATTTTGATGGTCACAATGTATTCGATAAATAGAGACTGCCCGCGAGTTGGGACGATACCTGCATTGAGGACAGGCACTGCATGGCGCTTTCCAGCGAGTGGAGGATAGATGAGATAGGCGTTGAGTTTAATCATGCAGTTTGGGAGGAGGCACAAAGCGTATAAACGATGAAAAGACAGGTGCAAGACAACCGGTGATGAAGGTAATCAAGCTGGAAAGGGGTCAAAAACATGAATCAATGCACTTTTGTTCACAAACCTCTTACCAATATTTCGAAATTTTTCGTTCCACCCTTCTCATATTAAGGTGAATGACATAATACATGACTTTCTAACTGGTGGCTGTCGACCCTGAGGTTGGCGAAGGTGTGGGTCCATTATGGGTACGCTCGCCAAGGTTTTGTTACTCCAGCCACGAAAGAAATAGTAGCGAGGGACTATGTCCGATAGTTGGCGTTACAGAAGGCCTTCTAATCTGTGTCTAATGAGGCGCATCTTTTTTGTTATTTTCTGCAGCTATATCCAATCAAAGCCGACTCGTGCGTCATGTAGAAGAGCCGATGCTTGAGATATCCAATTTTTCGCGTCTCCATTATCCCGTGCGACTGCTAATGAATCACATCTGTTTAACACCGCGGACTCCGCACCCAATGGAGCATTCCATAGGTCATCACTGTCCGGCATGCAGAAAGACAAATCGGCCAGGTTCAAAAGATCTTTTCTGCCATCATTGGCACTTTCTCCGGTCAAGTCAAAGGGCGTGGATAATCGGGACACCTTATAGAGGGCTAGTCCGAATCTCTTGATCTCTTCAACGCTTATGTATACCAGTGCGAGTGGTGCATTGTCTTCGTGTTGCAGAAGCATGTTAGGATAAGAGAATATACCCCACCGTCGACAGCTTTGAACAAGCGCAGTCAGGAGCTCGTATCTGTCGTCCGGCAATCGGCATCGCATACTCAAATCCATACTACCATCTTCTCTTGCAATGAAAAGGGCAAGGATAATATTCAAGAGCACACTCTGAAATGTTGCTATAGGCCACGAGGTATTTGTGTTGTGACGTGGACTCAAGTCTGAGATGCACCATTGGTCCTAGAGCAAAAGGTAATCAACACAACAGTCAACATGTAGCTAATGTTATGATTTTTTCTCACCATTTGAGCGTAAAATGCAGAGCACAGCCTACCATGTAGACGTATTGACGCTTCTCGCGACTCCTGAGTACCTTTTACCCACAGTCCAATTGCGACAACGGATTGAACAAGTACACAAGGCTCTTTAGTGAAGTCAAATGTGCTTCGATGGAGAAATGGCCACGCTGAATGGAAAGCATCAAAGTAAATATCAATATAGTCATGAGCAATCCACCGGGAAGCGTCAGGAACGGAACCACCGATTGTGGAAACTGGTGGCAAATGGTAGAGATCATCGATCCAAAATTGTTGTTCGCTTGTGGTTTCACCCCCAGCAGGTACGCAGATGACGCCTCGATGTTGACAGGCATTGCATGGTAATACACCTTCGCAGCGGACTTTCCGTGCATGACATGCACTGCATGCCCTAAACTTTCGAGACGGTGGTGCTTGTCTCTGCGGGTGATAAGTCCGGATATGGCGTCGCAACAGATCACTGATTATTTTGTGAGTTGTAATTTTTCCCATGAGACCGAAACAACCACTCACTTCCTGGTCAGGACGCTCTCACAATAAGGACAGGCAAGATTTGTTTCCCCATTATGATGATTAAGGTGTCGATTAAGGTGCTCTTTACGCCGATATTTTGCGTTGCAATCTGGATAGTCACATTGGAACCACATGGGCACGATATCATCAGGAGGCGACATTGTTAGAATGTTTGCAAGCTTTCGGGGTTGGACTCCGCCACGGCTTTGTCATCAAATGACACAAATGAATCCGGGAGGATTTGTAGAGTGAAGAGCTTGAAGGGAATGCAATCAAGTCAAAAGGGGAGAAGAGAACGTAATGACTGGAGCCCCGGGTGGAGCCCCGAGCGAGGAAGGCCACCAATGCGGTTCCAGGATTCATGTGCCCCGGAGCATCCCACTTGATGAATAAGTGGTCCTAAGTAAATAGTTGAACATAATAGGCATATCCCACTTGCCGGTTTATCCATCAGGAGTATATTTTTCAGATCCCCTATAAATAAGCGGCAAATATTTGAAATGGAGTTGTTCCTTTCACTACCTCCACTACCTTGAAAAGATTTCTTCGCACTTCAGCGAATGTCAATTAGAGTGCACCACAATGCCCGATGTACATCACCCTGGAACTTTACGCGACAAGTGTGAACTAGCCGGCAGCTTCGATGCAGGCGCCGCTGAAAGCCACATCAGTTCACCTCTCGAGCCAGTAATCTCCAAACTGGCCAGCATACATGCACCTCCGGAATTTGAAGTTTACTGGGACTATGATGACCCTGAAAATCCCCGCCTGTGGCCGCTTTGGTACAAAGGCCTCACTGTCGCTGCCATGAGTCTTGGTGCTACAGTTGTCAGCCTCTCCAGCACACTGTACACATCTGGGATTCCAGGAGTACAAGAGGATTTCCACGTCTCGAAGATCGTGGCCCTCTTTGGTGTCACGACTTATCTTTTTGGAATGGGGGTAGGCAGCATCGTCTTTGCTCCACTTAGCGAGCTTGCCGGACGGCGGCCAGTTTATATTGTCTCAATGATAATATTTCTGTTGCTATTGTTGCCGAGTGCTTTAGCTCACAACATTGAATCAATCCTTGTGAGCAGATTCTTCGGAGGATTTTTTGGGAGTGCATTGATGTCGAACTCGCCCGCATCTGTGAATGACATCGTCTCGGATAAGCACCGGGCTTTAGCATTTGGCTTCTGGTCTATCGGGCCTACCAACGGCCCTGTCTATGGCCCAATCATAGGAGGCTTTGTGTTCCAATATCTTGGCTGGAGGTGGACAAATTGGATTGTTCTTATTATCGGTGGTGTGGTCCTAGTCCTAATAGCCTCTATCAAGGAAACATACGCTCCAGTGATCTTGAAAAGACGTGCTGCGAGAAAACGAAAGGAGACGCAGAACCCAAAGTGGTGGACACGCTATGATGATGGCGTCGGTCTTGCATCTTTACTGAGAATCAATCTCAAGAGACCTTTCGTGATGCTCCTAACAGAGCCGATATGGTAAGATATTTCCCTATTATCACACAAGCAAAGTCTAACATTCTCGCAGTATGTTCTGGGACGGCTACGTTGCGATTGTTTATGGCGTCCTTTATCTATGTTTCGTCGCGTATCCAATCGCTTTCCAACAAGAACGTGGGTGGTCGCCAGGTATTGGTGGTCTTTCATTCGTCGGTATAGGTGTCGGTGTCTTGATCGCCATTGCATGCGAACCTCTATTTCGTAAAGTGATCAATCTTCACCGTAAGGATACGGAAACCGGCATGGTACAACCTGAGGCTATGGTTAGCATCGTTTTCTTTGGTGCTACTCTTCTAGCCATTGGCCAGTTGTGGTTTTCCTGGACTTGTACTCCAAACATTCACTGGATCGTCCCTATCCTAGCTGGTGTTCCCTTTGGAGTAGGCAATGCATGCGTCTTCATTTACGCCTCAAACTACATTGCCCGGTCTTATGGCATTTATGCCGCATCTGCGCTTGCAGGAAATATGTTCACTCGCAGTGTCATGGGAGCCTTCCTACCACTTGCAGGTCCGTCAATGTATGAGGTTCTCGGCTTGAATTGGGCAAGTACAATTCTGGGAATTGTGGAGGCAGTATGCATCTTGATACCTGCTGTCTTCTACTTTTACGGACACAGAATTCGAAAGGCGAGCCCCTTTATCAAAGAGGTAGAAAAATTGCAGGCGGCAGCTTGAAAATGCTCCCTCGCCAAAATGCTATACATTCTTTATCTTTGTGGAAGGTGCCAATTAATATCTATGATATGTCATTTTATAACAATATTCCAAAATTCATGTATCTCCGAACTGGTGGACTCTTGACAATCTCGTGAGATAATTTGTCACGACTAAAGTCTAAGGTATAGTTGGGTATAGAAGCTAGAGTTAACTACCAGTTTTTGTCGGAGCAGCATAATATCCAAAGTTGTTTTGAAGCTCAAACCCTTTAGCTTATGTTCTAGCTTGCAAATAATGCAACTCGATGCAAAGAATGCACTACACTAGGTATTACGTTATGGGCATACCTTACGCTCTATCGACATGTACACTTTACGGAATTTTTTTTCGGCCATCCCACCCGTGGTGAGTTTTGAGTTATCCCGTACGAGGGGCGCGCCACTTTACCCCAGAACGGCTAGATTCTCCGCCAAGCCTTTTGGTGCTAAGCTGCATTGGATGGCAAATTTTGTGGAGTATCTTAGTGGGTCTTGATGCGACGGATGGCAATTACTTATAAGAAAATCAATCAGCATAACCCACATTCGCTTTCTGAGCCAATTCCTGAATAAACCTCCAGCACGTATGTATTTCTCTGCGTTTTCTTTGGCAAAATGAAGCTTAGGCATCGGGGTGTCAAGTGGGATGAGCCGAACCGCATTACATCATCAGGCAGAATGAAAGAAAGAGCTGATGAAGGTTAGTAATACGCATGGTTTCACTGCTAGGAGTGATGGTGTTTGTCAGCGGTGCCGGGGTACCATGGTATTTTAATTGTAAGTCTGCTGTCACTCCAGGGCTGCTGAAGCTGCTGCGGTGCTGAGCTAGCCTCAAATATCTTAGGCATTATACAGTGTCAGCGAGAGCATGTTGTGCGAGACTTGACTTTACTATGAAGTAGGCTTACTTCATTTCTGTGTTCATAGTTTGATTCCATCTCGTAAGCCTCCACCATTAACGTGTCACTTGCTACCCATAGATACCTCAGATGCCACTATCCTTCCCCACTTTAGCCCGTTATGGGGGTTTATTTCGCCAAGCGTTTACTGTCTCACGACTAAAGGCCTGTTCCACCGCGGTATGGCTTGGCCCGTCGAATTGGACGCAATCGTCGTCCCCACTTTCCAATATTTATTGTGCTGTTCTCTAATTATTTATAGTGTGTTTGCAATAAAGCGTTCGACTTATGATTTGCCTATACTTTTCCTTCGCTTGGGCACCGATGACTCCTACCCAAACTTCCATCTCAGCCTTCGTTGGAATCCTGCAACATGTTTATTCTGCTAGAATTTAACCACTAGGTAAAGCTTTTTTACTCAATTTGGGTTACAGCTGCTTCTCCTTAATGCATGGATATTGCCAGCGACATTGATTAACGTAGGGATCTGGCAGGAAATTAATGATTTATGAATATTTATGGTTATTGTAAACTTGACTAATATGAACTGGATAATAGGGAAAAGAATTCCTTATTCATATGGGTGCTGATCTGCTTTCCGCTTTCGTCATTTCTCGTACTCATCACAGATGAGACACCATCGACGCCTCGAGGCTCGTAGTCCAGATTCCGGGCAGCATATTTACATTTGCTTTCAAGATGTGGTACAGTGTCTAATATGCATAAATGTTGTGGTAGCTTTCATATCACTTTGGCCATTTTGGCTTCGTTGGAAGGCAGTCGTATCACTCGAAGGGACAATGCTATAGCTACAGAAAAGGCGACACAAGCTTGATACAACGCATCCGTTTTCTGGCCAATAATTTCCAAGAGCATAGGCCGGATCATAACGTTAAAAGTAGAAGACAAGATTTAGGTATTACTCAAGTTGGTAAATGTGTCTTAATTAGTCTCCCTTTGTACTACTAGGTAGGTTATGAGCTCAAGAATTATGATCCTATATATGAATTGCCGAATGCAGGAAATACAATTGATCCACTTGATCAAGCTTTTAGCAACTAGCTACCTTTCGCCCTTCTTATAATTACTTTGAATTCGTCTATTATTGGAAACAGCTGTTTCATTTCCGAAGGAAGGCTAACCAAGACATGTCTCATTTAAGAACCCTAAAAAGATAACATGAATCTGGAAGCCCTGTAGGTTATATGCCGCTAGGCAGTGTGTCTTTATTAATTACTAAACAGAAAAGCATCAAATGATTCACTTGCCCCAAAAGCAGCCTCTACAAAACGAATTTTGCTCAGCCTCGGAATATCGAGAAATTTCCTTGAACTTCACCTGCCGTACTGTATAGCCCATTCCACAGCCATGCTCTAATTGTCAAAATGAAACATAGGGGACCAACACGAGTCAAATTATTTGGGATTGTGAAACTGAGCTAGTCGCGCCTTGCCCCATCCAACAAGTCATTTATGCGTATTCTACACCGTGGAATTCCCGCGAAGCCAATCCGAATTCTTCTGCCTTGAGCCATTGTGAACTGGGGATTCTCATAAATAAAAGCTCTACTTACCCTTCACTAAGCTCTCCAAGTCGATGTCATCTCACTTCTTGAAAGCCCCATTGAGTACCAATTCTTCTATTTTGCTTATGATATCGCAAAGATGCTCAACTCAATCGCATCAGTCAACTCATTATCTCTCTATACCATGTCGTCATACTTTTTTCGCCTATTCCGTGTTTTCTGCGGATGGATTGTTGTGCCTTTATTGCCTTTGCTCTACTTGGTTTCCATTGGGACTTTATGCTTCGATGTGGTCCACTATATCCTTCACTGCTGCGATAAATCATCCTTTCCTGTTGTGAAATGGTTGGCACGCATCCATCGTTCTCATCACCTCTATTATACTTCGCGCTTGAATTTTGATGAGAAATATCTTCGGCCAAATGTGTTTCAAGCAATACCGCTAGAATTAGGCTTCCAAATTTTGGGGAGTCTCCTAGGGTATTCTTTTGCTCGACTAGCGACTAAAGATGGCTCGAGCTGGCTGAAGAGCTATCACCTTTGGATTGTTCTTTGCTTCCAATTGCTCCGAACGATGTCTGTGATCCTACTCAGTGGCCGTGACTCAAACCACATTGTCTATACAACGGTGCCCAAAGATAACAACTGGCTCTTTGTGGGCCCAGAGTTCCACTCCCTTCATCACGTTTACCCAGATCGATATATGGGCTCATTTGTCAAACTTTTTGATTGGATAGGGGGCACGTCGTATTCGTTACGATCCAAACGCTTCGTTATCACAGGAGGGAGCGGATCCTTTGGTCGGGCGATCATAAAGGAGTTAAAGCGTGAAGGCGTCCGATCCATTCGCAAGCTGAAGTTCGGCACCGACTGGGGCCATGATTCTTTTGAAAATGCCCTTCCAGTGCTTTCTGAGTCTGACGTACTCATCCTTGCTCACGGTACCAAAGGCCCCGATGCGATGGAGTCGAATTGCCATGCTGCTGTTCAAATGATACTTTCTTTTAAGCAACACAAAAAAAAGAACGACAGCTGCCAGACATTGCCGGAAGTTTGGTACGTGGGTAGTGAGAGTGAACTTCATCCATCTTGGGGAAATGTATCATTGCAGCGGTACTCTCGCTCGAAACGTTGCTTCCTACCGCATGCTCGCTCATTCTATGATGACCCCGATATCATCTACCGCCATATTGTCCCATCTAGCTTTAGGTCACGAATAGGGCCCGCTATTTTCTCGGCAGATTGGGCTGCTAAATATACGATGTGGTGGATTCGGAGAGGGGCAAGATATGTCCCCGTTACATATACGGGGATTGCCTATCTAAACTTCTTCAAATTTCTTTTTTGGGTTCCCTTCGCACGTGATTTAAATCAGGAATGAAAAGAGTCTTCTTCACTCTTTCCTGCTCGGTCCTTTTTTGACACCATCCCAAACCGTCCATTGTGAGATAGTATATATATGTTGTTATTGCCAAAGACCGAAAGCTCACTTTTTCCATTGTTTTCTAATATCTATTGATGAAACTGGACCCAGGGCGTCGGAAGCTTAGTCGTAGCCGCTGGCCAGCCGATAATATCGGTTGAAGAGCGGACACGCATCGATACAGCTTGAGTGTATTTGTTTACCCCTAGTAGTGATTTTTATCAACTGCCGAAGCCGTATACAAACTACCACAACTACATACATCTATGTATGCAATGTCGCACGTCGCCAGTGAAGCCAGAATAAGTAACCGCTCTCTTGTTACCACAGAGGCTGATCAAAACGCTCCTAAGAGCTTCTCACAAGCCCTCTAATAACTAGGAAGTTATCCAGGAATGTATCGAGTGGCCCGTGTATCTCCAGCACTAAGTAATGGGCGAACAGAAAAGGTGGCGCTGAACCTAATATAAAGGAATACTTGTTTGAGACACGCATTACATATAGTGTAATGTATGGTTCGATTTGGGAATGATCAAGCCCCATCTAAAGCCTTTCTGAAACACGTTCTTCCACCCGCGTGGATCGAAATCTTAATTTATGGACCATGCATACAACAATCGGCAAGTTTGTCATTGTTCAGATAATTATGAAGAATGCCAGTTATCTTTGCACCTTCCACTAGGGATAATACCGCGTAGCAATATGCACTATATGCCAAGTCTTTTATCTGAGGAATGGAAAGCATCAAGAAACCGGGAAGTGATTGCAAGAAGCAAAAGAAGCATGGATAACTGAGAAAAGCTAATAAAACGCAACTGCAAGCAACGTGTGATACACCGAGGCGGCTTAAACATAACACCATACAGCTTTACTGTATGCTCATAGGCATTCAAGGAACTGATGCATACAAGCAAAACACTCGACGATCGCTGGAAGAGGGCCTAATCCTTAGCATGAACAGTTCATGAGCAACATCCATCTTTTGCTACCGCAGACGTTCGACAGAAGCATGAAACGTTCACTGGAATGTCAGCAGATGCCAAAGCAATATCCCGTGCAGGTTGAATAAAAGCAGCCTCTTGACTCTTTCCAAGGCGAGTGAAACATTCGTATAAACCATGCAACCCCCACACATTGTTGAGCTTCGCTTTACGCCGAGGATAATCCTGGGCGAAGCCAAGATCCTGCTTGAACAAGATTTCTGCTTCTTCAACCCGGCCCTGCTCAAGGAGCAGGCCACCGAGCGCATGGCGGACTGGCTGCATCCAGGGAGACGGGTCAGAGTACGCGAGTGCATCCTCGCGCACAATGGCTTCCCGAAGGGAAATAAACGCATTTTCAATATTTCCCTTCCGGTATTCTAATTCACCATCAAGCATAGCTGAGGCCACCGCGAGAACATCTTCCTCCTTGCATGGAATACTGTTGAGTCGGGAGCTAGGAACGGCCCTACGAGCCGTTTCAAATTCTTTTTGTGCGGCTTCGGCTTCCGCAATGTGTCCAAGTGCGCTAAACGCAAGGCCACGAGTGTAATGGATAGTGGCTGTAGTTACGCAGTATGTATCGCGATCGGTTGGAAGCTTGAGGTCAAGAATCTCCTCCCAGCGTCCGAAGCGCACTAGCACGTGCGCCTTACTTCCCACGAAGCTTTCGATGAAGTCTGCCATCGGCGGGCTTTTGATGGATAGCAGCTCGGGATCAATGATCTTTTCAAGCTTTTCTGCTGCGGATATCGCGTCCGTAAATCGGCCGGACATCATGGCGGAATACAATTTAGCACAAACGTAATGCACCCTGTAAGCCGTGTACTGAATTGTATCTGTCTCCCGGGCAAAATAGACGTCATCTGCAAGTATGGCTTCATGGTTGGAGTCGATACCACGGCGGTAGTCGCCAACCGCGACATCAATATGCGTCGGCATATGTAACATATGTGAAGCATGCGGAACCATTCCACGAAGTCGATCCGCAGCCGGCAGAGCCAATTCTGGAAATGGCGACATCTCCATCATGTGTATGTGCAAGTGGCAAATTGCTGGGTGATTGCGCCCAGAAGTCTGCTTCAGTTGCAGCTCAATCACTTCGCGAGCCTCGACTGTGTGATCCCCGGTTGGTTTACCAGTGTTCAAGTCCCACAGCCCGCGCGGAGTGATACACATCAGTGCTTCCGCGAACAACGCAGCCACGTCCACATCATTGCTGAACTTATGATACACAGAGCGCATCGCATCAGCATACGCGCGGTCGAAAGGGCTCAGATCCTCGGGAATGTTATCAATAGGGGGGAAACGAGCGCCGATTGCCCCGATCAACGCTTGTTCGACTGGCGTGGCCAGACTCGCTAGCTCTGACGCTCGGGCGAGGATGTCGTTGACCTTCTTGATGGAAAACTGACGATCTTCCGGGTCGAAGTATCTCCACGCTTTGTTGTAGTTAGGCCCCGCTGCATACGCAATTCCCCATAGCGCCATAGCGCAATTGGAATCACTTTTGGCAGCTCGTTCGAAGCATCGAACCGCTGCGCTATGGTTGAAAGAATGAGCCCATATCAATCCACGATTGAACCACACTTGGGCTTCTGTTGACGAAGTGGTCACTGGTCGACGATACGAACCAAGGTCGTAGTAAGCCTCTTGGCCAACTTTCGGAGAATTGGATTGATCACTAATTGAGTGTTAGAGCAAATTTAATTCTACAATTTTCATGAGACTTACCGCATGTTGAATAATCGAAGCTAGTGAGTTTAGCCCTTCGTTAATTTGATTCATGACATTATCTGGAAGATGGGATCCGTTTATATACCCATATATGATGAATCATCCCACAGGCACACTGTACGGACTTTGTCGGCATCCCACCTGATGGGTCCTGAGTTAGGCACGGCTCACAGTGGCGCTTCCCGGTCGCCACTTGTCCCAGAATGGCTAGATTGCCCGCCAAGACCCAATTTGATGACTGAGGTATGAAACTAACCGGGGAACATGTCCGATGCTTTTGTCTTTGATCGACGCCCCAAAAGTCATTTTCAAAATTTAGATATCAACAAAAAGCTGCTTTCGCTGTTCCCCCGAAGGTAAAACCGGGCTGAAAGTGTTGAAGACGATTACCAAGTTTTCCTTTCTCGGTTAGCTGGGCTCCCTTTTCTCTCCGCAGTTGCTCACCCTAACACTTGAATCCAGTCAATGTTTTACCAGGGTGATTCATCGCTGACAATGCTCAACTGTTGATCGATATGCATCTTCCAGCAGAAATAATTGACCTTGTATGATATACGCCAGTCCAATTTCTGCGCCACTGCTGAACATTCTTTTTGTCAGATTACGTTCTATGTCGAGGCTGGCAATTCGCGGTCTACTTCAAAGAAATCGACTGCTCGGGCTTTTCGGATAATGAATGACAAAATCCGAAAGGATATGGCTAAGCTCCGCTTGGTCAACAAGAGCTTTTGTCATAGTGCCTCAGCCCGTCTTTTCCGACACATTGTAGCTGTAGCCGGTTCATTGTCCAGCACCACGCGTTTTCCATCTTTAGGAAGGCTTGTGAGCCTTTCAAACAGCCCATATGCTCAATATGTGCATCAGGTCGACGTTGGATACGGTACCTTCCCATATTCGGTAGCGGAGGTTACATTATACACGGAAGACCTTGCTGGCTTGCTGTCTTTATGCTTGCGTCAATTTCCCAATCTTAAAGCTCTCGACTTCTATGGTCCGCCATTGGCGTCCTTACCCCATGATAAGATGAAAGCATCGATCGACTCGATACTCATGTCGTTATGCTATGTGCCTCTGCCTAACTTGACAGAACTTGAACTTCAGCTACCAATGACAAATGATTTTGCTACATTGTTTGCTGAGAATATTAGCACATTAAGGATCCCGATTGAGCACATCCTCAAACGCCTTGACTATTTGGGATTGCACGTCTATGCGCAAACAAACCAGCAATCCTGCGCGGCCCACTTGTTGAGGATCATCGAGCTTTCGACCAGCCTGACTTCCATCTCAATCAGCAGCACGAATTATCTAGGCATTGATTGTCTCAAGCTCAGCTCAACGGTTCACCTGCGGTTTTTGTCCTTACACAAAGTGAAGATTTCCTCTCGAAACCTCGTCAATGTTGTCGAGCAATGCAAGGACTCGATGGAGTACATCGAATTGAGGCACGTGAAGATCGAGTCTGGAGCATGGAAGGAGATTCTGACCTCAATGGAAAGTTTACCCTATCTATATGACTTTGACATATCTGTTGGCAGTTCTCTCACAGGAAATAGAGAGCTTCATTCGACTCCGACCCTGTCAATTGCAGAAGATGTACCTGATCAGATTGCATTGCAAAACCTCAAGCAAAAGGCCAAATTGAACCGAGCCGTGGTTCGGCATTCCAGGTGTTGAATCAGGCTCTTCTTTTGTATGGCATTTGAGAAACGGACTTGCAGCATGGAGAGGGACTTTTTTGTCCTAATGGATAATTTACTCTGTATAGATAATGTGTCATGACTGTTAGCCGGCAGCTCATAGAAAATGCAGTGTTTCATTCCGCTCTAATACTGTTCTTTCCAGTTTAGAAACCCTGCCTAACGTGTCGCTGTCCTCCATGAACGCCTGGGAAACATTGAAGCTTTGCCGCTGCCAAGGACTGAAGCTCTTTACCCAAGGATTTGCTTCTATGCAGCATAGCAAGTTCTTACCAAGAGACAGAAGTAGGGGTGGGGGAGGGGTGGGGCTATTGTATCGCCTGTGGCACAAAATACGGACCGGTAAGGTGATGGTTAGCGCCCCCTTGATCCTTGAGGTTTCGCGGAACCGGAAGGGAGAACTCAACATCTTGACTTGGTCAATCAGGCGCCACCGTAACATTGGCGGACTGGCAATCTACTTTCGCTATACGCTCCCGTCGCATAGTTGCTGTCTAATTGATGGCGCGTAATAATGCGGCTAGTCTCTGGCATCCTTATATAGCAGCCTCTACTTGGAAAGGGTCACAATGCTCGTCCACAGAAAGGTCTGTTTCTCAGCGACGGGGGCCGCCCTAAGGGCCTCAGAGCCGATGACGATTTTGGGAATTTTGGGACTCATCTTTGGATCCTCAAGGCACCGTGGAATATGTCCTGATCATCAAATATATTCCCAGACACGAGCCACAGAACCAGTGACGATGGTTGCGTGAGTATATTTTGTTGATTACTTTCTGTTGGCTAAAACAGACTCACCGCCTGGACACCCGAGCTTACAAGCACTCTATAGAATCTATTTCTATTAAGGAGCTATATCCCGTTTCCCTGCAATGAGTCGAGCAAAGACATGTCCTTTCTTGAAAACTACGCATTGGATTGACTAGTCATCATATAGTAACGTCGCCGCTTTGGATCTGGAAAGTTCGTCATGACACAATCAACTTAAGAGCAACACGATCTACCCAACAGCCCAAGAGCAAAAAGAAACAAACAGAAAGAAGGATTTTAGAGTGCTCAATATCGAGACACTCACAAATTTAGAAAACAATCTTTGGAACACCCGGGGTTGTCCAGCACACTCTGTCCATGAAATTCTCTTCCGTGAAAACCTTCACCAAACCTGACCGGTCCTCGGTAAAATGGGCCCAGGATTCAAAGTGGATTGGAATCATGACATCTGCACCGATATCACGGATAAGCTGAATAGCTTGCTTCCCATCCATCGTAATCTGAATTGGGCCGGTTGGGAATTCAAAAGTGGCATTGCCCAGGTTGAGCAGGGCGGCGGTAATATGCCATCTTTTGCCAATTTCTCGTAGTTCATCAATATAAACGGTGTCTCCAGAGAAATAGATTGCATTAGGCTTGCCAGACGAATCCAGGCCGAAGGAATCGGTCTCTAGAACGAAGCCCGTAACTTCTCCAACAGGGAAGTGCTTGCAAGGCGTACCAGTGATTCGGTACGTTTTCCCTCCAATGCAAGACGTCACGGTCTCCCAGGGGCGAAGGCCAATGACTCCCGGGCGAGGACGCAAGTTGGAGGCACCGTCCACGGTGGTAAACACCTTCCGGCCATCCAGCAGCTTACGGCCTTCCGGGTCCAAATTGTCAAGGTGATCCTCATGACTAAGAAGCACAGCATCAATAGGCGGTAGTTCATTGAGCTGAAGCGCTGGACCTTGCTTGTTGACAAGGTGAGGTGGTGGAGGAATACTATCAAAGCCGAAGGCTTTTAGGTCCATCTGTTCCCAGACCGGCGTCGTGTCGTATTCCGTTCCATCAGTGGCCCCAAAAAATGGATCTGTCAGGAAGTTGACACCATCGATGTTGAGAATGGCAGTCGCAGTGGTGATGTGCGTGATTGTAAGAGTTGGTTTGGAAGTAGCTGCCATGATTGCGGCAAGGGAGAAAATAGGGAATGGCAAATCTTGCTGGAGGTAATCTGGAGCAGACGAGGAAGGAAGATCTCCTGGCGTTTAAATATGTTCCTGTGCTGGAAAGATTAGAAATGCTGTTACTACTAGATGTGATACGGTTCGGCTCATCCCACTCGACACTTGATGAGAAGCTTCATTTTGCAGACCCAGAAGCAGAACATTATTAGTTAATATTACGTCGTGGTTTACTAATCACCGGGCTCAGTAAGCGGATACGGACAACGTGAGACTTTTAATTTGGCCTCTCAACCAAATGTCCCGAACATCCAATACAACCCAGCACAAACTCCACAATAGTGTCCAATACATGGACGAGTTACTTACTGGGCAAGCATTACATAGAAGAAGCTTGGCGGAGAATCTAGCCACTGTAGGATAAGGTGCCAAGCAAAGAGCGCTACATCATCAGTCAGTCACTTTAAAAATTAAGGTTGCATTCTTGGCGAATAAAGTTACCCAAACAGGAATTGATCGGTATCCACCATTTTTCGTACAACTTGGTGAGGTCGGCAGATTATTCTATCAGAGGGCAATCTTTTAGTATATCCAGTGTATTGACTATAGGGTTGCTGTTTTATTCATGAAGGTAGTCTAGTGGGAATATTCATTAAATGGTTTAACTGCCGTCACTAAAGATTAACCCCTCAGGTGTAGTCTTATAATAGTGTCTAAATAGATGATGTTCATGTATAGTGGCTTCCCACACACTTACCCTTGGAACTTGTATTTGTATTAAAATCTTTAGAATTCAATAAATCCAATGAATCCACGTACTTTCGTCTACACTTAGGGCGCTACAAATGAGCGCTATATGCCCAAACCTCGGATCTATCGAATATCTAAAAGCCCTATATTAGTATCTGAGGAGATGTGGTACCGTGAGAATGCAATTGAGATACTATATTCTAGGTCTTAACATACTGGCACCGCCTGTGTCTGGGGTTTTTGCAAATTTGGGGTAAATTGATGTTGATTAGTAAATGACGTAAGGAGCGGACCGTATACCTTTCTCAACAAGCCATTGAACCAGCTCCTTGACGTATATGACATGCAGAATGTTCTTCTGTTCATTTGTGATCAACACCTTGTATGCAGTCTGCAAAGGTAGCATTGCCGATGTCGGCCCAAAAAGTTTGAAGTCATCTTGAACGAGATATTCCATGCAGAAGCATATTAGTCTCGCTAAGCACTCGTTATGTTCTTGGATATCCCTTGAGGAGAAGTAATTGCATGTCGTCGAGTCTTGTAGATGCGTCAACGGAAACAGCGAAACTAGACGACCCAGCTCAGTAGCACAGATAATGCGGAAAGCCCACAAATGCGTGTACACATTTGCCATCGTAATATCAGGGAACGATATGCCGCGTCCAGGAGGAGCAGGTGTCCTAGATTTCGAATTGACAAAACTATCACAGATGCTCCCTGGATAATGGTTGCGTAACGATTGCTCCCACCTTTCCATATCCAAAAGAAATTCCAAATAGGTATTACATAAAATGGTCGATCGACTGAGCCCCTCTTCATGTTGCGATGATAGAAGCGTATCAGTTTGTTGTAAAAGTGATGGGAGATGGGCAGCCTGGCTAATGAGTGTCTGCATAAGTGAAGGGCGGCGACCAGAGAACGGAATGCGGATCCATTCATTTGAAGAGATAAAAGTTGCTGTTCGGGATTGAAAAGCTTGCAACATCTGGAAACCACATCAGAAGGGGAGAAACATAGATGATGATATAATATACGCACAAAAAGTGGCCTGAAACCGGCGAAAAGGCTGTGCATAACTCCTGACTTGAATCGCTCCGGTCCACTAGCTTGAAAAAGTCGTGCAACGCCATATACATGCATTGCAATGCCGAAGCGAGACTCCGGAAAGAAAAGCTAAACATCACAGCGTCAGCGAGAATACCTGAAAATATTCAAATTAAGATATACCTCTGCTAAGGTCAGGCACATTATTGCAGCAACAACTTCGGCATTCACAAGGTTATTTTGCACAGTTATTCCCGTTCTGACGGCCTCAAGTGCAGCGGTATATGTCTGAATACTTGCTGCATACGGTTTTGATGTGACGCACGAAGACAACGCCTCTATCGCTAGAGACAATACGCGGCCATACCGAGCCTGAGGGTTTTGGGCAAGGTTGGGTAGAACACCCACCCATGCACCACATATTCTTGGAATATCCTTTGAATCTTGGAAGGTACAAGGAAGCTCTTCCTGTGGGACAAAAGCATTCATGATGGATTCGATCCAATCGTTGCGATATGGTCCGATAACTTCAGGCGCGGTGGTTGCAAGAAGCCGCATGTTCTGTTGGATATCGGTGCATGGCTGGCTATTAGGAGAAAGGGGCTTATTGAAGCGCTTGGCGGGTTCTTGGCAGCCTCCGAGATATCGCCTTCGAGGCTCAGACACACGAGCGTTCTGCGACAGAAACGTATAGACAGCTGAATCCCAGAAGCATTTTCGGCCCCTGAGAAGGCATTGGCCACATTCAGGTTGTTTCCCATCACACTAATCAATGTTAGTGGCTGCGTTAATCGAACATCCAGGTGTCTTCATACTCCGAGTTTCCGCGTCCTACATGTCTGGCACACAGTTCGTTGCTTGACCTTCATTTGGATAATGAAGGATGGGACATTTCAATTGCTGCTCACGAATGGATCTCGTTTCAGTCTAGGATGTTGACAGAAAAATGTCTAGAATCAAAACTCGGTATATTCGCTTCGTTGGATGCCGAAGTGGCGATCCTTGTGGAACAGTCAGGTGGGCGTTGAAAATCTCCAATCAGCATCGATTTACTCGGTCTTGGCGGAATAAATATCCCGAACAGTGTTTCACGCTCCGACTTGACGTAATCCACTACCCACCCGACCACAGACTTTTTGTGCTGAGCATTTACCTAGGTAGGTTATATGGCGGGTAGTTGATTACGCTATTTAGTTATTACCTACAGTTGTCACGTATGCAGCCAATCCGGGCTAACAGTCGGGAAGGTCGTATATAATATGAGCTAGCGTACGACCAAACTTTCTTCTATTACTTCAATCTACCCAGCAACCTTGTATAATAGCAATTAGATAAGTTAAAGGGTAGTTGAGTTTTTCAAAATAGGGCTCTGTGCATCTACCGTCCTTAGCGGCTCGCATCGACTAAGACACGACCATATATGTTTACGCTGTGTTCCACATAAGGTAGCCTTACATCCAAGTCAGCAATAGGATTGCTTAGCGGCTGGGTTCACCCACTAGAACATTTGCCGCTGGTGGAATGATATTTTGCCAAGAATCACAATCAAAGTTCGTATAGCTTCTAGCCCTTAGCGTCATGTACGCTAAGGACTGGTTGCCGATAGATTGGTAAACTCAATCGTTGTTCGTTGTGAGTACTCTTCGCATCCAATGACTATATAAAATAGAGTTATCTTCAGGACAAAGACGCCAAAGCCTGAATCTGTTGCATATCGTCAATTAAGAATTTGTCACTCCTCGAGATCTCCAATATGCCAATCGACCACACTAGCCTACACATCCCCCAGGCCAAATTTCAGATTTCAGGAGTGCCTGAAGATTTACCTAGCGGCGCTCAAGCCCCTTGGGTACGAGGCTCGACGGCAATTCGGTGAGACTGTTGTGGCACTTGGCTCGACTTTCGACGAAGGGAACTGTCCTCCTGCTGACTTTTGGGTTATTGGAACCAATGACCCTACTGCACGCATCGCACACCTTGCGTTTCGCGCACCTGGTATGGCTTGCTGGATCAACCCGCAGTAGAAACATCTTATGCTAACATAGACAAGATCGTAAATCTGTTGATGCTTCTCATGATAACGCTATCAATGCCGGGAGTAGGGATAACGGTAAACCTGGCTTGCGAACATCATACCATCCCAACTACTACGGGGCATTCGTGATCGATGCGGCAGGAAATAACATTGAGGCCGTGTGTCACAATCCTTAGAAAAGACAAGGCAAATATTCTGGACGATTGGTTTGCTGATGGAGATATTGTACTACGGAAATTTGGGGGGAGGGGGGATGAGAGGTTGTACTCTGTTCTTTAATGTGGCTGTGCTCAATATTTCGTCCTTCCATCCCAATAGCAAACCAGTTACCAAAAATTGCTATGAGATCCTTGCTCAAGACATATGACCCGTCATCGAATTGACTTTAGTTGTTTACTCGCTTCTGGGTAATTCCATGCTAATGAGCGGCTACACAGCGTCATTTCTATATAGTTCCTGTACTACTCGTATGCGAAATCACTTGCCAAGATGTAGCCAAAGTAACGAGTAAGCTCGCTCACTGTCTGGTCTGCCCAGTATCAAAGCATAATGATACACTCAACAGCCATATATACTAAAGATTGAGTAGAGCTGACAGTCCAACAGGGTCGTGAACAAAAGTGCGATTTTGTTACATTTCATTGATTTTTGCACGCTATACTATACAGCTAGGGCTGTTTCTACGGCGGTACCTTAGTAAGATTTCGAGAAATGGTTTAATATGATTATTATTTAAGTATGGTGACTCGGGATTACAGGATCAGTTGTTTTAGTGCTTAGTATTCTCGTGGTCTCTTAGGGTTCTTTGAGAGGTGGAGGGCGCTGGTTGGTAGTGACTGCTTGCTCGGTTGCTAGGTTTAGATATAAGCCTACAAGATCGTCGATAAAGTATTTTTGCTATTAGATACTTGGGATAAGGCGTAGCACCTGCAGTCACTAGGGAACCAAGCCACGATAGAATAGAGTAGCGGCCACGACTGGCCAGCCCCGGAGCACGGACGAGGCACTAGAATAGGTTATTAGCGAGGTGGTAAATTATCGAATCAAGTACAAGGGAAGATGATCGAGGGGAGTAGATAGAGAAGGCTGAGTGAACACCTCAGGGGAGTTCTTGTTAAGGAAGCAGCAATATTCGACGTGGCCTTTTCAACCCCAATTTTCAGAACACGGTAGAAGCCTGTTTCCATAATAGGAGAGTCTGGAGGAGGGAACTCGGTCCAAGGAAGGTAGTTGTCTCCGTAGAGATATCCTGGGGTTGTAGCTATCTCGGAGCCCAGGAGAAGTCGCCTTATCCATGAAGAGATGTCAAGTGAAGTTTCGAACTTGTGCATACAAGACTCGATCTTCATTGGATTTTTGCCGCCAGATTGAAACTGATAAAGGGGAGTATTTGGATACTATTGGGATGGGTTGAGGGATATTGTTGGGTGGTGGAGTTGCGGTGTAAGCTCAAAAGGTAGTATAGAGCCTCAACCCAGGCAAACTAGAGGTCCGTGCGACTGGCCACTGGTTGATGCAAACTTGGCCTGTAGGTTTGGAGGGCAGCGCCCTGTTTCATGTGTGTGTAGCGCTATGTATATTGAGTTGGGATTCTTAAAAGAACCCCGTCTATATCTCTATACTTTACTTCTTCTCAAAACTTCGATGGCTACGCTTATATAAAGCTACCAGTTGTCTTAGTTGCGTAAGAAGGTAAGAAGGATTTAAGGATCTAACTAAGACCTTCTTACTCCCTTTCTAATAACTTATAGGATTAAGTACTTGCGAATACGCTAGCCTGGTTTCGTAAACGGCGGTGTAAACTCAACTATATATAATAGAGCTGCACAGAACAGCTCCCAGCGTTGATCTCTTCAGCCTCAAAAATCAAAAAGTATCTTTGGTATTTCCCTTTTTCAACCCCTTCAACCGTATCAGAAGTTATTATGTCAACAATGGAGGACTCGAAGCAACTTCTTCGCGATCATCTCATATGTCATATTCCAGGTATCATAAAAAGCCTCCTTCAGGAAGTTGGTTCAACACCAATTCGAATACTCGGTGACACTCCCAACAAAGCTCTGGACTCCGAAGATTATATGGACTCTATACGCCCATTTGTGTCGAAGGTTGAGGATTCCCTTCGTGAACATCGCCCAGACTGCCAGACACGCTTCCTCGCTGTAGCCATATACCCCGGGAGGCACTCCTATTTCGTGGTAGACTTTAACAATACCCGTTATGACTATGATACTGCACAACACGACAAGAGTCGGGTCCCTGCCTACGTTCTTCGATTATCTCTGAAAAACCCTAGGATCTACAGGAAGGAACCCTTAGACAAGACGCTCGCTGAAAAACTTGCAGAGTTGCACAATTCGCATGGCCGAGAACCATTGCCTTTGTTTGACGATCCTAATCAAAGGCGCTGTTATGCGAGTCCCCGCAGCATTGAGCATACTCTGGGTTAATACATGTCGCGTGGTTCCTCAGTTTGGTGTGGGTATTCGGCTTATACATCTTTTTTCTGATACTGAAATGTCAGCCTTTTGGTTTCTATTGAGCTGTCAGTCACGAGCAGTAGGTTACTATTAGCTTTTTGGGACCAACGTGACACACTAGAAAAACCCACCTGAATGATTCGAGAAATGGTCGGGGCTAAAAATCCGTCGCTTTAGACGAGAAGTCTTGGATAGAGCCCTCACTGGAGAGTGCATTCCATAGATCTTCCCAGTTTCTCAATCAAAAGCCGAAACTCTCCGGGAAAGAGATGTCTCTCCGCTCCCATGCACAGTCCAGATTGGTTCTCCCTCTCCTTCACAAATATAAGACCCTCCGAATCCAAGCGGTAATGTGTTCCCTAACATTCTCGTAATTGATGCTATGAAAGACGTGCTTGCAAATGATCATTCCGTTGTCACTTTCGAACCATGACGAGAGCTCTATATCCGACGGCCGACCACCATTCGTCCCCATAGCGAGCCCCAGAACCCCACTTCGAACCACGGATGTTGCTGACATATTCTTTGAGCATTTAAAGCTAGATGCAGAAATCTGCGAAATTGTTGGCGTAAAGACTAATTTCAGGGTTGTCTTATCATAAACCATTGCTCAGTACATGGATGTTTTAGAGTACGTGCACGCCACATTATTGTCAAAATATATGAACGCCCATTTATATTGGAACTACATCGATTATGGGAACTATGAGCAGTACCTCTGAATATTCCAATGTTCAAGCGAGTCCCAGGATAAGCGACAATATCGTGCTTACCAAGTCTCGGTAATTGTGCGTAACGTTAACCCCGCCGAGAAGGTTCAATATTGACATTCGCGGCTTAGCCAGGGGAGCAGTGGTAGTGATTGGCTCGGCTATCTAGTCAGAAGTTACGTGCAGTAGTGAGCACTAAAATAGAAAAGGAACGGGAAATTATCATCCAGGCACATAGCAAAAGGTCCGAGCCAATCGGCGGAAATTGTCGCGTACGCAAACCAAAGGAATGGAAGAGAAAAACAAAGTAAGAAGCTGAAATCCCTGAATGGCTGGCTATTATGGGTTAACTACATAGACATAGAGGGCATAACTTGGTAACTAACTGCAGGTCCAGATCTCTTGTCCGGCCATCCACTTCACGATCCGCAACGGTTACGACTGCCGATCGCAGTGGGCCCTTTGGTTTGGGGTTTATGAAGGACGGGCGAGTTCCAGCTTTTATACATGTAGAGAATGTGCCTGTGGTCCTATAAGTAGGACGAAAATAAACAATTATAACCTCTCACCCCTTGCATGAGGCCCAGCCAACTCCAGAACCGACAGCGATAATGCAATAATGCATGTAAGTGGAATGCTGCACTGTACAGCCTTACGGGTCAATCCTTACTGCATCCAGTGGCGATGTGCTCTCCGGATCAGAGAGCTTGAATTTCTTGGGAGCTTAGGATAGTATTGTAGACTGCCTATACAGCATTCCGGGGATCTGACAGGTGTCAGAATGTCGGGAATAGGAATGTTCAGCCACGAGGTTCCGGTTGCGGATAAGAAAGGAGGCCGCATGCAAACTAATAGTATAGACTGAATGACACCATAAATAATAATCATAATTAAATATCTACTACTGTACTATATGCTGAGGCGTAATTAACTAGCTTAAACGAGAAAAACTCAACTAGACCCTGAATCCGGTATGGCTCGGGACTAGACCCCATTTCTTTACCCTCCTCATTTCCTTAACTTCCCCCATTGCAATATGGGCCGTCAACTCTGAGATATTCACACCCAGAGAGCCTCCGACACCTCCGATCCTAGTCGCGACCCCTTCTGCAGTACAACAAATCCCGACCGACATAAAAAAAAGAAAAAAGAAACAAACCCCCACGATGCCACTCGCACCGCGCCTCGCCGCGCTCGTCGCCCTCTTCACCCTCCTTACAACAACACTCGCCGCAGACAAGAACCTAATCCCAACGGCGGCCTCCAGCACTTTCCCACAATGCGGCTTGACCTGCAGCCAGCTCTATGCCGCCCAAGACACCTGCACCCAGGCCGCCGACTCCTCAACTTGGGTCTCCTGCTTCTGCCAGTCCTCTTTAATATCCAACCTCAAGACTTCCGGCAGTGTCTGCTCCTCCTGCAGCGCCGGTGACCAGGCCCTCGTTTCCACGTGGTATACCAACTACTGTAACTCTGGCGGAAAAGAAACGTCCGATACTGCGACGACAACTTCCTCTGCGGCTGCGGGTGCAACTGCAACCGCCACATCTGGTGCTAGCAGTGCCAACTCGAGTAAATCTGGGACGGCAACGGAGGAGAACAAATCTTGGTATGTTATACCTCTGCCTTCACTACACAGCGACATGCGCATACCCACACCCCACATCCATATTGGAGTGCTAACAAACAAAATAGGTGGAGCACCCACTACCGCTGGGTAATAATGTTAATCGTCCTAGTAATTGGCTTCGGCATCATCGCCGCGCTGGGCGTCTGGTTCAAACGCCGCTACGATGCCAAACGCCCAAATCTGTACCACGGTGGCAGCAGCGGCGTCCTCAGCACTGCTTCTCCGCCATCTGGTCCTCGGGACGCTGCTTGGGAACCTGCTCCTATGCCTGTGCAGGGGCGGGGTCTGGGTTCCCCGTCTGTTGCTAGCAGCTCGCTCTCAAATGTTGCTCCTAAGACCAGTACGCCTCTTTCTGGGAGTCGGTCGCGTTTGACGAAGATTCCGCAGGGGCCCGGGGATGTGGAGATTCGGCAGGTTTGATTTGATGTTGTGTCGTTTTTCTTTATGGGGTTTTGATTGGTATTGATTTTGTCGCATTTTGTTTGTTGCCTTATTGAATGTTGCATTTATTTGGTGTTTAGTGTGGGATTGTGGGATTTGTTGTCTTTTATTTTATTTTATTTTTCTTTGATTATATTCTTTGGTTGGTTTTCATTCTTTTTTTCTCTTGCTCTTTTCGTCTTCTTCTCGGTTTCCGAGGAGTGGAATGGAGTTCTGAGTCCCGTGGATCTGTTCGTGACGATCGTCGCTTTTTATATCTCCTTCCCCGGACTCTAGAAGTTTAACTGTGGAATGGACATGGTACATAGTACAACGCGTGCAGCATAGCAACGCGCAATCTGAAATTCCGATTCGTGATCCCATATACATACACGAAACACTACCTCTTTCCCTCGTGCACCCAGGCAACCACCAACGGCCCCCTCAGGAAACACTAATACTAACAATCTTAATATCGACCTCGGGCTTCTCCTTGTGTGTCTTAACATTCTCAATCTTATGCACGATATCAAGACCCTGCACCGCCCTTCCAAAAACAGTATGCTTATTGTCCAACCACGGCGTCTTTTCCGTGGTAATAAAGAACTGACTACCGTTGGTGTTGGGTCCCGCATTCGCCATCGACAATGTATAAGGCTTGTCATGCTTCAGAACAGAGAACTCGTCCGCGAACTCCCCACCCCAGATCGACTCGCCGCCTGTACCATCGCCTTGCGGGTCTCCGCCTTGGATCATGAATTTGCGGATCACACGGTGGAAGATGGTGTTGTTGTAGTAGCCCTGACGCGCGTGGGTCACAAAGTTCTCTACTGCTTTTGGTGCGGCCGAGGGGTAGAGACGGAGGTGGATATCGCCCATGGTTGTGTGCAGGACTGCTGCTGTGCCTGTTTCTGCGGCCTTGGTTGTGACTGCGACTGTGTCTCCGGCTGATTGGGTTGGTTTCTCGTTTTGGACGTCTCGGGTTCCCTTTGAGATCTCAGTGTCGTTGGTGAACATGTAGAAGCGCACCTTTGCGAAGCCGGTGCTTATCAAGATCGGGTCTCGTTCTTCCGCTTCTTGGAGGAGGGGGTTACTGCTTGCTGCCATTGAGACGGTTACGACGCCTTTTCGTTGGGGCTGGCCTTGGTATAGGGCTAGGTTCAGGGAGCGGAAGGGCTCGTCGCGGCCGTAGACGCGGACTACCCGATTTGTGTAGGTGTTTATGCATTTGATTCCGTAGAGCGAGCCGAAGAGGAGGAAGTGACCCGATTCGTCGAAGGAGACATTGACCTTATGGCGGGTTGTTTCGGATTCAATTTCGCGTTCGACACCGAGACGTCGGCCGAATTCGATTTCGTCGAGGGGGTATGGTGCTGTTCCGGCTTGTTGCATTTCCGTGATTGTTGTTATTGATTCATCGTATGTACGGTATAGCTTGCCGGTTGCAAAGTCGAAAACTCGCACCTGGCGGTCTGGGAAGGAGACTGTTGCGAAGTGTTCGCCTGATGGGGAGATCGTAATGGCCGTTGGGACGGATTTAGCTTTTTTGAAGGCGAAGAGGTTGGTTGAGGACTTGAGCTCGAAGACATTGTCGGGTTTCTCGAAGGAGCCGTCGCCTGCACGCCAGTACTCGATCATGCCTGATTCGTCGGCTGAAACAACGCAGTCGAAGGTGTTGTTGAATGCCATTGACACTACTGGGCTGCGGTGGATGGATTTCACGGTGTGCAAGGGGGTAGGGTTCTCGCCACGTCCGTCGAATACTTGCACTGTATTACTTGATTCGTCTGTCACAGCAAGAAGAGGGAGAGATGCTCCGCGCTGGTGTACCCAGCAGACACAGCGGGGCATGAACTCCAGAGTATACATCGCCAAGAGATCTGCATTTGTCAGTATGAAAGTGCAACATGGAGGAGAGTATGAACCTACCGAATGTAATGACATCGAAGATCTTAACTGTCTTGTCTACTCCGGCTGTCGCAAAGCTGCGGCCGTCGGCACTGACAGTTACACTCCGGATCTCACCTGGGTGAGCAATGAACTCCTTCACAAACTCGATACCCTCAGCCATCTTCTTCCAAAACTTGACAACTCCATCTATGGAACTGGTGATCACAAAGTCCGTGTAAGGCGCAACGGTCACAAAAGATAATTGGTCCTTGTGCATCAGCGACTTGGAGTACCGCGCCGAGGCCGGTAGCGCATTGACGTAGACCTTCTCAAACGGAAGCTTTCTGCGTTTCTTCTTGGGGGCGGCCTCCGAGGGCAGCGCTGGGCCGAAATCATCGTCGGAGGAGTCATCGCCTAACAATCGCATACAGTCAGTATCTATGGTGTAAGAGGGAGCGGTCTGGGCAGTCTCCAGCGTGCGGAGGACTCACTGTTCTCGGCATCGATATCAGCATGAGGCCGCTTGTTCGCAGGAGGCTGTGCAACTTCTCCGGAGTCCGCCATTGTAGTATTAAAGAGAATTGAGTCCAGTTCAGCCAAGGGAGAGCGCAGATAGAAAGCAAATGTCGAGAGGTATTGCGGGCGGTGATGGCCTGCGTCCAATCAGGAGCTTGGACCAACGGCAACTTTTCTCCTTTCCCTCACCCCACTGTTGACAGGAGAAGTTGCTTCAACCTTTCCAGCGAGACATTTGATCTTTGGTCGATTGCCTTATTCAGCTGGTCACCATGGTATGTCGTTTGTATCTGTTTTGTGTGTGAAAACTATGTGCATCCGTTGACTAACCTCTGCCCCTCACAGGCGTCTTTCGGCAATCCCACACAGATCTTTGGCGACGATGTCATTGAGGAGAAGGGCGAGAATGCCCGTCTGTCTGCGTTCGTCGGTGCTATTGCCGTCGGAGACCTCGTGAAGAGTACCCTCGGCCCTAAGGGCATGGATAAGATTCTACAGTCTGCGTGCGTGGGAGCTATTGATTATCAATATATTGAGATGGTGGAAATGCTGACAACACTTTCTTTACAGCTCAACGGGAGAGATCCTCGTGACGAACGACGGTGCTACAATCTTGAAGTCTATTGCTCTGGATAACGCTGCAGCCAAGGTGTTGGTCAACATTTCCAAGGTTCAGGACGACGAGGTGGGTGATGGAACTACATCGGTTACCGTTCTCGCCGCCGAGCTCCTACGCGAGGCCGAACAGCTCGTTGCCAAGAAGATTCACCCCCAGACCATCATCGAGGGTTACCGGATAGCCAGCAAGGCTGCCCTTAGCGCCCTCGAGGCCACAGCCGTCGACCGCAGCCAAGACCCCGAGGCTTTCCGTAAGGACCTGCATGCCATCGCCCGCACAACACTCAGCTCGAAGGTGCTCGCACAAGACCGTGACCAGTTCGCTCAGTTAGCCTGTGAGGCCGTCCTCCGTCTCAAGGGCTCCACGGATCTTTCCCACATCCAGGTTATTAAGAAGGCCGGTGGCAAGCTGAGCGACTCATACTTGGACGAGGGTTTCATTCTGGACAAGAAGATTGGTGTCAACCAGCCCAAGCGTCTGGAGAATGCCAAGATCCTGGTTGCCAACACGGCAATGGACACGGACAAGGTCAAGATCTTCGGTGCACGAGTCAAGGTCGAGTCCACAGGCAAGCTCGCCGAGTTGGAGAAGGCCGAGCGTGAGAAGATGCGCGCCAAGGTTGAGCGCATCAAGGCTCACGGTATCAACTGCTTCGTCAACCGTCAGCTGATCTACAACTGGCCCGAGCAGCTGTTCACCGAGGCCGGCATCATGTCCATTGAGCACGCCGACTTCGACGGTATTGAGCGTCTCGCTCTCGTCACTGGCGGTGAGATCGCCTCCACCTTCGACCACCCCGACCAGGTCAAGCTCGGATCTTGCGATCTGATTGAGGAAGTGATCATTGGTGAGGACACCCTGATAAAGTTCTCCGGTGTGGCCGCCGGCCAGGCCTGCACCATTGTGCTGCGCGGAGCCACCGAGCAGCTCCTCGACGAGGCCGAGCGTTCGCTCCACGATGCCCTCGCCGTCCTGTCTCAGACTGTTAAGGACCCCCGCGTCACACTCGGTGGTGGCTCCGCCGAGATGGTCATGTCCAAGGCTGTCGAACAGGCTGCCCAGAACACAACCGGCAAGAAGCAGCTTGCCGTCGACTCTTTCGCTCAGGCTCTTAAGCAGCTGCCTACCATCCTGGCTGACAACGCTGGTCTCGACTCCTCCGATCTGGTCACCCGTCTGCGCCAGGCGATCAACAACGGCATGACCAGCTCTGGTCTTGACCTGTTGACGCCCGGCGGTGGTATTGCTGATATGCGTGATCTCGGTGTGGTGGAGGCTTACAAGCTGAAGAAGGCGGTTGTCTCTTCTGCTTCAGAGGCTGCCGAGGTACGTGTCATTCGTAATATATGTTTCGGAAATCTGCTAACATTGTTTCTAGCTTCTGCTGCGGGTGGACAACATCATCCGTGCGGCTCCTCGCCGACGCGACCGAATGTAATGGACATGATTGTGATGGCATGGATGAATTCATATCTCTACCCTCTCTATGAAGGAACTCAAAAATGTGCTATAGAAGTTCAACTACGTACATGATCTCCATACATTGGCCATTATATAGTCGTGTAGTGAGGTACATAAATGATTGTATACGCAACGAGCCATTGCACCTACGTAACTTCATCACGTCCATACAGTTGGCAGACATAGTAGTGTGTGATGTCCTGAATCGTCGGGCAGGCGTAATCCGAATGAGGTTAGCGTAAAGAATTGGAATGCTGCCTTGGATTCCAGGCCACGAAGTCCCTTGCCGGCAGATTCCGAAAGAGGCAAAGACTGAGTTCAGCACACTTGGCGACAGGACAGGCAGCAAAATAGAAACCAGCTTACTATGGAGCACGGAGTACTCGGCATTCTTGTATTATTGCTTATTGCTGGTAAGCACAAATCTGAGACCAATCTATCCCTCGTGTTCGTATCGGTTTTGACAACGACGATCCATACCGTGGGGCCTGGTCCAGAACAGGAGTCGAATAGTTCTCCAAATGATCGTCTGTAGAAATCCCGTGCAACATAACTAACTTATAGCAGAGTAATACAGGTATAAACATAATTTAAGTGTCAGTGGATAGGCTAAGGGATGCTTCGCCAAGCTTGATGTTTCATTGCCTGCAGGTTCCAGGGGAGTCTAACCCTCGTATTTTTAGGGGTTAACCAGTGGACAGGGGCGAGCGCATAAACATAGACTAGAGAAACATTGAAGCCTTACTGAATCGAACTAATAACTAAGAACTAATAATATGAAAGTTTCAGAGTTTGAACATTCTTAGACGCAAACACTGTGCCCCCACCAGTACCCGGGGACTGCAACGGTACTGTTACCGGACCCTGAGACCCTTTTGACATCCGTCACTTTCTCCTTTCACCACCTCCTTGGCCCTTGGCTTTCTACTTCACATGATTCTATCCAAGTGGCTGGCCACTCTCCTGAGCGGCGCTCTCGCCGTTCAGGGTGCCCTCGCGATCGACCTGAACATCGATGATGAGAGTATGTCGCTTTCCTCCCCCCATCGGAATTCGCGGGCTAATCTAGATGCGCGCTCACAGGTTCTCTCAAAAGCGCGGCCAAGACGGTCGCCACCGAAATGATGAAATTCTACGACGAGCGTGACTCCAAGGACATTCCCGGTAAAATGGACGGAACCTGGTGGGAGGGTGGCTCGATGTTCATGACTCTCATTCTGTACTGGTTCGTGACCGGTGACACCCAGTTCACCGCCGCCGTCCAGGAAGGAATGTACTGGCAGAAGGGCGACGATGACTTCTTCCCCAGCAATTACAGTCAGTATCTCGGTAACGACGATCAAGTATTCTGGGGATTAGCCGCTATTACCGCTGCCGAATTCAACTACCCCGAGCTCGACGGGGAGCCATCCTGGGTTTCGCTCGCTCAGGGTGTGTTCAACACGCAATACCCCCGATGGGATACCAGCAGCTGCCACGGTGGTATGCGCTGGCAGATTTGGCCTTACCAGGATGGTTATTTGACTAAGAACGCTATTTCGAACGGAGGATTGTTCCAGCTGTCCGCCCGCCTTGCCCTTTACACCGGAAACAAAACCTACGCAGAATGGGCCGAGCGCATCTGGGACTGGAGTGCTACCACCCCTTTGCTTAAGCAGAAGAACTGGAACATTGCCGACACCACCACCTGCGGCACGCAGTGCACGGATCACGGTGATTTCCAATGGACCTACAACTATGCCACCTATATCAGTGGTGCTGCCTACATGCACAACTACGTATGATACCTTTTCTTGATGGTTGAGTTTTGATGCTAACATTTTGGTAGACCAATGGCACTGAGACAAAGTGGAAGGAAGGCGTCGAGGGTCTGATTAAAACCTCCCAGCAATTCTACCCGGCCTCTGGCAATGGCCAGATTCTATCGGATATCACCTGTGAACCTCTCGGAAACTGTGATCGTAACCAGATCACCTTCAAGGCTTACTTCTCCACTTGGCTCGGCATGCTGACCACCATCGTCCCCGGTACCTACGATCTGATCTTCCCTCAGCTAAAGACCTCTGCCCAGGCTGCTGCGAAGCAATGTTCGGGTGGTACCTCTGGTTCGCTGTGTGGTATCCGTTGGACCAAACAAGCCGAGTGGGACAAATCCAGCGGTCTGGAACAGCAGATGGCCGTGCTAGGTGTGCTGTCAGCAAACCTGATCCCCTTCAAAAATCAGGCGCCCTACAGTTTAGAGTCGGGTGGTACCTCTAAGAGTAACCCGAGTGCCGGCACCAACTCCTCGAACAATGCGATCCCTGTATTGAACACCATCGGTACCGGCGACAAAGCCGGTGCGGGTGTCTTGACCGTCATCTTCGTCACTGGGTGGGCTGTCGCCGTCACCTGGATGATCCGCGGTGGTTAAACGGTCTGTTTGTGTTTCTTACCTTTCTTGGGACCATACGTGATCCTTCTGTTGTTCTATAGTTTCTTTCTTCCGATGTGGGTATCTGATCGCATCTTTTTCCTCAACCCTGTATCTATCTTTTCCTTCTTTAATCTTTTCTCCCTTTTCTTCCTCCGGCACTTCCGTGTACTTCACGAGGATGGGGTTGCGGCGTTGCATGCCTTCTGTTTGGTCTACATATTTCTGATTTGATGACAATGGACTTTTTGATTCTCCCGTGTTTCTAGCGTGTTCTGTCACTTTCAGCCCCCTGAGGTGTCAAGGATATATCTGCCGTGGAGACGGAAGGCTGGGGTTGATCTTTTGCCTGGATGATCATACATGTCCGGAGTAGAGAACCCTGAGGTCCGCTGGGATGACTATCGAATGATCTATTAGACGCATTGTAACCGAAGCAGGGGAAATAGAACATCCTGATGGTGTGATTTCTTTTAATATATTGCTTTGCACTAGTAAGTTTTGGGCTTTTTTGCTGTGTCTTTGCATGACATATACGGTGCATGTATACATATGAAATTTGTGCATTGGAAATATACTCAAGATGCATATGCCGTTGATAATGTCGACTTGATCAATAAAAATGTCCCAGTGTTGTGTTCCAGACCCCCTGTGAAGGGGCACCAAAGTACCGGTACCTCCTGGTACACACTGTGGAGGCGGGAGAGGCTGGTCACTAGCTGTACTGTACACGTGTATTACACACAATCTCTCTGCCTACTCCCCTTTCATCTTTCATTCTCTTTCCACTCTTTCAACTCTACTCCATACTCTCAACCATTGACTCACTGTTGAACATTTTTGAGAATCATCCACTGTGGGGGATGATCAGCTACCCGGATTCGTGAGCTCGATCCACACTTTAACTCGATCCGAACCTCTTCTTCCTCCCTCACCAAATTCAACACATGAGCACATGAGGAACCACCCTCCACCTCCGCCATCACCCTCTTTCCTCTCTGTGCTGACGTTTCCACAATGCGGTGGCGGCTGCCGGGCGCCCGTTCGACCCTCCCCGCCAGTGTCGCCCTCCTTCTCCTGCCAGCCCTGGTCGCTCCGCAGCAGCAACCAGATGACACCATCTCCCGCCTCTCCGTGCCCCTAGCACAAGAGTCATCCACACAACATGCAGCTCCCGTAGCTGCACCCCCCATCGTGAAACCCAACGATGCGAGCGCCCTTGCTACTCTGGCTCTGGCAGGCTCCGGCCGCGCCGTTCGAGCCCCTCCTGTCCAGGCCAGCAGCACAGCTGCAGGTCTGGCTTCGCAGCTTCACGCGCGGTCCTTGCAGGACTGGGAGGTTGAGGATTTTGTGCTACTGGCGACCGTCGACGGAACCATTCACGCCCGTGATCGCAAGACCGGGACTGCGCGCTGGGCCCTGGAGGTTTCTAGCAGTCCTGTTGTTGAAAGCATCTACCATCGTGCGAACCGTTCCTCTTTTGACGATACCGAGCCCGAAGACGATTTCTTGTGGATTGTTGAGCCTAGCCAGGATGGCAGCCTCTATATCTACAGTCCCGGCCCGGACGCCGGTTTGCAGAAACTCGGCTTGACTGTTAAACAGCTTGTCGATGAAACTCCGTATTCCGGCATTGATCCTGCCGTGACTTATACTGCCCGGAAAGAAACTACGCTGTATACAATTGATGCCCGCACTGGCAGCATTCTAAGGGTGTTCAGCTCTCGTGGGCCCATTACTTCTGGGCCGGAATGTCGGAAGGTCGATGGACAAGATGTGGATCCTGAGGAGTGCGAGTCGTCTTCAGGTACTTTGGTGCTGGGTCGGGTTGAATATGCCGTCGCTATCCAGAATACTGAGACGGGTGACCCAATCTGCACATTGAAATACTCCGAGTGGGCACCGAACAATCGCGATATGGACCTCCAGAGCCAATACTATCGCACCATGGACCAAAGCCACATTTATAGCATGCATGACGGCGTTGTACTGGGATTCGACCATTCGCAGATGGATCGACCTCGTTATACCCAGCGTTTCTCGTCGCCGGTGGCTCGTGTCTTTGATGTGGTTCGTCCTTCCCACAAAGATAGACCAGACGCCTCCACTCCGCTTGTCCTTCTATCACAGCCCCTTCAGCCGCCGGACCCAGATTACGGTTCGCTCGACGATGACCGGGATATGCGTGTGTTCATCGATTGCACTGAGGCAGGTGGCTGGTACGCCTTTTCTGAGGAAACCTATCCTCTGGCCACAGGCCGCGCCCCAATGGCTTCATGCTATGACAAAGACTTCTTCCGCAGGGGCCAGGCGCTCATGAGTCTGACTCCACATCAACAGCGAAATGCGTTGGCGGGTGTCCATTCACTCAATGGTCCTCGTGTCATCCGTTCTCCCATGCCCAGAATCGCTGGGTCATCCACCTCTGAGCTGTCAAATGACACTCCCCGGGAGGCTTTACGTAGCCCCTCTGAGCTGGCCTTACCTCCGGCTCTTCGCAATAGCGCAATCATCCGCAAGAGCTGGGACAATGCATTGGACATCGTCGTCACTTTGATTCTATTGTTCATCTGCACCTTCATTTACTTCAACTCTCATCATCTTCGAGACTTGGCCAAACAAAAGCTTGACATCAAAAACATCATCAACTCAAATGACAAGGCGTCTCTATCAACGCCGTCCACTCCTCTTGTCGGTGCCTCTCCGGATCTCAAGCGCCCATCCACACCTTCACAGCAAGTCCCCAATGTGACTGTCAATTTGGATATGGATGGCTCGACACCAAACGGAGACGCTAGCAAACAACCCTCCGGAAGCCACATTTCCCCAGACTCAACTCCTCGTGTTAAGATTCGTGAGCCATCTCGCGGTCCTGACGACGAAGAAGGTGACGAGAATGAGAAGCCTAAGAAGAAAGGCCGCGCTCGTGGTTCTCGTGGTGGAAAGTCCCACCGTCGGCGCAGAAAGCCCGGCAGTGAAGGTGACACTGCCGAAGTTGCTGAGCAGGTCATTGAGCAAGTTAATACCTTGGCTCCCCAGTCTCGACTTGAGCCTGATGTTCAGATGACTCGTCAAGTCTCAAACGAGATCATGGAGATGGATGGCGTTATCCGCATTGGTCGCCTTCAGGTGTTCACGGACGTTGTTCTAGGCTTTGGTAGCCATGGGACTGTGGTCTACCGCGGTTCCTTTGATGGACGTGATGTGGCGGTTAAGCGTATGTTGATGGAATTTTATGATATTGCATCCCACGAAGTGGGCTTGTTACAAGAAAGTGATGACCACCATAACGTGATCCGGTACTTCTGTCGTGAGCAAGCCACCGGATTCTTGTACATTGGTCTCGAGCTTTGTCCCGCATCTCTCCAGGATGTGATTGAGCGTCCTGCTGAGTACCCAGAACTAGTCCAAAATGGCCTGGATATGCCAGATGTACTGCGCCAGATCACTCAGGGTGTTCGTTACTTGCATTCTCTGAAGATCGTCCACCGTGATCTTAAGCCGCAGAACATTCTCGTGGCTATGCCTCGTGGTCGCAGCATCACCCGCTCATTGCGGCTCCTCATCTCGGATTTCGGTCTGTGCAAGAAACTGGAGGACAACCAGAGTTCGTTCCGGGCGACTACGGCCCACGCTGCTGGAACTTCTGGCTGGCGTGCTCCTGAGCTCCTGGTAGACGATGACGGTCCAATGTCTCTCGCCTCACAGCACACCGAGTCTTCGGAGCCTGCTGTTGTAGATCCTCAGACAAACCGTCGTGCTACCCGTGCCATTGACATCTTCTCCTTGGGCTGCGTCTTTTACTACGTCTTGACTCGTGGCAGCCACCCATTCGACAAGAATGGCAAGTTCATGCGTGAGGCGAACATCGTCAAAGGCCAATTTGATCTGGAGGAATTGAACCGTCTGGGTGATTACGCCTTCGAAGCAGATGATCTCATTCGGTCCATGTTGTCTCTCGACCCCCGTCAACGACCTGACGCCAGCGCTGTCCTAATGCACCCCTTCTTCTGGCCCCCATCCGACCGCCTGAGCTTCCTCTGCGACGTATCAGATCACTTCGAATTCGAGCCCCGCGACCCACCGTCAGACGCTCTCCTCTGTCTGGAATCCGTCGCTAGGCGGGTCATGGGCCCTGAGATGGATTTCTTGCGTTTACTGCCAAGGGACTTCAAAGACAATCTCGGCAAGCAGCGCAAGTATACCGGGTCGCGCATGCTTGATCTCCTTCGCGCTCTCCGTAACAAGCGCAATCACTATAATGATATGCCTGAGTATCTTAAGGCTCATATTGGTGGTTTACCGGAGGGATATCTTAATTTCTGGACTGTTCGCTTCCCGAGTTTGTTGATGAGTTGTCACTCGGTTATTGTTGAGCTGGATTTGACTCGCATTGATCGGTTCCAGAGGTATTTTGTGCCGCCTGAGTAGGAGTTCTGTGTATTGCATCTTACATTTATTTCGCGTTTATTGGTCATCTTTGTGGCTTTCATTGTTTGCATTCGATCATATACATCTAAATCATATTCCCTTTCCATATTTATCTGTTTTCTGTGTAATCGTAACTTGGGAAGTAGTCATAGTATATCAGAGTTCAGAGATATATAACGCGCGGACCCCACCATTGACTGAAATGTACGTATCTGAATGTCTAGTTCTTCGTTTGGAAGCCGAAATGTGTAAACAAAAAGATAGCATGTATCTAATCCCATTGAAGGCACATCCACCCATTTCCATCAAGTCGTTGGATACATCGGACAGAGTATAAATGTGATAGACCCATAGTGGATCGCGACGTGACGGCTTCGCGCCATTTTCTTTCCGCGACTCCCCAATTTCCGCTCCGCAACCTTTCCTCCCACCCTCTCTGCAAGCTTCCTTTTGGCATTTGATGCCGGCCTGCAGACCGATCATGAGCATTTAAGCAAGCTCTCATGTTTCTGCCTTCCTCCAGTTCGCCGCGCCGACCGTTCCTTCGCAACATCCAAATCTTTTGAGCTTCGACCTTGACCATCTGAAGAACTCCCTCGTGCTTGTCAGCTTGTCGATTTCCTCCCTCTTACAGGCCACCAGTCATCGCCCGCATACAGTACTCAACAATGGTGTTCCTACGATTGTCGGTCAAAGTATTCCCGCGGGATCAGCTGGCCTCCAACTCAAGCTCGAGCTGGGGACGGTCTCTACCCTTCACGCGGAAGTCTGTGAATGATGACTCGAGCCAGGCATCTGCGGCGTCCGCTACATCAAAGAAACCCGGTATCTTTCTCCTTGTACTTGAAAAGCCAGAGGATGTAACGCTAGGTGGACTTGCGGGAATGATCCAGGATCACTGGGCCAAGCTACACCCTGACCTGGAGTAAGTACTCTACTTGAGCGATTGGACAGTTGCGATTACTGAAGAATTTCAATGGCTGACTATCGCAACTCCTAGACCCCTTACGATTAAGAAAATCTTGGACGATACGAAAGAAGACCTCGACCTTTACCCCGATTTGACTGTCGCCGATGTTTGGGTTGACTATGGAAAAGCCCGCGCCGATGGTCTTGACCAGCGTGGTACTGTCCGTGTTGTTCAGAAACCTGCTGCGGCTGCAGCGCCAGAACGCTTCCCCTCTGTTGATCAGGACTGGGATGCTGCGATTGTCGCATATGAACGGCAGCGCGATTCGAAGATTAAGAAGGACGTTATTAAGCGGCGGTTCTCTCCTATCCAAGAGGAAGATGAGTCACAAAGCATTCATTCCGTACCGAGCCACCGATCGTCTCAGACCCCATGGTCCGTATCGCCTGGTCACTCCGGACACGATACACAGAATCAACACCACATTCATAATGGTATCTCTGAAGAACAGCGCCGTCGTCGCGATGTGCCTCTTTCTTCTGTTGAAGTCCACAGTCCTACCGCTCAACATGAATCGGCGGCAGTTAATGGGCCTACGATTGCTGGCACGCCTCCTCCTAGACGGGACGAGAGTGAAGAGCTCGGCGAGTCGCCTTCTCCAGCTGAACGACGACGTTCTAGCACGAGAGCTAGGTCTACACCTGCTTCCGCAACTGCCACTTCTCCAAAATCGAATGGTCGACTGGGGAAGATTGCGAGACCGCGTGTGCCAGCTACACGAACGATTACCAAGATTCCCGACGATGCTGAACCTGCTGAGTCGTCTCAGCAATCAGCTGAAGCCCCTGCAGTTCCTGAGCAAAAGGACAAAGAACAGATCGAGGAGAGCAGCAATGAGGCAAGCGAGTCTGAGAGCGCAGAGGACAACAATGTAACTCCACCACCCAAGCCATCCGTGAAGCGCACATCTGTTGGACCTCAGCCAGAAAGCCGTCTCTCGGCTCTTGCCAAGAGCATATCGAAATCACCGCAGCAGAAGCCCTCTGATCAGGCAATTCCTATTTCGAGCGCAGAAGAAAGTGAGGATAGCGATGACGACAGTGACGACAGTGACGAGGAAAGCGACAAGGAATCGGATAAGAACGAAACTGCGAAAAGCCCAGCGAAACCGGTTGGAGTTGAGAATCCCGAAGACAAACCAGCACAAAACGAGAACGATGATCTCTCCGAGGAATCCTCATCTTCATCTTCGTCTTCATCTGATTCTTCTTCTTCCGAGTCTGGAGATAACGAAGAATACGCCGCAGAGGATACAATCGCCGAAATCCAGCTGACTGCTAATCGGACTCAGGAGGCTGATAAAGATGGAGATGTGCAAATGGAAGGCTCTCAGACCACTGTTTCCCCTCAGGCATCTCAGATGAACGGTGCTTCGGGCGAGACTCGGTCTCGGAAGCGCAAGCAGAGTCCAGATGGACCTGTGTCGGTCAAGGAAACTCGTATCAACCAGGCCCATCCATCAACTCGCCAGCAGACTAAATTCAGGTCCCCTTCAGTTGTAATTTCTTCACAGCATACAGAGGACCAGTCCAAGTCGAAGTCACCAATTGGCTCGGCTGAGATCCCGCTACCACCTCAGTTAGTGAGCCCACGCCGGAGACATGAGCGTGTCCCTTCATTCTCTAGCCCTGCCCGTCGCCGTGCCAGTATTTCGAAGGACAGAGAGCAGTCACCAAACCCTACGAAAGGACTGGGATTGGGTATCACTGCGAGCCCCCCAGTAAGCAGCTCCTGAGGAACATTGCACAGGACATGCATCCTACTGAACCTGCTCAGAACGGCTTTGATAACGGCTTTGGTGGGCCTCTGTTGCCCAGCAGCGTACCTACCGCGGCTGATTCAGTCGATATGACCCCCGGCGCTAGGCAAACCCCTGCGCTCGACAGGACCAAGAAGTTGCACTCCGCGATCCGCGGGAAAGATTCCCCCTCAGAACGGGGTGAGAGACGATCGGTCTCCTTCCAAGAGGGTGACAACATCTTCTTGACTTCCGACCCCGCTCTACCTACAACCTCAACTCCTCGCGCTACGACTATGAAGTCCCAGCCAGCAAGACCGCCAACTGCCGCTAACAAGATTATTGGTTCGGGTACGCAGTCAGGCTTGGATCCTCGTGGTACGCCCAAGGACAAGGAAGCTCAAAAGACACCGACTTCTGCCGAACCTCCCAAGCAAACTGCCAATGGAACCAGGAGCAATGCCACCAAGGCTGCCTCTAAGGGCAAAGCCGCTCAGAAGACCCCGGCATCGAAGTCTAGCCAGGGAACTCCATCCAGCAGTCAGAGCCACACCGTCTATCCACCAGGGTTCTCTGCCGAAAGCATCAGCAAAATGAGTGCGCAAATCGAGCAGGATACGCAAGAGAAACACGAACTGGAAGAACGACTCAAAGCATCAAATGCCGATCCTCAAATATTGATTCTAGCGACGGAGATGCTGGGGCTCATCAATAACCTTGAGACCAAGAAGCGCCAGGGAACCAAGAGGATGGAGTCCTGGCGCACAAAGCTTGACCAAATGCGGGAACAACTCAAAACTTGCGAAGAGAAGAAAAGGCAGCAAGACGAGAACCCCAAGCAATCAGTTGCACGCACACCCCGTCCTACCCTAAAGGGTCTTCTCAGCAGCCAGAGACAAGAAATGGCTGCTAAAACCGCCAAATCTCGTCCTGAGCCAAAGCCCGCTCCACCACCTCGTGGTGATGTGTATGATGTACCCAGCTCCAGTGAGTCTGAGAGTTCGGACAGTGATTCTGATTCCGACAGTGACGAGTCCGAGAGTGACCAAGGCGATATCTTACCCGATGGGTCCCATGAAAAGCTGCGCAAGCCCTGGTCTCAGCGCAATAAGTGAACCCTGTGACATCCACTCAATGCATTTGTTTTCTCGTTAAGATATCCTGTCTACTACATGTGTCATTATTTGTTATCGCCCGTGTACATTGTCTCATTGCCAGAAATCCACAACTAATATTGATCAATGACTGAACCTTTATTTCAAGTAGATCGCAAGACTTAATCAGTAAATCCAACAACCAAACGGTAGGATGGACTGGGCCAAGGATAGTAGTCCTGTACCAGTCCCAACGCGTATCTCTAGGGAACATTGGCACCATTCTGCTCTGGCTTTTCGTGGTTTTCATCAGCCCATCCCTTAGGTGGTGGCAGTACCTCATAGTTCCAAACCCAAGGATCCTCGACAGTCCCAGATTGTATACCCCGAAGCATCTTCAGCAACTGAACACAAACTTCCCCACCCTCCTTCTCAGCCCCAGTGCGATACTCAAATTTATCCGCACGAGACTTCATAGTAATGCTACCAACGGGCACCAAAGCAGCCGCAGTCCCAGCAGCGATAACCTCCTCGAACTCCCCCAACTCCTCATACAAAACCCTCCGCTTCTCAACCCGATAACCCAACTTCCGCGCAATCTCCAAAACAGAAGCTGCAGTCACGGAATCAATCGCATTCCGACTATCCGGCTGAACAACAGTAACCCCACCATCAGCATCCCTCTTGACCCCAATAAACGCACTCGTCGAAAACTCATCAACCTCACTCCGGGTCGCACTATCCAAATGAAGCGTAATCCCATACCCCTCCTTCCGCGCCCGGTCACTATGTCTCAACACAGGCGCATAATTCCCCCCCACCTTCGCAGCACCAGTCCCAAACGGCGCACACCGATCAAAATCTTCAAGAATCAATGCATCAACCGCACTAGCTCCGTGGTACACTCCAGTCGGCATGGCAAAAACAGCAAACGTATACCCATCCGGCGGACTAAGCCCCAGCTGCGCCGATGATCCGAATAGTAAGGGGCGGATATACATCGCCGCACCGGATTCGTGCGGTGGCACATATTCGGCGTTTAGGCCGACGGCCAGCCGGACGCATTCTATGAAGAGCTCTTCTGGAACTGGTGGGATTGACACCACCTCGGCGGAAAACTGCATGCGCTTGGCGTTCCGGTCTGGGCGGAAGATTGTTATCTTGTTGTTGTGCGGGTGGCGGAAGGCTTTTAGGCCTTCATATACTTGTTGGCCATAGTTGAGGGCTGGGGACATGCCCGATATTCCTAGGGTTGGGGAATTGACGTATTGCGGGGTTGTCCATTTGCCGCTGCCGCTGTGGGAGAAGTGGCATTCGACATGGCCGTTGCCTATGAGTTGTTAGTTGGGTGACTGGGAGTTGTTTCAATTGGAGGCTGATACCATCGCGGACTTTAAAGCCAATGTTGTTCCAGTCGAGAGCAATGGGTGGGGGGTGCATCTTGGAGATGTGTGGAGTTCAGATCTGACACCCGGGGCCGCGTACGCTTATTTATACTCCGAGGTCGGGACTGGGTTTGCTGACTACTCGACTTTCTGACGTCGGGTCTCTTGTTCAGGCTATTCATTATCACGACCTGTACTGTATCCGGCCAATTAAAGACATCAATGACTCTATTTCTCGCTATTTATTGAGCAATTTCTAATTACATGATGGTCCCGGATATATCATATACCCGAAGCCATCCGGATCATCTATAGACCCGGTTTCATGCAGTATTCGTAAGGTAATCGCAACATTTGCGCACTAGCATTCTTGAGCGGCGTATATGTCATTGTTCTCTTGATTTTGTTCTCTGCGTCCAAACGATGTCACCAAGCATACCTTTAGTCCACCGGGCACTTCATGGCGCGCGAACTTGTGGTACTCCTCGGCGATGTTCTCTAATTCATCTTCATACGTGAACATCCATGAAGGGTCGAGTTTCCCCTGAACAACCAGGTCCAGTAGGAACGGATAATACTATATTTGAATAAGCGTCAATTCACCAGAACTTGGCTGATCTCACCTTCTGTGGACACACTTGACCCCCGCGCACCGTCAATGCCTTCTGCATCATCGGCCCAATAGGGAAGTCGTGCGTCGTGAAGAAGAAGTCCCCAACCAATGCAACATTGCCACCCTTGCGCGTAGCCTTGATGATATCCTCCAATGTATCCCCACTATCCCGCTCCAACCCAATAGCCCGCATAACAGCATGTAGAGGCTTCTGCACACTGCGGAACCCACTCGCCTCAATAGCCCGATCAAGTCCCTCTTCCTGAATAGACAAAAGGTACTCCCCAACCTCTTGATGAAGCGACACATCAACAGGCGTCATCCCGAAATCCTCAGCGAGCCGCAATCGCTGCGAATCCCGATCCATAGCATACACCTTCTTCGCTCCGCGCATCATTGCTAACTGCTGCACCGCAAGTCCAATAGGTCCACAACCCCAAACACCAACAACATCGCCTTCCTGCACCTCGGCCAATTCCAGCGCATGCCAAGCAGTTGTAATGACATTACTCAGCCCAAGCAACTTCCTCGCATCAACACCACGCGGTGCCCGAATACATGTCAAATCGGCATTTGGAACATGACAATACTCAGCCTGATCACCGGGATACCCACCCGAAAGCCGACTATATCCCAATTTCCCGGAAATGCGATGCCCATACGCAGCCTCCATCTCCTTCGATGGATTGGTTTTCCCGCACAGCGAGTACTCCTCTCGCTGACAATAGTCACAGCTTCCACACGCAATGACGGGTAAGATGATGACCCGGTCACCGGCTTTGAGGGTCCTGACTTTTGGTCCGACTTCTTCGACTATGCCGATTGCTTCTTGGCCTAGGATATCGCCTTTTTCCATTGAGTTGTTGAGCTCGCCTTCGTAGAGGTGGATATCGATGCCAGAGATTGTGCAGTGAGTTATTTGGATCATTGCGTCGTGCGGGTCTGTTATTGTTGGTTTTGGGACCACGCCTACTTCGATGCTGTGGGTTCCCATCCATCGGGCTGCTTTCATGCAGTTTGTTTCGTGGGGTTTGTAGCCTATTGATGTTATTGGGCTTGGGAGTGTTAGTTTCGTTTTGGGGTTGGGTTGGGTTGTGTAGCGGCGCGCTTACCTGGGCATTACGGCTGCCATGGTTGGTAGTGTTGATGGGATTTTGTTGACAACTATGTTGATGTTTATATTCAGGGCTTGTTGGATATACTGAGGTGTTTCACAAATTCGTTACTGTTGTTATTTCCGAGGGTGGTTTCCGTTCTGGTTCTAGCGCAGGCAAATGGAGCTCAACATGATGCCATAATGCTATTGCTGAATGGCCGTGGAACCAGAGCATTTTTACAGATAGCCATCACCTAGGTTCCTCGTGAAGATGTATGGATGGACAGGGTCGGGATTTAGGGCCGATGATGTCAGCTGATGGTACCTCTTATTGAGGTCACGAGGTGAGATAACCCTGACTTCACGCCTTTTCTTTGTTACTCCTAGTAGCCTTTCCGCGATGATTAGTTGCCCTAGAGCAGATAAAGTTGAAATTTGTAGTAGTCATTCAATGATCGAATCATCCAGCTTGAATATCAGGTAGCTTCAATGCGTTGCAGGAACATTATTCGTCAGTAGCATGGAAGTAGGCACTACGAGTGGCGAACTACTCTTTCTGGACCGAATTCTAGTTTGGAATAACAGACGTGACTCCAGATGTAGAGCATTCATGCTGAGTCCCTTCATGCCAGCCCGCTGAGTATGGTGGCATTGGATAGGTGGGCGCAGGTGGATAATCTGTTGAATCTTCGCTATAATCATCTCTGGTAACGGCGCCGAACTTTTGTTTGGACTAGAAAGTAATTCTTGATCAACATGTAGCTGGGACCCTCACTTACAAAGGATACTTCTGAATATTTTCCAAGCATATAGAATGGAATTTCTCTACGCGTCGCTTGATCCGAGAGAAGACTCATCAATTTCAAAAGAAGGAAATGGAAGTTGCCGTCTATCCTGTCCACTGCATACAGAACCCAAACAATCTTGGGTAGTAGCCGGCAGATGCCCAGTCATCAAGGCACATAGACCCATCTTCCAGCCATGCAATATCCCGAGGTACTATATCCAAATGACGAAATACGAGCTCACATCATTGCAGGTTCAATTTCGGATTGTGCGCGAAAAGCCGACTATTGAACCATTTCTCCATCTTGTCAAGAGTATCGAATACTAGACAGTCAGTCTAGGGTCATAGAAGCCCGCAGCAAGGGGCTCTTGGGAGTGATCCAGGAATATTGTGCTGTGAAGTTGCGAAATAACTAAGCATGTTCGCAGCCTGATGTATAGCGCCCACATCCCCTTAACGGATTGATAATCTTTCCTTCGACGAACTCTATCAGAATATAGCCGTGATTCTGATCAGAAAAGGAACATACACACTTGGGATACAAACTATACGGCTGTCCACGAGTTCATACGCCATTCTTGGGCTTCGGTTTTCCTTTCGTCATATCTGGGTCCCATTTGACAACTTGATGATCAGATATTCTAATTAGGGTAAAAAAAACCCCTAAAACCCTAAAACCAAGTGGCCATGCCGATGCAGCCATCGACATTGCCCTCGCCTGATGTTTGTGGCAGTGGGGGCTCTAAGATTGGGATTTACGCCTGAGTGATGTAAGTAGCCTTAGTGGCACATTTCGGTGAAAATGAACCCTTGGTTGTTACTGCTGATTTTTGAAATAAATAAAAAAAGAGACCAAAGAAATTGTTGGAAATAGTTATATGAAATTGACCTAGCTGAGAAATTTACCAGTGGTTCTACAATGGGAGATCATATATCCCTTTATGCGTCAGGAGAGCTGGCCAGGAACACGGAATTCCGAGATCGAGATTCAATCTGGAGTTTAGCCAGGTTTGCCCCTAAACACCGCGATCTGGGTAATGATCGGACTCGGACTCGGGGCTGAAAAAGCCGGGTGGATCTATGACTCAACCATATTAAGCGTGTAATTATGTGCTGTCATGCTGCCAATTAGTATCTTATGTACCAAAATTCCAGTTGAGAGGCCTGCTACATGTAACAGGAAATAATCCATGGGCGGAGGCGTGGGCACCAGAGCTTAAAGGAAAAGATATGCATTTCACACTACATTTGCTCGTTATAAAAAAGGAACACAGAAAAGCTTGCATGCTCGGCAAATCGTAGACCAATAAGAGTAGTCGATGTATAGGAGACAACGTGGCGAAAAGTCGGCCAAACGGAGTCCGCTCCTCCGTGATAGACCGGAAGTGGCAGCCCCGATGCATAAACCTCTAAAGTCCGATCTACACGCGGTTTATTTGTTGTCCGTCTCCGCTTTGAAGATTCTGATGATCTTTTTATAAGGGTACCTGGGCCTGGCCCTCCCTAAGGCTTTCTCCTAAGGCTTTCTCCCATACACATCCCCGACTTCTCATCATGGAGAAGGAATACGATGAGCCTGAGTTCGCTCCTATTACGGGGCGGGTCCCCACTGTTCTAGAGGAACAAGAACAGGAAGCCCTGACGCGTATCGCCTCCAGTAAGCTTGGCCTGCAACTGTCCACCACTGCCAGTGGAAAGACACTACAACCTCATCTCGATCCATCCAGTCCACACTTCGATCACCAACGATGGGCTCAGATGGTCCTGAACCAAGTCAATGAATCCGGCATTGATATTCCCCACCAAGGTGTCGTCTTCTCCAACCTCTGCGTCAGCGGTTCCGGCTCTGCGTTGCAATATCAGGAAACCCTTACTTCCAGTCTCCGAGTTCCATTCCGTGCAGCTGTTAGAGGTCTAACTGGACGTGCCCCGCCGCCTAGAGAGATCCTTCACAGCTTCGATGGATTACTTCAGGGGGCGAGCTTCTCCTTGTCCTGGGCCGACCTGGCAGTGGATGTACGACATTCCTCAAAACCATTACTGGACATTTGGGAGGACTGTCATTGGACCCTAGCAGTACTCTTCACTATGAGGGTGTCGACTTCGACCACATGATTAAACATCACCGCGGAGAAGTCGCCTACAACAAAGAAGTCGACCTTCATTTCCCTCATTTGACTGTGGGCCAGACCCTCACATTCGCCGCCCATGCCCGAGCTCCCCATGAGCGCCCCGGGGAAATGTCACGCACTGAATATGTCGAGACCCTCACCCAAGTCGTTCTATCGGTTTTCGGCCTATCCCATACCTATAACACCAAGGTCGGCAATGAATTCGTGCGTGGTGTCAGTGGAGGCGAGAGAAAGCGAGTCAGTATCGCTGAGATGTTCCTGTCCCGCTGCCGCATTGGAGCATGGGATAACAGCACCCGTGGTCTCGATGCAGCGTCAGCCCTGAAGTTCGTCAAGTCGTTGCGTCTCGCCGCTGACATGGGAAATTCCTGCCATGCTGTCGCTGCCTACCAGGCTTCGCAGTCCATGTATGATCTTTTCGACAAGGTTGTCCTTCTGTACGAAGGATACCAGATCTACTACGGACCCAGAGACCGGGCAGTTGCCTACTTCCAAGAGATGGGCTTTGAAAGACCTGAACGCCAAGTCAGCGGCGATTACCTGACTGCTATCACCAACCCAGCTGAACGCCGGGTATCTCCAGGCTTCGAAGGAAAGGTGCCTCGCACCGCGAAGGAGTTCGCCGAGCATTGGAAAAAGAGCCCAGAGTATCGAGCTCTGCAGAAGGACATCAACAACTATGAAGGTGAACACCCACCGAATGGCGGCGACGCAAAGAGGCTTCAGGAGAGCCACAAAGTGCAACAAGCTCGTCACACCCGCGACAGCAGCCCGTACCTTCTATCTGTTCCTATGCAGGTGCGGCTTTGCATGCACAGAGCCTACCAGCGAATGCTCCAAGATCTACCGACGGTCATGTCTCCAGTCATCGTGCAGATCATCCTGTCTCTCATTATTGGTTCCATCTTCTACAATACCCCCGACTCGCCCAGTTACTTCTTCCAAAAGGGAGGAGCGATGTACTTTGCCGTGCTTATGAACGCCCTTCTCACGATGAACGAAATTATGCAGCTTTACGCCCAACGTCCAGTCATCGAAAAACAAGCCGGCTATGCATTCGTCCATCCATTTACCGAAGCACTTTCTAGCATCGTGGTTGATCTACCGATTAAACTCTTACGACTATCCTTCTTCACCATTGTACTCTACTTCATGGTAAACCTTCGTCGTGAACCGGGGCCGTTCTTCGTCTTCTACCTCTTCCTGCTGACTGCTGTCTTGGCCATGTCCGGTCTCTTCCGTACCATCGGCGCATTGACTAAGACCATCGGACAGGCAATGTCTTTTGCTGGTGTGCTTGTTCTGTGTATCGTCGTTTACACTGGATTCACCCTGCCTCAACCGTACATGCATCCATGGCTTTCTTGGATTCGCTGGATCAACCCCATCTACTACACCTTCGAGGCACTTGTTGCCAACGAGTTCCACGGCAAGAATTTTGATTGTACATCATTCATTCCAAGCAACCCAGTTGGCTCATCCTTCATTTGCTCTACGGTCGGTGCAATTGCCGGTGAGAGAACCGTCTCTGGTGATGCATTCATCATGGAGAACTATCAATACCAGTACTCCCATGTCTGGCGCAACTTTGGAATTCTCGTCGCTTTCGCCATCGTCCTAAATTGTACCTACCTGCTTGCGAGTGAGTACCTCACTGATGACAAGTCGAAGGCTGAGGCTTTGGTCTTCCGCCCTGGTCATGCGCCCAAGTATCTCCAGCAAGAGACTACCATCGAGCATGGTTTGGAAGAAGTCAACAAGCTTGAGTTGCAGCGAACCAACGATACAATTCGCCTCCCGGAACAAAAGGACATTCTCTCATGGAACAACCTCAACTATGAGATTCCTGTGAAGGAAGGAACCCGACGACTCCTGGATAATGTCAATGGCTGGGTTAAGCCTGGCAGTTTGACCGCATTGATGGGTGTCTCTGGAGCTGGAAAGACAACCCTTTTGGATGTTCTCGCACAGAGAGTCTCGATTGGCGTGGTATCTGGTGATATCTTCGTCAATGGCAACCCTCTCGCTGCCAACTTCCCCCGTCGCACTGGTTACGTCCAACAGCAGGATCTTCATCTTGACTCGACTACCGTGAGAGAGGCTTTGCGTTTCAGTGCTATGCTTCGCCAGCCTAAGGCTGTGTCTAAGGCTGAGAAGTATGATTACGTGGAACAGGTCATTCAGGTTCTTGGTATGGAAGATTTTGCCGAAGCTGTCGTCGGAAGCCTAGGAGAAGGTCTTAATGTTGAGCAGCGCAAGCTGCTCAGTATTGGTGTTGAGCTCGCTGCTAAGCCTACCCTACTCATTTTCCTCGACGAGCCTACCAGTGGTCTGGATTCCCAGAGCTCGTGGACCATTTGCCAGTTCCTTCGACGCCTCGCAGATCACGGCCAGGCCGTCCTCGCTACCATCCATCAGCCTAGCGCACAGCTGTTCCAGACCTTCGATCGCTTGCTCTTCCTCGCCAAGGGAGGAAAGACCGTCTACTTTGGAGACATCGGCGCTGACTCGTCCACCCTCCTGAAGTACTTCGAAGGACACGGAGCCCGCCCCTGTGAACAACTTGAGAATCCCGCCGAGTATATCCTCGAAATGGTTGCCGGTGACTCGTGTCCTGAAATTGACTGGTCCGATGCCTGGAACAAGAGCCCCGAGTATCAAGAAGTCCAAGCCGAAGTCCACAGACTTCACAGCAGCCACAAGCCATCCGTCCACGAACCATCCCTAGACAACGATGACGCAGAGTTCGCCATGCCTCTCAGTAGCCAGCTTTACTACGTCCTTGAACGAGTCTTCCAACAATACTGGCGCCAACCAGAATATGTCTTCTCCAAACTAATCCTGGGCACCGTCTCCGGCCTCTTTATCGGATTCTCATTCTGGGAAGCCGACAACACCCAACAAGGCTTCCAAAACGCTCTCTTCAGTATTTTCCTTCTCTGCACAATCTTCAACACCCTCGTCAACCAAATCATGCCCCGCTTCGTCGCCCAGCGCTCCCTCTACGAAGTCCGCGAACGCCCCTCCAGAATCTACTCCTGGAAGGTCTTCATCCTCTCCCAAATGCTAGTCGAAATCCCCTTCCAAGTCATCCTAGGAATCTGCTCATGGGCCTCATTCTACTGGTCCGTCTTCGGCGCAGACCAAGACGCCGAGCGCCGTGGCCTGATCCTCCTCTACATCGTCCAATTCTTCATCTACGCTGCCAGTATGGCCCAGCTCGTTATCTGCGCGATTCCCGAACCAGCCCTGGCTAGTATGCTCGCCACACTCATGTTCGGTCTCTCGTTCGTCTTCAACGGTGTCATGCAACCACCCAGTGACCTCCCCGGCTTCTGGATCTTCATGTACCGCGTCTCGCCATTTACCTACTACATTAGTGGTATCGGTAGTACAGCCCTGCACGGCCGCAAAGTCGAGTGCAATGCTGCTGAGATGAGTGTTCTAAACCCGCCTGCTGGCCAGAATTGTTTCCAGTACCTGAATGAGTACAGCATTGCGGCTGGTGGATCGCTTTCAAACCCCAATGCCACTGAGAACTGTCAGTATTGTTCTATCTCGTCGGCGGATCAGTATCTTGCTGCCCGTGAGATTTACTGGGGTGATCGCTGGAGGAACTATGGTATCTTCTGGTGCTATTTCATCTTTAACATCCTTGCTGCTATTTCGCTCTATTACCTCTTCCGGGTGAGGAGCTCCAAGGCAAAGATAAAGAAGGCTTGATCGCATTAATGTGGTGTAATCTCTGCATTGTTTTGGTGTTTTTTTTGAACATATTCGCCTTGTGACAAGGTTCATTGTATAATCCAACTCTTTTTGATACCATACATACTCTTCTCAGAATAAAGCATATAATTTTTCCCCCCTTTATTTGCCTTGGAAATGTATTCAACGTCAGGTTGGACTGCATTTTTTTCAACAAGTAAGGTCCGCAGTGCCATCAAACGTTGCCTTAGCTTGACCTTGCAAATTCGATTACGTCACCAGTCAAGCCTTTGATCATTGGAAGCTTCGCCAGCCAGATCAAGAAATATGTCTGTAATGAGAAAAGAATACATGTATCAACATTGCTTCTTCGGAAGATACGTGACGGTATTGTACTGCGATCGGCACTAATTCTCGGCAGAACGAGAAACCGACCTTAACTACTTGATCGTGCCGTTGACCCACCCCGAGGCATCCGAGCCTCCATATTCAGGTTGTATAGCATCATCACCCTGATCCGATTTCCCAATTCTTGGTAGAGTTCGGTTTGACGCGCCCCACAATTTCAGGTTTTTAGACAGTCCATTCAAGATGCTCTTCCCTCTTCATCCGTAACCTTGGTCTCTAAATACAAAGACTTGATCTTAGTATTTTCCCATTTCCTGCATCCTGCATACAGTCAGCTATCAGCAAATCCAGCACCAAAATGCCAGTATTACCCTCTCTCCAAGGCTCAACTTTCGACGCCGACATTCGAGACCGCCACATGATCTACGACTACGCAGCAAAAGACACACATGGCAACCCCGAAAAATGGCGATACGAAATGTGGTTCTACAATGAAGATCGCATCGTCTACGCCATCCATGGGGGCCCAATGGCAGGCAGAAAGAGCTTCCAAACTGCAACATATCAATGCATCCGTCCTGGAGAACTATGGCAATGCAATTGGCTAGAGGAAACGGGCACTATCTGTTCGCTCGTCTATGATATCCCCAACAAACGCATCTCAACTTTACTTGCATTCTCGCAAGGCCATTGGTCACAGAATAAGGCTGCTCATGGTGACAAGCGCAATCCTAAAGACCTTGCGCGTTGGAGGGAATTGGCGAAGGTCGGCGAGTCTCAGGCGGATAGGGTGCTTTTGAGTGAACAGGCAGATATCTTGGAGGATTTTAGGGGTCCCGGGTCTTTGGAGGACATAAAGATGGAGTGGCCTACTTTGTAACATTAGCTCTATGATTAGTTTAACTATGGAGACTAGGACCATAGTATTTTTCACAATCTTTCTGCTTAGAGAAACTAGTTCAATCTCTTCACAACTTATATGTCCAACCATAACTGGTGGATCGGTCGTCCTACGCAGATACAGAACTAAGTAGGGTGTTGCAACATGCATATCGAGTAAAATAAATCAATCGACTCCTAAGGCTTCTTTCAGCTCAGTACGACCTCCACGCGCTGTAGTATTGGCCGACTCCGTTTCCTTCCTTTCCCCTATATAAGTACCTTAACCATGGCCGTGCTACTTTTTTTCCTTTCGCAAAGCCTATTTTTCCGGCCGGAGTCCATAATATATCTTTCTGTCTCACACAATGATAAAATATTTCTTCGATCCCTAAATTGTGAGTGTGCCAGCTAACAAATTCAATAGTCTCGTAGCGATGTGCTCCTAAGCGATGACTGCTTTAGCACCATCAAGGAACTGAAGCATGAAAAGTCATACCGGTGTGGTATATTGCAAACGTGTTGGGAAATTAAGACCAGACGTGATCTTTCTTACCCTCCTTTTCGTTTCATTTTTGACCTACCTGCATAATAAGCTCAAATTTCACATTCCAAATTCAAGTTGATAAGATGGTTAAATCCTATATAATGGTTCTGCAGTATCAGCTGGTTTAGCCCTCACTTGTTTGTTTTCATATCATTTCTTCTGCCTAAATGCCTACCTACGCAACGACAATTTTGGGAAAGAATCAGATAGATGCCCTATGGTACACCGTTGTTTATCAATACAAGCCTACGAACAGCAGGTGAAATGGCAAGAGACCTTTTCTCAATTTTCTCTCACCTGGCTCTCTTGCCGCCTTATTTTGTTAGCCCTTTTGTATCCGGACTTAGCAGTTCGACGATCAATATTTTCCCCTGATATAAGTGGATCGATCTAGGTGGTGCTTTCCTGCAGGAACTGAGAGATTGGACGATCCGGTCCGGGCCAGAAAGGAAAAGAAAGAAAGTACGTCGACCAAGCTACGTGGAGGACAAGCGGTATTTTAAACATAGAAGGCAGGTGCTAGGAAGGTAAAAGCGGCTAGAGGAAGCGTTAAGCGCGAACACCCGTGTAACCAATACTACCTTATTCAAACCAGGTTTCTTTTGTGATGGCTAAGAAAACAATGCTAAAACGAAGGGCTTGTCCTCACATAGTCGCCGAACAGTCTAGTAAAACATTTAGAACGCCAAGCGTCCAGGGGTCAAATCGTGACCAGTGAGTCACCAGAAACAATCTCCCTTTGTTGCATTGTACCTTGCCAGAATCATACTTTCTCGTAAAAAATACTCGGACGTTACAAGTTGAGATATGTCGACGAAACCGCAATTGCCTGCGGAGATACAGGCCCAGATCCTCCGAGAGGCCTCCGAGATTATCTCATTCCCGGATTTGTGGAGAGCCAGAGCGGTAAATAGTACGCTAACCTAAATGTCTCGTTGGGATCATGTTTAACGATTACAGGCTTCTTTGCGAGTGAGGTTGAGACCATAGTGGCAAAGGCCATCCGGGGCAGGTGCAACAACGGTTGTTTCAGCTCTGGACTTTCCAATCCTCTTTCGGGACACGACCGTCAAATTCAAGTGAGACGCCTATCTCTATACCTCAAAACGAAAGAGTACCCGCGAGAACCAACTGTATGGTCACGTCTCGTTGATGACATACTCCCAATTCCAAACAATAGAACAACTGAAGAGACTGATGCCTTTCTCAACAAACTTATTGATGCATGGCTATGTGACACTGCCGAAAGCCGCTGGGACATCATGGGCAAAGCTCAGCCAAAGTATAACATTTCTCGGTCTCGGTACTGGACAGAGATATACAGTGGCGAGACCGAGATATATAATCACTCTTCCGGCGGTGGCGTGTGACCGACAGAATCAATCTTTCCTTTGTTATCAATGCATTTAGAAGAGGGCGTTGCATGGAGATGGAAGCCATTCTTGATAAACCAACTGATGTAGAATATCTGGTGGAAAAAAGCAATACCGATGGATTGAAGGCGTGGATTGAGTACCTCCAAATGACAGAACGGCGAAGTCCGACATTTTTGAACCCAGCTATCACAGAGGTAATGGCTCACGGGGTACCGGAAATCCTGGGCTTTATTCAGGATGAATGGGAAGCTACGTTCACCGGCGTATTTTGGGACCCCATATGTTCAAACAGGCCGTCGGTACAGGATCTTTGGAAACTATCAAATATCTCTATACCAGCGGTCGACTGGATCTGAATACGCGGACAAGTTCAGAGTACTGGCCCCATGGTCCGCTACGGTTAGTCATACAACAGGCCCCGAGGAGTAGAAGACTGGAAATTTTGAGGTATCTCCTCCAACAGGGGGCAGACCCAAATGGACCGAATTGGGCCAAATGTACCCCGTTTGAAGACGCAGTGTTGGGGAGAGATGTCAAATCTGCGGAGGTCCTTTTGCAACACGGAGCAACTTTTGAAATTGGATGTGTGAAAAAGGCGCTCTTGTTCAGAGCCAGCTGGCGGGTGAAAAAGCAGCCCTGCGATGCTATGGCTTAGCTCTTATGGCCGAAGGACCAGGTTGTTTCTCCATATAAAAAAGGAGGCAAGAGCTATGTTTTCTTTCGTGATTCAATAACGATAGCCAACATTGAGAAAGTGTTTCTTGGCCTGGCATGGAGCGATGATGAAGTACAGGGGATGCAGTGGAACTATTTTATCGACGTTGTCGGGGATTTTTCTGGTTTTGTAAAGAAATAGTTCATTCACTGCTGAAAATACAAACGCTAAAACTGTCGTCAAACTATTCACTCCGGAACTTCCAACTACCACCCTTCAATCCGCTAGCTTTGCCATTAACGAGCTTAACCCGCTCCCCACTCTCAGAAACAAGACTTCCCTTAGCTCCAGCCAACACAAAGTCACCAGTGGTATTAGCAGGGGTAACAAAAGCAAACTTCGTAACACCCTTCCCACTACCACGATAAGATGTCGAGAACTTCCCTTTAGCAGTCTCAAAACCAGCATCAACAAAAGTCAAATTCCCAGCCTGGGGCGCAATCATCCAAGAAGAACCCCCAGCCCCGGTAAGCTGGATACCAGCCGTATAAGCTGTAAGCGCGTATGTCGGGCCAGTTGACCAACCATGCGCATGCGAAACACGTGGATCATTGGTATATGGAGCGTAATGTAACGATCCATCAGTAGAATAACCTTCAATGAAAGTTGACTGTGTCATGCGCGGATCATTAAGCATGAATCCCCACTGAAGGCGAATCAGATCGAGTGCCGAGTCCGGTTTGTTGGCTAGGTAGTGGGCTTGCAGTTCGAAGCCGCCGATGAAAGGGGACACGGTTTTGCCGGCTTCGGGTGCTGGTGCACCGTATTTGCCCCAGCGGGCTTTGAGGGCGTTGGATACTTGGGTGGCTTGTGCGGTTGATTGGGTTAGGTTTGCTTTTATTGCCCAGGCGTTGCCGTCTTGTGGATGCATTGTTGTTGTTTCATTGTCGAAGTATAGGCCGCTGGACGAATCCCAGAGCTTTTTGTTTGCGACTAGCTTTAGTTTTGTGGCGGTTGTGCTCCAGTTTGTGAGTGCGGTTTTGTCGTTTAATTCTGCTGCTAGGGTTTGAGCGTCTTGGAGAACAAAGTATAGGATTGCGTTTGCTTCGATGTTCTATGTCGGTTGTTAGTATAGGGAGTCTGAGAGGTATATGTGTTGGTATACTTACATGACCTCCCATTCCAAAGCGCAACCAGTCGGATGAGGAGGTGACGTTGGCCAAGCCGGTGTCATCAACACTGCTGAGCGCCCATTCGAGACCGCGCTTGTACTGCGACCAGTAGCTGGATAGCCAGTCCTTGTCACCCGAGAAGCGGTACAGGTAAGTGGCACCAATGAGACTGTGCAAGTGATAAGTGTAGCTCACGGAATCAAAGAACGGCTTTCCAGCATAGGGCAATTGTCCATTCGCCTTTTGCAAAACGAACAGAGCTTCCAAAGCCGTACGAACACTGTACAAATCACCAGTGCTGACTGCAATACTCTCAAGAGCAATGGACATATCGCCAGGCCAAACAAGACGATCACGCTTGGCACCGTCGGTGATCGTGCTAGTCCCGTTGGTGATGGTATAGTTGCTCCACCAGGTATTAGTCTCCGGCAGCTGGATATCATCACCGGAGGAAATGCTACCAAGGTGCACCAGGGAGTTTCCATGCTTGGGGTTGATCGTGCACAGCTGATTGGTGTATGCACCGGCATACCAGATCTTGTTGACGAGCTCGTCATCCGAGTGGAAGTAGCCAGTGTAGGCACGCAGATCCTGTTCCGGAGCTGCGAGGAAGTTCACTCGAAGGCTTTTGACCGGTACAGTTGCTGTTGTGTTGCTGACGATTGTCAAGTAGCGGAACCCACCCCGGAGATACTTTTCGTCGGGTGTATACTTCCCGGCACCTTTGCCAACGTTGAACCATAGAGGGGTATCCAAACCAGCATCGGCGGTAGCATCACTTGCTTCATCGCTAATGTAGAGGTTTGATTCGGAGAATGTGATACCCAAAAAAGCAGAAGAGGATGAAGAAGACCCAACATCCAGGGAGACGAGGCCTGCTACATTCTTGCCGAAGTCGTAGGTCACTGATGAGACGCCATGGAATGTGGCCCCACTGCCGGATGATTGTGTGAGGGTCCTAGCACCTGTAACTGAGCCATTGACGCTATAAACGGAGGCCGGCATCAAGTCGCGCGACTTGGGAGCCAAAATGTATTGCTCATATGGGATATTGGATGATGCAGCGGCCAAAACCGGCGCAAGTAGCAAGGAAGCAAAATACATGGCGATAGACTCGGATATTCCGAGAGATTGCCTTCGGTAGATTCGTTTTCTGAATGACGGAGAACCCGTTCTTATACGTTCTCAAGGGGCGTTCCCTGACGCAAGGCATATCTCTCTTTTTTTATGCATGGCCAATCGGCGTCGTGCGGCCCACGCGTTTTCGGGATAAACAAGGCCGGACAGTAGCAATGAGATCTTCGCGGGGTCTCTTCAGCATTGTTCAGCATGAATATCGGTCGATCAACAGTCCGACCTGCCAACACTGATGAAAGTGTGGGGTTTAGTTTGCGGGGATCTGCAGGCATTGGGCTCTTCTGGAAATTTAGGCGGAAACATGGCCTATGCAACAGGATTTCGGCAATTTGACGGGGTTCACAATGTCGTGTTGCAGTCTATATGTCTATTGAAGGAAGTATATATGTTTGGCCCTACCCGGTCCAGGCGTAAACTTACACGAATCCTCCGGATACCAGTACCGCTAATAACCGCGCTGAGATGCGTAACAAACTGCTATGTATGTAAGTTATATTTCGACCTACATATAGTGTCTAATTAAATTATGGCGGATTATCTAAGTTTCGTCGAAGCTTTAGAAGCAGAAGAATGCAGACACAGTGCGACCAAGACCTCCGCCCTATCTTTGTCCTACTGCTCCTGCTCCTACCGAGCTACTAATTAACACGTTCTATGCAAAGCTGTAATGTTGCACAGGGACTTCCAAGTTTAAAGCCAAGAGCTGAAATAACTCACGTGGCGTTTCACGGTCCGAGTGAAGTCCACGTGGAAAGTCAAATGCAGAGATCTTATCTTCCGAATTACTGACTGAAAGTAAGTGACTAACTAATTACCACAGGGCTAACATAGGGGCTCTCAAAATGTAAATGGAGAAATCTGGGTAAATGCGGCTATGCGACCGGATGCGGGGATTCCAACATTACTGTAACCCCCTAACACATCTAGAGCTGTCAAGACAACTCGTCAAACAAAGAGAAAGAAAAAAACGGCACAACCAATCCTCAATAAAACTAGGCGAAATGGCATCGCCAAGCTGTTAAGGATCCTTGGGTTGACTTCTCATTGGACCCCCCATTGTGTGGGTTTAGTGGCGTAACCCGTCTGACTCTCACCTTCACCTTCTTCGTTTACCTTCAAAAGCTCTCAGTTTCGCATATCTGCCTGTCTGAACTGGCATATCCAGATCTAGCATGGCGACCGGCAACACTACAGCTATGGCTACTGGCAACAGTACGTCGCGGGTGAGCCCGCAGGGTGGCATACTCGAAGGTGGAAACCCAACCACCTACGACTCCAAGAATCCTCTAGTGCTGTTCATCATCCAGGTAAGGACATCCGGACAGCTTTGAGAAAAGCCACTGACACACTCTAGGCGGGAATTATCATTATCCTCTGCCGCCTGATCCACTGGCCCCTCTCTAAGATCCGCCAGCCGCGAGTTATCGCGGAGGTAATCGCTGGCATCGTCCTAGGGCCATCGGTAATGGGCCGCATCCCCGGCTTCACCGAGACCATCTTCCCAACAGCCAGTATCCCCAGCTTGAATGTCGTCGCTAACCTGGGACTGGTGCTATTCCTCTTCCTCGTCGGGTTGGAGACCGACCTCCGTTTCCTGGTGAGTAACTGGCGGATCGCATTGAGCGTTTCCGCCGCGGGGATGATCCTCCCTTTCGGTCTTGGTTCTGCGATCTCGTATGGTCTTTACCATGAATTCCATGATGATGGAAGTACCAGGCCGATTGAGTTTGGAACGTATTTGTTGTTCATTGGTATTGCCATGGCCATCACGGCGTTCCCTGTCCTGTGTCGTATTCTCACTGAGCTGAAGTTGCTGTCGACTCGTGTTGGTGTTATTGTGCTATCGGCAGGTGTGGGCAATGATGTTGTAGGCTGGATCCTACTGGCTCTTTGTGTTGCACTTGTTAATGCGGGAAGTGGCATCACGGCGTTGTATGTGTTGCTAGTCTGTGTGGGATACATCCTTTTCTTGACATTCGCTTTTCGCCCAGTGTTCTTGCGCTTCCTTGAGAGATCGGGGAGTTTGCAGAAAGGGCCTAGTCAGTCGGTTGTAGCGCTGACTTTGCTCATCGCTCTTGTGTCTGCTTTTTTCACGCAGATCATTGGAGTCCACGCTATTTTCGGTGGCTTTGTTATAGGCCTGCTCTGCCCTCATGAAGGTGGTTTCGCTATCAAGCTGACTGAGAAGATCGAGGACTTGGTCGCTGCTCTTTTCTTGCCTCTTTATTTCACCTTGTCTGGATTGAGCACCAATCTGGGGTTGCTTGACTCTGGGCTCGTTTGGGGATATGTGGTTGGAGTCATCGCCATTGCCTTCATCGCTAAGGTGGCTGGCGGTGCTCTGGCATCTAGGTGGTGTGGTCTGTTGTGGCGCGAAAGCTTCTCAATTGGTGTCCTGATGAGTTGCAAGGGCTTGGTGGAGTTGATTGTGCTGGTCAGTATCAGAGTAAACATTTAACAGGACCCAAACTGATTGACTCCCAGAACATCGGCCTTCAAGCTAAGATCCTGAGCACTCGTACCTTCACCATTTTCGTCGTGATGGCTCTAGTGACGACCTTCATCACAACTCCCCTAACCACTTGGCTCTACCCAAACTGGTACCAAGTCAAAGTTGAACGCTGGAGACGCGGAGAAATCGACTGGGAAGGCAACCCAGTACAACAAGACAACCGGAACGACAGCGTAGCCCTCGCAAAAGACCACCTAAAGACAACCCCAGTCCGCAAACTCCTCGTCTACCTCCGCCTCGACGGTCTATCAGGCATCTGCACCCTAGCAGCCCTCCTAAGCACGAACCGCAGCCAACCAACACGCCTCCATCCAACAAAAATCCCCAGACAAACCGACCAAACAATCGAAGACCCAATCCCCAACGAAACCGAAACCGACGAATCCTCCCTTCGCGTCCACGGCGTCAGATTAATAGAACTAACAGACCGCCACTCAAGCGTAATGAAAGTCGCCGCAGGTGAACAGGCCCTCTGGGACCCAGTCGTCAACACCTTCCGCGCCTTCGGCGACTGGCACGACCTCTGCCTCATGGCAGGCGTCTCCGTCGTCCCAGAACATTCATACGCAGATACTGTCGTCGATATGGCGCAACAAGATACAGCTGACCTGCTCTTGCTCCCGTGGAGTGAAACAGGCACACTAGCTGATCGCCAGAATGGACTGGAAGTCGATGCGCCGAGCCGTTTCGCAAATGGTGTTTATACGAATTTTGTTGCGGACATCTTGAACCGTGTTCCGGGTCATATTGGTATCTTCCTTGAGCGTGGTTTGAGTTCCTCGTTTAAGCGGCCTACACTTGACCACACGACTAGTGGCATGAGTATTCAGAGTTCTATGTGGGCGCGGCAGCCAACGGGGAATCGGTCCCATCATGTTGTTCTTCCGTTCTTTGGGGGTGTGGATGATCGGTTTGCCCTGAGGTTTGTTCTTCAGCTTGCGCGGAATGATCATGTTACTGCGACGGTTATTCAGATTGGCGATTTGAGTGGCGAGAGCGGTAAGATGGGTATGACGACCGTTGCCTCGGCTTCGAATTCAGAGGCATCCCCTGCATCTATGTCGCACTCGGATCTGGTTTTCTTTGAGACGCTCCGTGACTCTGTACCTGAGGATCTGAAAGATCGGGTCGTTTTCTCGCAACCTGCACTCACAGAATCGATTACTGATCCCATTCGTATGGCGGTCGTTGCTGTCCGGGAAGAGTTGAACCGGACGTCGAATAAGGCGAATAATACTGTTGTTGTTGGTCGGCGGAGTGGCTCTTCTGAGGTTGAATTGCCCATTTCAGATGATGGGATTGGAAACGACACACGCCAGACCCTGGGTGCATTGGGGACGGCGATGGTGCAACCCGAGAGCAAGATCTTCGGCAGCACACTCATTCTCCAAGCCGGGCCATCGATATCCGCGGATTATTACTGAACATTTATCACGTGGGACATATGATAATAACGATTCTTCTATTTCGAAGGGTTAGCTCCAACTTTGGTATTTGGGTAATGCTATATCCCAATTAAAGTGTAAAGACGTATGTAGACAGGATATAAACCTTTTATGACAATTACAAATTAAGCAAAATATATATATATATATATATATATATATATAAAAAAATAAAAAAAGGGCGCTAAGTTTATTATTATACTTTTAGGTCAAGGACAAGTGAAGTCAAGGATAAGTAAAAGTACAAGGCGAATTGGAATTCTCAGCTGAGAGAGGCGGCGACCTCGTCCTCACCTCCCAAAACCAAGGCGCACTATGCGAGCGCCGTTCCCGCCTCCCAGACTCCATATTGGAGATTGGATCACTTGACGACGGGAACGAGCTGACCTCGGTGACCTCGTTGATTTCCCGTGCGCTTGATGGTAGATCCTGGGAATTGTATGAGCCGCCGCGCGCGATAGCGACTAGCTTGCCCAGGATTGCATATTCAAGTTTTAACTTTATGCTGTATACCACTGGTTTGATCATCACCTGCACGGCGTAGTAGCCGACATAGTCGACGACGACGACGGCAATATCCAGACATAGAATGACGATGTTGATGACGAGTAATTGGAGGAGGATACCATGTGGACGGCCTTGGGGTCTGAGACGGAGGAGTTTGACTGTTTCCCAGACATAGATACTGGAGATGATGAATTCCTGGACGCAGAAGCCGACTAATTGGATCCGTTCCATGATTCTGTATCCCTGTGCGAAGGAGCCGTAGGGGTCTGCGACTGTGCCGTAGAGGAGGACGATTATTGAGGTGTGGAAGAGGAAGGCGTCGATGCATATCATCCATAATACACCCCAAAGGATTCTATTGTCTTGCAGGACTAGGTGGAGTCGGGACCATAACACCATGGACTGGCCGGTGACCATGCCACACCAGCCGAATATAACAAGAGTGACGCATAGCCAGGGTGTTACGCCTGAGAAGAAGAGGAGGACGTAGCCTATACCGTGGGGGATGATGCTTGCGGAGGCGATGAGGAGACTCCAGAAGTAGGTCCCCTTGTAGCGTTTGAAGGAGACGAAGCAGAGGATTATTAGTTCGATGGCGTTGTACCAGGCGACCGAAGCGAGGGCGGCGAAGACTCCGGTTCGGAGGGTGCTTGAGGAGCTGGGGTCGTGGATTAGGGATGATGCGATATCTGAGGCCGTGTTGGTCGCCATCTGTCGTGGCGGGACATTGCTTGGGTCCCGGTGTATCAAGGCAGGGATGGAGAGGGAAGGAGAGAATGGGTTGACCGAAGAATGGGAAGTGGTTTCATTGAGAAAAATATAAGTCGGCAATATGCTCCTTCTGAAAACTCAGCTCGGAGAGGAGAAAGTTCAGATAAAGACTATTATTTCAAAAGTGCGGAGGTCAGAGCGGTTATCGGTAGTTGAATTCCGCAGAAGAACGGAGACCAATCCATGACAGCTGCTTCGGGGACGAGTTCCTTGGTTCGCATGCGCTGCGGGCAAAGGTATTGGATGAGGCGACAAGACGGGAAGCCGCACCGTGGATCAACGAAGTTTGCGGGGAGACGCGTTAGGAGATCGTTTATTGGACTTCGATTCTCTTAAGGGTGGCAATTGGTGGATCTGGGATTTGGTCTCGGGATCTTGAATGTTGCCCCTATTGCATTCCGTTGCACTGTTAACCCATTATTCAGTAAGGCGCGTAGGCTGAAGTTCCGGCGCCGTGGTTCCGTCGATCCCCCTTGCTGCAGGGTCTGTTTGGACGGTTCATGCAAGCGGCATTGGGAGCTTCACCGATAGACATTCACCGTAGACATTCACCCTAGGCCTTTACTGGCAGACCATTCTTGCAGGTACATCACCGAATTGAAAGTCGACGGCTGCGCTGACGGGAGTTGTGGAAATGCATGCCCTTATATTATTCATCATGGATGGCCAAAACCGTGATATACACAGATTCAGGGAATTGGCAGGGGAGGAATGCAACCTGGACTGAACATCAAAATGGGCAGAAAGTCCAGACCGCGATCGCGCCCTGACGTCACCCGATCTCGATCTCGATCTAGATCTGAACAAGTCCCCTGTTCAATTCCCCCTTGAACTTCTCTCCTTCATGTTCTTAGCTTGTCGTCCATGTCGTCCGATTGTTCCTCAATTCACGCGTTATCTTACCATGCCACCAAAGCGAAAGACCACGGCCGAGCCCAATAGCTCGCACGCCCCCAAGAAAAGCAAGCCCGATCTGCACCAACCGCATCCAAACGCGAAGCAAACCGAGGACTTCGGCATTGTTCTACGCCAGTTCTATCCCCCAGAGATGAGCAATGAGCGATGCCAAGCATACATAGATGGAGAGCTGGAACGTCCCATTGAAACGTTGCAGAAAGCCTGCCAGGAAACCGCGGACAAGCGCCGGTCAATTCAACCTGGCAGCGCAGTTGTCCATTGGTTCAAGAGCGATCTGCGACTTCATGATAATAGAGCCTTGCACGCGGCATACCAGACTGCCAAAAACCATGGTATCCCGTTGATCGGACTCTATATTGCCTCGCCCGAGGACTGGTCTGCTCATTTGACCAGTCCTCCTCGAGTGGACTTCACCCTGCGCATCCTGAAAAGGCTCCAACAGGACCTAGGCGAGTTAGATATCCCGCTGTATATGGAAACACAGGAGAAGCGAAAGGCAATTCCGAAGCGCATCGTGGAATTGTGCCAGAATTGGGGCGCCAAGCACCTTTATGCGAACATCGAGTATGAAGTGGACGAGCTCCGCCGTGAGGCCAAGTTGGTCCGCTTATGTGCGGAGAACGATGTTAGTTTCGCTCCGACCCATGACACCTGTGTCGTCACTCCCGGTGCGCTGGCGAGTCAACAAGGGAAACAATATGCGGTGTATACGCCATGGTATCGCTCCTGGTTGGCGTTCTTAAAGGAGAACCCTGACTACCTCGAAGCATCTGAGGAGCCTGGCTCGAACCCTGGAAACGCACGCAAAGACTTCAAGGATTTGTTTGGCAGCGAGGTGCCCGCCACGCCGAAAAACAAAGAGTTGTCTGATGCCGATAAAAAGCGCTTTGAGGAGCTTTACCCCGCAGGAGAACATGAAGCTCTCCAACGACTGGATAAGTTCCTGGAAGAGAAGGGGGAAAAGTATGAGGAGATGCGGAGTATCGTAGCTGGCGAACATACTTCCGTCCTCAGTCCGTACTTTGCGTCGGGCGCTTTGAGTGCCAGAACTGCTGTTATCACAGCCAAGAGAGCCAACAAGAACCACCTCGACCGATATGATCCGGGCTACATGACTTGGATTAGTGAAGTAGCCTGGCGCGACTTTTACAAACACGTTTTGGCAAACTGGCCATTCATCTGGTACGTAATATGTGCCGACAATAACGGCTTGCGCTAACCATTCCCAGTATGAACAAGTGTTTCAAGCCCGAGCATACCAATATCGAATGGGAATACGACCAAGACCTCTTCCAAGCCTGGTGCGACGGAAAGACCGGATACCCGATCGTCGATGCAGCAATGCGACAACTTCGTCACTCGGCCTGGATGCACAACCGTACGCGGATGGTGGTCTCGTCCTTCCTTACCAAGGATCTAATGCTGGACTGGCGCCGTGGCGAGCGACACTTTATGGAGAATCTGATCGATGGAGACTTCGCTTCCAACCACGGGGGCTGGGGCTTCGGATCCAGCACGGGCGTTGACCCGCAGCCCTATTTCCGCATCTTCAACCCGCTGCGCCAGAGCGAGCGCTTCGATCCTGAGGGCGAGTACATCCGCCATTGGGTGCCGGAGCTGCGCGATGTGTCCAACAAAGCCATCCATGAACCTTACGCACGCGGGGCTGCGGCTATTGCGCAAAAGAATGGGTATCCTAAGCCGATCGTGGACCATGCCAAAAGTCGTGATCGGGCGCTAGAGCGGTTTAAGAGTGCTCTTCAGAAGAGCTGAGCGAGCTAAAGAGTTAGACGAACAACTAAGAAAGACTTGTAATTGTAACGAAATAAAAGGAAATTTTGGCCGAGTTGGAGATTTGCGGGTGAGACATTAGCGTCTTTTCCCCGCAACGTTTTCTTTGAACCTTGACCTCTACATACACCGAACACATACTATACACACATACACAGCCCTTGCCTGCCAATGACGTCCTGAAATGGATTCCCAAGGGGATCAGCCGTCCACGGCCCCCGCCTCGGTCGAACTCTCGAACGGCAAGCGACGATGGCGCCGGAACAGAGTGGCCTGCGACTCTTGCCACACCCGCCGAGTACGATGCGACCGAGCCTTTCCCTGCTCGCGCTGTCTCCGCAGTGACATCCATTGTGAATTTACACGCGAGCGACGCAAACGAGGTCGCATCGCTCGATCCAAGGCAAACATGACTATGAATAACGGGACCGGGGCGAGCGAGGCGGGTCGCAGTCGCACGGAAGCGAAGCAGTTGAATGGAAATGGTGACCACCCAATGTCGGAACAAGCTATGTCGCCATTGGATAATAGTTCGCCTACCTCGACCTTTCAACAGCGCTCGCCGGCCACAAACGAGATTAGCGGGATGTCTGCTCCCAGCGTTGAAGGGCGTCGCTCTGTAGTTGACGGAGCACGACCGCAGCGGCCGGCGCCTGCTGCGAATGTGACGGAGGAATGGCTCTCTGCGGCGCATCTTTCTCCTGATTCCTATGATGTCTTAGGGGGTGCAGCTGCGGGTGCTGGGGAACCGCCTTTGCCTCGGCTTATGGATATTTGGAATCCGGTTGATTTGGCTGGCCATCGAGTGAGCCAGCGACCGCCGCCTATACCCTCTGTGTCGGGTGGGAATCACTCGGCGCACAGTCAGCCGTCATCTTCGCGGCCGCCGTTGAAGTATCCTGTGTTGGAACCTCTTATGCCTTATCTCGAGTCGAATCTGCCGCGTCGACTTGTTTGCGATTTGCTCGAGCTCTATTTTACTAGCGCTTTCTCAACTCATATGCACCCTGTGTGCCATCATATTCACTGCTTCGTGCTTCGGAAGGCATCTTTTCTTAGCGCAGACCGTCCCAGGCCTAGTAGCCCTGCGCTATTGGCTAGTATGCTCTGGGTTGCTGCTGTGGATGACCGGGCTTTCTCATTGTCTATATCGCCTTTACAACGTCGGAAGATATGTCAATTCTTGTGTGCATTGATTATTCGATTGCTTCGACCTTTGATTCACGTTGCTTTCAAGGATCAGGAGGCGTCCCCTCCGGAGAATGTCAATGCTCCCCAGGACTTTTCAGCTGCCGCAGCTTACCACCCATTCGAAGGAGTCGGTGATGATAAAGGACTGGTTGGTCCTGCTGGTTCTCTGGACGATGTCATTACCTACATTCACGTTGCCTCTATTATTTCATCCAGCGAGCAAAAAGCTGCAAGTATGAGATGGTATGTACCTGGTCCTCAATCCCTGTTCATGTTGCTAATTCGAGACTAGGTGGCATGCGGCCTTTACATTAGCCCGAGAACTTAAATTGAACCAGGAGATGGAAGTCCGGTCTAATGTTGACTGTCTGACTGACGGTTCAAGTCCGTCTTTTGGCTACCCGCTGGGAGGGTGGCCTGGCTCACCGGGTGGCATGGCCTTCCACTCAAATCCCTCGCGACCGAGCTTGAATTGCGTATGCGATCAAAGTCATGATCCCCACAGTAGTCCTATCACGGAAGAGCATCGTGAAGAGCGGCGCAGGACATGGTGGTTGCTATATATTATGGATCGCCATCTCGCGTTGTGCTACAATCGCCCACTTGCCCTCCTCGATGCTGAAAGCGAGGACCTACTGCTTCCACTCGATGAAAATGCGTGGCAGGCTGGAATAATCCACACGAACAGTCCTCGTCCCGATGGCCCCCAATGCCTCCGGTCTGGCGATCAGAACAAACGGCGGGTCTTCCCAAACTTTGTCTGCCACGACCACTCCATTCTTGGCTTTTTCCTCCCTCTCATGACGATCACCGGTGAATTGATTGACCTCAACCAAGCCCGAAACCATCCTACACTTGGTGTCCGACTTCAAGGCAAAGAAGCGTGGGATGTCCACGTTGCCGAGGTTCTACGCCAGCTGGAAATCTACAAATCCAGCCTGACCACTTTTGCAGCGGCAGACCCTGAAGCTTCATTGTCAGACCAGCCAGTCGACGCGCAAATGTCTCAGGCCTATTCTTGGCACACTCAAACCGTGATCGCCTACTCGTCCTACCTCGTCCACGTTCTCCATATCCTACTAGTCGGCAAGTGGGATCCTGTCTCACTGATCGAAGACAAAGATTTCTGGACATCATCACCAGCCTTCGCATCCACAATTTCCCACGCGCTAGAAGCCGCCGACTCGGTGCAACAAATCCTCCGCTTTGACCCAGACATCAGTTTCATGCCCTATTTCTTCGGCATTCAACTCCTACAAGGAAGCTTCCTCCTCCTACTAATCGTCGAGCGCCTCCAAAAAGAAGCCGGCGAAGGCATCCTCAACGCCTGCGAAACAATGATCCGAGCCACAGAATCCTGCGTGGTAACCCTAAACACAGAATACCAACGCAGCTTTCGGCAAGTGATGCGCAGCGCAGTCGCACAGGCCCGAGGCCGCCCGGTAAACCCGAGTGAGATTCGGCACCGCCGCAAAGCAGTCCTCGCCCTGTACCGCTGGACACGCAAGGGTACCGGATTAGCCCTCTAATCCGTTGCAACTGTAACCCCCGCTGTGACCTTGTCTTGGTTCCTGTCGATCTTCCCGCTACTGTGGCACTCGCACCGCTGCTCCTGCGGGTCCCTCAATCCCCAGGAACTCATTTCATCTCTCCTCCGGATCTCCGCATTTCTTCACCCCCTTTCGGTTCTGTCTATACATAGCTCTACTAGTTTCGGTGCGGCGTTTTGTGATCGGGCCGGGATGGTGTCTTTTTTTGTTCTATGTATCATGGCTATTGTGTACATATCTGCTCGTATCAGTATATAATCTATTTTACCTTCGGTTCATTTCGTTGTCTCGGGTCGAAGTCTCAGGGGCGCGTGTTGTAATTGCTCGCTTGGCCACGCTTGCAAGGATATATACATCTCCCCACGAACTAAGTTTTCCTTCTATATTAACCACGCCACGTGAAACATGAAAGGTATTGGACCCATTCCTCCGGACAACAAAGTTCTTCTATTGAAGCGAGCCCTTATTTAGCCGAAAGGCGGGGGACCGTAGGAATACACCGATTGGTCTCTTCACTTCTGTTCGGACCGACAGCACAGACCTCACTGTAAAAATCCGGGGAAAAAGTGTCGGTTAAATGTTGAAATTTGAAGCTAAACCTTTTCATCGAGATCATGCGGTGTTTTTTTGCCTCTTTGGTATTTTGCCGATATGCAAGGAGCTCTTCGCTTCGCGTTCTCCAGGTTTCTTCTCCGCTTGTTCCTTTTTTTAAATATCCTATGCTAGAATAAATAAACCATGGCCCCGACTTTGCGGGGAATAGTTTTCGTTGGATTTCATGTTCTTCGAGCTTTGCATTGGACATCTACAACGCGCAATACCTTCACTGTTGACAAGAACCATTTCTACACTTCTTGCGCCCATCGCATGCGCTGAACATCTTAGCCATTCCTGCTTTTAGTCCTGCCGGCAAATCCACACTCCTACATAATGACCGAAGCGACACATTTCGATATGCCTACCTGGCCGATGGAGAACCTCCTCGATCAGCAAACAATGGCATCGCAAGATCTAAGTCCACACCCATTCATCGCCAGCGACTTCCCGTTCGCAATGCAAGAAGACCTAGACCCGACCTGGTCTGAACAGTTCAACTGGAACCAATACACACCCAAAACCAATACGTTCCAGCCATACCCACAACTATGGTATGAAGCCGGTCTAGTGAGACAACACAGTGTGGACTCAAGGTAAATAAAACTCCTCACAACCTACAAGCCAAGAAATAGAAAAAGGGAAGGAAAAAAAAAAAAAAAAAAAAAAAAGAGTACCGAGGCACAAACCGAAGGACAATAAGAAAAAAAGCAGGGAAAAAACAAACAATGAAAGGCGACTAACATCTGCAAGCCCAACTAGTAACCCCCTACACCTCCAGCCACTCCGAACAGCCCAACCAAACGCAAGTCCCGAAAATCCCCCGATCCAACTCCGCGACACCCTCGCAACAGAACGCGCCCTCTTCATGACTCCCTCCCCGAACCCCATGGCCTATCCGTTCCCGGCTTCGCCGAGTTCGGATCCTTGTCTGTCGCCTGACTCCAGTCATGCTTCAACTTGGGAGGAGGGCGACCGGGAACGGGACGAGGGGCTACACATTAGTACCTTTGCTGTGGATTTGAATACTCACGGCCAAGGCCAAGACCATGCCCAGAGTCAGTGCCAGACGCAGGCTCATACATCTCCACGTCGATACTCTGAATACTCCACACACAGAGTCGATGAAGAGGAAGCGCTTACACCGCTGGAAATGCCAGATGGGAGTACGCGCTTCACGTCTAATTGGTTGCCTGTTGATCCTGATGCGGGGTTTACTATTGGTTTGTCTGGGGTTCCGGGGTTTGGGGATGAGATGCACTTTGGTGATATGAAAGATGCGTTCTTTGCTTCGGACCCTGCTGTTGCTTCAGCTTGGGGGTATGATGGATGAATGAATGGGTTAAGAATTTGTTCGCGAGATGCGAATTCGTTAGTTGCATACACCCTTTGGCTATCAGGGGCGCATTTGGATGCGGCCATCATTGAATCGAGAGCGTCAGTGTGTGGCGAAAACAAAAGGACCCGCGCTGTGCATGGATACCTGCTCGGGGCGTTCACGTACTGTCAAAAATACGGAGCCCCAGAAGAGGTTCTATTTGGACTTCGGAAAAGCCGAGTCGGAACAAGGGGACACACCCCGAGAGCCCGAGAGCCCGAGAGCCCGAGATATGGAGCCTCGGCCCTACCTCAGGGCACGAGCTAAGAATGTGCTGAACTGGTGGATGTCTGTCTATATGGGAAGATGGAAAAAGATTGGAGAGCAGGCTATTCGCCTCAAAGAGACAGACATTTCTACCCGCAACAACATATAGTTCAAGAATAAATACAAAATTAGCAAGACAGCGTTTTCACATAAACCTGTCAAGCTTATACAAGAAGTGAAAAGAAGTACACGTAGTGACATATAGAATCCGAGTCCATAACCAAGGTTGAAATCCTCACCCCATGATTTAGTTCAGTGGTGTGCATTTAGAACCAACCGAAAGGGAAACCACCGGAAGAGCCCTCACCCTTACCCTTACCCCCAAAGGGGGTACCCTGAGGAGTCTCAGTAGGGAAAGCAGTAGGGAAAGCAGTAGGGAAGCCAGTAGGGAAGCCAGTAGGGAAGGAGGAAGGAGTAGGCTTAACACCAACAGTTCTCCAGCTCCAAGTAGGCTTAGGACCGGCAGGCGAAGCACCAGGACCAGCAGAGGAAAGCACAGGGGCAATCTGACCCCGGAACTGGCGTTTCGAGTTCGACGAGCTGAGCTTACCAACACCAGCATTGGACAGAACGGATGACCGGACGCGGCTAGCAGCTAGGACGTTGACGCTGGATTCACCCTTGGGCATGGCGCTCAGGACGGACTCATCGCTAGCGGAAAGGGTGCCGGATTGGACAAGGGAGTTTGGTGCGCAGTCGCGGCCGAGCTTGGATTTGCAGGTTGCGGCTGAGCTGGAGCTCACGGCGAAGGTTGCGCCTGGCGAGCTGTCCTCTAGCATGGGGGTCTTGACTTGGTGGAAGACGTTGCCTTCGATTAGAGCGTTGGTGCTTTCACCGATGTCGAAGGCGTGGCCGGTGTTGTTGAACCAGTAGTTGTTGTAGGCATGCCAGAAGCTGTTGAATTCAAGCTTGGGGGAGCGGCCGGAAGTGTGGTGGATGTAGTTTCCGGTGAATGTTACTTGGTCGTCTTTGCCGTATCCGAGGCTGGGGTGGGTTAGTTTGTGTTGATGTTTGTTTGTGGATGTGATTGCTTACACTGTCCAGTAATGGTGGCCGTCGCAGGAGGAGGACCAGCTGGTCTGGCCGTCAAATTCAGAGTTGGAGATGGTGACCGCACCGCCTGGGTTTTGGTAAGTATGGGTCTATGCAGAGAGGATGAAGGAATACGTATACTTACTAGGCTCATAACCAGAGACGAACATCTGACGACCAACGAGGTTGACCTTGACGTGATCAATCCAGATGTTGTTGGTACCATCGAGAGTAATGGCATCACCACCCCAGATGAACTGAGGGTTCAACTCGGTGATGTGAATGTTCTGAATGATAACATTGCTAACACCGGTCAAGCGGAGACCCTTACCACGAATGACACCATTACTGCCAACACCGACAATAGACTTGTTCGAGGCAACATTGATACCCTCAATGCCAGCCTTATCGTAAGTACAAGTGGTAGTCGGGTAGCTGCCACACCAGTCGGAGTTATCGATGGCATTCTGGCCAGCGCTGCCGCAGGTGTTGGATTCGGGGATACAGCACTTGCAGTCGGTGCACTTGCCCTCCGTGCCGAGGTAGTTGAACTCCTTGTCGATGAGGATGGTACGCGGGGTGCTGTCGGTCAACCACTTGGTCAACTCGGTGGTATCGCTAGGCGCAGCGGCGACCGCACTGCCGCCGCCAGTTGTGCCTGATGCGAAGCCGATTGCGGTGCCTGACACACCGGCGGCTTGGGCGTGGGCGCCCAAGAGGGCGACCGCTGCCACGAGGGATTTGAGGAGGGACATTGTTTGCTGGGATTTGTCCAGAAGGGAATGCAAAAGAAAAGAACGACTGGACCAGCAGTACGTTAAGGAATGGAATCAAAGGAATGAATGAACGAGGGGAGGAAGAGAAAGAATTGCCCTGATGAAGACATGACGAACATGCGAAAGCTGCTTTATATCTTAGAAGTGTACGGAGTAGGCTGCACTGTTGGGAAGTCTACAGGGAGCAGCCGCGTAGGTGGGCTTAGCCTGTTTGAACTTGAGTAGACTAGAGCCTTGATCAATGCCTTTAAAAGTAAGCTCCGAGTTGCAAGTGTCAGTTGTCTCTGACCGTCGCAAGGATCGTCAGGTGGCCTTCCAGTTCCTGAATAGACCCACCGTTGGTGTTTCAGACGGCTCTAACTGGGGGTTTTCTCAATGGACGACTGTAGTTCACGCACGAGTTTCGTCGATCGCAAAGGTTGGCGAAACTCGACTGTGTTGTGGTTATTAATCGCCGCGAGAACAGCCAAAATGGAAGGCAGACGCACTTGGCCTCCGTTCCGATATAGAAGTGTAGAACGTCCGAAGATGCCCCGAACCCCCATGAAACAGGGGCTGTCGGCGAAGAAACCCGTTTCAGGTTAACAATTTCTTCGAGTTATCAGATATCCAACTCCACAACGGCTCGCAGTGATAAACTCGACACATGAGAATGACGATCGACGAAATAAACAACAATTTAAAGGCCGATTCTTACCCCATAACTGCAAACTACCTTAATCTCAGCCCGTGTCTTAATATTAAAGTGCGAATATATTAAACAATCAACCCATATCCCCACTAAGTCGATCTGTATCCTCCAAAGAACATCCTATTCCCAATCCGGCCAGGCAGTGATATCCCTCAACTCCTCTCGATGCTCCATGTAATACGCCTGTCCCAGCATGTGTAGTTTACGTCGATCCGTCTTGTTCGACTTTGTGCGTGGCACGCGATCAATCAGGAAATACAAACTGGGGACATAATAGGTTGGCAGGTTCTCGCTGACAGCATCACTGAGTGACCGGGTCATAGTGTGCACTGCGTGCCTGCCACTAATCGGTCGGAATTGTATCTCCTCGACAGACCCACTCTCTAGATTCATTGGATTGCTTGTAAGGTACAGATAGACCACGAGTGTTGGATCCCCTAGGCCATCAGCCACACCGAGGACATCGACAATGGCTGCGTCGCCTGTCATCAGGTTGCGGCGGAGTACATACTCCACCTGCTCGGCTTCGACCCGTGCCCCATCGAGTTTCAGCATGCTGTCCTTGCGGCCGATTAGTTCAAGGGTTTCGTCGTGGTTCCAGCGACCTAGGTCCCCGGAGCGGTAGAGTCGATGGTTAGGTCTATCCGGGTGAAGCTGTGCCATCCAGGCTGGTGCTGTTGATAGGAAGTTCTCGGGCTTTCCGGAGACATGGTCCAAATACCCTTGCGATAGATGTGGTCCTTCAACTAGGAGTTCTCCTACTGCCCCGACAGGCATCAGTTGTTCGGGATTATCAGGGCTAACAATCCAGATTGCGCCGGTCGCAGGACGACCGACTACTGCACCACGGCCTATCTGGAGGTTGCGGTTATAGGCACACAGAGATGCGATCTCTCCCATACCGTATTGGTTGACGACCTGCACGCGGTGTAGCCATTTGGACAACACGGCGTCTGAGACCGGCTCGCCGCCGATACACATCATCTTCAGTGTAGGGACACGGTCTGGGTCGATGTCGATGGCGACTGAGGGTGTTACGAACATGATGTTGGCTTGCAGTTCGTTGATATCGTTCATGAGGGCATCCATTGTAAGTGAGACTGTTGGCACACAGCAACACCCTCCGGCCATGAGCGGTGCCAGAAAGTCGTTATTGCTGATGTCAAAGGCGTAGGCATCAAATTGGAACATCCGGCTGTGCGGCCCCATATCCATAACGCGAAGGTAATCTGTCAGGGCAGAGGCATAGCTGCGATGTTCTTGTACGATGGCTTTAGGGTTGCCTGTGCTGCCTGATGTGAATAGAACAACACATGGATCGGTTGGCGTGACATCTGAAGCGGGGGGTCCATATACCATTGGGAGTGTCGAAAGTGAACCCTCGCTCACTTCGAACACTGTTTCAACCCTGCTGAAAAACCTGTCTTTATACCCGGCGGAGGTCAACATGATCTTGATCCGGGTGCGTTCCAGAACGGAGTTGAGGTATGTTGGCGGATCACTTCCATCCACACAGACATAAGCACCACCGGCCATGAGGACAGCGAGGCGAGCTACAACAGCCCATGTAGATTTGTAGAAGGCACAAGAGACGAAGACACTTGGTCCTACGCCTTCACCGACAAGCCAATGAGCCAGGCGACAAGTCTTCTCTTTGAGTTCTCGGTATGTAAGATTGCCATCCCAGGAACATACAGCTTGGGCGTCAGGGGTTATCTGGACATGTCGGAAACAGAGATCATGTAGAAGGGCATCCTGGGGAGGTGCAAGTGTGCCGGTGAACCCGGCAATCAGGACCCGGTCTTGTGATGAGGATAGCTCGAGACTGCCAATGGTCTGCGCTGGTGAGCCCTCCATCGATGATAGTGCTTGGTTAAAGCTATGCAGAAGACTCGTCACGAGTTGTAGATCGATGTCAGTGTCGCCCAGGTCCAGTCGAGCATGTAACTTGTCATCTGGACTGTGGCATATGCAAAGAAATAGTCCCGATAAAACTGAGTCTGATTGAGGAGATTCAATTGGTATAGGATAGCATGTTTCACCGCGGTCCTTGCAGCTTTCATTTGAAGGCTGCCTCTCGTAGACAATTGTCAGGTTGAAGCCACCCTCCTTTCCATTGATTCCAGATATTCCATTTGCTACCACAGTTGTATTTCTCAAAGATGCCAACATTTCGACCGACTGAGCAAATAGATCTTGAACGGCATCATGGGAATCTATGTAGATTTGGACGGTCTGTCCGGAAAAGGCGTGAGCTGCCTCGCCAACATAGCATCGACCCTTGTGGTACTGCTCGCCAATGTAAAGTGTTGTCGTGTAGGCAAATGGTCGGATTGTTGCGGTCCAGGCCAATTGGAGGATTCGCTGGAGGAGAATATCTGGGTGTTCCGCATGAGCAGAAAAGGGTGGATATAGCACATCAACGAGGTATAAAAGTCGCCAAGGACGACTAGTGAGAGTCAGGTCAACACTTGGCATTGGAGTCCCATTAGACAAAGTCTTGAAGGTCGTAGTTGAGTGAGAGTCATCAGATATTGATTCTAAAAGAGGAGGAGTCATGTTGAATATATTCAGTAAAATGAGTAGCAGCAAGTACGGATCTAAACAAGTAACCCCAGTCGAGTATTGGGACAATCAGACTTAAATGAACACAACTGAGTATAGCGGATTGTCTTGTATAGTCTCACGGTCATTGTGAACACGTCTCTTGGCACCGGCGATCTCTTTGTTGAACAAAGCGAGCAGTCAATAAGACCTCGTTATTCAGGCGACCGCCATCTGTTGGACAAGCTCTCCAGTAGTACAGCGTCGTTGCAACCATGTATCCTATCATTATTTCGTATCTGCTTGGCGGAGTGTTTGCTCTGTGATGGACGGTTGCATTTGCAAATGGGCTGGCTGAGCTAGTAAAGCGGGCAATTGCCGCCGGGACAATGTCGTTGATCTACGAATGAGAACGCCCGTCAAGAACTTAGGGCCATCTCAAAAAGAAACAACTTGATAGACCCGGGGATTCGGGTACGTAGCTGATCGACGTTTTGTGTCAACTGCTGACTCTAAACGGTCAACCTTGCAGATGTCAGACAGAGATGTGCCCAACCAGGTGCGAAAGTACTCGTTGCTTTCCATAAATAACATCCCATTTCATTAAATACTAAATAATATTACATGAGTCGAAATTCAATGATATTAAGCGATTACACGTTCTGCATAATACCAGGACGAACACCCTCCAAGATCGACGACAACTCACTCCACAACTTCTCACGCGCTTGGCGCCCTTCATCACTGCGCACAAATGGCGAAAGAGCCGTATTCTCCACATGTCCATCCGTCATATATGCGCCGTGGCTTTCGAGTCCAGCTGCAGCCCCGGCTACAAGGGTCCGCGAGCCAACCTCAGTGGACCGAGCCATGACCAACTTCATCAGCATGAAGCTCCATCCTCCCTCCCTTCCGAGCTGTGAGTGGCAGAGACCAGGGTTGACCATGTTGATGATGACCTCTGACCCGCGAACCCGGCCTGCTAGTTCCTGCACGAGCAACACCTCGAGTAACTTCGACAATGGGTAGCGCTCGCGCATGTTCGCCTTTGTTGGGTCGCTGATTGTTTTCATCGGTTGATCTTCTTTCCATTCGGGGAAGCTGACCCAGCCGTGGACTTCGCTCACGACGAATGTGAGGTGCGGCGTGCGTGATGGGATCAGTTTTCGGGTCGACTTTAGTGTTGGGAGGAGGAGGAGACCGAGAAGGAGGGTGCTGATCACATTCACAGTGATACTTCGCTCATAGCCTTCGGATGTTGAGAACTCTCCTGTTGCAATGGCGGCATTGAGGATGGCTACATCCAGGCTGGGGATCTTCGCGATACGCTCGCTGAATGCGATGACGGATGCGTATGAGGATAGGTCTACCTCCCACACTTCACACACGCCTGAGCGGCCTGTGGACTTCTCAATGTCCTCCTTCGCAGTTTCGCCAGCTTTCACATTGCGAACGCCGAGGATCACTCGAGAGGCGCCCAGTCGCGTGACATGGCGTGCAGCTTCTAACCCTAAGCCGACATTGGCCCCGGTAATCAGCACTGTCTGATCCACAAAGGACTGTGTGGGATATTGGGGAGTAACAAAAAATTGTGAGTATAGAAAGCCCATGATGAATATTTGAACTGAAACATAGTTTAACTGGGGCGTAAATAGCTTCTTAAATATGAATGATTCAGCCAAACGTCATTATGGACGGACGGAGATTATCGGGGTTAAGATGTTCACTGACTAAAAGTAAAGCCGTCAAAGACCGAGTGTCCGAGCTTATTATTTACTTCTGAATACGAGTTAGTTTAGCTTCGATTAGATGCATTTGGGCTATCAGGGGATGCACACTTGAATTTCAAGGCAACAAGGTGTGCGTGTTGGCCCCACCGGAGCAGAGGTTGGAACATTATCCTCTTTACGTGGAAGAGCTGCCTGGGAGACCAGCAGTGTTGATAGTACCCACCGACACTTTGACTCCCGCCCCTTAAACTTTCATGAATTCTCCGCGACATTTGCACTTCGCGCATGACCCGACTTTGGTACACTCTTTGTGACCTGCTTATAATTTCTTTTTACCTATTCCCACATACATGGCTAGCCTCAGGTTTGCGGAGACTTTAAACAGTCAGCCAAGTCCACGGGCGGCCGTGTGATCCTTCGATTGACGCTAACTAGAGCACAAATCACAGTTATTACAGACGAAGATTACTTTTCTACTACTTTTTCTAATATTCGTTGCATATCTGCGCTGAGTTGGAGCTCATGGGAAATACCGGGCCCGTGGGCGCAAGCAGAGGCCTTGTTACAACAGCAGCACCCCAGTGTCATACCTCCTACGGCATTTCTTTTCTCTAAACTATCCAAGCGTATGAACTCGGTCCACTGAACAAATTCTAGTGAGCTGCAAAGCTTTCAGGATTCAATCAATCCCTTCTGTCGAGTCTAGCTCCGAGAAAAGCGGCAACATATATACTACTGCAATCCACCAATTCCACGTACGAAACGTCTTCTGATCCCCAGGCACTCCACGCACAACTAAAACGCGCACAGCCACTGTACATGCTAAACCAGCACTCAGAAAATACCAGAGCGAAGAAACACCCCAAAACATAGGGCAAGCTATCCCCCAAGTGACCAATGGCACAGCGATCGTCCACCGAGCAAAACCATCACCCCACACAAGAGGGGCTGTGCGACGACCACGCTGTGCATCACCAGGCTGGTCGGACATATCCTGCAGATGAACAGTTGAGAAGATAACAGCAGTAATGACAAGATGCCATCGTCCCAACAACTCCCCAGGATGGAGGGGCAGAGCAGAGCCGCCCAGGAACACTTCCATTGCCCCGGATACAAAACATGTATAGCCCAGCGCATTGGTGACGTTTCGTACTATCGGGCCATTGTCTGCGCCACCACAGTTGTTGTACCACAATCCCAGGATTATTAATAAGACAGAGTGTCGGTTTCCTCCGCTGAAGATCATGCTATACAAGGGTACGAATATATACAGCGCTACCATGATCCGTGTGGCGTATTTGTGGGAAATTCGATGACTTGGAAAGGGTCGCCAGGGCTTGTTGAGGAGATCCTCAGCGACTGCCCGTTGGCCGCGCTGGTTGTTGATGGCGAACGGGATAAAGTTTATCACGACCCATACCAAGACGTTCAGGCCTCTGCCAATCAAGCTTAGAAGTTCGATGGTATTCTGAGGGCGTACAAGCTGACTGGAAGCGTGCAGACCGTATTTTGGTGCGGCCCAACCATTTGTGATTCCGAAAATAGTACTTGGTACGACGATGGTTTTCAAATCGCTGAAGATGAACAGCCAGAACGTGTAAAGATGGTATCTGCAAGATTTGAGCTCCCTGAGGACTTTGTTAGAGTTCATGTTTGGAAGTCCTCCACTGACACACTGAATATAACAGAGGAGGCGAAGGTTTTCACCGGTATCAGGCGGTTGTATCAGCCAGAGGAGTTTGAAAGCTTGGTTTGACTTGAAGTTGGCGAGTTTGATCATTATAGCAATAAGGAGCGGTGAATCAAACTCACCAATATGTAGAGTTTCCAGGCTCGTGGGATGTTGAATAATGGCCTGTCTTGTGGGTAGATGCCTGACGTATTGCCATTGTCGTCAAAACGGCTGAATTTGCTACATATTCCCCGACAGCTGATGATGACGGACGCTGTCCAACAATGATCTTGGCCAAAAACGAACCATCATACACAGCAGCCACAACCCCTTTATATCATCAGGAAAGCCTCGGCGAGGCTCCTTCAACGACCTCGTCAAACTCCATGCGGTTGTGACCATGTTAGCACCCGAGGCAATCGCTATTGTGGTGGGGCTACTGGTCCACCAATTCATCTTCATACACGGCGAGTGGCATCTTAGAGGGCCAAGGGTCATCGTTCTTCATATAGCAATTGCAGCCATAATATACTCCGCCGGACTTTTCATATACCACGACAGCCGCCAAAACAATGTCCTCCGAATCACATACTCTATACTAAGTTACAATTTCGCCTTGTTCTCTAGCATTACAATCTACCGAATCTTCTTCCACCAATTGAAACGATTTCCTGGACCAAGGCTAGCGTCCTTGACCAAGCTCTGGCATGTCTGGAAATGTCACGACTCTCGTGGCCACCTTGTTCTTCAAGCCTGGTACGAAGAGTACGGAGAGTTCGTGCGAACAGGCAAGAATCCTGATAGTCCTCAGTACATCCTTTTGCTAACATCGCAATGGGGTGTCAGGTCCCGGTGAAATAACCGTCTTCCACCCCGAGGCATACGAGGCAATGGATGGCCTTCAAAACCGCAATACCCGATCCGATTGGTACGACCTACTTTATCCACGCATATCATCGATTTTTACTCGGGACAAAAAACTTCATAATGAACGGCGGAAAATGTGGGAGCAGGCTTTAAGTACCAAGGGTGAGAACTACACATTCCATATGAGAGGCCAGAGTCTAATTGGACCTCCTAGCCCTACAGCAATACCACCGAAGAGTTATAGAAAAGGTCCACACACTGGAAGATCTTGTCGCCATGGAAGAATCAAACCCAGTACTAGTAAATGACTTGATGTATTTTTTCGCATTCGACTCAATGGGTGATTTCGCCTTCAGTGAGGACTTCGGCATGATGCGTACCAGAAAGTGGCATTCATCTATTGTGATTCTAAGATCAGCCCTCACAATGCTGGGACCATTCAGTCCCGCCATTTGGATTCCGAGGCTTGGATTTGCTTTTATACCTGGGTTGTGGAAAGTTCGTGATTGGTTCCATATGCTTGAATTTTGTGATCAGTGTATGGCTCGACGGATGAAGGTGAAAGTGCCGAGTTAAATGGCGAGTGATTTGACTAACAGTGGCATAGAAAGTACTTTCTGATCGGGATATTGCCTCTTGGTTCATTGAAGACTATAAAAAGCATGGATCAGACCCTACCCGAACGCGATGGTTGAGTGGTGATACTGCTACACTAGTCGTAGCTGGCAGGTAAGTAACGCTTCGTATAGATAATCATCTTTCTAATTTCAAGATGAAGCGACACAACTGCCCCGAGCCTAACACTTCTATTCTACTTTCTCGCCCGATACCCTGACCACGCCGAGAAAATCCATGAAGAACTACAAGAGGTCAACATAGAAGACCCAGCACTGCTATCAACCCTCCCCCACCTGAACGGAATGATAAATGAAGCAATGCGCCTCCTCCCAGCCGTCCTAACATTCAGCTCTCGTGTATCACCACCGGAAGGCCTAATAATTCACGGAACATTCATCCCAGGAAACACGAAAGTCTGTGCGCCACGGTATACAATTGGTCGACGTAAGCATAGCATCACGTCCAATTTACAAGCCATTGTACAAATACACAAACTGACAAGAACCCAGTCGAGACAGCGTATGTCAACCCCCACGACTTCATTCCGGAGCGGTGGTACAGCCGACCAGAGCTGATTAAGGACAAGAGGGCTTTTGCTCCTTTTGGTATTGGTAAGCTTCTGCGACGTATTGGAGGCTAGATATATATATATATCAACCTGTGTTTCCATATTGATGGTCGAGTTGCACGCGGAAATTGTATGTCAGATTCTAACACGTTGTACTGACTAGGACGTACGAGCTGCGTTGGGCGTCATTTGGCACTCGCACAGATACGTCTTCTTGCTGCTGCATTGGTATCTCGGTATCGGGTCAAATTTGCGCCCGGTGAAAATTGGGGTGAGGCAGTTGAAAGGGATATGAAGGATCAGCTTACTGCTCAGCCTGGGGCTTGTCGGCTTGTCTTTGAGCGTCGGTGAGGGATTGGTCATTTGACTTGGAAGTCGCGAAGCCATTGAAACGGAATTGAATAACGTAAATGCATTACACTATTTCATCGCTGTATAGTGACAGCGGAACTAGAACTAAGAAATCAAAAGAAAAAGACCCAATGTATGGCCTCTTAAGATGCGCAGAATCCCCAAGCAACGTGGATATCAAAGGTCACATAGCATCCCGATTGAATGTCCGCGTATGCCTTACGTTCAAGCTGCTCCAGTTGCTGCATAGTCAACGAGCCTTCATCCCCTCTTGCAGACGCGAGCCGAGCCCACGCAAATATAGCCACCATTCCATTAGCAGTAAGACGCGGGCGGGTGGCGTAAACTCGATCAGCAGCAACAACCTCAGTATGAACCTCTTTCAGACCAGCGGCACGCATCTCAGTAGTCAGTCGATTCCAACCATTTTGAAAATGGTGCATCATCCCAGCCAGGAAATGCCGGCCCATGTAAGAGGCAGTGTCGGTAGTGGCAGTAGGTGAACAAGCAAGATGTCGCACAGCGGTAAAATCACATTCCTCCCACTGCATAGCACCACCAGGCTTCAACATGCGAGTGAGATTCCGAATTATGGAAGGCCACTCGCTAGGCTTGAGGCCCGCTGAAATGAGCCGCACATGTACGAGATCATATTTGCCCCATAATATCGACTGAACGGGCTGACGGGCGTCGAGGAGGTACAGTGCGACATTGGGGGGAAGTGTGGAAAAGGGCGGGAATAGCGAGGTCGAGATGTCATAACCATGCATACTTGCGTCGGGATAGTAATGGCTCAGACTGCGCAGGAATGTTGCAGTGCCTGTGCCCACGTCAGCGACTTGGGCATTGGGGGGCAGCTTGGCTCGAACGGATGGGTGCAGGAGGTAGCCGATGTTTCTGTGTCAGTCAGTTTTCTGGATTTTCCAGGCAGAATCATCACAATAGGGACTTACTCCGTGATCAGTTCGAACTGCTCGTCAAGTCTGTTTCGAATTAGTTTTGGGTTGTTATTGGTTGGTGGACTTTGTTACCTTTGCGCCTCGGTGGAATTACGCCCCATATTCTCCGCGTATGTATCTCGTCGCTGAGCCATTTTGCTTTGAAATGAGCAGGGAAGATGGAGGGAGAAAACGTGAATGGGTATTTCCACTGATGCTTCAGACTAGATGTGTCCTCAACTGCAAGGTCACAAGCTGAAACAAGTTGAAGTGAAGAGAGTCGGCAAGGTTGTGAAGGTCGTACGAGAGCTGCAGTGTTCAGCAGTCCCTACTTGAAGATACCCTATTGGGAGATGTCGTGTCCCAAACAAGACCAGGCTACTTGAAGAGAGGCTCAACTGCTGAATCCCTTTGTTTTCCCTACAGTACTCGCCATCATCCTCCCCTTGGGTTATGGCCATCTAGTGACTTCCCCTTGGATATCGGTATGGTGCGTCTGAATCCACGCGCTCCGGCGCTGATCGCCTGGAGTTTAATATTACTCTTTATTGCTGCCGGTGCGGTGATTTTGAGGGTGATTTCTACACGAAGGCGGCATCGGCAGTTCAAAAGCCATGATTATCTCGTATTCTTCTCACTGGTCAGTCTGAATAGACCTGAAACTGTCCAAAATACTAACACAAAGTCCAGGCTGCCTTGACTGGATATGTGATAGACGTACTGACTGGTGAGTTCAACGGGATGCTTCGTTTGTATGATCATCGGCTTATCTCCAGCCTCAGGGGCGATCATCGGCGGCTATGGCGGACACACATCGATAATGGCTTCTCACCACCCAGAACAGTTGATAAGTGCCTTAAAGGTGTGTTTTGCATGTATGTGAGGTGCTTGATGCTGATTTGGTCAGACATTCTGGGCATCGGAATGGTTTTGGGCTACAGCAACAGCCTCCTTTCGACTCGCCATTCTGCTGCTATATATTGAGATCTTCCCCAACAGTCCAGTCTTCTTCTGGACAGCAATGGGAGTGGGAGGCTTGGTCTTCCTATACTGGGTGGCCTCCATTTTGACAATTGCTCTGCTGTGCCGCCCGGTCGCTTACAACTGGGATCGCACTATTGCAGGTGTTTGCGGGGATGTGATCAAGACCGAGTACGCCTCTGCAGGATTCAACATGGGGATCGACCTAGGAGTCGTGCTGCTGCCTCTGCCAATCGTATGGCGGTTGCATATGTCAAGTCGCAAGAAGACCGGTGTGACTGCGTCGTTTGCACTGGGAGTACTGTAAGTCATGCATTTGCTAGTTCATCTCCAGGAGCTGACGGTAGCAGAACGGCTGGTATCAATCTGGGCCGCATTATACAGACCAAGCTCTGTCCAACCGACGATATCATCTACTGCGCTAGAGACAGTTCAATCTTTGTCATTGCCGAGATGACTGCAGGAATATTGGTGGCCTGTGTGCCAACCTTGGGTCCTTTGATCTTCCGTGGGCGCCGTGTGCCTTCGGCGCGACCGCACGACTTGCCCACCATCGGGTCTGCTCGCACCCGTCCACGCCGCCATCTGGCCAAGTTTGATTCCCTCCTCTCGACCCTTGATCGCAGCCACGACGAGGAGAGGAACATGGCATGGAATGAAATTGGGGATACCGGGGCACCCACAGCGCATGCAGTTGCTGGGCCTGGACACAAAGGAGCAGATGGAGGCATCTTGGTGACGCGCGATTTGGACGTGCGTAGTCTGAATCCGCCCCCTACCCCTAAAGTGGACGCCGTTTGATTGTCGTAGCCAAGTGTTTTTGCTTGCTCTCCTTGCGTCTCTGGGAGATCTGCGTGCTCCACATGTCGATCAGGAACTGAACTTCAAACGCCATGCTTATGGGGGATGCATGTCAGATTTGTCTCACTTTGGAGTGGCCGGTTGTATCGGTGGGATAATCAAAGATATAAAATACATAATATATGCAAGTAAGCCAATAGAGACAGTTCCGTGTAGAGTCAGCGTGACATTGAAAGGGGAAGTGGTGGTCAGCCTTACATGCGGGGATCTATTGTTGTTTCTCTCCTACTCTCAACTTCCTCTCTACAACCACCATGGCCCCTCCCTTCGTCGTCGTGCTCTGCCATGGCTCTTACCATACACCTGCTCCATACCAGCCACTGGTGGATGTCCTGACTGAGCGAGGTATTGAAACATACTGCCCTCAGCGGCCTACCTGCGACCTCAGCCAACTGAATGTCGGCGACATCAACAACCCCGATTTCGATCGAAGGGCTCCTCCAGGAGGTTACCCTCTTCCCGCAGATGATGCAGAAGAAATCGGGCGCCTGATCGACCGACTGATCTCGGATGGAAAGTCGGTTCTGCTTGCAGGACACTCGTCTGGCGGTTGGGTGGCTGCCGAGGCCGCAACATCTGCCCGACAGGCTTCCGTACGGGCACAGGAGGGCAAGACTGGCGGTATCATCGGGATTTTCTTCATCGGTGCATTCATCATTCCCGAGGGTCAATCTGTCCACAGCTTCTTTCAACCCGCTGATGGCAGGATTATTGTGCCCCCATTCATGCGATTCCACGTAGGACTCCCACCAGTTATTCTTGTCGAGCATACACTGACGGTCTGCAGAAACACGGTGTTGATGGCCTTGGCACAATGGTCGATCCTGAGAAATTCCTCTTCAATGATCTCGACGAGGCGACTGCTAAGAAATGGGCGGGTACGTTGACAGCAGCGCCTGTCATGAACAGCCCTCTGACCCATAATCCCTACACTACTCTACCCTGTGCATATTTGGTATTGGAAAACGACTACACGTTGCCAAAGGAGTATCAGGAAGGCATGGCTGCGAGTCAGTCGAAGCCGTTCACCATGTACCATGCACCATGTGGACACTCGCCGCATCTCAGTTGGACGATGGGACTCGCTGAGAAGATGGAGGAGTTCGCTGGTCAGATCTTAGGTTGAGAATAGGTAAACAATGGGGCCATGTATCACAATGAATATTTCTCTTCCCCGAAGACGTAGTGCAAAGTGTAACTGAGAGTTCTGCAAGTGTGGGAGGGTTTTTGACGTTCTGTGCAACGAGGAACTGCCCCCAAACACGCACCTTCTTTAGGATTTCCTTCTCATCTTCTTCCTTCAAACCTCAATCTTTCACCCATTTTCAAAGATGGATGCCCCTCAATACGTCTTCGGTGCCCAGAGCTTCGGCGCCACCTGGGTCAGTGGTAACATTGACCAGCTCATGGTGGCCCTCAAAGATGCCGGCATTCAGCGTTTTGACACTGCTGCCCTTTATCCAGCTACCAATCCTGGCGTTTCGGAGAAGCTCCTCGGCGAAAAGAAGCCCGAGAATGCTATTATCGACACCAAGATTATGTTCATCGGAGATGGTTCACTCTCCATGAAGAACATTGGCAAATCGATCAATGATAGCCTGGACCGACTCAAGGTCAAGAAGGTGTGTTCAAGCTCATCTCGTGCTCGAGTATCGTGAATATAGCTAACTTTAATCCCTCAGATCCACACTCTCTACGCTCACGCCCCGGACCGCACAGTCCCCATCGCCGAGCAAGCGGCCTACTTCGACCACTATTATCGACTGGGCCTTTTCGAAAATCTTGGCTTGTCCAACTACACCCCAGCTATGGTTCGAGCGTGGATGGAAGTCGCCGTGGAGGAAGACTTCGTCATGCCGTCTGTCTACCAGGGCCAATACAATGTCGTCTGCCGCGGCTACGAAGACGCGCTGTTCCCTGTCCTCCGTGAATTCGGGATAGCATTCAAGGCTACCTCGCCCTTGGCTGGTGGCTTCCTCACTGGCAAGCTATCCTACCATCCGACAGTTCAAAGCTTGGAGGGGACCCGCTTCGAGGTTGGAGAGGGAAACATGGTGGGCGCACTTTACCGCATGTGGTACGACCAGCCTGCATTCCACGATGCCATGCGTGAGCTGGATAACATGGCCAAGGAGCATGATTCTACTGGGGCTCAGTTTGCTCTGCGCTGGTTGCTCTTCCACTCTCAGTTGAAGAGCCTTGATGAAGTCGTGATTGGCCCGAGCCACTTCGAGCAGCTTCAGTGCTATCTCGATGCCCGTAAGGCTGGCCCGCTGCCCGATAACAACGCAGAGAAGGTTAATCTGCTGTTCCCAGCACTGCGGGGCCTTTCAAAGTCTATCATTGAGAAGGGATGGTGGTCTCTGTGAAAGGGATCGCTACCTCCCCACATCGAGAATTACATTCTACCCAGTCATGTCACCCTAGCGAATTTCCGCCACCACAAGCGGCGTTATGCTAAGAATAAAATCAATTTCAAATAGGAAAACAATAACAACCAAAACATTTCTCTAGCCAAATTTCGAGCAAGAGCATTTATATACTTTCACAAATCTCCGGACCTGCATAACCGCCCGCCCTCAGCAACTACCCAAGCCTCACTTCCCACAGCTTTAAATGCATAGAAGATAGAATGAGGATCATACTTCTGCTTAATCCTGAGTAATTTGGCATACCTATCCCCATAAAAAGCCTGCTGCCAGTCCACCTGATTCGGATCAGCCTCATTCAAATAAGCACCACCACCAGGAGTAAGTCTCTCCAATGGCGGCAAGAGAACATCAGTAATAATCTGCTGCCTGGCAACATTTTTATCCCAGTCCGTATAGTTGAAAGACCTAAAAAAGATTATTAGTCAACATCCGGAACCATAGTTGGAAGAAGATCGAGTTAACTGACGCTCCCATCACAACACTCATAAGAGCATCTCGCCACGCTGGATTGACACTGTTATTGGGGTAAGCCACGCGCGAGGAATTGACCATAACCCCTGATATTACGAGACCGGTATCTTTTTCAACAATTGCGCGGAATTGTGATACGAGCTCGGTGAGGTTTTGCTGTACCACTGATCGGGGAATGAGACGGCCGCCGAGGAGTTGGTCGGTTATATTTTCTGGTGGGTTCATCTTTCGATAGGCGTTATGAAATGTTGAGAATTCCTCGACGTAGTAAGCTGTGAATATGATAGTATTAGTATTTGCGTTTCGATATTTGGTTCCACACGTACTGTACTGCATGCCGTTCCTTTTGAAAAATCCGATCAAAGGATCAAATAGAGAGTTGTAGAGTGCTGCCGTCCCACGCGGGATCGTAGTTGGAGTTGTTGACATGGAGTTATTGGTCAACCACCAAACACTTGCGCCTCCTGCATCACCTATCGAAGGCAAAAGTGAGGTAAACATCTCCACTCCCGCGAAGAATGTCGTTCTGGAGATACCCGTATCCGAGAAAGAGAAATTCCCGGAAACAGTGTGTAACTCCGGATAGGCTTTGCTCGTCATTGAAATGACAACACCGTATGTTCCTCCACCTCCACCTGAAAGGGCCCAGTAGAGGTCAGAGTTCTGGACAGGAGAAGCGACAACCAGTCTTCTATCGGCAAGGAAGACCTCCCATTCCAGGACTTGATCCGCAGCAAGTCCAAATTGTGATACTAACTGGCCATGGCCACCTCCTTGGGAATACCCGCCTGCCAGGCCAACAGTTGGGCAATTGCCACCAACGACAACTACACCGGCTCTTGAAGCAGCGGAGCTGGCCTCGAAAGATTGAACGCCAGCTCCTATTTTCATGGCTTTTCCGGTATAGTATGATGAGTTATAGTCCACAATGGAGATATTCTTCATATGGTGCATCCAGATACCAAGTGCTCCAGCTCCAGTTGATTTTCCTAGGAGATCATGACCCGTGTTTCGAATGACAAGTCTGATATTATGATGTTTGGCGAAATGGATAGACTTTTGGACATGCCTAGCTTCAGTTGCGTTGACTGCATATTGGATGTAATTGCCAATCGTACATGGTGCATGTTTTGAGGAGAATGGGTTGCAACTGTTGTTTGTATATGTGGATGCCATGATTGATGAGGATGTTTCATAGTGTGTTGCTGGGAAGCCCCAAACCGAGTGGAGTTGGGCACATTGTGTTCCGTTGAATGGCGTCAATAGATCGAGGTGACATGGGCTGGCTATAGGAATTGTTGCGATCAATTTACCCCCAATGGTTGTATTGAAGTGATCCCATCTGTCGTCATTTGGCCAACATGGATCCTGTGGCATGCAGCGACAGACAGGCGAGTTTGAAGAATTTGCGATTGACAGACCATTTGTAATTCCAAACAAAGTAATCAAATTGGCGAGAAACCGTAGCCACGCGATCTGGACACTCATGGCTGCGATGATCTGACCTGAGCGAACAGCATTCCTCCGTAAACAAAGGTTATATACGTGAATTGGAGCACAAATTCAGTCCCTGGCCACATTTCCAATCATGAAACATGGCCCTGACTTCAGATATCAAAAACGTGCGTAATTGGCGCATCTGCATATTAGACCCTGATATACACGGATAGTACACCGAGTCGAGTAGCAAGGCCTGCCATATGTAGCTGAATCCGCAATTCTGACTCAGACATCTGTCGCGTGGGATTAGGATCCCAATGCCGTCCTTGGCTATTATGCCATTAGGCAGGCAAGCTGGAGGTTTCTGTCAGCCCTGAGTTGGCTGATACTTGTGTAACGCGGTTTAGGACGGTACATTTAGGAAGGTTTTCGGGAGATGAACTACCGGTTTGCTTGTATGTGTAAAAATAGATTGCATAATATTGATCATTGCGCAGCTTAGAAAGTAAATACTAGTTGTTTTCACAATAGATTTGGTCGGGTTTGTTTGGCTCGGAGTCAGTGGGCGTCATAATTGTCCCGCCAATTTCCGAGAGGTAAAACGTGTACCAATAGACGTATCATCTCTAACGAAACATTCAGTAAGCTCTAAGCTTCACTCGCGTTACCTTCATGCAGTCGAACATCAGAGAAGTTGAAACTACGTTCCAAGCTTGACACCTGATTCTGCCTGAACCTTGGGACGCAAATTCAGGCTAACCATATTGGGAATGATCGACAAGCGAGTACGAACCAAACCTTAATTGACTCGATGACACCAGTTGACGAGTACGAACGGGTATGAACGTGGAAGGTCGCATCATCCATGCAGTGCTAGGATATAGCTGGTGAGTTTGCTTGTTTATAAATAAGGCCTTCGTCGTGTACTTGCGTCTGGTACTGCAAGTTCTATCACACCATCATGCATTTACTTTCAACATCAGCCGTCGCCTGCACATTAGTCTCTGCACTTATTTGCCTCTCGGATGCAATCCAACCCCCCACACCTCTCTCTCCATGGAGCGGCTGCGTTCCATATGGGCCACTTGTGCCTCGTCCAACCGATCTAGGGAAAGCTAAAATTATTCAGGATGCAACGGCAAAGCTGAGTCAGACTCTTGACGATGCTTTAGCTGGAAAGATAAAGGCCGGTTTTGACGTGGACCAGACTTCGTTTTCAATCGGATTCATATCTCCACAGAAGGGGAACGCAACTCTTGCAAACGGTGGCCTTATTTGGTCATACCATCACCTTGGGAAGAATAATGTGAACGGAACCAAGATCGCCGATGAAAATTCGCAGTATTTGATCGGATCGGTGTCCAAGTTGTTCACAGACATTCTGCTACTGAAGTCAAACATCAATCCGGATGACCCTATCACCAAATATTTACCGAGTCTTCAGGGAACCCAGTCGCTGATCCAGTGGGATAATATCACGCTCTCGGCTTTGTCAAACCATTTGGCAGGAATAACTGCAAATCCTCGTAAGTAAACATGCATCATTGCATTACTCCTTGCTGACTCGAACTATGTTAGCCTCATCGTTCGATTACTATTTTCTGCATTCAGTTTACGAGCAGCTTGGGTTCCCTGTTATTAGCAATGCAAGCTACCCACCATGTGGAGTAACAGGCCTCAACCGCGCATGCAATCAAACACGTATGGATGCATTTGAACAGACCTATGGCAGATTGACTGATATTGGATCAGAGATACTTGAAATGATGCGCAGTGCTCTGCCTGTGCAGCCACCCTACGGCCAACCAATATATTCCTCTGTAGCTTTCACGCTACTTAGTTTAGTTTTGGAGTCTCAAACCGGCAAAACGTACAGTCAAATGCTAAATGAAACAATGTTTGGTCCGCTCGGCCTGACAAATACGGGTGTATCCCCAGGAATATATGACTCAGCCGTTATTCCTCCTCTACCTGCTGCGGAGCAAGGATGGGGAGCAGATTATGGAGTCAATGCCCCGTATGAAGATCATCAACTCCTATTTGTCGTATTCCACGCTAATCAATATCCAGAGGAGGTGGGCTCTATTCTTCTCTAAGCGACCTTTCAATTTTGATGAGCAGCATCTTAGACTACACTATCCTTGATACCCCAGACCAAGTTCGCCAATGGCTTAAGCCACAGTCAATGACATCTTCAATTAACAATCTTGTTGGTCGACCATGGGAGATACAGCGAACAGAGAATCTAGTACCCGAAAATCCACACACCGTCGACATATTTGCGAAAAGTGGAGGTGCATCGGGCTATGTGGCCCAATTTTCGGTGGTTGATCAGTATGGAGCTGGCTTTGTTGTTTTGACAGCGGGTCCAAGAGAAGCGCCGACTGCGTCGATCCTCAACGAAGCCATAATCTCAACTCTTATCCCTGCGATTGACTCGGAAGCTCGTCGACAGGCGGAGCGATATACTGGAACCTTCGCTCCTGTGTTTTCTATCAGCACAGAAACAGCGGACCAAGACTTTTCCCCCAAATTAGTGCTATCCATGGACAACGGAACAGGAATCAAGATAGACTCCCTAACAAGAAGCGGATCTGACATACTGGGAGGTATTCAAAAGATCTGGGCCTCGGTTCTGCCCCAAGTTGGGATTTTGAATCCAGAAATGCGCATCTACCCGACTGACATCGAACGAGTAGCCGAAGGCGAAGATGGTGTGGTCCTTCAGGACTGGCGAATCAGCTTCGATATCGTGCCCTCTGACAACGCGGCTATTTCCGATCTGCCAGGACAGGGGAAACTGTCGAAAATGTGTTCCTCTTGGCAAACCATCGACTGGCTCTATTATGGTGGCAAATCACTCGACCGGGTTGTCTTCAAGGTCAATCAGACAGACGGGGCTGTACTTGGAGTTAATATTCCGTTTTTACGAAGTGGGCTGCTTGGGAAAATGTGATATTTTCGTGCAAATACGGTATTGGTCGTCTCGTGGCGCTGTGCGGGGTTGGGCGCTGTAGCAGGACATTTGGCAAGCAAGGTTGATACTCACTTTCTAATTTGAATTTCATCTTTTGGAGCTCGTACTAAAGCAAGACTCAAGAAGCCGATAGTCATGGCATCTATAATTCAGTGCCCGGCTGAAATCCTGGGTTTGATTTTAGACCATCTGTCTGCAAGTGATCGTGCGGCCATGTGTCGTGTCCATAGTTACTTACGCGCTATCACTCAGCCGCGCCTCTACTCGACTGTCGAATGGACTGCTGAAACTCCGTACTGGCCTCACATGCTACAATTCATCCACACTATCATTCGCAGACCTCAGCTAGCAGACTTCGTCAAATGTGTTCTATTGACCAGAAATACTCCTGATTGGACTCAGGCTGATAATCGCAATGAAGTTCCCAAGCTTCCGATTACCAATGTTGATATCGATGGCCTTGCAGATTGCGTTAAAGCATTCGAGGTGCCATATAGCGACCAGTGGATTGAAGCACTAAAACGAGGAACGTTGGATGCCTTTATCGCCCTTCTTTTATCACTCCTCCCAAACATAGAGGGATTTCACACAGGAAGAGGGTTTAGTCGGCAAACCCATTTCATAGGCAAGATACTCCGTTCAAGCCTGTGTGAAACACCTAAAACCAATCGCTTGCCTTGCTTCCAAAGGTCTTTCTCTGCGAACGTTGTGTGTAACGATCCTGGTGACAACGATGGTGAATATAAAGATCTCAAAAACACAGATGATGTTCTACCTCTATTCTATCTGCCGGGCGCGGTATTTTGCACTATTTTGATTGATAACCCCGTCAATTTTTCATGGCCTGGATCAAATCCACCGAATGCCACAAGGCTACTATCACTTCGGTTGATGATGTTAAGGGAAGGTCATCTTGGCCACATCCTGTCAGCAACTCCCAACCTTCAGAGTCTCGACTGGGAGTGGCTCTACCGCCCGGATCTAAGGGATGCGTTTGTCACAGACACTATCGATTTTGATCAAATATCCAAAGACTTATCTCATATACGGAACACCTTGACTGAGTTGAGCGTCACTGGGAAATGCTCCGGCTGTCATACGGAACCAGAGACGCCGCGGATCTACTTGAATGGATCCTTCAACGCTTTCAACAATCTCAACATTTTAAAGGTTTTAGAGGTCCCCCTTCCTTTCTTGATTGGATTTTCCCGAGATGAATGGTATTCGGTTCGCATCGAGGACGCTCTGCCAAAAAGTTTAAGGTGGCTTATAATCACGAGCGATATGATAGACGATGAACAATTTCAATGGACAGATTCAGATGTTCTATATTTGTTTCAACGCTGGTTTGAAGACTGGAAGAATTTGACACCTGACCTGCGGGGCGTCCAGTTTCACCGGAATCAGTCATTTTGTAAGCTCTGGGGCCCTGCTGTGAAAAAGAACTACGTTGACCTGGGTACCCGTGCTGGGATTTCGATTGTGATTAGTGGAGAAACTTGAACGTAGCACCATTTGTGATGGTATCTCGACATGCAATAGTTAACTCGGGCCACTGGATATGAATGGCTACTGATATCCACATCGCCCAGCCACTTGCGACGGAGTTTTCATGTCTTGTTCCCAAATTGGAAGATTCCTGACTCTAAGTAGGCACATACTCTCCTAATTACAAACATTCCATAAACAGATGAAGGAATCTGCCATTTTATGTGAAGTACACTGCTAAGATCACAAAACAGGATCTGTATAAATCTCAATGGAAGCCTCATCCACAAAGTTCTTCCATCCCGGAAAGCGCGCCCGGGGGATTATTAATATCCGATCCCCTGCTTGAAGGTTTTTCATCCAGCGCAGGTTTTGATCACTTCGGTAAACGATCTGATGATGCTTCGTGTCTTTCGAAGCATGTATATTTGTCACCAATCGAAGGTCCTCTCCTTGGGTGATATCATCTCTGCCCGGGGGCCTTGCAATGCCAAGATCAAACCAGGTCCAAGAATTCCGGTAGGTACCATAATCTTCACGATAGCTACTCCATCCTTGGTCATGGCTCCAGATATCGATTTTGATCTCTCGAACGGGGAACCGATCACCTTGAATGGCTTCGGATGTCAAATATGGAGTTCCCTCCCGGCAGTCATTCTCCGTAAAGCCTAGTTTATCCGTTCTATAGACTCCCGAGCGAACCCAATATTGGGCGTATTCTAGGACCTCTAAGACGAGTTCGGAAGGTAGCCGTCGCCGAAGGATGTTGAGAACGGCGATTGCATCTTCTGAGTGCCTGGGGTAATATGGATCGTCTTGATAGAACGCGTCTGACATAGCCCCAGTCGCAGAGTTTACTGTTTGAGCTATGGAGTTTGATGCGCCCATTGTGAGATGCCTCCGATGGTGGGGCTCTTGAGGTGAGGGGTTGTAGTTTGGGACCGCAGGCAATGAAATGGCGACCCAGTGAAAGAATAGTGGAGAAAAGAAAAGGTGAGCTGCATCAATATTTGTGGCTTCCCAAGATGTGCTGTTATGTTGTATTGACAGGAGGTCAGGGTGAGGCTCAAGCCCCACCTGTCGTGGCTTGGCATTGTGGCCTGGATTTAATGGCATTTATGAGCATCGATTCGACGGTGCGTCAACTAACTAGATCGCGATAGAAATCTCTAAGATGATCGACTGCAGACTGTCTATATGTGAATTCGTAGAGAAGTAGAGTCAGGGAATACGATGGCCTAGTACGTTAGCTTCCCTGTCTCTGCGTTCCATTAATTTCGGTGCAATTATTGATATCCATTACTGCAGTCGGGCTTCCAACAACTTTCCGTTACCGATCCGAAGGAAACGTTCGAAATCGTTACAGCACCCTGGCGTTCGAGCTCCCAAGGGATGAAGCGCGGATGCCGGAAAAGCAGTATGACCTGCAGCGCATGTCAGGGATGGGCGATCGACTTGGCAGGGAATTTGCGGAGCTTGAGGCAGAGTATTGTGCGAGTCAATGGATGCACAAATGCTTGATTAGGCCACAATGGTGGCAGCTGCGATTTACTCCAAAGTTTACGATATGGAAGTTGCTCTGACTAGCCCCGAGATTTCTCTTCGCGTCGAGGATGCCATCAGACACATCCTTCAGCCGGCCACAATCAGTGTGAAGATGATTGATGAGGACCCCGAGGAAGAGACTTCAAGGTATCTATTCTAGGTCAGCTCAATGTGAAGTTGGGACCGGAACAGGCCGCTGAGTTAAGGAAAGAGAAGAAGTATATCGAACTTGAACAATCGTATTTGTGATTTGAGCTATCAACGCTTAAGATTGTGTGTACTTTTGCGGAATTATGGGGTGTCCAGGTGAAGAGTGGTAGAGCTTTTATCTTCCAATTGGCGCAGCGAATAATATTCTACGTTTTTGCACGACAATATTAGATGGTATGTCCGTTCTTAGTGATATTCGTTATGTTGAGCAGTTCCTGAACGGATACTCTGAGCCACTTTGATAGCCAGCCTTCGTCCCTCGATCCCCATGATATCGAGCAGGGTGCCTTTTAATTAGGATGGTATGATGAGATCCCTTCTCAATGATGATCTTTGCTTCATTAAGTCCATTCATTTGTCTTTCCTACGGAGTCGTTCAATCTTGGGGAAATATAAATGAGGCACGGGTGCAAAATGTAGTATCTTTGGGTGACCGATGCAGTAAACCGCATCCAGTTCAATGCACATTCGAGCCAAAGCTAACATTCACTTCACTCAGCACGATCTCAGTTTAGCCCCGGAGTGGACCATATTATGTTTACATATCCACAATGCTTATCTCCGCGGAAGAAAAATTACATTTGCTCCGCCGTGGGGCCACGCGCGTCGCGGACCTCGACCGACTGTTATCTGTCGGGAAATCTGATATAAAGCATCGCATGTCTCCTTAACCGTATGAAAATAAATCTTTCAGTTCCCTTGTTCGCTTCAAAATTCTGACCATGCCGGTCATCGAGAGTGGAACACCAAGCCACCAGCAAGACGAGACGAAAAAGTCTGAGACTCTTGTCAACGGCAGAGATGTCGAAGAAGTCACGACTCATTCGTACCGCCCTAGCAGATGGCAGAGCAACATAACAATCATCAGTTGCGTAAGTCGGGGTACCGAGATTGTAAACGCTATTTACTTGCTAACTTTTCTAGTATATTGCCAACTTCAGCGATGGATTCCAAAATACCCTCGCTAATCCTACCAATGTCATCTTCAAGCAGGTGCTTGGCTCCGATGCGTATTCCTCTGAAATGAAGACGCGAATCAGCAATTCTCTGCTGGTTGGTGCTATTCTCGGTGTTGTCGCCCTCGGATACACATCTGATATGTTCTCGCGACGGGCGGGATTGCTGTTCACTTCCTCACTTGTGGCCATTGGCACATTGATGTCGGCACTGGCTCTTCAGGTGCATCCCTCGGGCAACATGTTATGGTACTTTGTGGTTGTTCGTGGCATTGCTGGATTCGGCGTCGGGGGTGAATACCCTCCTAGTGCGGCAGCTGGTATTGAAGAAACGGATGATGTGAGTATTCTAGCCTCCTAGTGCTCGTACTTTGCTGATTCATTAGGTCATGAGAAAATATCGCGGTCCAATGTTTGTTTCCTTTACAACGTTGATGGCTACCCTCGCCGGTCCAATCCTGATGATCATCTACTTAATCACGCTGATTGCCAGCGACAACAACCTCGTCATCGCTTTCCATGCGATTTACTCCATTGCAACTATCCTCCCAGTTGCAATTATCATTCTCCGGATTTTCATGGTTGACTCGTCACTCTTCCACTATTCCAACCTTACACGCCAGCCTAAATCACTTCGCCTTTACCTTCTCCTGGCTAAGCGATACTGGTGGAGACTGTTGACAACATCACTGGCCTTCTTTCTGTACGATTTTATCAACTTCCCGAACAGCATCATGTCCAGCACGATCATCTCCTCGCTTGTCAAGGACCACGATGTGCGGACCACCGCCATCTGGCAGGTCATTCTAGCAGTGCTTCCAGTTCCCGGTGTTGTAGTCGGGGCTTGGCTCACAAATGCCATTGGACGGCGTTGGACCGGTATATTGGGCTTCGCAGGCTACGTGGTTCTCGGTTTTGTCATTGGCGGAACTTATACCAAGCTTTCTCAGAGCATTGCGGCATTCGTTGTTCTATACGGCTTGCTGCAAGCATTCGGTCACATGGGACCAGGTGCTACTATTGGACTTATCTCATCCGAGTCTTTCCCGACTGCTATGCGTTCCATGGGGTATAGCGTTGCGACAGCCTTTGGCAGAACGGGCGCTGCAGTTGGAACACAATGCTTCACCCCCTTGCAGGAAAATGCCGGCAACAGCTCCACTTTTTACCTGGCTGGAGGTGTTGCCATCCTTGGAATGATGGTATACTACTTGCTGCCTGAAAGTGGAGAGTTGGACTTGGAGAAGGAGGACAAGATTCTCAGGGAGTACCTGATGCAGCACGGTTTCACGACTGATATGAAGGAGTAGATGATGTTCACAACAAAACATAGAGCATAGATCGTAGATCAATCTTAGACGATAGATACCCGGCGGTCGGATGAACAATAATACATGTCATGATAATGAGCAGCAGAAAAAGAGAGTTACAATCTCGACGATCAATCCAATGCTTGCACAACTTGCGCCCAATCGCCAAAGCCATAAGCTCCTGGCACATTTTCCCCATCAAACAAACTCGCCATAACGACTCGATCGGACTGTTCGCCCTCCCATGGCTCTCGACCATGCTGTGCAATGGTATTATCATATACTAAGACATCGCCTTCCTGCCAACGATGCAACACCCGAATCTCATCCGTAATCTTCGCCAGATGCGCAAGGTATTTGTCAGGGATAGGCGTCCCATCGCCAAAGAGCTGCTGCGTTACCTTCCTGCGTGCCTCAATATCACTCTGCGCTCTTTTCCAGTATGCTGCCAATCCACTAAACAGCGTTGGCAGGTTTGTGTTCTGCTGGGTACGAATCACAGGTAATCGGTGCGTGAGAACGAGTCCATCATCAGTCCATTCCCACGTGGTATGTTTCCCTCTGCCATAGCGCGCAATCTGAGCCTCAATCTTCTTTCGTTTAGTCTCCTCATGGTCCCCATCTCGAATTTCTTTTCCAAACGCTTGGCGAAGAGTTGATCCGCCTTGGTATTGCCTTTCTACCTGGTAGGTGACTCTGCTGAGAATCCCCTTCTCTGCTAGCTCGTCGATGAACTCTGGGATTTCTTGCTGAGCCCGGTGGAATAGCTCCAAGGAAGAGGATATGGGCGATTCACCACCTTTGTTTGGAGCGCGATGGCCATAAAAGAATATATATTCGGGCGCATGTGGTACCTGAGGTGATTCGTTGTGATTATAGATCAACACCTCCTTTGGAGCTTCGTTGGCTGGTGCCACGTTCGGCGCGAGAAGTGGTCTATCGACTACGATCCCGATGATTTCATGGGGCTTGTATCCGAAGGCATGTGCGAATTTGCTGAAGTCCTCTGCGTTGTGAATTGGCAGATTGCGGAACAAGAGAGTGCCATGTCGCGCGAGCTTCTCGGTAAATATGCCCTCATCTGCTTGAAGCGACTTTATTGTATCCACTACTTCGTCAAGACTTGGCTTGGCACCTTGCTCAGGATGTAACGCAAGCGGGATAACAGTATTCTTAGGATGAGGTGGTCCCAGTGTACGTTGGTTGGAGGATGGTAACTCAAAGGGCTCAAATCGGGTGATGACAGACGACGGGTCTCTCAGCTGGAGCTTTTCAACTTGTATCTCGGTCGCGGTTGTCATATTGTCTTCAATGTTAATGGGTAGTGATAAGAGGTAAGAAGATATTGCCCATTTGTAGTTGAGCCCACCAAAGTGGCTGAAGGTTATTGGATGATCCTTATTGATTGGTGATACAGCGCATCTTTCAAGGCAATTATTGTCTCATTGCTTATTGCCAAGATATATCAGTATTATGCCATGCGCGTATATCTTGCGTGCTTGTCTGGGCAACATCCCGCTAAACCTCGGGCTAAGTTACCCATATAAAAGCCCTGTGTATGACTTTTGCTTGGAGCTGATAATTGAAAGTTAACAGGGTCTGCATCTTGTATGTCTCTCGCAGGAAAGTCGCACAATCATGTCATCATCCTCGAAGGCAGAACCAGAAGCAAAATCCAACATTGCGAGGGTGGTCGAAAGCCAAGATGAGCAACTACCATCGCGACCAAATTTCTTCTATAGCACACTGTTCCAAATACTGATCGTGGGAACGTGTGCATTCTGTGCCCCTGGAATATGGACCGCAATGAACGGCCTGGGTGTGGGCGGATCCCAAAGCCCTGACTTGGTGAACGCTGCCAATGCCTTGTTATATGCCTTCATGACAGTAACTTGTTTTGCCGGCCCTTGGATCACCAATGCTATCGGATTCCGGTATACTCTCGCGCTTGGGTCAATTGGATACCCGCTATACGCCGCGGGTCTCTATCTCAACAATCGCAGTGGTGCCACCTGGCTTGTGTATTTCGGCTCAGTGACTTGTGGAATCAGCGCTGGCTTTTTCTGGAGTGTTGAAGGTGCCGTCGCGACAGGTTATCCTGAGAGCCACAAGCGTGGTCGGTACATTGCGACATGGTTCACCTTTCGCAATTTTGGAAATATCATTGGCGGTGCTGTCTCTCTCGGCATCAACCATACAGTTAATCACCGCGGCCAGGTTGGGTACCAGACGTATCTCGCATTCATTGCCATTCAATGTCTCGGGTTATTCTTTGGTCTTCTCTTGTCCAACCCTGAGAAGGTCCAGCGAGATGATGGGACACGCATTGAGGCACCTCGGGGCATACATTGGCGTGAAGAACTACGCGCGATGTGGCGGCTGCTGAGGAGTAAATCCATCCTGCTCCTAGTGCCCCTATTCTGGTATTTTGGGTGGCTCCAAGCATACCCAGGCACATATCTCGCGACATACTTTACTGTTCGCTCGCGAGCACTCGGAAGCTTTATGAATGCGGTCGTTGGCACACTGGCGACCTGGCTGAGTGGCTCACTGGTTGACCTGCCCTGGTTGAAAAGTCGAAAGCATCGGGCTGTCGTCACATTCACGCTGATCGCCATGATGAATAGCGCGACCTGGATCTGGGCTGTGATTATCCAGAACGAGTATCGGCATACCAACCCTGTCCTGGACTGGGAGGATCAACGAACTTTCGGTCGTGGGTTTGGACTGTACCTTTTTGAGCGCATCAGTCAGGCACTGGTAGAGAATTATATCTACTGGTGCATTTCAAATCTTTCAGATTCACCTGGTGATCAGATTCGATACAGTTCATTGTTGAGAGGAATCGAGACTGCTGCTGTCGCGGTTGGGTTTGGTGTGCAGGCTGTGCCGACTGCGTTGATTGCCACGGCAAGCATCAATCTGGGTTTGTGGTTTATCGCGTTGCCATTCAGCTATTATGCCACTTTACAAGTCGTCCGCAGATTCGAACTCTTAGAGAAACGAAGTGATGTGGGAAGAGAAGATCCTCAGACTTCAAGTCAGGGAGAATAAAGAACTGAGTTCTTAACGCAAATCGAGAAACAGAATTTAAGCAAACATTATAACAAGTCCCATGTCACGGCCCATTTTTAACCCACATCGATCTTTGTGTTCCACATCGAGAATATGTGTCACATAGGAAGTTCCCATAATTATTCTCCTCAACTACGTCCTGAGATTGACATACATCCATTTTGGCGGGCCCACCAAGAAAATATACGTCCTTGATGTAGTCCAAGTATCATACACTACAATCGGCTATCTAGGATCTACCAGTGGATAAGTGTGCAAATCAAACAATGATTTCATAGTGGATGAAACATGATTTTCAGTGCATAACTCAAGTCCCCATGCAACCGAGGGGCGGTTCGACGCAGCCGATCACCGACGTACGGCAGACTAGTAAGGCCATCAGCTCAAAACTAATTTCCCCCATAAATCTCTCACCGTCTCCCTTACCGCCTTAGATAATTACATGTCATTCTACAATGACATGGAAAATGTTGTAACACGATTAGATAGACCGCTTTTTAGGCCTTTTTTTAGACCGTTTTTTAGACCGCCTATCGCAAAATCGAAGAATAAGTTTATATTATCTTACTTTCTAAACTTTTTGGTTTAGAGAGTGCTTTTTATAGAAGATAAAATTCAATCTAATCTATAATAGTTGTGTTGTACTAGGTGTTAGCACCCTACTGTGAGAGCTCAGTAAAGTGGGACGTGAACCCAAAAGGCTACTATGACTACCATCAGGCAGTCATACTCTCACACCTATTAAGTACGCGCTCAGCTCACGTGCCGACTTCAGTCGCCCATGTAATCTCTGTCAGTCAGACCCTATTGGTCCTAACGGTATGCATAGCGGTGGCAGTATTAGTAATATATATGCGGCAGAATTAGTTTTGAGCTGATGGCCTTAACAGACTGCCGTACCGGCGCCAAGACCTGGAATCGGCTATATGGGAACCCCAGACGGGGTATATATTCCAACCGAATACTCAAGCTCTTTCACATATCAAATACAGTTGCAAAAATGTATCGCTCACAGTGTCAGCGGGCTCTGCGGTCGCAGCGACTTGCACCCTTAAGAGTCACATCATTCCGGACCTCGCCTTCCCTTCAAGCTCGTGCGGCTTTCTCCACATCGGGGCGGCGCGACATCATGAGTATGACCGGCTTTACGGAGGAACAGCTCACAGTTCGTGAGGCCATTTCAAATATTTGCTCCAAGTTCCCCAACACATATTGGCAGGAGCGGGACCAACAAGAAAAAGATCCCAAAGAGTTCCACGCTGCTTTAGCAAAGGATGGATGGCTCGGTATTGCTCTACCCGAACACCTCGGAGGTGCAGGTTTAGGTAAATTGGCACTCATTGAAATACGAATTTTCGAGGAATATTGCTAATAATTAATTAGGTATCTCTGAGGCTACAATGATGATGCAGACTATTACACAATCTGGCGCAGGTATGGCCGGTGCCCAAGCTATCCATGCAAATGTGTATGCCACGCAGCCATTAGCCAAGTTCGGCACCAAGGAGCAGCTCGAAACCACGATCCCAAACATCATCAATGGCACATGGCGAACATGCTTCGGTGTGACTGAACCAAACACAGGCTTGGAGACCCTTAAGCTCAAGACCCTCGCCAAGAAGACCGACGATGGGTACTCTGTTGCCGGTCAGAAGATTTGGATCACTTGTGCGCAGGTCGCATCGAAGATGATCCTTTTGGCCCGGACTACACCCCTCGAAGAAGTCAAGAAGACGACCGAGGGTCTCTCAATATTCTGTATTGATATCGACCGCGAGAACCCTGGACTGGATCTGCGCAAAATCAAGAAGATGGGTGGACGTGCCGTGGATGCCAATGAGGTCTTCTTCGACAACTATAAGATCCCCATCAACACCCTAATTGGCCGTGAAAACGACGGATTCAAGATCATTCTTCATGGTATGAACGCCGAGCGTTGTCTTCTTGCAGGCGAGGCTCTCGGATTGGGCTACGCTGCTCTGGAGAAGGCTTCGCAGTACGCAAAGGACCGTGTGGTATTCGGACGACCGATCGGCCAGAACCAAGGTGTTTCTCACCCTTTAGCTGACGCATACATGAAGTTGGAGGCCGCCAAGTTAGCAACTTACCACGCCGCAAAATTGTATGACGCCAACGATAGATCGGTTCCCTTCCACGAAATCGGCGTGGCATGCAACAGTGCTAAGTATCTGGCCGCAGAGGCTGCCTTCACAGCCTGTGAGCGGGCAGTGTTGGCCCATGGCGGTATGGGTTATGCTATGGAGTATGATGTTGAGCGGTATATGCGCGAGTGCTTTGTGCCTCGCATTGCGCCCGTCAGTCGGGAGATGATTCTGAACTATGTCAGCGAGAAGGTGCTTGAACTGCCGAGGAGCTACTAGATATCTGCTTACTTAAAGTAAATACAAAGCCGTACATACTGTACCATCTGTCCAAGAGAGCATAAAGACATGGTGTGATTTATGTAGCGAAGTCTGCATGGCCTACTTCGAGTCATGGTGTCAATTTTAGGATGTAACAATCGCCGTAACTCACAACATTGTTGCAATATCCATAAGCAATATTGGCTCAGACTCAAGCCATTGTACACCCAAATTGAACCCAAACACCGTCTCGATGTAGTTCGGCAGTTTATGCTTGTTATGCAGATGACAACGAGCCGCCTACAATTGGTCGCCCCCGGGTGGTGGGGCGCCGGGGAGGAAGACTCAAACTCCGACCTTCCTAAGCTCCCGCCTTTTATTTCTTGCTCCCCTCCCTTCTCCAGACTTTTGACTCAATTGATCGTATCTAGTACAGACTTGTCTCTAGATTAGATCCTTATATCAATCAAAATGCTGCCTCAGACTCGGGCGCGTATGCCCGCCGCTCTCCGGAGCTTGTCCCGGTCCACCGCGACTGCGTGAGTCCATCTGTCAGTTGCTTCAAACGGTTACTAACTCGTACATTACTCTTTAGCCGGACTCTCTCGACCACCATCCCCCGCTTCCAGAATGACAAGGCCCTCAACAAGGTCTCACGCCATATCACGCAGCCCAAGTCCCAGGGTGCCTCCCAGGCGATGTTGTACGCGGTCGGTCTCAAGGAGGAGGACATGAACAAGGCACAGGTCGGAATTTCGTCAGTGTGGTTCAACGGTAACCCTTGCAACATGCACTTGCTCGACCTGAACAACAAGGTTCGCCAGGGTGTGCAGGACCAGGACTTGATTGGTTTCCAGTTCAACACCGTCGGTGTCAGTGATGCCATTAGTATGGGTACCTCCGGTATGCGTTACTCTCTGCAGAGTCGTGATCTGATTGCCGATTCCGTGGAGACGGTTATGGGTGGACAGTGGTACGATGCCAACATCAGTATTCCCGGTTGTGACAAGAACATGCCCGGTGTCCTGATGGCCATGGGTCGTGTCAACCGCCCCAGTCTGATGGTCTACGGTGGTACTATCAAGCCCGGTTGCGCCGTTACCCAGAACAACGCCGATATCGATATCGTTTCCGCTTTCCAGGCCTACGGTCAGTTCATCACCAAGGAGATCACCGAGCCCCAGCGTTTCGACGTCATCCGCCACGCCTGCCCTGGTGAGGGTGCCTGTGGTGGTATGTACACCGCCAACACCATGGCCTCGGCCATTGAAACCATGGGTATGACTCTTCCCGGTTCTTCCTCCAACCCTGCCAACTCGCAGGCCAAGTACCTCGAGTGTCTCGCTGCTGGTGGCGCTATCAAGAAGCTCCTCGCTGAGGACATCCGCCCTCGTGACATCCTCACCCGTCAGGCCTTCGAGAATGCCATGGTCGTTGTCAACATCACCGGTGGATCGACCAACGCCGTGCTACACTTGATCGCCATTGCCGACTCCGTTGGCATCAAGCTCACCATCGACGACTTCCAGGCTGTGTCTGACCGCATTCCTTTCCTGGCTGACCTCAAGCCCTCCGGCAAGTACGTCATGGCTGACCTGCACGCCATCGGTGGAACCCCCGCTCTCCTGAAGCTCCTCCTGAAGGAGGGCCTCATCGATGGCTCTGGTATGACCGTTACTGGCGAGACCATGGCCCAGAACCTCGAGAAGCTACCCGGCTTCCCCGATGACCAGAAGATCATCCGTCCCTTCTCCAACCCCATCAAGGAGACTGGTCACATTCAAATTCTCCGTGGATCTCTCGCCCCTGGCGGTAGTGTCGGAAAGATCACCGGTAAGGAGGGTATGTCCTTCACCGGAAAGGCCCGTGTTTTCGACAGCGAGGATGACTTCATCGCCGCTCTGGAGCGCGAGGAGATCAAGAAGGATGAGAAGACTGTTGTTGTCATCCGCTACTGCGGTCCTAAGGGTGGACCTGGCATGCCTGGTGCGTGAAGATTATCAACTTGATTGGTTTTGACTCCACTAACAACCTTTGTAGAAATGCTCAAGCCCTCTTCCGCCCTCATGGGTGCCGGTCTCGGTAACTCCGCTGCTCTTATTACCGACGGTCGCTTCTCCGGTGGCTCCCACGGTTTCCTGATCGGTCACATTGTTCCCGAAGCCGCCGTTGGCGGTCCTATCGGTCTGGTCAACGACGGCGACATTATCACCATCGATGCTAACAAGCGTCTCCTTGATCTCGAAATCCCCGAGAGCGAGATCGCTGAGCGTCGCAAGAACTGGGAGGCCCGCAAGGCTGCCGGCCAGCTCCCTGAGACCGGTCTCACCATGCGCGGTACCCTTGGCAAATATGCTAGGTAAGTTTTCTCGTTATATTCTCTTGGAATACCCGCTAACAATGGGTCACAGAACCGTCCGGGATGCTAGCCAGGGCTGTATCACCGACGCTGTTGATGTAGAGTAAACTTTTCTTTGTTTTTTGGGTCTCGGGCCTTTGTCGGAACATAAAAGCGATTTACCGTTTGGAGCCTGTGTTATATGATATCATTTTTGAATAATACTTCCTACCTTTTCAGCCCAGCCTCCCTAAAAGATTCCTTGAGATATGCACTATAGTGCCGTTATTATAAGGTTGCAGTCAGCGGATCACCCGCCTTGCCTGCAACAACCTTGGAAGGACCAAGTATTGGGTTGGCACCATCACACGATTCTGACCTAGACCTTGAGACTGTTTGGGTAATTGCAAGGAAGGAGGGTGGTAAAAGGGGGGTCTTTTGCTTAGTATAGGAAAACACCGCTGACTATTAAACGCTTGCAAAGAACCCTAAATAAAGAGCCTCCTGTTTATTTGCGACGAACTCTCCAGGCTTTTCTATAATCAACCAACAGTACCGCGTTTGTCGCGAGTGGTTTGATATCATATGTTACCGGCACAAGGGGAAATTTATAGTAAAAGCACTATTAGTTAATAACCTCCTTGAGACGAGTTCCAGTTACCTTGTGTAGCACCGCGGCGTGGTGTCGGCGGCATGGTTCGCTTAGGCGATAAATTCAGATGGGCGATTCATTGAAGTTGCTCGCGGAAGCCGAAATCGGCTTGATGGGGAGGTAATACCACCCCACATGTATTATACGAGATGCGGAATCTTTCAGAATTTCGCGTGAATTGTTTCGTAATGTACGGTTATTTCCTGTACATTAACCGATCATGGATTTCAGTACATCGCAATTCCTATACAACGATCTATATAAACGGGTTTAGCCATTCATTAGCATAAAATGAAATCTCTTAAATGTTTGACCAGCCGGGCAGGGCACCACCACTGAATATCGTCCTATTACTTCCAGCACTTGAAAATGGGCAGAAAGGAGATGCAAGGAGACAAGCAAAAGTAGCGAAAACTATGGATGAAAGGGTATACTCGCCTGGAAGTTCGTGGGTTTTGTATAGACGGTCCAATACTTCACGAATGGCACTGTATGCCATTTATGAAAGATTTTATATTCCAATTGCGCACTCATCCGATCAGCACGGGAGCTAATTTCTCTCCATTTAGCATGAGTATCAACATGAGCAAAGATCCTTGCTCTGGGATTTGATCAGGTATGTACTTCCTCAAACACGAGAAATACGGGGTAATCTGGGAGCGATCCACACGTCAAATGACGATAGAAGTATAAAATGCAGCTTATTATTTGCTATAACAAAACAGGAAAGGAACCATAGGTATCACTATATAAACAAAACAGCCTCAAAACACATATCCAAATCAAGCAAAAGACACCCACAACACCACAACACCACAGGAACCCAAAAACACTTGCACTGACCTCTCAACCTAGTCATCTAAACTCTTAGCTCCTACATCGCCAGAACATCTCAAGATCGATTGTTATCCGGTGCCTCGTAAATCATAGGATGACCCTCCAACTCCGTTGGTGCCAGATGCGGGCGGTGCGCTGGTGGTGGCTCGTTCCAACTCCAATGACCCTGCTGTGTCGACGGAGATCCATGCGAGGAAATATTCTCTGTCGCCGGTGAAAATGTACGCACATTCGGATCCGGGCTGGAAACAGCACTGATATCAATGTGGGTGGGTTTCGTGCTACTGTTGGACATCTCACTCTTGCGGTTGCTGTTGCTATGGGCGTCCGAGTTGAACAGTGCCCACCGTGCCGTTCGCTCAGTGCGTCCGTCTTGAGAGGACATCCACTGCGAGTATACACGATTGCGACCGAGGACGAAGAATAGCGCTACCAGAATTGCCACGAATGCTACTGCTGCGACGGAGATACCTGCGATAGCTCCGGTGGACAGGCCGTGTTTGCCGGATGAGCTGCCGCTGTTTGTTGCGCTTGTGGTTGAGCTTGTGCTTGTTTCTGTTGAAGTACCCCCGCCTTCAGCGGGCATGGATTGCCCAGGGACTAGCATGTAAGGATAGTCAAGTGCTTTCTTGTATTGTGAAGTAAATGTCTCGGTCGTATTCTACCGATTTGTGTCAGTCCGAATCAAGACGACAAAATCTGGGCGTCATACCGGATTTATCACGCCAACCATACCATTCTTCAAACAAGAGTCTATTGCGGTACAATAGAAAAACGTTGGCTACGGACAGGAAAGTTAGCTTGCGGTTCTGTAGTACAGGGAGGATTCAAATCGACTACATACCTTAGTGTCATTTACCCTAAGTGACCAAGTTGGAGGCTATCCTTGTTGTCAGTATCAGTCAACAACAAATCTTTTTGATTGGTTCATTTGACTCACGTCCCCGATGAGTTGTCCATCCACTTCATTGAACGTGTCAAACATTCCCGAATAGAAGATATCCCCGCTAGCTGGCACACATGGCGCGAGATAGTCTGCTTTCACGACCGAATGATTGGTGGGATAGAATTGGAAGGTGACGATATCCCCAACATTGGCCGTAATGCTGCTGGGTAAATATTGATGTGGATCAGACTTATGTCCAACTTGAATTGTATGAGTCGCGATACCAGTCGATGTTGAGGTTCTAGTAGCCGACGAGGACGAGTCTGACGTCGGAGACCCTATGGTTACGACGGAGCCGTAATTCTGGGCTGTTGCCATGGTCGCCAGAACCAGCGCTGCGAGCAGTGGCCGGACCAGCTGGCGCACGAACAGCATTATGGACTGACAGTCAACAGCTTGTTATCAAATGTGGAATTTGCCGTATTTTGGTTATTTCGATTATCAAGGGTGGGAGGAGGGAAAAGGAGAGAGAAAAGGCACTGGGCCGGGGGACAAAGAAACCCATTTCTTCGGACGGGGGTGCGAATCAGGAACTGGTTTCCATTGGGCTGAAAGGACTCGAACATAATTCATTGATAATAATACCTCGACAGGCAGGGTTTTGCGATCGGCAGTCAGAGATACTCCAACTTAAAGCTTGCGCTCACTTCTTAGGGCTTGCCCCGCTGCTTCTTATTCGCGCTATATCTAACGGGGCTCTGAGGACATTAAGAGTGACCTTTCTACATTATTTTGACTTTAATCTTGCTTCGACGGTCAAAACAGCTTCTTCCTACCACTACAACCAAGTTACTAACAGTTAAAACCATTGACAAGTCACCAGCGCTGTCTGTGCGTCGCGAATGGAAGTATTCTGGCCCCCCAACCACAGCTGATTCCGTTTTCTTCTGCAGTCAGCAGCGCCTTGCATAAGGCCATCCGTAGTCGCCGCTTTGTTCCAATAAAAGATTAGTTTCAGCGGCACTAGTTCCAAGTTCCATGGTTTTGGTGGGAGGTCAAAGACATGAGACTTAAAATGTATTTTAACTCGATGTGCCTCCTGGATCAAAGGATCTGAAACGGACCCCGTTGATGAAACATTATTCGAACGCAGGTACCACTACCATTGAGAAATTTCTGTGACCCACGCCTCTCTGACTATTATAGTGCAATAAAAGACACACTTTAGTACATTGTAATGTAGCTCCTGATATCGTAAGATATTTTGACGTTGTACACTTCGATGTGCTGGCCTTGGCCTGTTTTTGTGGGGCTTTTGTACACTTTGAGGCTGATAAACTGCCACATGGGCACCCTCGTATAAGTGCCGAGCCACAGTTGCTGATTTTTCTTCTCATTTTGTCGGCTTAGACCCGATGAAGAAGTCCAGAATAATAATTGAATTATGAGATGACTTCGGTGAGACAGTTGTGAATCATTCCATACGGGATTTCATCTCCTCGGGACCAAAAGACCGCGAGAAGATTTGCACTGAATGTTCCTTAGCCCACGTGAGATACTCCAATAGACGACTGGTGCACCCTCACACAGCTCATCCTACCTCATATTGGCAATTTTCAAAGTAATATATACACTCTCAGCTTCCCCGTAACATCGTCCACCATAGCCATATCCAGTCGATATATAACCAAAACAATGATGTATCTCATCTTTAAACCACACATCACCAGCTTCGTAAGAGGCAACAATAATAGTCTGCCAGTCTCCCCGCTGATCGATTGACTCCATCGCATTTGAAAGAGTCTTACGGTCAACCGCAAGAACGTTGTCTGGAGGCGAGTGGTTGGCGAACTCTCCGCATTCAAAGTATGCTATCAATCCCTGCATATCCGGTGACACCAGTCAATGTGACACATCAACCCACACGAACTGCTCATCGGTCACACCGCTGAAGAATTCCGATCGGATCTTGCGTAGCTCAGTTGGGGTCATCTTTTCCAATACGAAAATGACGCTTATGTCGAGACTGCCCGCAATATCATCAGGGATGACGATTGGCTCCCCGCCAAAGACATTCAGCTCGCACATGGCGGGATTATATTTTGTATGGGCCTCTTGGCATGTTTGGTGGAAAATGGATCTCTGGATTCCGGGCTGCGTCCGTAAAACCCTTAATTTTTTAGATGGTAGAGACTGATCTCTGGATTGCTAGCATCCGAGTTCGAGAAGTTCGAACAGCTGGCTCCTTTTGCATCGCCGATATGGTAGCCTTCTAGGCCTTCGTCAATGAAAAGTGCGAAGACCTGGCAGTTCCCTTCGTGGCAAATCTTCAGCGCTTGAAACATTCCGTACAGTTGGGCTGTGGAACATGGCTCTCGGTTTTCTGGCCGGTTGTGTATGATTATTGACAGCCGATCATCGACTCAAGGTTGACTTGTACTGCTGCTGAGATATGCACGAGAGAGATAAGAGTTGAGGTGGATGGCTCGAGGCTTAGTCCAGAGAGGTGGGATGGAAGCACGCCATTTGTTGTCTTGTACCTAGTTCAGCACCATCCAGCTATTCTAGAGCTGTAGCTGCTTACAGATTCAGCCGTTTCCTCTTTTGGCTCTGGTGTAATTCGAGTATTCTCTGATGACAGTTCGCCTTAAAGTAGCAACTCCTAGCAGCAGATTGGTACGGCCGATTGTGTGATAACCGCCGTGTGATCTACCCGGGGCTGATCATCAATAAAGTTTTGAAAGTATGAACTATAGCCTAAGATTGATCGTGGTTCCGCCACATCGCCTGTTCTAGGTTAGTTTTGTGAATGGTGTTACGAGGAACTGGATCGGAACTGTGACCCGATGATCATTGTGGGGGTGAGGAGGGAGGAGCTAGGAGAGATTTAGATACGTTGTTATGTTCATATAGCGTATTTTTAGGCGGGCGAACTTACCTCGTGGAACGGGGGAATGGCTCGGTTTCCCGCTTGCTTATATACGAAATAGCTATACCGGTATCTTAAATTATAAGGGCTGTGACATAATTTGGGAGGATAGAACAAGAATGTCCCTAGAAGAACAAAGAGAAAGTCTCGGGAAATGCGGAAAGAGAGAGACGCCGAGCATATATAAAGACCAAAGAACAAAGGGTGCAAAGGTAGGTATGAGGTTAACATGACCGAGAAGGTTAAGGTCTATGCAAGTGTGGGGAATTCGGGCATTAGCCATGTCTCTAGATAAAGGCTTGTTATGTTTAACCACAACCAATAATATTATATGATTTAAATAGAATATATATATCCTAGGGAAAGGGATATAGAGGAATAGAAAAAAACATAATATATAATAAAAAAAGGACCTAGCTGTAATTTGTCTAGAAAAGCACAGGCGAACCGAAAATGGCGGGTGGAGAACGGTGCAGCAAGTATGCCGTGTTGGAACTGCAAATGTCGGCCTGGCTCTTAGGACGACAAATGCAGATGCCAGCCGAATCGGAAGTAATGGTGACATTGACACTAATGATGTAGGCCATGGCGAAGAAAGTGGCTAGGCCGGCGCGGATCTCCGTAAAGAAGAAACTGCCTTTGCGCTCGCGAGGCTTCTATAGTCAGTCCAACTGAATAGAAATACGAACATGAGCCGAGTTTTCCAGAAGGAACCAGCGCCCGATGGGGCTGCGAGCCGCCTAGGGATTGGTTTGATGCACCCAGTTGTACATGGCGAATATCGAAAGAGAGAAGGAGAAATCTTATCCTGGTGACGGAAAGGACCGCGGGTGTTATCCATGAAGACTCTCTAAGTCCTTATCATCTCGGCGAGTGAGTCCACCGGAAGCAAAATCACTGAAAAGCTATTCATGAATGGAAGCGGACCATAGTTGTCACAGACGCCTATGAGAGGCGGAGGCTGCCGATGCCGCTGCGCCTTATCTGCTAACTGCTTGGCGGACGTTTTTGTTCACTTGGCATGATCAAAACCTTACATGAAGCTCTACCAATTTAGCAGAGCTCTAAGACTGATCAGTCGCCACAGACCCGGATAAGGCGTCAGACTCGTCCAAACCCGATACAACGCCGTAAACAAATGAAAGAAGAATATTTTCAGTAATGGATACCTTGGATATATTCCAAGGGAAAACCGGGGTAAATGAGATCACGACCACTAAAGCTTACGTGTCGCAGTTTTACATTGTTAAAGCCTTCTAAGGGTAACTTGTGCTACTATTATCTGAATCTCTAGGCTGCTTAGTAAGTGGTAAAAGCCAATCCGTAAATGCTTGCGGTCGTTATGATCCAGACAGTTCACCGGAAGATAAAAATCCATCAAATTACATGGCAGCGATATATCCTGAAATGCAATTAGACTATCATCGGAATTCGCCGATATCTGGAGCTTCGCGGTCAGCTTCGGGAAACCGAGAAGCAGACGTAGATCGGGTAAGGTACGGATTGTTATTCGGGCTAATCTAACCTTGTTTTTATGAGACTCGGGATCGCGAAGACAAGCAACGATAATCGGGCGGTACCGATGATAAGCACCGAGCAGTCAATCTACATGCCAAGCAAGGCACTGCCAGCGAATGCAATGAACACTATAAATACTCATGAAAATCGCCGACGTGAAGGATTCAAGTATTTACCACCATGGAGTCATACCTTTCAAACCTCTTCTGCGCCTTTGTGGGCGCGCTTGCTCTCGCGGTCCTCACTACAGCGAACCCGGTAGCGCTCGACGTCGGTTCATGCCAACATGCCACGACTGTCACCGCTACGGCTACGATCGCTCCAACGGCGTCTGCAAGCACAACTTCATCTCTTGCAACCGCAAGCCCGGGTACACCCCTCTCTCCAAAGGTTCTTCTTATCGCCAATACATTCGAGTTTGGCTATCTTGAGGAGTACAACTTTACGACTGTATACACCGGCGACTTGTTTGAGCAACTCTTAGCCTGCACCACCGATGGTACCGTTTGCAAGCTCGCCTGTGGACAAGAGCTAGTCTCGGCGTCGCAGATCACTTCCCTTTTGTTGATTCCCGGACTCGATCTCAGGAAGACTTACATCATTGTCACTGGTACCGGGGGCGTAAATCCCAAATATGGTACTGCCGGTGGAGCTGCTATTAGTACATTTGGAATCCAATGGGAATGGGGCAACATGTTTCTGGGGACCGACCTACCGGCCAATTTCTCAGGACAATACTTCTCTTCATATGCGCAGGATGCGCCATTCAAGTACCCTTTTACCGTTGGGACGGAGGTGTATAAGCTCAACGAGGCTCTTGTTGATCGCTTCTACAGTGTCGGTAGCAAGGTCACATACGAGGATGTTTCTGAAGCTTCGCAAAAGCTCCGGACCACTTATATTTATGATGCAGCAAAACAGGCGCCGTTCCTGGCAAGATGCGACACCGTTTCTGCACAGACATATTGGCATGGGAACGTGGCGGGGGAGAACGTTGAGTACTACTCCGCTGTTGTTACAACTGGCAAGGCACGCCCTTGCAATACCAACCAGGACGATCAAGGAAGGTTGGTAGCTCTATTTTTGGGCGCGGTCCACAAGAAGATCGACTTTGGAAGAATTTCAATGATCAAGGCTTTCAGCAATTTCGACCGACCTCCTCCCCAGTTGACGGCTTATCAATCTCGCTTTTATGTCGGAGAAGGTGCGACAGAGCCTGGTCTGAGGAATTCGTGGAAGACAATTGTGGCGGTTGTGGATGACGTGCTAGACAACTGGGAGACTATATTCGAGGCTGGCATCAAGCCAAATACATATATGGGTGATTTGAGAGAGAGACTTGGCGGAACCTCTGACTTTGGAACAACAGCCGGTGCCGCTGGTGGGTCAGTACAGGGCGCTTAGTCACTGGTTTTCTCGATGGGTGGGAATGACTTTTATTGTCTACACAATGAAGATAGCACACGCATTAATGTGAGGATAACCGATGTGGGTGGTGTCGAGTCCATCAATCAACGGATTTCGACCAGACACCGCACCGCAGCTTGGGGACGATCTGCCCATTCCTCGTCGACGGTGCTGAGATTGATACTCATTTCAACTCGCTCCGTGTCTTCCATGGGACAGATGAAGACCACATGCCATGTTGGAGGGACACGATTGTCCATTCGGGATGTTGAGTAAATATTGGGGAACAGCCATGCTGGAGGCGTCGGGTCTGCCATTTTGTGTAGTAAGCCAAAATATGTCAGAATGAATACTTCGCGGGGTTGACTCAGAGATCCACCACGATTAGGGGCCCTTTGTTCGAGGCACAAGGGTTAAGCAATATTGGTACCTCGAGCCATAAGCATGGATTGGGTTAACTAGAAAGTAGATTCTCTACAGAACGTACTTTTGCATGGTATGCTTTATATGTAGAATTAGTCTCGGCCTCAGCCCTATGTATACTAGCTTTAGTTCAGTTTCCAGTGATACTGTCCCTATTTATCCTCAATTTTAATAATAACTTCGTCTGGCATAGGCTTCCGAGCCCAAACCCGTTTTCTGGTGAAATGTCAGCATAGAACTTCAGAATATGAACTGTTCACTCACACTGTATGGTAAAGGTGGTACCGGGGATCCGTCAACTCCTTCCTCACTCGGGCCAAGTGAACATGGACCTCCTCCTTCGACCAGCTAGTCGGACTCCCAAATTTCGTGAACAGATACATTGAATACCCTTCCATGCCTGTCAACCAGTGCGCCTGATTGACAGATCCTGCCTCCTTAAGCTGCTTATCCCTGGGCCATGGCCCAACCGGCCACTTTACTTCTTCCACGTGTACATCGACAAAGCCAGACTGTTTGATCAGACTTGGAAAGCGGTGATAGAGGTCAAGAGGTCTTCTAGACTTTGCCGCAGCGGTCATCATCAATCTTTCCCAGTCTTTGAGGTGGCATTGTTCCGGCCAGCTATTATCTTCACTGTGGAACTTGTGTGATAACTCGAGCTGCTCGATCCAACCACCGGGTCGAAGATTACTATAAGCTTATCAGTGTTTGTCTTTTCATGTCTTGGGCGAGTGCATACTCGTAACATTGCTGATATAGTTGTGCATTCTCTTCAGGCGTAAAAGCGGCATCCAAAAAACGCATGTGGATGAGATCGAAGGGCTGTTGCCATGTCCAGGGTTGGAGGATGTCGTCCACCTCAAGGACGCAATTTGGCGGCATCCATTTTATCGGCGGAGGGAATAGGTCCACTCCTCGGACAGTGGCTATCAAAGTCAAACCCATGTCACAGGGCTGTGATTTCTCTCATCGGTCTTACCTGTAGGAAATAAATCTGCAACATCACTTCTCTCATATCAGCAAACAATGATTAAAGGACCGCTGTCGCAGCTCACACTACCCATGACCCCTTTCCAGTTCCGATATCGAGGACGTGTTTTAGATCTTTCCCCCCGACGGGTGATCGAAAGAGCGGGTTATCCCGGTGTGAATCCATCGTTAATGCTGTGATGTGTCTAGGTAGATTTCAGTAAGAGTTTTCGAAAGCAGGTAGGGGGTTTTGTGATAATACCCAGCTTCATATGCCTCGAACTGTTGATCATCGGAAGGAACACTGGGATTCAGTTAGACTGGCCATGATAGCCGCGGCGCTGGAATAAATACTAGGATTCCTCCCTTAAGGTCTGATATCTAAAACTATGTCAGTTGATTTTATAAGCCATGTAGGATGGTAAAAGCCGCGCACCTCCGCCCATTTTCGTAATAGCCTCGATATAGGGAGGAAGCAATAGATGTTGTTTCGCTAGCATGAGTTGTTAGTTAGGCTGGACTGCATCACGATAGCAGCAAACCAACGATTTCCAATCATCCGGAACAAAGCTTTCGTTCACAGCATATATGTCCGGATCCTGGTGCGAACATTAGCGGTCGAAAGGGGAGTAAGGGGTACAAGACGGGTCGCAAACGCACAGGCACAAGGCCTTTGTCCTTCATGTTGCAGTGCAGGGCTCTGAGGAACGATATCTCGAGCAGAAAGATGATGTTAGAAGTCGACAGGTGAAAGGAACCAATTTCAATGAAAGCCGTTAACATTCCGTAGGCAAATCAGAAAACGGGCCGAAGTGCCCCGCTAAACATTATACGCTCCAATGATGCGAATGTCGGTCGCTGCTTTTCCCTTGATAACGTCCAAGCGGGGCTGACTCAGTTTCTTCAATCAAAAGTTCTAAATTCTATCCTCCATTCGTCCATCCTGGTCTCATCTTTTGGGGATTCGTCTTACCTTCACCGTAAGTCGATCCTTAGCGTGCAACAAAGATTTCAGATAAAAATCCTTTTCACTCATAGGAAATGCAAATGTCTCATGATTTCAAACGCCAAGGGTCCTGCACCCCGCTGTGTCACACCCATTCCGACTCGGTGCAGATGAACCTTCTCGGCAGGAATACGCTATTCGACTGGATGATATTGCGGGATCAAACCCCTACCAGGTCTAGCAACACTTACGAATTCCAATATCGGTGAAACAACCACATGGCCAACAATAGAATTTTCTGCACATTCAACGGGCGTGCATTAAGTCGATCCACTAACCTAAAAGGAGGCGAACAGGGCGCTATACAATGCCACGTGGATTCTCCGCCCTACGAACCAATAATTGCCATCCCCGTCCTCTGTCCCCAGCTTTTGGTGACTCCTATTATGGTCATGCGACAGTGGAATTTTTGCCTGTATGATGTATTTGCAGGTTGCAATAATAGCAACTTCTGGCAACATGGTCATGACTAAGTAAGCCGTGGGGTTACCCTTGATCGCGTCGAAATCCATGTCGCCAGTGATTATGAAAATGAGCGTATATGCAAGACGCACCGCCAAAAGCGGAACGCACGCGGCCTCGGCCGTTATGCCCCACCGTTCCTCTTTGGGAAGGTACCCTCGGCGGAGTCCGAACGCCACAAAGACTCCTACCATGTATAGATATATCACCGCTAGCGCCGTGCTGGCTTGGCTGTATGGAGTCGGAAGGAGGGGATGTCCGACATGCATGACAGTCACCCAGCCACCAATCGAAATGCCGATGTCAATCCAGGTTAGGATTGACGGGAGGAGGAAAAGGCGTTTTCGAAGGATCGGAAGTATTCTGTTTATGGTTAGGGCCGTTTACTCAAAAATAGCGTAATGACATACGCTCCTAGTAGAATCCCCAGGAGATCAATATCATGCCCAGTGATTTGCAGACAAAATATAGCTGCCGAAGGACCACGGCTTGACAGAGTCACTGTTCATCGCGGCCAACTTGCAAATTGCACCAATCAGACGCAATAGACAGAATAATCCATTGTAAAACCACCCTATTCGGACCGTGTATTGAAGTACACAGCGAACAATGAAGAGTGGGGAGAACGCAACGATCTGAGCAATGGATATACCGGCCATGGTGATAATGGTGCAAATAAGGTTTAAGAGTTTAGCTGATTGTAGCTCAATTCGCAAATAGAAGGTTTTGCTAGTTGAAGATAGCTGAATATATTCTCGCTGCGCAACGTTACTGACAGAAAGCGGCAAACTTGAAAGGATCTTCAGGAAACAACCGAGAGCTACGATCCCCCTGGACATGGTGGATAATATTTCCTCCTTGTAAACCTAATCTGCAAATTTTACAGCTTGATCGACACTCCAGCTCGCATGTACCGTATACAGCAAGAGCCTTGGTACAAGCCAAGGACTAACTTGGTTAGGTATAGCGCGCGAGCTCTACAGACTGTTATCTAGCCGTTGAGCGAAATGTCATCTTGACTGTTGCCTGTTGCAGCATAGGTGTGCATTTTCACATCTTACGAAAAGGAATCTGATAGCTCAGCCATATATTGATCAACATCGTAATGGGTGAGTTTCTGGTATGTGGAGAACATTGCTGAGTTGATGCGTAACACAAATGACCGCAAACTCGCACTGCAAACAGAATCTGGATACTTTATTTTTTGGCTCTATCTTATGGCTGTGTCCTCCAAGATAATTATATCATGTAGCGAGAGGAACTGCATACCAAACTGAGAATGCTAAGCTGTAGATGATTCGTTGCCTGTATTCCAAGGTGTTCAATTTTTCCTAAGCTCCTCAAATCTAGTTTCCTTTAAAAAATCGGTTTGAAGAGGGGCCAACTGGTGAGTGAACCAAAAACTTAGCGACGATGTTGCTGCTTTCTTTGGAGAATTGCTCTGTGCTGAGTTCTTGGCGTCAAGGTATACGAAGCGGACCTTTAAGAGAAGTAATCTGGGCACAATTCATATCCCTCCTTGCTGGAAATCTTGCGCGCTCACACACCGTGATCTTTTATTGCACAGTTATGATATTTTTCTTTGTTTTAAAAAGAGATTTACTACGTTGGGAGGGAGGGGTTGACGGGAGAAGAAGAAAAAAAAAAAAAGATGGACCAGGGCGGGCTTGAACCACCAACCTTCATGATAATTTCCACCGAAATGGAGTATTACATAAGCATGATGCGCTCACCAATTGCGCCACAGGTCCGTCGGATGCTCCATAATTCACAATTGGTATTCCTGTATCTGAGAGTCTCCGGCCTATATGAGAAGTTTCAGAGATCCACTTAACATTTTGCACAAGGATTGTCCTTGTCCGCCTTCGACAAGAAGTTGAGGTAAAGGTCAATAACGCAGCAACAATACTGCCATTTCATATGTGGCCATAACCTTCGTTCGATATATATGATCAATAGATAGAAAGGGGAACCGACAAGTGAGAGGTGTGAAAAAGAAGGAAAAGTTTGGGAGAAATTTTACGGCTCGTGAATTTACAAAGGGTTAATTACAAACAGTGCAAACATATTTTGCCTCATCTCAGCTTTGCTTAATGTTGTGAAGGGTGTTATAATACGATCCTTGTAAGAGTAGTAGAAATATGTACTGAGTATTATATATACCTCCTATATACGAAATGAAACTTTCGTCGCTTTGCAACGGTGATACCCTTGCGTCTCAATATTTTGCGGAGATTCGTTTTTACTCAAACATCTAGCAGCAAGCATCGCAGCTTTCATATGTATGCTCTATATTCATACGACATATAACGTCGTGGGAATATATCCAACCTTTGTTACTTAGACAGTTCTAATCAGCGTCTCCAGGTAACTCTGGGCATGTTCCACATCACTCAAAGACACAATAACACCAATGTAACCATCAGGCCGGACAACTGCCACAGCACCGGCGGCAGGGTTGACACCATAAATACCATAAACATCATCCATCTCATATCCACTGTAGAATGCCATCTCAGAATGCTCTTTTACCTCCCGAGGGATGTCGTTCCACATGAATTCTCTTGACAGACGAGGATGGATAACCACTTGCTCCACGACAGATTTCGGAAATCGCGAGATAGTACCACTCAGAGCGGTAAGTGCTTTTGCTGAATGGCCCTTGGGATCTAAGAGATCCGATGACGTAAGGCATAGAATTCGGAAACGGCCAATTGAAGTGAAATCTATACAACCTAGTTAGGGCCGGACAGCTGAGATTGAGTTCTATATTACTTACCGTCTTGCAAATCCCGGCGGAATCCATCTGCATGTCGCACCAAACGCACGTTCAATAGTCTTCGTCCCGGCCGGAGATTACCAGATAGATAATCTGTGCCACTGATGGGATTTTGATCTACGTTAACACGTCGGTTAACCGTCAGATTCTCGGGATATTCAACACCGCAGCCACTGGTGAACCCATTGCCGCGGCTAAACACCTCGAGGAATTCATCATGGGTGAGACCGCCATCTTCAGCACCGATCTTGCCCGAGAACATGGATGAGAAGGCTTTGTCGAATTCGATGAGCTGATGCGCGATGGTATGTCTTTCCTGGTGATACGTGTCGAGGATTGGATCTGCTTGTCCGCTGGGGGGTGTAGGCGTGAGTCCGTTAATGGAATAGGCAAGCTTCCAGGCTAGGTTGTATGAGTCCATCATTGACACATTCATTCCTTGGCCGGCCTAGTTAAGTGATGGTCAGCAAAAGCACTATGCGCAGGCATTGTGCATATACTATCTCACCTTCGGGCTATGGGTATGACAGGCTATTTCTTCTGGTCAGCAAAAATGGTTTAGACTTCGTGCAGCTAGCCACTTACCATCTCCAACGATGAAGACGCGGTTAACACCCTTACTATCCTTGACAGAAAAGTTGTCCGTAACACGCTGCCCAATCTGATAAGCAGCCCACCAGTCAACCGCCCCATCCTTCTTAGGTCGAATATAGTACGGCTTGAACGCAGCAGCAGCATTCTCGAAAATCGTCTGCTCAGTGACCTGACTCCGGCGCGCCCGTGCATCTGCAACTGGAGGTGTGCCAGTGCCGTGTTCCGGCTGCTGATCACTATCGGGAACGACAGCCCCAGACACTTGCACATACAACCGCGTCAGATAGTCTCCAGTAGCGATACGCTCGCGCGGAATAACCATTACAGATCCCGCCGGCGAGTGGATGGCGCATCGCCGTCTGATATCTGGGAAATCAGTATCGACAACTAGGTCTACGACGCCCCAGATGTGATCGCTTGATTCGCCTTCAAGCTTCAGCCCCATGCTGCGTCGAACTGCTGAGTGCGCTCCATCTGCGCCGACCAGATATTTTGTTCGCAAGATGCGTCTCTGGCCTTCTGTCTCGATCTCTGCTACAACGGGGAATTCTGCGTCGCCATCTTCGTTGATGGTGACTTCGATAAGCTTGGTGTTTCGCTGAACACCTCGTTTGGAATAGCGTAGCAAGTCTGTCTCCAGGATACGTTCAATGCGCCCCTGGTGGATGGTAACCTCATGTGGAAATCGTGCGGGTACAGCGACATCCGGCACAATGGATGTGCGCTCAATGATTTTATCTTTGTCTTCGGATGGATTCCAGAAGGCGACCTCGGATAATGTTAGTTGAAACTCAAATGCGAGTGAATGAAAAACCTACCTGCCACATCTGACACCCTTCGCAGAGAATTTCATCTGCCAGGCCTAGAGACTTCAATGTTTCCAGTGTGCGAGGTTGAAGCCCGTCCGCCTGTCCCGACTTCAAAGTTGTGGATTTTGAATCTATACATAGCAGGGAGTCGTCGCTCAGTCCATAACGAGCCAAAAGTAAGTTCAGCATTAACCCCGCGGGGCCTGCTCCCACAACTACCACTTCATACTTCTCTGTTGTTGCTGGTGATAGCAGCGGAGTGAGGCGTGGCAACGGTGGAGCAAATGAAGGGAGAACGCGTAGCTCCCGCGACGCAGCCGAATGTTCAGTAAAGACAGGCATAGCTGTCCATTCAAGTAAGAGACAATTGGGAATCGGAGAAGTCAAGTGGTCTCCGAGGTCTTATAGTAGTCGGCAACTGAATCCTGTAATATACAATACAGGGGATAATAGCTTCATGGTGGGGTATCGAGGGGGAAAGCCGACGTTGTGGAGCGGGTTTGGCCACTCATAACGAGCAATGTGGATTGGTGAGATTCAGGTAATCAAAAGTAATCTGCCGTACACGTAACTTAGTTTGCAAAGTCACTTGATTTATTTCCGTAGGGTTGAGTGCTATTTCCGCTTCCCCGGGGATCTGCTCGTTTTAATAGGCGCCCGAAAATACCTGTTAATTATTCATCGCTTGATTGGTGGAGCGGGTCAAGGTACATTTGAGGTCCAGAATCTATGACTGCGAGAATCTCATAATGGGAGTTCAGTACGGGCAAGAAGACCTAAGGTAGATGCCTTACATGACAAGGAGTAAATTTTGGCTTTGCTTGCAGATAGATTTGTACATCAACGGTGGCTGAGAAGCGGGAATACACTTCCCCAGAAACCCTGGGTTGACCAGAGACACATTCCCTACTCGAGACATAACAACTGCAATCCGAGGCTGTCACATCAGGATCTTGGTAGATCATGGCTTAAACGCACTATATGGTCTTTCAGCTTTCTCCTTTCATGTTTGGAGAAATCGGTTCCTAAAGAAAGGGCAGTTGGAGACCTACCAAATTTCCTACACAGTCGCCCTGGCCTCTACAGCACAGGAATGTACCGCCATTGCAGGTTTGTCCCCTCTGGGAACATCCAGCTCTTGCTTCCAGGTTTGGACTCGCTTCGGCCGCTGCAAAGGCAGCCAGTACAAGCAGAGCAATGGAAAACTTCATGTTTGACGAATTGAATTGTAAGGGTTTTTATGGATTGATTTGCGAGATTTGAAAAGACAATGGTTATCGGGATTTAGGATGAGTGGTTAAGGAATTAAATATGCACTGCGGGTGACTGGTTTATATAGAACCGCTGCTATCTTGATTATTTGCCTTGGACGTGCATTATCGTCCCACTCTCAAGCATGAATGCTAGAATTCCTTAAAAATACCTTGAGAAAATTGATTGGCTATAAAATTGGGGTTACATTGCAGTAATCTGATCAGTTGACGCTGTAAGGCCCCCAAGTTGGAACAGAAGGCAGCTCGCAAGATTGCAAAATCTTCGGCTCACACAGCAGAATCTCTGGGTGGATCATTTTTAGCGAACGTTTAATGGACATCAGTGGGTGTCATTCCTACAGATTTAAACCGATGCACAGGCCTACACGAGACGTTGGGGCGGAAACTTCATTGGCACACTCGGTAATTTCATAGCAAGTGCGATGGGCTGAGAAGCTGTTATCTAGACACTATGACCAAGAATCGAAAACCTATAAATTGGAAGCATTCTATCACCAGTAATGCTTCAGAATCAATCCTCACTTCCCCAAATCCTCAACCATAACTTCTTATCAAAACCACAAATCCGACCAACCATTCAAAATGCGTTTCTACATGGTGACCATTGCAACTTTCATTGGCCTGGCACTTGCCTCGCCTGTCGAGGTTGACAAGAGAGTGGTGGGTTATTTCCCTTAAACGGGAAATGGCGAAGCTAACATACCTGCACCCACAGCCAACCAACAATTGTTTCACCCTTTGCAGAATCAACGGTGGAGTAGGTATTTTGCTTGCGTAACTTTAACTTTTGGCTAACAATATCAATCATAATAGAGTGGAGAGGAGTGTCTGAAGAAATGCGCTGGAAACTAAGAGCCAGCGCAATTTCAAAGAAGAGAGGACAATTCCCCGTTGGTAGCCAAGATGGGTCTTACACCTGATATTGACCAATCGAGTTGGCGATTTGTTTTATGAACACGCGCGTATGGATCCAGAGATTTTGGAGAGTTGGTAGACGAATCTATTTCGCTGGTGATTATGACTGATAGTATCAATTCACATTCGGTGGTTATTTAAATTTTCTGCAGTAGAGGTCAGCTGTACTGCACATGTATTCTAGGTGGTCTAAATTGGTTCTTCTCTAAGAAGATCATCTCTATTGTTCCCTTTTTTGCCTGAAACTTTCCAGTTACACAGTATTCTTGATTTGGGATCCAATCCATTCCGCTGGCTCACGCATGCTGTTGTCATCTGTTAGCTACAAGACACATTAGACCAAATGGTACGTAAAGGAAACCCAGGGTTACATGCGTTGCGCAGCCTTCCTCGCGGGACGGGGCGGAATATACGGGAGATCGACACGTCCGTCTGCGTGACTGGGCAACCTTTTTACCTGAGAAATGTCGGGAAACAATATTTCATACGAACCCAACCTCCAAGCTTCTTGGCATATGCATAAAGCTACTAAGCACTGTATTCATATGCAATCTGGGTTCTATTTCTAAAACAGAAGTATGCGGCGCTGGTGTTAAGATAATTTGCCTGTTAGTCTAGATACCCTCAAATTTGACTTTTGCCCACGTTTGACTCCTAGAGCGTCTCAGATCAGAACTAGGGTAAAATATATTACCAGAAAGGAGCCGGAGAAGAGTAAGCACTCTTCATTTGTGCCGACGCGAAAGATATTAATACTTACTTTTGGTTCCCCTCAATTGAAGCTACATGGCGAGGCGCTACTAAGAAACATGCATCTGTGGCTTGAAGCACGGACTTTCCTCTGGCCCCGTTCTAACTAAGGAGGACTCTTATCAGGCCACCTACCTTAGCCGCCGAGCGACATTGGGAACATACTTCGCCTAGTCAAGTTTTCTAGTTCCCCGCGTCTCAAATTTTGTACTTCACGCCGTGCAGAAAAAAGTCAGCGGTGTGATTTATAGCTGCGTAGTACCATCTTACTGCTTCATATTCTATTTAGCTATAATCCATGTGAGGGTTAATTAGGAACTAATAGGGACACATCCTCTATGGTGCTACAAGTCGCAGGTACAGCGTAGTTCTTACGGATGAATGGGGCCTTGTAGTTTGATGTCCGGGTGGCTATAGAAGGCTGAATCTTGGCGAATCTTAACCAATCCCGGAACTCTGCGTTTGGGGGATCGACAAGCTGTAAGGGGTCAGCCGCAAGGGATTATCGCCGTCTCACCAACGGCGCGTGGTTCATAATTCCCGTTTTGTACAACCTGCATATCTCATTAGCCAATATCGAACAATCCTTTGATCCGAGACTAGTAAAAAGGAAATTCCAATTGCTCGACTCTACGCAACCCTTGGTCTTGGCTAAAAACAGCTCACAACGGACTGATAAAATTGAACCAATTCTAGAGTGTTCAATGGTGATCAGGCACCCCGCCGCCAGTATACCCTGGTTGCCTACATGATGACTGTGCCAAGGTCAAGAAACGAAGATTGGTAGTACAGCGTCGGACTCAGAGAAAGCACCGGTGTGACAGTCTTTATCGAAAGTTGTGAGTGGGAGGAAAATTTATAAATGCAACATTCGATTCTGGTGTAAGAATATATTTCTAATCTCAACTTCGCCAATCCAATTTAAAATCTCATATCGAAACTCAAGCTTAATCATGAAGTTTATATCCGTCTCAGTCGCTATTGTCCTCTCGCTCATTACTTTTGTAGCAGCATCTCCTGCTCCTGCTCCTGCACCCGCTGAGATCGTGAAGAGGTGTGAGGTTTTCCACTGTCGCGAGGCAAATCCGTCCGCTTGCTGTTCCGACAAGTTCGGATATTGCAACACGGATACTGCCGAATGCCACTGTGGAAAGGACTGCTTCTAAGAAGTGAAGGTAGGTCGATGAGCAGTATACATATAATGGACTCTGAGATTGACAAGGTATCCTCTAGCAACTCAGCTGTTCAAGCAGTGAACAATAGATCAGCTTGATACAAATGCCAAGAGACAGGTCTTTGATATTGAATGAATTTTCATGATTCCATATTACACGTGGCTTTGTGGAAATTAGAAACGACTATGTGGTTGGATCAGCAACACACGGTTTCTGAGATCTAGGTTATTGAGAGAGGTAATGTCGGACCAGCACGTTCAGTTATTTCCCTTGGCATATATATTCTGCTATTGGCAAGCTATACAACCACTTGGAATTTTCATCATCTTTTCGCAGTAAAGTAGACTATTGGACTACATATCCAACATCCTTGACTAGTAAAGCCGCCAGAGATGACTGAAGCACATTTGGATATGAAAAGCTCCAAACAAGTTGTAATACATTACCTAAATTTCCAGATTGCACATAGAACTAGGAGGGTAATATTTTCTCCTGGTACAAATGGCATAAGCCCTTGTGGGAAAGATTTAACCGCGGCCAGGCTCTCTTGGAGACGTCAAATGATACTAGCTTAAGCGACAATCACAGGAAGAGTCTATAAAATCAAACGATATCCTGCTAAACAGGTACTTCATATTGTGTAGAAAGCATCGACAAGGTTCAGACGAATGTCTGAAAACCGTTACGCATATTAGGAACACTGCCCGTCATAGCTTGGACGGTGCCATTTCCTGTCTTCGAAATGCTAAAGGATATCAAAGTGAACAGTCCATGATGTATATCGCTCTACAGCTAACTAAGGCTATCAATATTGTGACTGGCCAATGAAGTGACAATTCTGACTGCTAAGTCCATGCTCCTATGCCCAAATGACTTATATCGTTTAACGATGCAAATGCATATGAACCATAATATCTAAATACTATGAGTGGCTTCGGGGCATATTGCTCCGGATATTCCTCGGGTACTACTCATGCCTCGAACTTTCCTCGGCTCGAAGACCAACGGGGTAATTCCGCCTCACAGCTTGGACCTGTGCAATAACGCTCTATCGAAAGATAGAATCAGATCTCATAGGATAGGCCAAGACTGTGGCACAAAGTTTCCTATGTGTTACCCCCTCTCCTGTATTCCCGTATAACCGAAGAAACGCCATAGAAGTTGAAAATCGAGCCAATATACTGCTCAATACGAGGCGATCAGACTACTCAAAAATGTGGTTAGTCCCGCAAGCTCAGTCAAAGTATGGAACTGCGGAGACCCCAGCTCCGCTTTCCCGTTGTGGGTGTTGGTTCTGGGGGATTTCCGGCCCACTGACATCAATACACTTCCACCCGCGCCTCCACTTATTAGACGATGGCCGAATCAGTTTGAATTACATGAATCAGGCATATATCCGACAGTAGTGGCGTTCTTGATTGCCAATACGGTCCAAGTAGTCTTGCCAAAGAGTCTCCATTATATGGGCAGTCTCCTCGGCATTGGTGGTCAGCTTCCGCTAGCTAATTGCCGAGGAGACTGGCTGAGAGTGATGGAGGGATATCATAAGTACTAATACCCCCCTAGCTGCAGTTATCGTAGAAGAATTACAGAGAAAAGGACCCCCGTCAAATTTAATCTCCGGAATAACCTTCCATTCGGCGCCTTCTCACTGTTGCTTTTTCCATACCTGCCCTCAAGTTGCATAATGTTCAGGCGGCTTTCAAACGTCTTTGGTGCGGACTCCAAGTCCGTCAAGACATCATCCCAGGAGATACAACAGTCGGCTAGTCAAGCCTCACAATGGGTTGTGCAAGATCGGTCCATCGATGAAGCTCGTCCACTGAGAGTAGTCGTCATTGGCGCTGGTATCTCTGGAATTCTTGCATGCATTCGATTCGCTCAAAGGATCCCGAACATCGACCTCTGCATATATGAGAAAAATGCAGATATTGGTGGCACATGGTTCGAGAACCGATATCCGGGGTGCGCCTGTGGTGAGTGCAGTACAAATGAAGCTCCGTGCAGCTACTTGCATTGTTGGACCACCTTAACTGACAAAGCGCGTGTCATGTAGATATCCCAGCACATACATATCAAGCCACCTTCGAGCCGAATAAGGAATGGTCTACCTTTTATGCCAGAGCCCTCGAGATCCACCAGTACTGGAAGCGCGTTGCCGAGAAGTATGGATGCATGAAATATATCAAGTTAAAACAGCAAATCTCCGAAGCTGTTTGGGATGAAGAACATTCAAAGTGGAATTTGCAGGTGATTGGATTGTCTCTAGATGCCAGTTTAGATGCTGATTTGATCTCTAGATCCAAGATGTCGATAGCTCGGCCACATATACAGATCGGTGTGATATTTTGATCCAGGCAACGGGTGCATTGAATGCCTGGAAGTGGCCCAGTATTCCCGGTCTTCATGACTTCAAGGGCAAGCTGATGCACAGTGCCACTTGGGATGAGAGCTATGATTACAAGGTATGTGACCCTTCTTATGGCATGCAGGGTTGCTAAGAACCTGCTAGGGTCAACGCGTCGCAGTTGTCGGTAATGGGTCCAGTGGTATCCAAATTGTTCCTGCACTATTGCCTGATGTGCCTCACATTGACCATTACGTGCGGAGTCGAACATGGCTCTCGCCAACGTTTGCACGAGAGGAAATCGACAAGCGGGGAACGGGCCTGGAGAACTGTAAGATCGATGGACAGACCGTCATAGGTTGGTTCTGACAAGATGCAGTTTCCTTTACCCCCGAGGAGATTGCAACGTTCAAGAAGGATCATCAGGCGTATCAGAAATTCCGCAAAGGTATGCATAAACTTTTGGAGGCATGGTATAGGGGCAGGTAGCTAACATTTGGAATAGCCGTCGAACTCGAACTGCAGTCTATTCATGGAGCCACTCTTAATGGAAATCCGATGCAGATCGGCGCGCAAGAGACGTTCGTGCAGAATATGAAGCGGCGTCTGGCCAATAAGCCTGAGCTAGCAGACGAGCTCATCCCTGCTTTCCCGCCGGCGTGCCGTCGTCTTACCCCTGGGCCAGGGTATCTAGAAGCCTTGACAGATGATAAGGTTGACATTGTCACATCAAATATTATCAAGGTAGACGAAACCGGGATAGTGACTGCGGATGGACAACATCGACCAGTTGATATGCTCGTCTGTGCGACAGGATTTGATACCTCCTGTACTCCCCGGTTCACAATCAAAGGCCGGGGAGGTATTACTCTGTCGGAACGGTGGAAGGAAACACCCGAGAACTATCTATCAGTCGCGACCGATGGATTCCCAAATTATTTCATTTCTCTCGGCCCTAATGCGGGCTTAGGCGAGGGAAACCTTCTAGTCGTGATCGAGAAGTCAGTGGATTACTTCACCGAATGCGTGCTCAAGATGCAGAGGGACAATATTCGGGCCATGAGTGTCCGCCGAGAGGCAGTCCGGCGTTTTACCAAGTACTGCGATCAGTATTTTTCGGGCACGGTATTCAGCGGCAAGTGTCGCAGCTGGTATAAAGGAGGTACTGATGATGGTCGGGTGACTGCTCTCTGGCCAGGTACGTGCTCTTCAGCCACCTTAACTGGGCGGGGCTAACTCATTGCAGGTTCATCACTGCACTCGATCAAGGCGTTTGCTAATCCCCGATGGGAGGACTTTGAATATGAGTATGTCGATGACAATGCCTCCGGTTGGCTTGGAGATGGCTGGACTGAGAACGAGAAGAACAATGTGATCAATGTAGATTACCTGGACGATGAGCAGATCGACTTTCCTCTTCCAGCCGTGGTCCACTCATAGTTTGGGGGCGATAAACCCAGGATATAGTATAACAGTCAATGTCACTTATCAAATACTGAATGAAGCTTGAAAGTGCAATAAATCACCAACTTGTTGAGAAAGCATAGGTGAAGGAGAGGTGAAGAAATGGTTGCTAAGTAGGGAAGTTGACGGGAAGCGGATAGCACGGTCGTGACCATACCATACCATATTGGTAATATTTGCAAGTACCTTCACGCCATCTGCAGGCCCATAGGTACCTTGTCCCAATACTGTGACAATACACATACTCAACTTTTCACCTCTCCCCAGACTCCAACCTCTTGCTACCCCGGACTCTTTCCGATGTCCCATCATGAAGCCGACAGACAAGCACTTTCGCTGCAATATCTGTCAGCGAGGCTTTACCAGGATTGATCACCTCAAGCGGCACCATTTGCGCCGTATGTGCCCCGCACTGCAGTTAAGCCTACCGTACTGATCCTCAACAGATTCCGGACAGAAGCCCTACACCTGCATCTTCTGCAATGACTCGTTCGCACGTTGGTTAGTTAAATTTTCAGGGGACGGACAGCAGGCCCACTAACCTCGGCATTCTAGTGATAATCTTCGCGACCATTACACGGATTGCGCCAGACGCGGGGACCGACAGATCCCCGAAACGGGCCAGAGGGGTAGACGGCGACATGCATGTCAATCGGTGGGTTTGCAATCCGATCAAACCCAACCCTATTAACTGACTCCTTTGCTTCCATAAGTGTACCTCCATGAAATTACGATGCGACGGACAAAGCCCCTGCGGATCGTGCCAAAAACGAAACCTGGCGTGCAACAATGAGCGAACTGCCGGACCGAGTCTTCCTGAGATCGAGGAGGATACAACTGTTGCGCCGATGGGATTGCAACAAGGAACATTTCCGATCCATGCAGGGCCACCAGTGAAACCCCAGATTTATGAAGCACCATCATCGGACCGCGGATCGATTAAGTTCCTACTCAATGGTGGCACGGACAGCTTCACGGAGAACTTTCGACTTCCACCACGCAGCGATCGGGCACGAAGCCTAAACTATCATCATCGCGTCGATATGGAAGAAGCGCAAAGAACTGGGTTTCCATACATTGAGAACGAGCGACCGGAGTATGCTTCTGGATTCGTCAATGCCGACCCTGCCATACCGCTCTCTTTTCCAGATATCTTTCTGGATTTCTTGAACGTTCCCTTCGCGGATGGGGTGAAGCCGACACATGAGTCATACAGCGCCGATGGAATCAACTATGAAGGTGTCGTCCCTCCACAGGCAACTTCTGGTCTCGCTCTACAGGGTGATCAACCCCTGTTCGAACCGGAACGACCGTTTGCTACGGCATTGATACAGGCGATATTGGCACGAGCATGGCAGGCTCCACTCGATGCCAAGGCGCAAGCAGAAGTCACTGCAAACTTGAACTTTTTCTTGACGACGGCACGCATTCGCAAATGCATCTTCCTCTATTTCAAATACTGGCAGCCCAGCTGTGCGTACGTTCACTCTTCGTTCGACCCAGAGACGGCTCCGCTACCTTTATTGGCCGGGGTAGTCTTTATGGGTGCAATGTACAACAGCGACGAGAGGGAGTCCTATATTGCCAAAAGGGTCCTCGACTTCGTGGAGCTTTTTATATTCTCAAGTGATGTCTTCTCGGCCGAGTGCGAGGTGAGCACAATTTTCTCAGGCAATCGGTGCCACGACGGGGAAACAAACGACTGGACCAAGTTCCAGAATCTCCTGGCCGGTGTCATTATTCTCACCGTCCAGTATTGGGCGGAAATCGGGTAGCGCGATATCGCGCATTGGAAACCCGATTCACCGAAATTGTCAAAGTTGCTCGTCGAATGGAGTTGACGAAGACCCGACATGATCCGGTCGATCAAGTCGCAGAACATTTATGGATTCAGAAAGAGTGCCGCATTCGGTTCGTATCCCTGCCGCCCAGGGCCACGGGGGCTACATGTACTTCCCTTACTAAAACCTCTTAGGACTATCTGCATCATCGCACTTCTGGATTCTGCCTTCTTCTTTTACCAGAACTATCCTTGTCGCATCACGCACACCGAGATGGAATGCGACTTACCCTGTCATGAACCTCTCTTTCGCTCTGAGCATCCATTTACGGCGCCAGACTTTCGCTTTTCTCGTGAACTTACTCTGCTTAGTGCTTTTCAAAGTTTATTCCAAGGGACAACTTACGGTACATCTCATCAGAACATGTCTCCCCAAGAGACATCTCAAGATCAATCTCGATTGCACCAATCGAGCTTCCCGGATCTCAGTGTTTTTGACATGTTTTTATTAATACATAGTATGTCATTGCATCCATCAATCCCGCGAGAAATATCACTAGCTGACTTGTCCCTAGTGCTTTTCTCCTTCATCAATACGCACATGACACTCTTAGGGCCCTTTATACGAATGGGCCATGTCAAAAAGTCTATGCAGGATACCACTTTGAGCCCTCATGACAACAGTCCGATCCCGGAAGATTCCATCCTCACAGCCATCCGGGCCGCCCTTAGTCGGTGGCACGAACACTGGGTTGTACTTACCAACCGGGTCTCGCCTGAGGAATGGGCTTTGATGGGCTTTTACAAAAACGCTTACAATTTCTGGCTGGTATCACAGATGCTGATCACTAAAAAGGATGCCGTGGATGTGGTTATGCAAATGGAAGTCAATTGTGAGGATAAGTTGGAGAAGCTGAAGGTTTTGCTGCGCGACGACCAAGACGAAGTATAGTGGTAGGTGGTTATATTCAAAATGTATACATGATAGACATGGATGCACAGGTTGGAGGCGTTCTTTTATTGCATTTACGATGATGGCTTATTTGGATTGGATTGGTATGGGCGCAACGTTGATATATCCTGGGGCGTTCGTGTTCTTAGGTTTTACATGGGTTTCTTTCTGACTTGGTGTTCTCGCTAACACATTACTATATGATTTGAAACTACAAGGTGTGGGGCGGCAGTCAATAATATCATTTTGTATTTATTCCAGAATACTACCGCTCTTCTATGAAATTCTCATGCATATCCCAAGCTAGAAAACATCGCGATATTCTTCCCAGTATCCTCATCCACATACGCCGGTGGCTCTGCAAAAGTAACATGATCCCCATGTAACTCAGCCACTCGACCCGTCAGCGATGTATCTGCTACAAATTGAGCAACGGCATTCGTTGCCGTCGACATGGGTGTCAAAATCATGGACTTGAACAGGGCACTGTCTGGTGCGATGTTCGTTTCTGCTGCACTGTCAGTACGTTTCACTATCCTCATATTTTGTGTCCAAACATACCAATAACAGCCGGCGCCAGTGCATTAATTTGGATTTTCTCCGATTCTAGAGGCTTTGCGAGGGATCTGACTAGCCCTATAACACCTGCCTTTGTTGCTGCGTACATCGGCGCCATTGCAAATGGGTATAAACCGGCATTCGAGGCTGTGCAAACAATCAGCCCTTTAGATTTGGTTGCGGTGTCGGTATTGCGAGACATGTAATGGGTCGCGAGCTTGATAGCTGTTAGCATTTGTTAGCATTGATATCCTGATACTTTTGGGGGCGATGGTTTACATACAATATAAAACTCCAACAAGATTCACATTCAATGTCGACAAGTCTGGTTTAGAAGGCCCCTGATTTTCGTCTCCGAGCTTCTCGGGTAGCAATGTCCCCTTTTCTGTTATACCGGCATTGGCGAATACAATATCTATCCGGCCTTGTTGAGCAAAGACCTTCTGGAATACCTCAGCTTGGCTTTCCCAGGATGAGACATCACATTGCTCGAATGAAATATTGGCAGATGTAAATTCTGCGCGAAGGTCCTCGAGCGTCTGCGCGCCAGTTGTGGGATTGATATCAAGAATTGTTATGTGCGTATTTGGCTCTGTGATAAAGTGCTTGGTTATACCTAGGCCAATTCCGGAGGCACCGCCTAATTGCTGCATTAGTCGAAGGTCTTGTGTGTTTAATGACTGTTTTATGGTTATCATGCTACTTACCGGTGACAATAATGCTTCTGCTGGGTGTCATATTGTACGCAATCAATCTTCGGGCTACAGTTACAGGCAGAGTAGCTGATGACCTTTACCTTATGCAGATACTCAATACCCGAAATTCCTGGAGTTTTCCTACTTACCCCTCGCATCCCCCACATGTGTGGGGAGCCGGGGATTTCCGGCCGGCTTAATACAAGATCAGGCGGTTATCAATGTACCTATGAGCTACACTCTTGAGTCCTCGTATCGAAGGGTTAATCTTTTTACTAATGCTTACCAATAACCCTCGGCCGCATTTCTTGCTTTAGTGCTGCCTCAACCCCGCATGCAGGCCAAAATCGCGGAATTAGAGATCCTGCATATTCAACGCTTGGAATATGAGGATCGGACTCGTGGATTGCATCTTTCTGCTCTTTGGAAACGCATCTCGATCTAGAGCTTGAGCTGCATCAGACCACTCAAAGAGAGTGTAGTCTACAGTCCATTGCAGGCAACCCTGACCTATTCTTTTCAGTAAGCTCCGAATAGCTTGCTCTCGGCTGAGGAATATCATCTCCTCATGCCGAAGGCCTATTTTCGGTTCGGTCCAACTGCCGTTTATCAGGCCAAGGCTCGTAAGAAGTATAGATCAACCTTCCGTTGCCATTCGCTAGCCATAGAATAAAACTTATTCGCTGTTGAGCAACCCCAGGCTTTCAATCTCGCTAATCCTGCAATATGACAGCACAATACGTCAGTCATGTCACCTCTATCTCCTGGGTCTGGTGACAACATCAATGCAGAGATTAACTTAATGTAATCTCAAGGCTGCTTTGCCCACAGTGGGTTCGGACAGCTTTCTGGACACAAAAGCCGACCACGCTTGGATACGAGGACACGCCACGCATCCAGCAAGTGGGTTCAATCATCGACCTGATTACATTCGGAGAAACCCCGTGGGGAACCCCGGATTTCAAGTGGAGTCTGCATGATGGGGCAAGCCCCATCTTGAATTGCAGCTCATTCATTCCGTGTCTGCAAGTTACTAGTCCACCGGAGAGAAAGTCTGATAGGTTTATAAAGGCCATTGATCGTCCTTTATCTATCATCATTTGTCTGCGCCTTGAAAAGGCAATTTTGTTGAACTCATACGCATCTTTCTTCTTTCCGCGTCTCAATCTCAGGCAAGGTTGTTCCTACAGAACTGTAATCTCATTCCCAAGATGCCGCTTGGCATTCTAGACGATGGCAAGCTGGAGCATGTCCCCGGGACAGCTCCATTAAACGATCTCCAAGGCTCCACAAATTACCCAGGCATTGATCCCAGTCTCCTCAAACATGACCCAACTGGCCAAATTGTACTTGTGCCTCAACCCTCCGACTCGTCAAAAGACCCATACAACTGGCCTCGGAAAAAGAAAGAGCTGTTCACAATTACCTATGGCTGGGGTTGTGGATGTGTTGGAGGTAGGACACAGGGATCATTTACTTTGTTTGTTATACGTCCAAATCTAATACTCCCATTATGTAGCGGTTGGCCCTCTTCTAGGAGCTGCGTTTGTTCCCCTTGCCAAAGAATTCGATGTCCCATTGACAACGTTCGTATCTGGTATCCAAGGCGGAACGATCGCCGCTATCGCAATCGGAAGTCTTCTGTTCAACTCTCTCGCCGTCAAATATGGCAAGCGACCAGTCTACCTCGGTACTACAGTCGGCCTTATGGTTTCGTGTTTCTGGGCTGCTGAGGCGAAGAGCTTTCCGTCTCTTGTTGCAGCTCGGGTTGTTTGTGGTTTATGTATGGCACCAATGGAGGCATTGATTCCGGCTTCAATTGCAGACATCTGGTAAGGGTACACCCGGTATGATCTGGCGCGGCGTACCTAATGGCTTGTTAGGTTTGTGCACGAACGAGGCTTCCGAACAGCCATCTTTAACCTTGGTGTTCTGGGTGGAATCAATCTTGCTGTTCCGATTGGTGAGGGATCTCATGGTTCAATATTGCTTCTACATTGACTAATATGGAACCGGAAAGCTGGAGGTATTATCGAGTACGGCTCATATCGCATTGCTCTACATGCCATGGGCAGTGCTTTCGGGCTGGCATTTATCATGATCTTTTTCTGGATGCCAGAGTCTGCATATGCAGGAAGAAATGCTTTGAATATTGACACTGGCAATGAGACTGTAAGTTTTCACTTTTTCGGGCATTGCATCTCATTAATTGGGGGTTTCAGGCTACAATTGAGGGCAAAGAGAACATTGAACAACTTGAGCATGCATCCGGACCCGACTCTACCACGCAAGAATCCGAGCCCATCACCCACTGGTCTAAAGAGCTTCTGCCCTATAGCGGCTACTTAAACCCAATTTCATTTTGGAATACCCTTGTCAGGCCATTCTATCTGCTGGCTTCTCCTGCCGTACTCTGGGCAACGCTTCTATTCACGATTTGCATTTCATGGCTCGTTGCCATTTCTCTCACTCTATCACAGATATTTTCCGCGCCTCCATACAACTTCTCCGTTGGGGCTGTGGGAGCAACAAACATGGCCTCCTTTGTTGCGTCCGTTCTAGGGACAATTGTGGCAGGTCCACTTATTGATGGCGTAGTTACCAGGATGTCGAAAATGAATGGGGGCATATTTGGTACGTGTTTTGCTTCCTGCGCTTTACATTGACTGAGATATTGCAAAATTAGAACCTGAGTTCCGTCTCCCTATCATGGTGACATACCTCTTATTTACGTCAACAGGCTTCTTTGCATGGGGTCAATCCGCATACGCTCAAGATCCATGGGCAGTACCTGTAATCGTATGTCTCGGGCTGATCAACTTCGGTGTTCAGCTTGGGACTACTGGTGTTGTTACATACATCGTGGACTGCCACAGAGAAAAAGCCGGAGAAGCATTTGCTGTGATGAACTTTGTCAAGAATCTGTTCGCATTTGGGTTATCTTTCTATATCAATGACTGGCTTGGCCAACAAGGTATTAGGAAGTGCTTCTTTACTATCGGTGGAATCACTATGGGTGTTACGCTCTTTACCATACCCATGTAAGTTTAACGTTCGACTCTCTTTTTGAGATGGTGTCTACCATATGTGCTGTTGATGCTCATGATTTGGCTGCAGGTATATCTACGGGAAACGTGCTCGAAGCTGGGTCCATCGACATGGATTTGCGGATAGGTTGTGAGAGGAAAACACCCTGGTATTTGTAGAAAGTTGGTTACTGCTCTCTTAGGCAGTATAGTCCATCATCCCCAAAGAAGGTCTAACCTATACCTCCCTTGACGAATACATACTATGGGGTAATTTAGACCTTAGCACATCTTCTTGGCAATCCATCTAACATTAATCCAATCAATATTATATTCATCAAATTCTCTAAGAGGAAGTAGCACAGTTCACATCCAATAAGCTGTCATCGACCTGTAAGAAGAAGATTGTCAGCAAGCTTTTATGGGCAGTTATAGATTAATGGAAAACATACATTTGTGCATGTAAACTGATCATCCCCATCAGGGCTAGTAACATCGATGTTGGTTGCCTTGATATCCGAGCAAACCTGTAGAAAGTCAGATACTGGAATGTATATCTGGGGATTGAAGATGCTCACATTCGGGCTCGAGCAGACAATAGTTCCTACTTTAGGGTCATATTTACCCGAGGTCACGCCATTGAAGTTGGTGAAGAGGATATCTTCGATGACGAGGCTGCTCTATATGGAGTAGTCATTTGTCAGTTACCACACTGTAGAAAGGCATGATCTAGGAAATACGTACGGGGAACTCATTGCAAAGAGTGAGGTTCTTCTGGCCATAGCATTGAGTCACCTCAATCGCATAGTCGACGTTGTCGATGGTCATTCCGTCGTAGGTAATGTTCTTCACGATACCTGATCCACCGCCGCCTTGGAGATCGGTTGAGAGCGCAGAGGCAGTTCCAGGCCAGACTTTGATGCGAGCACCATCCTACGCAAGGAAATTAGACATATAACTCTTTCGCTGATGGCGGTCTCAGAGATTGAACTTACAGATGCGTTGAACATGGAAATATTGTAGACGAGCACATTCTGCACAATATCAATCTCGCCTTCGTATTGACCGAGAGATCCGACGGAAATGCCGTGAGAACCGTTGCAATGAAGGTTCTGAACTAGGATCTCGGTACTGTTGGGCTTGAAAGAGACACAGTCTTCGAAATGGTTAGTCCAAGTTGGCCATGAATAGTGCGAAAGGCTCAACATACCATCTCCATTGTTAATAACAGAGTTCTGAATGACAATATTTGACGAGCGGTAAAGATCCCTAATGACAGCCATTAATAAAACCCCAGGGATTAGAATTTCCAACTTGACATACCATCCATCTGTATTCTTAGCCACATTCTTACTGCTGCTAAATCCCGTGATATCAATTCCATCAAACAGCACATCAGTGGAATTAGCCACGAAGTGGTACCACTGAGGCGAATAGCGAAGCTTGAGAGGACCAATGGTGCCACCCTTCAATCCGATGATACCCATCAGAATGGGACGCAAGATGAGAGCATCCTTTGCATACAGATCATACCAGACCTGACCATTTCCATCGAGGGTACCATCGCCATACATATTGACATCCTCGCCGCCGAGTTGGAAGAACGTCGTGGCATTCTGGTATATCTGCTTGAAAGCATTTGCTTGCCAGTAATCCGTGTCATTGGTGAATTGAACATGGCCCTGGATTTCTATTTGGCCTTCAGTCAGTCGAGGCTCATCAAATATAAGCCATGAGGGTCCACGTGTAGTACATACCCAGATCAACATGCTTGAGGAACGTCATGTCAAGCGCTTTTCCAATGGTATAAGTCTTGTCGGCGTCAAAAATAACCTTTCCGCCATTGTTGCATTTCTTCAATGCGGCGAGAACATTGGCTGAATCGTCCTTTCCATGTCCATGGTTGGCTACATGACAGGTCTTTGTTCTGGCATTGCTAGCGGGAAGAGGCTTGAATGGGTGATTTGGGTGGCATGCATCAGTTCGAGAGTGACTGTGGTCCTTTGCATCTACTATTGAACCGAGAGAGCTGAGCACGCCAATGGCCTGTACCAAGGCGTTTGTGACCTTCATATTGATGAAATGAAAGTCAGGTATAGTATGGGATAGACAAGCGTATCAATTGCGTACCAGGAGCTACCAGGGGGTTGGTCCCCAAGGAATATTAATACTACCTCAACCACCAAAATATTTTTTGACGTCCTCTGCCCTAGCTCGACGGGGTAACGCTAAACAACCCCCTTTGCGGCGTTGTGGTGGGGTAAGTTCATATCGGATGCTTTAGTCCGGGGAAACAAGCCAGCGAGTTGATTGTATGTGGGGATAATGGAGATTGAAGCTAGCATGTGTGGTCAGTTAGCGTCTCTTTAATGGAATAGTTGGGAATTATGGGACGGTGCATTGCGTGGATGCAGCGACTATGTAGATCTGATAGGAGGAACATTTGACGCTATTTCCCCGATTGGGAGGAAAATCCCGGGTAAATTCTGGGGAACCCAGGTCCGAGGTGGATTCTAAAGGTTTCGCTTGATGCTGTTCATCTTGCAAACTAGATCATAGAATGTTTCACGTTGGAAGGGCAAACGACTACTTGGAAATGCGCAGTCTCGCAACTTCCGGCCGTTCAGGGAGATTCAGAACCAATCACCTTAAAATGTATATGTACAATTGGCTGCAATAGAGAAACCAGGTGTCAGCCCAGTGGCAAACAAGCAGTCATCCCAAGCGAGCTAGCTCGATCACAAGATGCGCCCAAAGCTTCCTTCGGCGAGCCAAGAATCTCTATAGATACTGATCTAAGTGCAATCAGGCACACCTCTCCAAACTCTCACACAGCAACACGAAGTCTAGTGCATATTTAAGTGGACTTCTCAACCTTGTCGACAACCTTCTTAGCGGCACCCTCAGCCTGGTCGGCGACAGCCTTGACGGAGGCAACGGCCTCCTGCTCGAGCTCCTTGGCGGCCTCAGCGGAAGAGCCGTCTTGGCTACGCTGCCACAGGAAAATACGGGTAACCTGAACGGCACCGACGCATCCGAGGAAGAAGTTGACAGCGGCAAGCCTGTCGAGTTATGTTGGATTAGCATTTGTACCGAATGTTTCCGTTGTCGGGACACACATACAGAACGTTACGGGGCTTGATGATCATGCACCAGCGAGTCCAAATGGCACCGGTACCCATGAGGGCGGCATTCTGGGTGAGGGAGAGCTTCTCAGCGGGACGGGCGAAGTCGGAGATACCGGCGATGACGAGGCACCACTATTCGAGATGTCAGCGACGGTGATCGATAAGCATAGCCAAAACCTCAATGATTTGAGTTATTTTCCGGAGACATAGTATGCATAGGAGATAATGGGAGGAAAGAGGCGGCATATCAGATAGCAAAGCGAGTCATGGTACCTTCATAACGGGAGCCCTGCGATAACAACGTTAGCATCCATTCGTAGCCCAAAACATAGACCAAAGCTTCGCTGGTGCTTTCCACTTACCAGAAATGGACAGTCTTCACACCGACAGGGCTGTTCCACATGCGCTGGAAGGTGCTCTGCTGCTCTGCGGCACCGGCTTCGGAGCTCGAGAAGCGGAAGCCCTGGGCACCCGGCCGGCGGAATGACCCGGAGGCATTGCGGAAAGCAAAGCGAGTGTTGTTGAGGAAGCGGAGGCCCACGCGAGAAGACATGGTGATATGCGTGATGTGATCCGGTTTGTGAGAGGAAAGAAGGATGGACGTCCGTGATCGGTGGAAGGGGAGTTTTCCGTCGGAGATCGCAGATGGAGGAAGTCACCACCACAACAGCAAGAGTATAAACGGGACAGTAGACGGACGTTATTCAAACTTTTCCCAAGCAATTGACCGAGAGTAATTAATTATCTCTTCTTTACTGCTGCGATGACGCTGAGAGGTTCTGCTTATGTAACCAGATACCACTAGCCCAATGCAGACTAGCGGGATACGTCTCTGCGCAGCGAATCACCGCCATCGTGAATAATGCACTGCATCAGTTCCTCCCCTCACCTCATACCCTTGACTCTCGCACTTGACAACCCACCATGTCTGGCAAGTACGTCTTCACCCAGGGCCTGAAGGAGCTCCGCTTCCTCTTCTGCCAAACCTCCGAGGCCAGCGCTGCCACAAGGTGCGTACCATCCCGACCGAAGCGAATGGCTCTCGAGTCCATTGATTGACCCCGGGCCGATAGATCCTTCCTGAACCGCGCCTACCCAACCATGAAGAAGCACAACCCCAACACTCCCATCATGATGCGCGAGGCCGCCGGCACCCCGCCTCGGGTGTTTGCTCGATACGGTATGCCAAACCCTCTACGCCTGCCTGTCGGCGATGTAGGCATTCAATTACGGAAGAATTGAGCTAATTGGACTATTTGTTCCTCACAGCCCTCGGAAAGGAGAAGCAAGAAGCCCTGTCCGGTACGTACCGTACCCCCGCCAAACACAGCAATATCAGAATCGGGACTCGGATCCAGAACCAAATACTGACAAGTACCCCATAGGCCTCACGGACGCGCAGATCGAAGATCGCATCACGCAATTGGTGAAGCAGTCGTCATAGCTTCCTTTCCATACCGATTTATCTTATGCCCCAACCGCGTTCCTACCGTTTTACACCCATCTTCTGTACCTATAGATGAAATCGAACCCTCACATTCAAAACAAGTCAATTCCTCCAACCCGGGGGCTATCTAACATTCTATGCTATTCAATTTCTCGAACTATCGAATCACTCTCATAATGAACTAGCATTCTCAACTTTCCCAAACCGGTACTGTGCCCAGCTCATACTACCCTCGGGATAAGTCCACAGCCTCTTACCCAGATCCTCACCAGCAGCACCAGCTCCAATATGAATAGGAAGCAAATGCTCAAAAGAGGGATGAGCCTGGCGCGCATCAGGTCGTTTCAGCAACTCCGCCATAGCCTTCTGCCGCTCATCCGGCGCGGTCGTCACAGCGTCCTTGAGCGCCTCGTCAAAGCTAACAGCGTATGGCATTGGCTTCGAGTTTCCAAATGTAAACCGCAGATCGCGCAGATTGTGCACTGCCATTCCGGATACGATGATCAGGATGTTTTCCTCGCGCAGGCGGGCGACTGCTTGGCCTAGGCGGTAGTGCTGGTCTGGATCTTCGGTGTTGAAGAGGGAGACTTGCACGATGGGGACGTTGAGGGGGTTTGTATCCGGATCGAAGGCTGTACATTGTTCTTGTTAGTATTCCCATTGCATCCCACTCATTTGACATGCATGCTGGGTAGGGAACTGGAATACATACCACACTTGAAACTAGCCCAAACACCATGATCAAGTCCACGCTTCACACCCTCCGCTTGAATGCCCGCATTCTTGAGCGAATCGAGCACTTTATGCGCGACTTCCTTGCTACCGACATTGGGATATTTCTCCTTGTAGTAATGACTCGGGAATCCGTAGAAACTAAACCCCAGTCAGATCAGCAAACAGTCCCAATCACACAATCGACGCCTTCTCAGAAAATACATGTACATACTCATAGATCAAATCCGTGGTTTCGGCTGTATTAACCTGGATGGTATCCTGACTAGCCTGCCAATGCGCTGAGAAAACAACCACAGCGCGTGGCTTGACCTTGGTCGTAATTTCACGTCCGATTTCGGCTAGTTTTCGGTAGGCTGGGTGTTCGACCTCGTACATTACGTTTGGCTGGATGGGATGTTAGCACATACAGTCAACTCTCGCTTATACCACGGTGGGATATTGCACATTCTTGATAATAACACATCCCTTGCTTGGATGGCCCCTTCATTCCAGTTTTTTCCATATAAATTGACAGAATATAACACATTTTGTTTTACCACACTTTCTTCCTCTCAAATCTGCTTAGTCAGCGCAATCAACCAATCAGAATGCCTCAATCTACAAGCTCTCCTACCCTCCCGACCCCACCCAAGCGCGTCAGAATGGGACCAAAGCGTACCAAATTGGGTATATCAGACGCGCAGAAACAGGCACTACGGGCATTTTGGTCTAATACTAGCCCAAAGCCCACGCAGACTGCATGTGCTAAGTGGTTTGAGGACCAATTCAAACAAGTGATTGACCGGTCAACCATATCAAGGATCCTTTCATCCAAATACAATTATCTTGATACGGGCCCTGCAGGGGCAAACAAACGATCTTCATCCTCTCATTGGCCATTATTGGACCAAAAGCTATATGACTGGGCAGATAACCATATTGGCAATGGAATACCAATAAATGGCCCTTTGATCCAAACTAAAGCAGCTGAGCTTTGGAGACAAATACCGGAATACAAAGATCGGACCAAACCTCAATTCTCTGAGGGTTGGTTAACTCGCTTCAAACAACGCCACTCTCTTCAATATCATACTTTCCACGGAGAAGCTGCCTCAGTCCCATCCTCGGTACATGATCAGATCAAAAGCACCAAATCGATTTGCAATCAATTCAAACCGTCCGAAATCTACAATATGGATGAAACTGGCCTATTTTGGCGACGTATGCCAAATGGTGGTCTTTCAAAGGGAAAAATTGCTGGCAAAAAGCTTGATAAAACACGAATCACTATTGTTGTTGCATCAAATGCGGATGGTTCCGATCGAGTCCCTTTATGGTTGATTGGCACAGCAAAAACCCCTCGCGCACTCCGGGGGTTAATTTCCGAGCTCTGGGATGTGTTTGGCGTCACAACAAGGCAGCATGGATGCGTCATGACATTATGGAGGACTGGTTGCGATCTTTCTATGGGCGTATTCCCTTAGATAAGAAAGCTTTGCTCCTTTTAGACAATGCTTCACCACATGTTATTGGACTCCAGCGAGCGCCACCACCACCCCGGATTACGGTTGTTTTTTTGCCAGCAAACGCAACTTCAATTTATCAACCCTTGGACCAAGGTATTATCCAAAACTTGAAGCACCATTATCGGAAGAAATGGATGCGCTATATGATTGCTTTTCTTGATCGTGGGATAGACCCAAAACAAAGAATGAGCATTTATTATACTGTTACCTGGGTAACGCAAGTTTGGAGAACAAGTGTATCAGACCAAACGATTATCAATTGCTTTAAACAAAGTACTTTGATTAGTCCAAAGTCTATACCTATACCTGAGTCCGCGCCCGAGTCCGCACCTGAGTCTGCACTATTTTCCGAGCCCGGATTGAGTGATGAGATTGAAAGTCTATATAATCAAGCAATTGATAAGCTTGGTGATAAAGATATTGTGCCATTTGACGAGTTTTTGAACCCTTCGGACGAAGACATGTTAGAAGATGGGACTGAAGGGCGAGATGAGACCAATGAGCAAGATATATATATTGCCCCAACAACCTCAGAAATTCAGGATATTGACATTGATGGGCCCCCACCTGAGCTTCTGTCTAATTCTGCTATATTGGACAGCCTCCAGGATATCCTACTATGGGTTTGTAGCAAAGAAAAGGGTACCTCGGACCATATTAGACAAATTGAGAGCTTAATCAGCGACTTTGGCAGGATTCAGATTGATGAGAAACGTCAGGTGACTTTGGATCAGATGATGGGATGGAAGACTAAATAGGTATTAGGGCTTAGAGTTAGCTTGTCAAATATTATGTCATCCTCTCACCAAAACACAACTCAATTATACCACGTAATTTGGCTTGGATAGTATGCTGTGGTATAAGCGAGAGTTGACTGTATATGTTTCTTGGGTTTGAAGGTTGGACATGGGGTGTTGTACTCACCCCGCCATGGCTAAGGAAATAAATTGGAGTCTTCGATGAAGACATGGTATCAGATGTTGAGTCCTTAGCTGTCGCCGCAGTAGCTACAGATGCCGAACCCGAACCCGAAACTGCAGCTGAAATAGGTCCGGCTGCGGTACGAGCTGAAGAAGAGAAGAATCGTCGGATGCCAAACAGATTGGCGGTATCACCCCAGAATAGGGAGGTAAGCACAGCAGCGAAGATAGTCAGGAGAGAGATGAGAGCAAGTTTGCGTCCGCTGATCGGATTCAATATATCTCGAGTCACGGGTGTATTTGTATTTGGTTGTTGTTGGTTGGCTTCGGAAGACATATACGTCCAGCTTGTCGCAACTGTAAACCTTTTAAGAGTTTTCAGATGGATGCTATAAATTCAGAAATGAAATCGACTGACGCGATTGGAATTTACTGGAAATGTTGCTTAGATATGTCGGAACTGCATAGAGCCGATGGCATAAGCCGATCCGATTTCAGTGTGTCAGCGCGGAATCTACCCGCTACGGATGTACGGAATTACGGATGTGGGATATGGAGGCTTTTTTTAGATCAATTGGTCAACAATCTATTAATGTATGCAAATTGCTGGATTTCAGCGGGATATTGGCTCCATCGTGTCCGTTCCTGTCATGCACGTCCCATTCATAAACAAAGTAGTAGTAGAAGAAAAAGGGGAAGAGAAAAGAAGAGAATAAGGGAAGGAGAACGAGGGGGCAAAAAGGGAAGAGACAAGAGCTAAACTCAGAACAAGAGTGCTTCTTGGCAAGAAGAAAAGAAAGGAAAAAAGAAAAGAGAAGAATCATGCAGCCCAAAGCCGAAGAGAAACCCTAATCTTTGACTGGGGTAACGGGGTAATGCACTCGAGCGCCAGTGATCATGTGGAACATACATGCATGCAAGCCATGTGAGCGTATAGTAAGGAATTAAACAAAAAGAAGAGAGGAACAATGACATCGTATTACATTAGGACACAATCACCATCACTCTGCTTGTTAACAGCCGAGCGAGAGAGACGGGTCTTTTGCATCCTGCTTCCACCCTTCTTGAGATCCTCCAGACGTTCACGAGCCTTGGGGAATCCTTGGGCTAAAGAGAAAAGAACAGTTAGTTGGAGTAAAAACAGTGAGGGAAGGAAAGAGATATCAACTTACCAGCTGCACGCCAGTACCACCGCTTTGCATCCTCCAGATTGGCAGTAGCGCCGATTCCTACCTCGGTGAAGTATCCCATCGCATACTCTGCCTTTGCGAGACCGGCGGTGGCGGCTTTGCGAGCCCAAAGGTAGGCCTCGGTGTCATTTTGTGACAGGATGCCTTCGGATCCGGTGAGGTACCAGCCACTGAGAGCAAGCTCACTTTGGTGTTCGCCTTGGGCTGCGGCACGGGTGTACCAGATGATACTCGTGCGATTATCAACAGGACATCCCATGAGACCGTATTCGTACGCATTGCCGAGACGGAACTGGGAGAACTTGTAGCCCAATTCAGCAGCTTGGTGGAAGAGCTGGCTGGCGTACTGCTCGTCGCGGACAATTATATCGTTGGGGCCGGCGTTCAGGTACATGAGAGCGAGCTCGTGAAGAGCATGTGGGTTTTCCTCGTCTGCGCGGTCTGCTGCCCGCTTGAGCCAGGAGACACCCTCCCGAGGGTTGCGGGCTTGACCGAGCAATCCCTTAAGATTGATCATACCCATTTTGTACATCGCGGGTGTGTCGCCTAGGGCAGCGGCGCGCTTGTACCATTGGACGGCTTTGAACGGGTCGCGCTTGGTACCGCCGCCTTCTTCTTGGCCAATTTCGCAACAGACTGCTACACGGTATGCAGACTGGGCGTGGCCTTGCTTCGCAGCGGAGTGGTAGAGCGAGAACGCTTCTTTAGGGTCGACTTCCAGGCCCAGAAGGCCCTCACCATAGCAATCAGCCAAAAAGAATTGTGCTTCAGAGTATCCGGCCGCGACAAGCTTCTTCACGATTTTGTGGGCATCAAGGATATACTTCTCCTTAGCCTTGGCCTTGGTTTTCGGATCGAGGCGGCTGTTGTTTTCAATGAGAACTGTGGCTGCTTCAACCAGCTTCTTGGCGAGAAGAAGCTGCGTCTTTTGGTCCGAAGGATTTCCTCGCACCTGTTGTTGCAGCCGCTGCAACTCTTCCTGCGTGACTGGCGTCGGGACACTTGCAGCTGATACAATGGGCTGTGGCGCAGCCTGGGGAGGAGCAGCTTCGGGGGCGCTATACTGGCGAAGCGGTGCAGGTTTTGAGGCCGCATCATGACCGGGACGGAATGGGGCTGGGTGGTGAGGCAGAGCATCGGGATTTTGCGGGGGTCTGACAGATCAGGCTGCTCCGGGGGGTAGGCTGGTTGGTTCATCCGAACCGGCGCAGGGCCGTGGGAGTAACCGCCATAATCCCCGTAGCCATTGGGGCCATAACCAGGGTCTTGGTGGTCCATGGCAGAAGGCGCTTCTCCCGGAATATCGAACTGGAATCCCGCATTCTCGAACTGGTTCACCTCGACCTGTCGGATATTGGGGTGGGATTGAGAGCGTTGAGCATCTGTGCCTGGAGAGTATGAAGAATAGTCTCCACCGGGAGAAGAATTTGGACCAGGGCCGGGTCTCCGACCTGTTGGTGTGTCCAATCCCATCTCATCAATCGGTCCATGCTGCTTAGCATCTGGAATAGCATCAAAATTAGGCATATCGGGTTCGTCGCCACCACCAGACTCGTAGTAACTATCCAAGAAGTCCTTGGGCGCGTATGAAACGCGATTGGCGGGTTCCGGCGGAATCATCAATCCAGAGTCTATATCGTTGGGTGCCCGGGATCGCGGAGGTCGCATACTTCCAGCGGTATTGGGACGCATGGGAGATTCGACAATGGGACTTGCTGGGAAATCGGATTCTTGGTAGGTCGATTGCCCCGGGTACATCGGAGCGATTGGAGGTCCCATTGGAGAACCTGGCGCAAGCGGCATCGTTGCACTTCGTCCTGGCGGATGCATCGGTGGGCCCATGGGATCGATATAAGGGCGGTCCGGTCTACCAGAGCTGGCAGCTCGCACTGGGCCCATCGGGTATCCGCCTCGGCCTCTGACAGGGGGAGGTCCGCGCGGAGGCGGTCCTCGCATATCCGGGCGTCTCCCATTTGAATTTGAAGTGTGTGGCCGGGGAGGAGGGCCTCTGCCATTGATGTCCATCGCAGCCATGCCATTCTCAATGCCTCGAGGCGGACCGCGGCGGTCTCTCGGATCTCTGGGGGGTCTTCGGTCTCGCGGATCTCCTCTAGGATCTCCTCTTGGGTCACCTGGGGGAAAGGAAGGGAAGGGATTGTCAAAGCTAGCGCCTGGGGGTGGGCGTCCGCCAGCTGAGCGATTGTTAGTCGTAGATTTGAGGGACCTTGTATCTGGTTTACGTACGGGTTCTTGATCGTTTTTGTGGTGGTGGTCTTCCTCCGGGACCAGGAGGGTAGCCTCGTCGGTCATCGGGGCCGGGTGGTCGTCCGTATCCAGGGCCTGGAGGGCCTGGTGGGCGCATCGACCGTGGCTGTGACTGCGGGGGTGTGTATGGTCCCGAAGCCGCAGAATTAGACCGGTAACTATACGCTGCATCGTCGTATCCTGGATCCGCGTTGTGATAGTCCGAATTGCTCATGCCGCCATCGCCATAGCCTGCATAGGGGCCATCTTGCGAGTATCCCCCCGGCAATGCCACAGAGGGCGGAGGGGCGTTGTTATATTGTCGCAGAGGCGGCGGCCTCTGCGCGGGAGATTGCTGAGGGTATGACATGGCGCCAAGGGACCGAAGAGCGTACTATACAAAGTGTCGATTCAAGTGGTCTCCGAGGGGCGCGGTTTGAATCTGCCCAGGCGATCGCATGCAAGGAGGGGTTTACTGCAACTTCCGGTTAGCCTGTCCATTTCACGATATTCAAAGCCAGTGAGGCAGTGTCCACATAACGGCGCATTGTTCGTACCCAGATCACAATGCCACTCAGCACGTGCGCTCGCGATTTGAGCACCTGAGAGAGTCAGAAGCCACAGTAGGGCGGACTGAAGGGATATCAAAAGAGACCAATACGAATACGTTAGGAGGGCAGAATGGTTTAGGGGCGGTGGCAGGTGACTTTAAATCAAAAAACCAAGTGACCCACTCCCTGCCGGTATTCAATCTTCAAATCTCTTCAGCCGTTATCCATACCTTAATGCTCTTTGGTGTTCTATATATTTTTTGGGACTTCTGATGGTTCTGCTCACACTATTAATACGCCATTTAACAGGAAGATTTATATGCACTCTACATCATCGTAATGATAGGGCCGTATATTAGATAGCCGCCAGTGCCTGACGATCGGGGGACCTGCAGACTTTTGTCTTCCCGTCACGTTCTACCTGTATTTCGGAGTTTACATTGCAGGGACTGTGGAACTCGGAGATTTGACTGGATACTGGGCCCTTGAAATGCAAACCCACTTGCAGGGGACTGTGACAACATCTGGTCCACTGTTCCCAAGGGCAAATGGGGCATCTGAAACGAAATTACTATGCTGATCCAACCAAAATGAGATCCAGTTCCCACCAGGGCAAGGCTGGCGGATAGTCGGATATTCGGATGGTTCAATTGATTCAAATGTTTCTATAGAAGTTCCCATCGTAGATATAAGAATAGAGACAGAGTCCACGTTGTCTCGGACAATTAACGAACATGTTGCAAGTTCAACGTCACTTGAATGTGGGGGAAAGGGACACCTGCTCAAAATGGACTAGCGTGGTATATGCGCCACACTAGCCTGAACTAGCCTCAACTGCGCCACGGTGCTCGGGAACAAATGAGATCCGCGATGATGTTGATGATCTCGGCATCTCACGACTTTCAATCCGAATTCCGGTACCTATCTCGGAATAGGCAACCAATTTTCGCGCTTCCCATTACCCACAATGTCTCGCGCTGTGTTATGGACCAAGGTTGTCGCCGGGTCAGTGATGCCCTGCACCGTCACAGAAACTTGCGCTAACATCCGCCTCTCAATGCAGTGGCCTGCTCATGGTTGTCGGAGGCCCCGCTTTCGTTGAATACATCCGACCGTCCGATGAAGAACTCAGGAAGCGATACAACCCGGATCTGCAGAAGCGCAGTGCCGAACAGGGGAGCGCCGCGCCCAGGAATTCGACGACTACGTGAACAAGCTGAAGCACTGGTCCAAGTCGGATAAGTCTAGTATGTGACCCTCTCCTCGGTGGTAGTGGCATGCCTCTAAAGAAGTCCCGACTAATGGTATATCTTTAATTCTAGTCTGGTACGCCGCACAGGAAGAACTAGACAACAAGCGGGCAGCGATCGAGGCTCAACGCGCACAGGCAAAGGAGGAAACGAGGACACAACGGGAGGAGATGCGCAAGGAGATGCTGGGTGAAAAATGATCGCGAGTCCATTGCGCCTCTGCCTGTCTCAATAACGCTGTAATCTTGATCCTTCTCTGATACCAACCCTCCGCCACTCCTGCCGTTGATCCGATTGCTCCGCGGCTGTCTTTGCTGCTTTGTTTGTGGCGATAGTTCGAACCTCCCACGCTATCCAGTACACAGGCCTTGGATAGGTCTGCTGTATGTCATGATTTTATTGGGTGTATGATAAGTTTTTGCCTCTTCCCTCATCTTTGCATCTACCTCGTAAGGGGGCCATATCTGTACAATTACCGACGTTTGAGCTGTGTCTCTTAAATATCTCATAATCGAAAAGCGCATCTGGCTCTATCAATCTATTCAAATATTCACATATTCAATCTGGATCTGTCCTGGAACTAAGCGCCAAATTACTGCTTTTATATCACTCAGGATTCCTCTCATCACCCGCAGGCCTGCACAGCAACCCTCACAACCTCCTCCGGCATCGAAACCCGGGGACTATGATGCGTATCAAACTCCTTAACCCTAACAACACCACCCTCCCCCCGAACCCTCTCCAACATAGTATCCTGCGCAGCAACAGGAACCGCAAGATCCCTAAGCGTCTTCCCAAAGGTAACAGGAACCCTTCTCCAAGCATCACCCGTAGCACCCTCCCTCAAAGCCTTGACGGGGAACCTCACGAGCGTCGAAACGACCTCCTCAACAAACGCACACTTCTCAAGTCCACTAAAAAACAACATTCCAGGATCAAGCGGGAAGAAAATTCCATCCTCGTCCTCGTCAACGAGCTGCGCCCACATCTTGTCAGCACCTGTTTCTTCCACAATAGTCCACATTGTAGCTCCTGGCACGAGCATGTAGATACAGTAGGTGGATTACGCCGCCTGGTTGGCCAGCCGCTTTGCGGGTGGGGAGGTCTAGCTCTTGGACTGCGGATATGCCGACTAGACCGCCGTACGAGTGCATTATCATTATCACGCGCTTGTTGGCTTCCGCCTAGACCTTGAACCACACTGCGGACGTGGCGGACGTCTTCTGGGAGTGTCGCTGTTGCGGGTCGAGTGCCATTGCAGCTTGGGAGGTGTGAGGTGTGCACTGTGAAGCCTACTTTTTTAGGTCGGTTGTGTAGCTTGTGTAGTTTGTTGGTGTATGCCAGGCGCAGTGGACGAGTACGATTTCTGGCAGGGGGGCCATTGTGCAGTATGTCCTTGGGGTTTAGGTGGGGTTGAAGTCTGGTATTGACATGGTTTATAAACAATGGGCCAATTTGGGACTGCTTATGCTTTAATCTAACTTAGGTAAACAAATCACGTCAGACGGCATAAGTTGCCCAGGCCCCTAAGATGTCAGTTGATGAGGCTGTGAAACATTTCCCCGCTTTCAGGTCTGCATGGACAATGAGCCTCAATTGCTGTTCAATTGTGCCATTGATAGAAAGACTAACCAGCGAGGCGGGTTACGGTTTTGTTGATTAGTCGGTGCAATTCGTGATACCGCAGTAACCTCTCTATGAATTTCTTCCATGAGTTGAGAGACGTGTAAAAGAGGAAGAAAAATAATGGATTCGCTACGTTGAGAACTCAAACTAAGAAGTAGGTAACTTAGACTATTTAAGGCCTCAAGTTCAAGGCATCACTCTTCCAGTGCAGGCCGTGACAAACAAATATCATTTTGGTTGCATTTTTAATTACATGCTTGTTCTGGACGTAAGCAACATGTGGCAAGATTTGTCGCTTCTGCTTGTCGCTAACTATCCGAGATATATATATTCAGTACAAGCTATAACATGCAAACGATCAAGAGTCGTGACAAAAACGAACTGAATATAACTTATATACAGACGGCATGCTTCAAGCACGAACTAATCATCGAATGAATTTTAACAATTCGCTATGACCATATGACCATAAAAGCGGCACCTCCAAGAGGCAGCAAAACAGCCAACGCAGCAACAACACCAGCACCAGCTTTATCAGCAGTCGTAATCTCCCTCGTCCGAATATCCTCCCTCGCTCCAGATCCAGATCCAGATCCAGACCCAGATCCCTTCTCTCCACCGGAGTTGCCTTTACTAGTCCCGCCAGTCTTATCCGTAACAGGCGCCTTGACAGTATGCACCAAATTCGCCTTGAAGATCTCCAGTGCCGCCATCTGCTCACCGATCCCAGTAGAACCATCATACTTGGTACGTTCAGTCCATCTCAGCCCACAAGCGTTATCAGGTCCATTGCATTGCTCCGCCGCAGCCTTGGAAGATTCTTGGATCTTGTGCCACAACGTTTCATTGGTGAATGGGGCCAGTGGGATAGTTGCAGCCATGAAACGCGCCAGATAGGACTTGAAAGACCTCGAGTTTAGATCACACTGGCCTCTTTCGCATGGTTCGACCATTATGCCCTTGCCATTTGGGAAGAAGGTTGACAGTCCTTTGACTATGCCTTCTATGCGCGTTTTCCAGATTTCCGAGCCGTTGGTCTGCGAGTATCCAGTAAGCAGGGAATTCTTCTGTAAGTACCATGGGGACAAACTCACAATATTATACATGTTCGCAGCCCCATGCAGATAAACCGCAGGCAGATACGCATGTTGCAGGGAATTAATCTCAGAACAATTCCCAACACTATCCGTGCCATCATGAATAAGATAATCCTCACTAATCAACCCCAAAGCCTCACTCCAATCCCATACTTTGTCCGCCCATTCAACGAACGTCTCATTCCCAGTATACCGCGCCAACCGCGCAGCAACATTAAAGAACCCACCATTCGAAATCGTGTTCTTATACGAGTACCCACCATTATACTCAAAAACCTGCCAATGCAATCCACCCCCACAGGTAGCCGTGTCCCAACGTGTTGCCTGCGAATTGAAGGTATTCTCAGCGAGTTCCAGCCACTGCGGTTGATCAGCGGGTGGATCGGGATATTTCAGTTCGGCGGCGGACATGGCGGCGAAGCCCCAGAATATTTGATCGTCGTTTCCAAGGGAGAGGGTTTGGTTTTGGGGCATGTAGTTGTTTTCGTCGCCTACTTGCCAGAGGAGGGCTTGGGTTGTTATTTCGTTCCATTTTGTGTCGCCGGTGTAGTACCAGTATTCCACCATTGCTCCGAACATTGCGCCTGCTTCCCACCAGTAGTAGGGGTCTGGGATGTTGCCTGGTACATCGCCTGGTTGGTTGCCCGTGTAGTATTTCAGCATGCCGGCTGCGGCGGTTTTGGCAGCGGCTTTTATGGAGTCTTGGTTTGGTGGTGGAGTTAGTTGCTGGATATAGTTGGATGTGTAATTTGGTAGGAGCGTTGTGGTTTGATATACCTTCATCATTTAAGTCGAGGTTGATTGACGCCTGCGTCATTTGTGGCCCCAGTGTGGAAATGAGAAAGAATAAAGAGGCGCATGGTAGAAATCTCATGGCGACAGCCAATATTGAAACATGCGAAAATTGAGCTCATAAATAACCTAGTAGATTCAAACTAATTCAACTGCGAACGAGATCTTAAAATGAAATTGATTGCAAAAGGTGAGCTGCAAAACGCCGAGAGCCAAGGAGGAATGGGGCCAGAGGGGCTCTTGGAAGCTAGGCAGTGTTCATGCATAATGAAATGAACGGGATTCTCCCAATCGGGCAAAATACGGGGGAAGCGTGGACTAATAAAAGATTCGCGCATCCTGTTTGGGGCCGAGAACTGGGGTCATGTCTGCTGTCAGATTATACACGAAGGTGAGTGGTCGAGTTGGCCAGATTGAGCCAAAGAGATAGACAGAAGGATGAAACGGGGTGCTCTCTAGCCTTAATCATGGACTTGGCATTTATTTTGCCCAGACGTATGCAGCCGGTGAGATGTATATCTAGTTGCATACGGTGTGTAAATCAAAAAGAAAAAAAAAGATCAGCCTTGTGAGCGGTCTGGAGACTCTGGGGTTCCAGGAACACCCGAAATTGCCGCCATGAGTTCATGATTGGGCATTGGGATTGAGTGGAAAGAAGAAATTAGTCATAGATCTGGCGATTTAGGTTAAAGAACCTGGCATGAACAAAGCGTGATGAACAAAGCGTGATGCTATACGTATTCTGTTTTGAGGATGAGAAATAATCTCAATTTTTGCTCTTTAGGAAGATATACCGTCGCAAGTCTTGCTGTATATAGACAGTAGGATCTGAAGCAGTCGTTGGTCTTGGCGAATAGAAATGGCTAGCACCGAGGCTGTGGTGTTAGTGGAATCCTAGGACTGAAGACTATCCACGAAGGGGCCATGTTCCTTGATTGATCTGTCCCCGTTTGGAGGGATCGGCCGATGGTTTACTGTAAAGATAAGTTGGGTCATCGGGGGCTGTAAGCTGGCAGGTTCCTGAAAAACTCAAATAATCACCGAGTATGAAAATTGTACTCTATATAACAATGAGACGGTGAGTGAGAGGTTTGAAACTGCCGCCTTACGTGGGAACCTTCGTCTCTAGTTGGCCGTTGCCACGCTTAGACCGCGGCACAATCCTCAGGAGTGCACCGTTAACCTAACCTTAGACCTCAATTTGAAGGTGAGAGGTATTGGACACCCTAAGCCTCGCAAGGTTAACCTCGAGGTTATAGAGGTTTATTAAACAGTACAAACATAAAAATTTGCTATAATATTAGATATTTGCCTTATATATTAATAAAATTACTTTTAGTAGAAGGGTTAAGGTATTAAGAATCCTATTGCTATTTTTAAATCTACATATAGTATAATTTATCCTATTCTAACATAACTTTAAATCCTTTTAGTAGTTTTGATAGCTTCCTAATCCTCTAGCTATATGTTGAAAACAGATAGCATCGAGTAGCTTTACTGTAGCAATCTGTGAGTGTGTGGCTCAGCGTCTTGAATAATGTCGCGAGTGAGCTCGAGCTGCTATGGTTCCATTTTTGGCGCCATTTCTGTTCCACTCCAGCTGCACAAAGGAATGTGGTGGAACGTAGCCGCATGAGTTTTAAGTTACAATATCTCCGGTTGGGCTACTAGAAGCTTGGACTATAACCCGTGTTACGTGCCCTGCGCTCCTTTTACCCGGGCGACTCTCGCCAATCACACTGGATGTCTCATACTGACCCGCTGCTGTCCCAGCACAGGGCCAGGCTTTTGCGGCTGGCGATGGGGTCCACAGTATTTTGCTTACCACAGTATGTATTTTCTTCGAGGTATGGTGTACAATCTATCAATCTCTGCTACTGTCTTTTGGAATCTCCTTGATCTTGTTATTTGACGAACAACTTGTGTTCTTGACTGGACAAGATCGTAAACATGCCTTGTCCCGCTAAGATCCTATGTGAACGGATGTTGTTTGGCCGTCCTGCAGCGTAAACAATACAATTCGATCACCAATGACGCAGGGAGTATATGCAGGGGGTTTATGGTGTACGTGACGGGATGCAATGGACGTGATGAAAATGCTTGGCGGCATTAGTTTGTTAAAGCCTGGCCAGGTACAGTAAAGTCGGTCATGATTGCATTCTACTGACTTGTGTTTGTGTCTGTTTGGCTGATCGCTCCCCTAAACACACTAGGCTGGCGCTTAAGTGCTGCGCCTCTTCGGTCCAGATGCTAATAGATAACTACAAGGCTATTTTATGGTCACATTCGAGTCATGTAATTGATTTTATTAGTTACTTAAGGCATCATTTCACCCACCTCCGCCTGTCGAAAACATTTCGATTTCGACGACCAACGATCTGCGACCACGACCCTTCCCCTCAAACCTCCCTTGATGAGGTGCGACGAATATGCACCCGAGCATGCCACTAAAATGTTTGAGCCGCGATTCCTATCGTGTGGGATGGATCTGTCCGTTGGAAGTGGAACAGATCGCGGCAATGGAGATGCTGGATGAGGAGCACGAAGCTGTACCGCAACTGAGCGGGGACACAAACATTTACAACCTCGGCAGCATCAACAACCATAACGTCGTTATTGCCGGTCTTCCTCGGGCGGGAAATTGCTCCGCAGCTACTGTCGTCACCCAAATGAGGATGACATTCCCAAACATCAAATACGCCCTGTTAGTCGGGATTGGGGGTGGTGTGCCGGTCAAGACAGATCATGGGATGATCCGTCTAGGACATGTAGTAGTTAGTGAACCTACAGGCACACACTCTGGAGCAATACAATACGACCACGGAAAGGCAAAGGCGTCTCACTTTGAACGTAAAGGTTCCCTCGCACCTCCGCCAACAGCCCTCCTTAACGCTGCACGAGAGGTGGCTGTCCGGCGTCAACGGATGGATTATGATCCAATTTGGATGAATGTGGAGAGAATCAAAACTGGCCGTCGGCCACTCCGTCGCTTCAAGTTTCCTGGCATTGCAAATGATCATCTCTACCTACCAGGTTATAAACATCAACAGGAAGGGCTATCATGTCAAGACGGTGGATGTGATAAGAATCAGCGGATCGAGCGACAGGTAGACGAAGACGACTCGTGTGTCGTCGTACATAGGGGTACAGTAGCGTCGGGAGAAATGGTGATAAAGGACGCTCAGATGAGAGATGAATTGGCGCAGGAGCATGGGGTGCTATGCTTTGAGATGGAAGCCGTTGGGGCCCTAACGGATTTCCCATGTTTGGTTATCCGAGGCATCTCCGACTACTGTGACTCACACAAGGACGACGAGTGGCATGGCTACGCAGCAGCAGTAGCGGCTGCTTATGCGAGGCAATTACTTTTCTATATGTCTATTGAAGAGACCCAACGGGAAATTTCTCACTGTTTTGATATAGAGAGGAAGCAAGGTCGTGTTTATAGCTTATTGATGTATTGCTTAGAAATCCGAACCCAACTCCTACCACCTCCGAGCTCCCGTTCAATATATCCGAGATATCCGAAGTAAGCCAGTTTGTTGCAAGAAAAAATGAGCTCAGAAAAATGCAAGAGCTCCTTACAGGAACTGTTAAACGCCGCACCGCTATCGTGCGTGGCATAGAGGGCATTGGCAAGACGCAGCTAGCAATCGCATATATCAAGCGACATAGTTCCGACTACTCAGCGGCAATATGGATGAATGCGAAGGATGAAACAGCGCTAAAACAAAGCTACGCTCGCGTAGCTGAGTGGATTCTACACTATCACCCGCCTATATCATACATTGTGGGTGCCCTGCAGAGCCGGGACCTAGGCGAGATAGTGAAAGTTGTCAAACGATGGCTAGAAGAACCGACGAACAGTCGCTGGTTGGTCGTCTATGACTATTATGATTATCCGTTGTCAAGTAACCATAAGGGGAACAGCACAAGCTACTGTATCGAGGCAAGTCTATGTGGGAATAAAGGTGAAAAATCTTATGAGGGCTTTTGATCTTCACAATTTTCTGCCCGAGACCGACCATGGTGCCATTGTTGTGACCACGCGGTCATCTATGGTAAAGCTAGGACAGGTTATTCCCGTAAACAAGTTGGAGAATATCAATGATAGTCTCGAAATCCTGGCTTCCGTCTCTGGTCGTGATATCTCAAAGCAAGGTGAGTATTTCTGGATATTATTGATTGCAGATGACTAAGATAGAGCAGACAAGGCAGCTGTGAATCTTGCAAAAGAGCTTGATGGGCTTCCCTTGGCCCTTGCGACTGCTGGCGCATATCTAGAGCAAGTTTCGGTATCCTATACCGAGTATCTCCAGCTGTACCGTGAATCATGGCGGCAATTACATGAAGCGACTCCACAACTAAAATCATACGATCAAAAATTATACTCGACATGGAATGTCTCGTACCAGTACATTCAGCAGCAGAGTTCAATTGCAGCTACGCTTCTCCGACAAGGGCTTACTTCGCTAACGAAGACTTATGGTTTGAGCTACTAGATGGTGGCTCAGAAAAGCCGGAGTGGCTAGAAGAATTAACGAAGAATAAGCTCACATTCCATGGAACGTTGCGACTTTTGTGCAGTCATGAGCTTGTAGAAGCTGATGTGGCTACTATATCGCAGCGTGTGGAGTCCCGAGGGTATCGTGTGCACGGATGCGTCCATTCGTGGATGATTAATATGCTGAACCAAGTGGTTGATAGAGAGATGGCCCGGACAGCGATCAAATGTGTGGCAGCGTGTGTGCCGAAGCCAGACCAGCGCGAGTTCTGGCTGATACAGCGGCGGCTTATTGCCCATGCATACAGATGCCTAAGAATGTTGAGAGATATTGATGTTGGCGATGAAGCTTTGGGAGTTCTACATTCGTTAGGCCTCCTCTACGCGGATCTAGGCCGGCACGAAGAGGCGGGGGCGACATACGAACGAGCACTAGAAGGCTACGAGCAGGCGTTCGGACGAGAGCACGCGTCCACGCTAAATACCGTCAACAACCTCGGAAACCTCTATCAGAACCAAGGTCGGCTCCAAGAGGCAGAGAAGGCATACGAACGAGCTCTGAGGGGCTACGAAAAGGCCTTCGGGCCCACTTTAGTTGCGACGTATATTCCTGCTTTGAACACACTTGAAAACTTTGGCCTTCTAAACGTGGAGCTGGGAAGGGTTGACGATGCTCTGCGTTTTTATCAGCGGGCATTGAACGGCGCTGCGGCCGTTTTTGGGCGAATAGCCCAATGTGTTCACGCTTATCCAGCAGAACAAGCTCTGTGCAGTGTGACACGTGCGGAATCTCCGAAGGACAGTCGTCCATGCTAACGATTTGGGAGAAGGTAAGAGAGAAGATCTTGATTAGATAAAATCCTAGGTAAGCCGTGCAATGCAGGTATTTGAATCTGCTGTATCTTGCAAACAAGCACCCGAAGTCTTCAATAAGCATTAACTTGGTTGCGGCCGCCTCAATCGGCAGGGCACATATCCAACCGATTTGGAATATCGCTCGCGGGGACAAGGCATATCTATGGTCTGGTCTATTCAAGATTGGTAGGAAGTAAAGATTTTTGGAAAGATGCTGAAAGACAGTGGCAGCTGTTGATGGGGCATATATTTTATGTCAAGAATGAGAACAGTGTGATGGCAGGGTGAATAGAGTAGAAACCATTGTCAGCCATGAAAGTCTAGCCCACTGCTAGAAACGAATCATAGCTGCGGGAGCCATTTCTGGCCCGCTCACTCTGTCCACGTATACTTCGATGCCATGACTTTATATTGAACCTCAGCAACGGTAGAAAGGGTCCGCGGCCCGGAACATCTTCCCCAATAGGGCATTCTAAAAATAGCTCGGTTCCTCGAGCAACTCACTATCGACTCTTAACATCAATAGGCAGCCACATAATCAATAGACGATAGACCATGAGAAGGCTCCTGCATTTAAGAAGTTCTGAGCCCTTGAAGAAGGAAATATCGTCCGTAATAGTTGAGAGATTCTCAAGTTATGTGGCTGTTTACGGTAGATTAATCTCATTTCCCCTGGCCAGTCAACCAAGGAATATCACACGGAACTGAATTAGATTGAACATCGTATGGGTCTAAAAGAACAATACCTGTAGACGGAAGACATATGCCACACACCGTGAATTCCCCCGGAAGCCGACGCTTTGTGAGACGCCACACCACGTGACTCTGGGCATTGAGCGGCAACTCTCCATCACTAGGTCAGCTTCATTCCAGACTACGCTTCCTTCCCTCGCCGCTTCACTACATCTCAATATTCATCAACTCGCAATAGGATTCATCTGCTGCCACTTATCTACGTCTATTCCTGTCCTCTAGGCGCTGTCTGCTCCGCTCGCTCGTCGACCAAAACAACCCCTGCTCCTCCCGCGAGGCCGTCTGGACAACTCGACATCTCGCATACCTGAGACTTCTCAAACCCCTTTACGACTCTCATCATGGCCGCCGCTGAACAACCCTATGACCCTTATATCCCCGCTGGCTCTGCCGGAGCCGCTGGTGTCTCATCGAAGGATGGCAACCAGCGAACAGCCGCATTGCAAGCCGTGAGTCCATTCCCCGAAAGCTCCTCGACTTTTTGCGACATATAAGCCTTGGGGCGATCACATATGTGCTCTGTTGTTGGTGGCGCATATGTGTTGCTTTGGCCGAAATGCGAAGGCTGGGTCGATCGATTTCCAGATTGAGACTGACGATATCTGTCTATAGCAAATCGATGACACCGTGGGTGTGATGCGCGAAAACATCAACAAGGTCTCCCAGCGTGGTGAGAACTTGGACTCCCTTCAGGACAAAACCGACAACCTGGCCGTTTCAGCCCAAGGCTTCCGCCGAGGCGCCAATCGCGTGCGCAAGGATATGTGGTGGAAGGACATGAAGATGCGTGTTTGTCTGATCATTTGCGTGATTGTGCTCCTCATCGTCATCATCGTGCCATCTGGTAAGCGCTCAATGGAGAAGATGGGAAAGCTCGACGCTAACATATTTCGTAGTGGTCGTCGGTGGAAAAAAGAACTAAGCCACGCAATACGCGCTCCTGACGATTTCTCTTTGGACATGGGATCTTGATTTTACTGGGTTTATGTTGCTAGGGCCGTGGGCCTTTCCGTTTTCACAGCCGCTAATACCTCCTGCTGTTTATTTTTTCTCTTTTTCTGGGCGTGTTTTGAATGACCACATCCTCTTGACTTTCTCTGTGCTGATCCGACGGGTTGGTATTGCGACCCGGTCAACGGGTGAAGATGTAAATGATACTTGATGCCGTGTTTAAGTATGTCTATCACATTGCGATTCGGTTGTTTCTAGCTGCAATGAATCTTCGTTAGCGTGATGTTATGTTTATCAACTGGATGGGGAGAAGAGAGATGTAGATCTAGGATACTAGAGTGTATACTCCGTAATCAGTTAAGCTATACGGGAGAGCAAATACAGGCTGAATGTGGAGAATGCAAGGCTATGTATTTGACTGTCACTAAACAGCGTCAGGGATTTCCACGTGGCCGTTCTCCAATTCTCCAATTCTTCATGCAAGGGCATCGTTACCGTTTCAGTCTCCCTACAGTCTACAGTACAGGTAGCTACTGTACCCACACAGCAACATTTCTCCAGCCTGATGTTTTTAATACACCAAATGCTTAGCAGTCGTATTCTTCGGAAAGCCCATAGCCGACGTTGGGTAAAAAGAATCAGATAATACAACTGTAGACCTTGGCATGAGACATCAGTGTCCACCTTCCCTCAACAAAGACCACTGAGAGTCAGCCTCGTAACTGTGCCGTCGGAAAGAAGCGCAGATAGACAGAGACTAGAACCAGACAGAGTGGAGGAGGTGGATAGCATGGCTCAACGTAACGAGTGAGAAGAAGGGAGAGGATCAGATAACTTAGACTAAACCGAAGCCGGATGACGTTTCACGATCGCAGTAGGTTGGTAAAGTGGGCTTTTTCGGAGACTAGCTTGTGAAGAGATTGATATCCAGGGAATTGCTGTGAGGATTTAGAATTTTCGCTTCGGCTATGGCGCCACTACATGTACATAGGATGTTCACCTACACGTAGCCATTGAATAGAACAATATATGCGCCTTTAATGCAATTAGTGCAATATTTAACGCAAAAGAAATACCAATAGCCAACGTAAGAGTGTGATAAATGGGAAGATAAATCGCTCGCTAGTACTGCTAGTAGAGGGGCCCACCGCCTTCTCCGTCCTATCTCGCTCCGAGGCCCGGCCGATCTTCGAAAATCTCGCTTGACTCACTTCACTCACTTACCACCTCTCTACTCTTAACAATTATATTTGGGGCCTCACCCTGGGACCGACTGTGAGACCATTGAGGCTGCCGCATGTGGGTTGCCCAAGATGATGTCCCTTCGCTCCGCTGTGCGGAGAGCTTCTACTAAGCCCCTCCGTTCCCTCTCCGCATCGACTGCCTCTCCTCTCCGAGCTGGCATCACTGGTGTCAAGGCTTCGACCACTCGCCAGACTCGCAACTACTCTCGCGCGACTGACCCTCACCTGACTTCCACCCGCAGCACTGTCGTGCAGCTGCTGAGCAACATTGGCTCCAAGCGTGAGGTCCAGCAATACCTGTCCCACTTCACCTCTGTATCCTCACAGCAATTCGCCGTGATCAAGGTCGGTGGTGCCATTATTACCGAGCACCTCCAGACTCTGTCCTCCGCTCTCGCTTTCCTCAACCATGTCGGCCTCTACCCGATCGTCGTCCACGGCGCTGGCCCGCAGCTCAACCGCATGCTGGAGGCTGCCGGTGTTGAGCCCCAATTCGAGGATGGTATCCGCGTGACTGATGGTAAGACTTTGGCACTGGCTCGCAAGCTCTTCCTGGAGGAGAACATGAAGCTGGTTGAGGAGCTCGAGCGCATCGGTATCCGTGCTCGTCCCATCACGGCGGGCGTTTTCTCCGCTGATTACCTCGACAAGCCCAAGTACAACCTGGTCGGTAAGATCAATGGCGTTGACAAGAAACCCATTGAGTCTGCTATTGCCGCTGGCTGCCTGCCCATCCTCACCTCCATGGCTGAGACCCCCGATGGTCAGGTGCTGAACGTCAACGCGGATGTGGCTGCGGGTGAGCTTGCTCGCTCTCTGCAGCCCCTTAAGATCGTCTACCTCGCTGAGAAGGGCGGTCTTTTCAACGGTGACACCGGTGAGAAGATTTCTGCCATCAATCTCGATGAGGAGTACGACCACCTGATGAACCAGTGGTGGGTGCGCCACGGTACTCGCCTGAAGATTAAGGAGATGAAGGATCTCCTCAGCGATCTGCCTCGTTCTTCCAGCGTTGCCATTATCCACCCCGCCGATCTCCAGAAGGAGCTCTTCACTGACTCCGGTGCCGGTACCCTGATTCGCCGCGGTAACAAGATCCACGTCAAGACCTCTTTGTCCGAGTTTGAGGACCTGCAGGCTCTCAAGGACGTGCTGGTCCGTGACCGTGAGGGTCTCGATGCCCGCGCCGTTGTTGACCGCTACGTGGAGGGTATGAAAGAGAAGGACTTCAAGATCTACTCCGATGAGCCCATGGAGGCTCTCGGTGTTGTCCTCCCCCTCAGCCCGGCTCCCAGTTGGCCCACCTTGCCACTTTCACCATCACCAAGTCCGGTTGGCTGACCAACGTTGCCGACAATGTCTTCGCCAGCATCAAGAAGGACTTCCCCAAGCTGGCCTGGACTGTCAAGGAGGACGACGAGAACCTGACCTGGTTCTTCGACAAGGCTGACGGCAGCCTGAGCCGCGATGGCCAGGTTCTGTTCTGGTACGGTGCCGAGAACGGCGAGGAGGTCAAGCACCTCGTCCAGGAGTTCAACCAACACGGTCGCCAGATGTTCGGTGACATCAACCTCGAGTCGCGTCTCCACCGCGCTGCTCAGGCTGCCACCCACATTGGCAAGGGCTTCGGCGCTAGCGGTGCTTCTGTTGAGCAGAAGCGTGCTTTCTCCACCACCACCACCAACGCCCTGCGCATGTCTCGTGCCAAGCGCCCCGCTGTTGCTGTCAACGCTGTCCGCACTTACGCCACCACCAACCCCAACCCTCCCCTCGGAGAGAAGAACATCTCCAACACCCAGCCCGCCAAGGTCGCTCTCATTGGTGCCCGTGGTTATACCGGCCAGGCTCTGATCAACCTGCTCAACGCCCACCCCAACATGGATCTTCGCCACGTCTCTTCTCGCGAGCTCGCTGGCAAGAAGCTCCAGGGTTACGAGAAGCGCGAGATCATCTACGAGAACCTCAGCCCCGATGATGTCCGCAAGATGTCCGCCAACGGCGACATTGACTGCTGGGTCATGGCTCTTCCCAACGGTATCTGCAAGCCTTTCGTCGACGCTGTCGATGAGGGCTCCGAGAAGGGCAATGTTATTGTTGACCTGAGCGCGGACTACCGATTCGACCCCAAGTGGACCTACGGTCTCCCTGAGCTGGTTGAGCGTTCTAAGATCGCCCGTGCCACCCGCATTGCCAACCCCGGCTGCTATGCCACTGCCGCCCAGCTTGGTATCGCTCCTCTCGTTCCGTTCCTTGGCGGCCAGCCCACCACCTTCGGTGTCTCTGGTTACTCCGGCGCCGGTACCAAGCCGAGCCCCAAGAACGACGTGCAGTACCTGACCAACAACCTCATTCCCTACAGTCTGACTGACCACATCCACGAGCGTGAGATCAGCTCGCAGCTGGGCACCAGCATTGCGTTCATCCCTCACGTTGCTGTGTGGTTCCAGGGCATCTCCGTAAGTTTTGACAAATCGCCCGCCGCCGACTGAAACGAATAATAGCTAATATTTTGCATAGCACACCATCAGCATCCCGCTGAAGCAGAAGATGACCTCCCGTGACATCCGCAACCTCTACCAAGAACGCTACGCCGGAGAGAAGCTCGTCAAGATCGTTGGCGAGGCCCCTCTGGTCAAGGACATTGCTGGCCGTCACGGCGTCGAGATCGGTGGATTCGCCGTCCACTCCAGCGGCGAGCGCGTCGTTGTCTGTGCCACCATCGACAACCTGCTGAAGGGTGCCGCTACCCAGTGCTTGCGTATGTTTCCCTGTCGCCCTTTTAGCAAACATGACACTAACCTCCTATCAGAAAACATGAACCTGGCTCTGGGTTACTCCGAGTACGAGGGTATTCCCCTCGACTAAGTCCCTCCAAAACTAGGCCCGAGTTAGCTACCACTGTTGTTTGTGTGTTGTCCTTGTCTTTTGTCTCATACCCCGCGTACATCTCATACATCGCTCTGGGTTGGACTTTTCTGGATGCTTCTTATTTATCTTCGAATCTATTCTATAGTGGATTTTGTTCCGTTTATACTTGCGCTGAAAGAGTTTGTTTCTCGTTACCCCGTCTTCGATTCGTCTCTCCTTCCCTAGACTTCTCAGATGCCTCCCCTGTCGGATGGTCTCGTTTGTGTTTGGCTTGAAGCGGTGCCTGTGCCTCAAGAAAAAAGTAAGGTGTTTGTATCTTATTTCGTTGCCGTGTTCTTTCTGGGGGTTCTTCTTGCGTACCCTATCCTACCTCTCCCTGTCAGGTTATGGAATTTAGAAGCCGTTGATGGTGTATGGACTGGGAAACACGAAATCAGCAGATCGATTCGATCAGATGCTGCTCATTTAATGTTAAGAGGTTGCCTTCAGTACATCCGTATTGTAAACCAAGGATGTAGGGGTGCGCTGCGTGCCATCTCTCAAGTCTGCCCTCGATTTGGGGCTTGCACACCCTTCTCATCCATCGACCTTCCATCCCACTCTATGCCAATCATCGTAGCCCAACATCTCTGTCACTCATTAACACCGAGGCTACTCTCCTTCTCATATCCATTCTCGTCCATGCTGCAGGTCAGCAGCATTGCCCATCCACTCTGACCTGCACATTCGAACTCGACGCCGAGCTGCTCAACCGATACCTTTCTCTTCGATCTGATCTTCAGAAAGGATCTTTCGTTCCAAAGGGCGAGACACTCTCTGTCGTCCTTGAAATCCAACACCAATACCCCCAGTCGCACCC